TCCGTACAGAGCAGTACAGCGAGCGAGTGGGCGGGTCAGACAGAAGAATTACAATCAAACCGGTTCGTATTATCAGCAACCAAACGCTACAAGGCGAGGGTTTATTACGACGCCGGATGTGTAGCCTCAGGCATATATATATGTAGTAAAACATCGTACCGCCTCAGATCATAGCATAACATGTAGTAGCAGCAGAAGTAGCAGTAGTAACAGTAGCAGTGACAGTAGTGACAGTAGCAATAATAGTAGCAGCAAATAGCAGCGGCAATGAGCAATACTCTGTAGAGATGGCAGGTTTCTTGGGATTCCTCGCGTCAAATCTCCCACACGAGAGAAACACCACAACCCACCACAACCCACCACAACCTACCACTCCGACTCCATTACTGGCAACATCTAATCTGTACACTCTCACCCAGAATCAACGGATAATACCCGTAGCGCACATGGCAATCCCCAACAATTTAGGACGAATTCTGAGCACCGTCGCTAGGAAAGGTATGTGCATGACAGTGATGCCTGATGATTACGCATCCCTTCCCTTTCCTCCCTCTCTCCCCCTCGAGCCTTGGTCCCGCTTCCGAACCGTACAGGGTGATGATGCGTCTTTAAGACTGCGCCGGCGACTCACCAAGTAGATGTGAATGAGCCATTTACATCATCGCCACTCATACTCCGCGTAGAAGAAGCGATGCAACGAAAACCTCCACGTGCGGCTGTTGGTGTGGTGCAACGGCTGCCAGAGGGAGGGAGAGTGGGAGGGGGAGGTAGAGAGAGAGAGAGGGAGAGCGAGAGAGAGGGAGAGGGAGGGAGCAGGGGATGGGGGGACTCTTACGAGCCTTACCGATATTTTCTTCTTCTCTTCTTTGAATGGCTGACTGACTTGCGACATGCATTTGCCGAGCTTACAGAACTTTGGACCGAGAAATGTTTAGATGGGTTGGCTGTCCCGCTTTTGCGTGTATCGGTTGGTTGGTTGCCTACTGGGAGATGGGGCCGGCCGGTGGGACCCTGTCCTGTTCTTCTACAACGTATGTATAATATACCGTGCCATACCGTACCATACACAGCAACTCCGTACACGTATGCAGCTCTCGTACCTGTAGCACTGGTATTATAGCAGTACTACAAGTACGTAGATATCTCTCCAATGCAGGAAAAAAACAAGACAAGAAAACAAAAAAAAAAAAAAAACAGGAACCGCAAGGATCGAGGTTCCATATATAATGTCCCAGCGTCATGATTCGGCGAGACAGGACCGGAGAGTGGACGAGCTCAGACCCGCAAGTGATGGGTGATGATGATGCCAACCGGTCGTCTGTGCCTACTCGTATGTATTTGGAGAGAGGATAGTCGATATGACAGCGTAAGGCCCCAGGTGCGGTGCAAAGGAATCAAGGGCGCATCGCGACGCACGACGTACTGGCCATCATATCATCACTAGGACTACTAGGACTACGCGCTCTTATCAGAGACGATAGATAGGGAGGCCGATGACTTAACCGGCTACGTACTTCTTTGGCGGCTGCAGAATCTCAGGTAGGGTGGGATGAGGAAGGGCGGGGGGAGGAGGAGACAAGGGGACATGACTTGGGGGGTATCGTCGCAGCTAAAGGGAGGGAGGGCACATGAGTAAGTCCACAGGGCAGGTTCGTACATCTCGTTCACGATACCTACACACACCGCAAGAGTGATGGCGTACAGTCAAGGGAAGCCAGACACTGTATGACAATGCGATAGCCGTCGGGATCGTAGCAGACAATGGGGGAAAGAAACACCATTCTACTCTCTTATGATGATATCTTGCCGCTTTGACTCCTCACTGTTGCAGCCAAGCAAAGAAGCCATGGCGTCATGTACGATGGATGCCTACGCAGTTCGCCCCTCCCCCCTCCCCTTCTATATTTTTAATGGGCTTGACTGCCTGCTTTTCTTCGGAGACAAAGAAATAAGAATGAAAAGAAGAGGCTGGCATACTTCTGCTGCTGCTGCAGATAACATGTCAATGGTAGACTGATCATGCTGCATATGGTCGCGTACGAGTAGTGGCCGTGATGTAATATGATACTTGCAGGTCAAAAGCCATGCAAGGAACATGGGCTCGTAGTACAGCCAACGGCCGTTGTCTTTTTGCAATGTATCACAGAAACGGGACGCACGCGGTCCTTCTTTGCCTCTGATGGAAAAAAAAAAAAGCAGGGTCCATAGGTTCCATAGAGGCAGATCCAATTAAGAGAGAAGACGGAGAGGGAGAGGGGGAGAGAAAAGGATAGGAAAAAAAACCAAGCGCGACATGCGGCTGCTGGAACCGAATGACGCAGATAGAACCACAAAAATAAGGAAAATGGTGCATAGTACGAGTACGGAGAGACAAGGCCTGAGGCGTAACGGAGTAATGGAGTAATAACCGACAATTTGAAACCTTGTATACATCTAGTCTAGTGCTCGTACATCACCTCCATCTCATGAAAGAAAGAAAAAAATTCTCACCTTCATCAAATATAGAGTAGCAGTGTTGCTATCAGTATATGCTTGTATACAAATCCATCAGCACAGTGGTGGGGAAAAGGTACGGTGATGATCGATGTGGGAGCGCTCTCTTTATTCTTCTTCTCTTTATTGCCAAGCTTCCCTTACGAGGCGTAAGCCATTACTCGTACGGAAATAAGAATTTTTTTAAGGTACTGATACCGCAGACACTTTCGATATCTGAGAGGGGGGGGGAAAGAGAGAGGGGAATAAAAGCCCGGGGGAATTGCACAGGGCAGGTTTTGCGGGTGAACAGGCTCAGAACAAAGTGTTCATAGTATACCAAGTACAGATTACAGATGAGAGAGATAGAGACCCTTCCGGGGTGAGAGAGGGTGAGCGAGAGGGAGAGAGAGAGAAGGGGAGGGGGTAGAAGGAGGGTACAGAGAGAGGGAAAGATGAGAGAAAAGGTACATTGTAGGAACCTGAGTACAAAGTTCCTCTCGGACGCTTACCGGCACTATTCCGTCTTGGCAGAGACTCCGCCATGTACGTCATTTTACATTGACGATCCATATATTCAAGGATACTTGTACATAATACCCTGCTGACGGTGGGTAGAGAGAGAGAGAGAGATAGAGGTAGCAAGTAGTATTATTACCAAGAAAAGAAGAGAATTTTTTTCTCTCTATCTTTTGATTCTTTACATGTAATACTGACTTCTCGGGATCGAGGAACCCGAAATATCCAATGGCAGAGATAGAGAGAGAGATAGAGAGAGAGATAGAGAGAGAGATAGATAGATAGAGAGAGAGAGAGAGAGAGAGAGAGGGTGGGTGTGTGTGTGACTGTCGATGATGCTCTCATTGAGGGTCGAGAGAGACAGCAAACATCAGACTACATATATTACCTGTACGGGGTGGGAGAGATGGAGTTGTCATGATTCTTGGGGTATCATCGTGGGGGAGGATCATGACAGATAGAGCAGCGACCGGGCAATTTACGGAGACCAAGTGCGGAGTATGAGTATGCTCTGCTACTAGAATTACCCATGCCCTCTTCTCATTCTCCAACTACGAGCACGAGCTTAACGAGGTTCCACAGACATGATGTCAAATCATTACGTCGTGATAGCAGCAGCTATTACGAGCATTACGCTACTGCTGCGTCGGACCACCTGCCTATAGCCGTACAAGGCACATGTATGGCCGTTCCGGGCGGCTGCAATGCGCGACTGCGGGTCGGTGATGGATGCCCGAGATGCTGCTAATGTGCGGCTCCTTTTTGTCTCTCCACAATAAATACCAGACCCCTTTTTTTTGTGTGGTATGTTTTTGTGTGTGCGTGCGTGGGTGCGTGTGTGTGTGTGTGTGTGTGTGTGTGTGTGTGTGTGTGTGCGCGCGCGCGCATGTGTAATTCGTATGTATGTGGTATGTGTGTGCTCTGTATCTCTCTGTATCTTTAGCAAGCCTCTTTTCTCCTCCCCCCCCCCTCCCAAAGAACCAAAGGTATTATCACCTCGCACGCCAAGAAAAGTATAAGGTACTTGGAAACAGTCGAGCTCTAGTTGGTTGCCGCTTACCACCGAGCATCGCCCGAACGTGACTTCTCAATCATTCTCTCTCTCTCTCTCTCTCGTCTTCCGAGGAGGTTCGACCCACGCACCGCCTGCCAACTGCAACCGGGGCAGAATCTCTTTTATGGAGACGGGAAGCCCACCTCTGTCCAATCCTGTCCATCCATTCATCCAGTCCCTTCTCTCCCCTCCCCTCCTCCCTCCACCCTTCACATTGCCGCCCCTCACACGCGCAGGGAATTCTCCAGTCTTTCTCACACTTACCGAGTACGTCGTCGTGCCGCGGCACGTACAGAGGTACACGACAACAGCACGCTTTGGATGGAACCATCTGCCGGGCCCCAGTAACATGATACGCCGACATCTGGGGCATTGAGCGGGGCCCGTGACATGGGTACCATCGACACGCTCCTTCTCCCCCGCCGCTCTTGTTCAAAGATGACGACCTCCGTGGGACTCTGTATAGGTGGGACCCTTGTTTTTTTTAAAAATATTTTTTTTTTCCCTCTTCCACCTGCTATCTCTTCCTTTCCTACATACGTAGTGAATGCAATCATACAGGGGGACCTTGGTTACGAGAGCGGATGGTTCTGCCTGGCTGGGTTCTTGGTGTACTCTTCTCGGACTTGGCCTACTCCGTATGGATTATTAGTGGCCCTCTCATGGGATGGTGGGAGGAGGAAGTAGTCGTGTCTGATCGTCCCAAATTAATCTGTCTTCCCTTGAGCTGACCTATATAACAATCGTCCTCGTCCTCTCCTCCAAGCATTGGTCCTCCGTTGTGCAAGGCAGGCCCCCCTCAACCCCATCCTTCTTCTTTCCTCCTCCCTCCCTCCCTCCCTTCCCCCGCCATATATATGTCCTACACCCTTCCTCTGTCACAGGAAAAAAAAGAAAAGAGAGACAAGGAATCAGACACCAGAAAAACAACACGACAGAGGCACTGCAGCCCGTCATGGCCCCCCCAACGTACCTCGGCCTCTCTGGCCGCTCGCTCAGCATGGTGCTGTCCGGCATCGCCACCAATGGCTTCCTGCTCTTCGGTTACGATCAGGGTGTCATGAGTGGCATCATATCCGCCGCCCCCTTCAACGACTTCTTCCCCTCCACCAAGGACTCCACCATGCAGGGCTTCGTCACTGCCATCTACGAGATCGGCTGTCTTGCCGGTGCCATGAGCGTCCTGGCCTGGGGTGACCGCCTCGGTCGCCGTAGGGCCATGATTATCGGTGGTATCATCATGATCCTCGGTACCATTATCCAGGTCACTCCTGAGAGGGGTGCCAACCCCCTCGCCCAGCTCGTCGTCGGCCGTATCGTCACCGGTGTCGGCAACGGCATGAACACCTCAACCATCCCCACCTACCAGGCCGAGTGCTCCAAGTCTACCAACCGTGGTCTTCTCATCTGCATTGAAGGTGGTGTCATCGCCTTTGGTACTCTCATCGCCTACTGGGTCGACTTTGGTGCTGCCTACGGCTCCGCTGATCTTTCGTGGCGTCTCCCCATCGCCCTGCAGATCATCTTCGGCATCGTGCTCTCCGTCTTCATGGTCTGGCTGCCCGAGTCCCCCCGTTGGCTGCTCACCCACGAGCGCTACGAGGAGGCCGAGCACGTCATCGCCGCCATCCGCGGCTACGAGGTTGACAGCGACGACACGCGTGCTGAGCGCGACATCATCCTCGACTCCATCCGTGCCTCTGGCTTCGGCAGCCAGCGTTCCACCCCCATCAAGGCTCTCTTCACCGGAGGCAGGACTCAGCACTTCCGCCGCATGATCCTCGGATCCCTCACCCAGCTCATGCAGCAGGTCGGTGGCTGCAACGCCGTCATCTACTTCTGCCCCATCCTGTTCAAGTCGTCCCTCAACAAGAGCGATCATCAGTCCATGCTCCTCGGCGGTATCAACATGATTGTCTACGCCATCTTCGCCACCACCTCTTGGTTCGTCGTCGAGCGCCTCGGCCGCCGCAAGCTGTTCCTCATCGGTACCTTTGGCCAGATGTCGGCCATGATCATCACCTTCGCCTGCCTGATTCCCGGAACCCCTGGTCCCGCCAAGGGTGCCGCCTTTGGACTCTTCCTGTACATTGCCTCGTTCGGTGCGTCGTGGCTGCCCCTCCCCTGGCTGTACCCCGCCGAGATCAACCCCCTCAAGACCCGTGCGAAGGCCAACGCCGTCTCGACCTGCACCAACTGGCTCTTCAACTTCCTCATCGTCATGGTCACCCCGGTCATGATCAGCAACATCCACTGGGGTACCTATCTCTTCTTCGCCGTCATGAACGCCATCTTCTTCCCCATCATCTACTTCTTCTTCCCCGAGACTGCCAACCGTTCCCTCGAGGAGATTGACATCATCTTCGCCAAGGGTTTCGTCGAGAAGAAGTCGTACGTCCAGGCTGCTAAGGAGATTCCCCTCCTCAGCCCCACCGAGGTTGAGACTGAGGCCATCCGCTACGGTCTAGTCGACTCGCGCGCCGACGGTGCTGCTCTCCGCGACCGGGATGAGAAGAACACTTTCGAGAGCGACTCGCGCGACGAATAGAGTCGTTTTATGATGCACTGTCTCTATTCACTCATGTTTGATTTCATTTTTTTTTTCTTTAAAATTTTTTCTTCTCATGTAGATGAGGAGGAATGCGATGATGAGAGATTATACCACGAATTGTGTTGATATACCAAGGGAGCCAGAAGAGATCCCAATGCATAGATGCTAGATGGTTAGCAACGAAAGAAACAGAATTAAAAATGGACAAGTCCAGACTCCATCTCCAAAAGTTTCGGTAGATATCTACAGCGAAATAAAGAGGCCTCGACTCTATCCTGTCCGTAAAAGGTTGCGATGAGACAAGAGACGGAGGGCTGTGTGTCCGGTAGGTTGGCATTTTCCCAGTACGGACAGAGAAGCCTCCCCGTCACCAAGCCCGTGGCGAGAGACATGAGTTGTCTTGCTCAGTGCAAGGGCCGATACTCTGACGGACACTGAAACGTTGAAACGGTAAAAATTTAGGATCGGGTTTAGCTACAGATACGGAGTACTACTACTAGTTGGAGGAGTTAGTATCAGCAGATGACGACCAAGATCGCGCCGTGATACCATACAGTATCATAGAATCCGATATTACTAGTCACTACTTGCCGGCTGTACTGGTAGCAGGTGGTATCATATGATGAGTATGGTTAGTTGCGGTACTTGGTCTTACCACGTACGCAGTAGTATCGTCAGTATTGTCGCCGTAGCTCCCGCCCTGTGATATTCCCTCAACCGGACGGTCTGCTAGACTGGAACTTTTATCGGTATATTGCGAGAGGGATCCTTTCCTTCTTCGGAATTGACATTCGCCTCCTTCATGTGCGTGTTTCCATGTGTCATGTACCAACAATGGCTTCTGTCTTGATGCGTAATCGTAGCGATGATGGTGGCTTGTGGTGGAGAAAGAAGGAAATTTTTTTTTTTTTTTGGGAAGACAGGAAATGAGTATTTTTGTTCAGCAGGACACGAATTGTGTACGTGAACACTCTGAGCGGGACAGACAGAACTGGTGAACAGTGGACAGGATCCAAGAGACAAGACAGGAAGTCTTGTCGAGTGGTTTTCTTCTATAACTACACCGAGTTCTAATAAGTACAATGAGGATAAACCCTCGAGTTGACTGTAATGTAACGTGTAATAACAGTGACAATAATTCTGACAAGCCATGGCAGCAATAATGGTAACAAGTACATCCGACGAAAGGACGAATCATCGCTTGACCCAGGCTGGGCTCTTGCGGGCCTTGAGGTGGCCGTGCTTCTTTCTCTCGACCTTTCTGGCATCTCGGGTGATGCAGCCGGCTGTTGTCAGGGTTAGCATGGTAAGGTAAGGGAAAAACAAGGATAGAGGCAAGGAAGAAGAAGAAAAGAAAGAGGGTGGATATATATAACTCACCAGCTCTCAGCGCCGTCTTGAGTGAAGGCTCATGAGCGACGAGACCGTTGGCGATAGCCATGGTGATGGCCTCGGCCTGGCCGGTGGTCCCGCCACCTCTAGCGATGACCCAGACGTTATACTTGTCGAGTCTGTTGGTGGCGGTGAGGGCCCAGATGGCCGACTCGCGATCGTGGACGCGGCCGAAGGCGTCGCTCAGGGTCTTGCCGTTGATGAGGACCTCGCCGGTGCCCTCGACGACGAAGGCCCTGGCCGTCGACTCCTTTCGGCTGCCCACGCCGACGGCACGGCCGTGCCTGTCGACGGTGGTGGGCTTCCGGAAGCTGACGGTGGCCTCGACGGGGCGGCTGAGCTGCTGCAGGGCCCTGTCCACCTCGGCGGGCCGCATGCTCGGCTCGATCAGGTTGAGGCGGCGGGCCACCTTCATGACCTTGGAGAAGTGGGCGGCCTTGATGGGCTCGCCGGTCTGGTGCCTCACCCCCTCGAGCTTGAGCCAGGGCTTCAGGGGCGCGTCCCGCGACTCGACCATCGGAAGGTCGTGGTACTTGGCCAGCAGGTTGAAGAGGCGGAGGTGGAGGTCGTTGAAGCGCGGCTCCCGCGAGAAGTACGACCCCAGCGTCGGCACCTGGCGCGCGTGCTTGACGTTCTGGAAGGGGATCTTGATGGCATTGACCGGATCTGCGGCAGCGACGGCGGCGGAGGAAGCCCCACCGTCACGTTCCGGAGTCGACGTCGTCGTCGTCAGGGATGCTGTCCGTGATGAGGTCGTGCTCAGCTGTCGTGCTTTGGGCCGGACGGCTAGCTGCCAGGTACGGCTCGTCAATTGCCGTGCGCATTGGAGGCCGTTCGCTAGAGATGCCATTCTGCCGACAAATGGAGGTGAGAAGGGAAGAAAGAAGAAAAAGGAGACGAAAAGTCCCCGAGGACAGCAAGAGCAGGGCGAGGCGTGGGTTCGACCGGTCGTCGGGAACGTGTCGTCGTCGTCACTCGTCAGTCGTCGTCGTCGGTCGAACCCCTACAGTACAAAATCCTGCGGCTTCGAATGCGGTCCGGTGATCACCCGTTTTCAAGTCACGTGCTAATATAAAGTGTACATATATACTCCGTACATGGACATGTATCATCATTACTAATACTCCGTAGTGAATGGGATAGCTCCAGCCACACAAAGTAGCTTGGCACTAGCCACAACATGACAAGGCGTGATTCTCCAATTGGCAATACAAGGTACTCCGCTGTACTGTACTCCGTGATATGGACTGAAACAGGAAAGGCGTGCCCTGGAAAGATATGCTGAGATGGTGTTACTGCCAAGGTACCTGTGGTAGGTGACGTTATCGCTCTCAAAAGAAAGAGAAGGTGCAATCTTCCCAGGCGACCGGTGACGTATAGTTACGACTGATATGTCTACGAGAGGGGGATTGATTTCTTGCAATGGCCAGTCTCTTTAAATAAGGACTGGATTGTATCAGACCATTTTTGTGTAGCGAGGAGTTGTTTGTTTGGTATCTACTAACAATTATTATAATAATAATATGTGGCTGCCCTTGGGTGACGAGGCCCCCCCCCCCCCCCCCCCCAAAAAAAAACAAAAAAAAACTGAAAAATTGAAAGAAAAGAACATGCAATTTTAGCGCGGGGCACGTCCGAACCCCCCGCTGCCTGGCAGAAAAATTTCCACCGTCGCGCGGCCTGTGCTTCTGCTATATCTTTTCTCTCTTCCCCCTCCTTTTGCTTCCTCTCTTCTTCCCTTTTCCCTCTCTTTGTTCCAAACAAAAATCCAACCTATTTTTTTGTTCCAACCAAACCGTCAAGATGGCTTTCGGCACTATCTTCACCAAGGGCACTGTTAGTTTTACCTTTACCCGCTCAATCTCTCAGACTTTATCTCTCAGTCTTTGTCTTCTTATTCTTCACTTTGCCGCCCACAGCTTGCTTGCTGCTTGTCGGGCTGCTAACCTGTTCTCTTTGGTTCCATCATGACTGACCTCAAACCTCTCCTAGGACAACCCTCGCACAACGGCAATCAAGGCCGTTGCCAAGGCCAACGGTCTTGAGATCAACTACGTTGATGTCGATTTCGCCAACCCTACCGCTGAGCACCTCAAGGCTAGCGGTCTCGGCAGGGTCCCCGCCTTCATTGGTGAGGATGGCTTTATCCTGTCTGAGGCTATTGCCGTCGCCATCTACAGTACGTATAACTGCCAGCGTCTCTGTCTCTTTCCCCTACCCCTGTGCCTGGGTGTGCGTGTGCCTCCGGCTGTCTGCTGCGCATTCACACGCCCTTCCCCCCCTTTCATGATGATCTAGCCTATTCATTACAGTTATCCCTGTCTGAAAAAGGTCAACTACGGTTGGCATATCTGTTGATACCGTCTAACTTCTGATTTTTTTTTTTTTTTTGCATTCTGCATTGTCACCTACTCTTCTCATCTACCCCAAATTGAGTCGAACATATCTTGCTGACATTGTCTGTCCACACAGTCACTTCCCAGAATGAGAAGACCACTCTCCTTGGAAAAACCAAGCAGGAGTAAGTTTTGTCTTATCCGACGATGGCGCGATCGAAATTCCTCAAAATCTGACTTTGGTCCTTAATAGCTACGCTTCCATCCTGAAGTGGATGTCCTTCTTCAACTCTGAGGTCCTCCCCTCTCTAGCTGGCTGGTTCCGCCCTCTCCTCGGCATTGACCCGTACAACAAGAAGTCTGTCGATGACTCTTCCAAGAAAGCCTACAAGGCCATCGGCATCCTCGAGGAGTACCTCCTCCGCCACACCTACCTGGTCGGCGACCGCATCACCCTTGCCGATCTCTTCGGTGCTGGTCTCATCACCCGCGGCTTCCAGTTCTTCTTCGACAAGAAGTGGCGCCAGGAGTTCCCCAACACCACTCGCTGGTTCGAGACCGTCATCAACCAGCCCATCTACTCGGCTACTGCCGACAAGGTCGAGTTCCTTGACGAGCCCCGTCTTGTCAACCAGCCCCCCGCCAAGAAGCAGGAGAAGCCCAAGGCTGCCCCCGCTGCGGCCGCTCCCGCTCCCGAACCCGAGGAGGATGCCCCCGCCCCTAAGCCCAAGCATCCCTGCGAGGCTCTCGGCCGCCCCACCTACCCTCTGGACGAATGGAAGCGCTACTTCTCCAACCACGACGAGAAGGACTCGATGAAGTACTTCTGGGAGACCATCCCCTTCGAGGAGTACTCCATCTGGCGCATTGACTACAAGTACAACGACGAGCTGACCCTGGTCTTCATGTCCAACAACCTCATCGGTGGCTTCAACGCCCGTCTTGAGGCTTCTCGCAAGTACCTCTTCGGCTGCGGCTCCGTCTACGGCGAGAACAACAACTCGGTCATCCAGGGTGCCTTCGTCATCCGTGGCCAGGAGTTCGAGCCCGTCTTCGATGTCGCCCCCGACTACGAGAGCTACACTTTCAAGAAGCTCGACCCCAAGAGCGCCGAGGACCGCGAGTTCGTCGAGGCTCAGTGGCTCTGGGACCGCCCCGTCATCGTCGACGGCAAGGAGTACCCCCACGCTGACGGCAAGGTCTTCAAATAAACACCTCTTAATTAAGGTGCGGATCTAGAAGACTAGCCAAAAGAAGAAGAAAAAAAAGAAAAGGAACAAAAAAAGAAATGATTATGAGAAATGGGTCCCCTTCATTGACCATGGTCAATGCTAGGGAGGAAAGGCACGAGTCATGAAATCAAGGATGGAGTGTCTAACGTGACATGCAGATCATGATGGGTTACATTGGTACGGTCCGGAAGATACACTCTCAAAAGTTTGCCTTGCCGTGGATGTGACTCTAGCGACCACTCTACAGTTCTATAGGCCAATATCTAAGAGGTTAAGAATAAGGAACGAAGAGATCCGAAGTCTACAAGATTTAGCTATGCTTTTGTTCTTGGTACCGTGCCGTATGCGCACCCTGATGATACCGATGAACTGGGGTATCTATTCTCTTTTTGCCTTGTCACCAGAATGCCTATCCTCCCGTTTGAAACTACTTAAGAACGAGGAACCGTATATACATGCATCTATCTCTACGTGTACGTATGCCATTCAACCCCCCACTCGCCAACGACTATGATGCAGGCAAAGAGTAATTCGGATTGAGACGAAAGGGGTTCTGGCGAATGTGCCTGCTGATGTCCGACTGCCAGCACAGGTCGTTGAGGTAGTCATGGACCTGGGGCAGGACCTGGGTAGACTCGTCGGAGGTGGCAGAGAACTCGGGTAGGGCGAGGATGTTGAAGGGTTCAGACCTCCCCTTCTCGGTGGAGTCGTCCACGAGGACGGTGTTTGTCTGGTCCCAGCGACGACCGGCGTCGGGGTCACCCGGGTAGGAGCGCCTGACGTCCCGGTCATCCCACAACCTGCCGAGGCGCTTGTAGCACTGCACGCGGGAGTTGTAGTCGTCGCCGCTCAGGCCGAAGCGGTCTCGGCCCCAGACGACGACGCAGCGGCCCCGCTGCTCCGGGGTCAGCAGCTGGGATACCATCTTGTCGACGTTCTCAGGCCGGGCGGACGACCAGATGGCCAGGTGGAATGTGTCGACGCAATACTGAAGGAAGCGTCGGGCGTGAGGCCTCTCGACGAAGTCAAAGGGCCGGTGGCGGGAGGGTCGGTGCAGCAGGGTCCCGTTCAGATCCATCACCACCAGGATCGGACGCGGGGATGCCAGGCGCGACGGCGGGGACAGGGCGCGCGCTATGTACCCCGGGGTCGGGTCGGGGACGCCGCCGGATGACGGGCTGGGGACGTAGCGGGCCTCTCTGGACTTGGCGGCGGAAGCGGACGCAGCAACGGCAGCAGCAGCGACGGCGGCAGACTCAGCGGCTTCGGCCTTCTTCCTTTCCTTCTTCTTGTGAGGTTTCTTGAGCCGTGCCGGAATATCGCTTCCGGTTGGGGTCAGTAGCTGATGCGATGCGATGTTGTACTGATACATGCATGTGTGTGTGTGGGACGTGAAAACTTACTGCGATCCGACTGACACCGTTCCATCTGTTGCGCCTCGCCGCGGGACATCATCTTTTGGAAACGATGGCACTTCGGACCTCATCTTGGGGACGATGGAGGGCGGAGAGGCAAGCTGTATGTGTTTGCTGTCGTTGTTATAGCCAAAATTGGTCGAGCGTCTTAGCTGGATGTTTGCGGTCTGTGATGAGTGAAAGCTCCTCCTCGAAGCAGTGAAAGTGTCATACAGCCAGTGAAGTTGTGTTGCTTTTGCGCGTGCGCCTGGTCTGCAAGACATGAGTGATGAGAGGCGTGAGATGGTATCGAAGAGTGGAAAGATGTTGGTGCCAGTAGAATTAGTGGTAATACTAGTCAATAGGTGTGGCTCTCATGCGACCCTCTTCTATATTCAATCATATATAAAACTCAGTTGAGTGAGGTTGAGATGAGACTTGTGATGGAGTTCTGATATATGCATATTTCCAAGTGACATACCTTATAAGTGCATATGTACCTCTAATATTGCTGTAACCCATTCCAAAAAAAAATGATAAGCTTATCGTCCATGTCCAAAAAAGAGAAAAAAAGAAATAGTCCATACCACCGCCCGCATTGGCTTGGTCATTTGGTCATACATGAACAACCAACATATAAGATTCCATCATGTCAGCAAAGAGGAAGATGCCATCTCTGGGACTCGACCGTCGCGTACGGCCGAGAAAGGAAGACGAGTGGGAGCCTGAAGTGGAAGACGCTAGCGACAACTCCGAGGACGATTCGGGGTCGGAACAAGTCCACGACGAGGATGAGGAAGAGGGCTCGTCTGAAGAAGAAGGATCAGATGCAGAAGTATGTGTGCTCCTCGTGCAAAAGAATGGGCAAAAGGAAGAAAAAAAAAGGACTCAAAATTGCTAACGATAATAGGCACAGGAAGATCCCAAGAAAGCCCTTGCATCCATATCGTTTGGCGCACTAGCACGAGCGCAAGCCTCACTACCACCCTCAGACAAACTATTGAAGAAGCGGAAGCTAGCATCGGGCGGCAGCAAGGACGCCGAGTCAGAAGACGACGACGGCAATGACGACAAGAACAAGAACAAGAAGAAGCTCGTGAGCAAGGCGGAGGCGGCAGCAAATATGAAGCGGTCGTCGAAGCACGCGCCGCAAGAGCAGTCGTCGAAGCGGCCGGTGTCACGACGGCGCGAGGTGGTCCCGACCGAAAGCAAGCGCGCGCCAGCACGCGACCCGCGCTTCGACCCGCTGTCGACGGGCAGGCCTGGCCAGTTTGACGAGGCCAAGGCGCGCAGGGCCTACGCCTTCCTGGACGAGTACCGCGACAAGGAGCTCGCGGAGCTGCGGGCGCAAGTCAGGAAGACCAAGGACCCCGGTCTCAAGGAGGAGCTCAAGAGGCAGGTGCTCTCGATGGAATCGAAGCGAAAGGCGCAGAAGAGGAAGGACGAGGAGCAGGCCCTGCTGGCCGAGCACCGCCGACGCGAGAAGGAGCTAGTGGCCCGGGGGAAGCAGCCCTTCTACCTCAAGAAGAGCGAGCAGAAGAAACAGCTCCTCACCAGCCGGTTCGAGTCCATGTCGAAGGGACAGGTAGACAAGGCCATCGCCCGGAAGAGGAAGAAGGTGGCCGGCAAGGAGAAGAAGGAGCTCGATACCTTGCAGAGAGTTACTGATCGGAGGGGTTATCATTAGTGCCGATCTTTATATATCTACAACAGACGTTTTTTTATAAAGACCGAATTTCAAACCAGAAAAAAGTGGTTGTCTTATTTTTTTTCCCAACCCACCGTCTATTGTTTTTAAAATATATTGTTTACAATGTGTGTTGTTGTTGTTGATACATTAATACACAGCAGTACTACTAGTGGTGTCCTCAGTTGATATATCCCGACTTGGCGACGCTCTGAGTGAACAGCTCTCGGCACCTGACCCTGCTTCCCAGCCTGGCGCATAGGAGGAAGGCGCCGCTGAGCTTGCGGTGAAGGCTGTACGTCTCCTCAGGCGGCGGGGCTAGCCTCTCTTGCAGCATGACGGGGATGAAGGACTTGACGCGTTCGGTGATGGTCTGGTCCCTGAAGTCGTAGACTTCGGGGGCGGACTGGAGGAAGGGCTCGGCCAGGGTGAGGACGGAGCCGATGTGAGCGTCGAGCATGGCGCGGCTCTCGTGGCCGGTGAGGTAGCCCAGGTCCTCGGACAGGGACTTGACGGCGGCACGGTCGGAGCGGGCGGCGGCTTCCAACAGGCGGACGTACTGGGCCACGAAGCGGTCGGGGAACTCGCGCGATGCGCCAAAGTCGAGCAGCACGAGGCGGTCGGCGGCCGCGTCGTACAGGAAATTGGTCCAGTTAGGGTCCGTCTGCATGAACCGGAACTCGGTGATCTCCCGGAGGCAAAGCCGCATGATCTGCGTGCCGATCCAGTCGCGCTGCTCCTGCGTGAAGGACTGCACCCGCGTCACCGTCACGCCGTCCATGAAGTCCATCGTGAGCACCTGCTTGCCCGACGCCTCCGGGTACACGTGCGGCACGAGGAAGACGTCGCGGCCGTCGGCGGCTCCGTCGGCTCCGCTCAGCATATTCTTGTACCGCGCCGCGCACGCCGCCTCGCGCTCGTAGTCGCACTCCCACCCGAGCTCCTGCCGCGCGTTGGCAATCGTTTTATCCAGGTACAGGCCCTTGGGTAGCAGGCTTGTCGCGTTGAGCAGCACCCCTAGATTGTCCAGGTCCGAGTTGATCGAGTCGGCCACGCCGGGGAACTGCACCTTGACCGCCACTCTGGCCCCGTTGGACGCCAGCGTGGCCCGGTGCACCTGCCCGATCGACGCCGCCGCGATGGGCGTCTCCTCGAACTCGCTGTACAGGCTCCGCCAGTCCTGGCCGAGGTTCGCTGTGAGCACTCGGTCCCGCTGCCACGCCGGCATGTAGTCCGCCCGGTCCTGTACCCGCTGGAGGACCTCCTGTAGCGGCTGTGGTAGCATCTTGGAGTCTTGGAAACTTATCATTTGGCCTAGCTTGAGGGCCGCCCCACGCATGCGCGACAGCCGCGACACCAGACGCTCCATGTTCTTACCGCTCATCAACACTGAACCCTCGCCACCGCTGCCGAATGCCCTGCTCACGCCTTCCGTCATGGCCCCACCCAGCATACCCGCCGCGAGACTGCCGTAGTTCCATAGACGGCTGAACCGGCTGGACGGCACGCGTGACTCGTTTAGCTTGCGTGTCTGTTCCATCTGCTCACCGGCCATCTCCTTGGCTAGCTGTGACATGTTCTCTTCGACGGCCTCCTTCTTGGCCTTCCCGGCTGGCACATCGTTAACGGCGACGGTGGCGACTGCTGGTTCGCTGACAGGTTCTTCCTTCGGCGTTGCCGGCGCGGGCGGAGCAGGAGCAGTGGTGGCAGTGGTAGTCTGTGAGACCTGATCAACCCTCTCACTAGGCACATCCTCCTCCACCTTTGGCTCCGCAGGGGCAGAAGGCGTCGGTGGCGGCGGCGGGTTTGGCCAGTACCGCATAGGATGCTCCTTTGGCGTAGCACCCCGTGCTTGCCTCGGCCTCTGTCTCTGCTGCTGCTGCTGTGCAATCCTACCACCCTGCTGCTTGCGCATCGATTCCAGAATTTGCGATCCTCTGCCTGTGTAGAATATGTTGACGTCCACGCCCGGCGGGGCGATTGGTTCTTCCTCTTGGTCCGTCTTGACATCCTCCTCCACGCCGGTGGCATGTTCAGTAGTGGCCGGGGTGGCATCGACAGTCGATCTCGACGTGGGTTCCGCACCGCTGGTGCTAGGCTGTTCTTGTGCCCGTTCTTGTGCCTGGGAATATGCTGGCGTATTCGTAGCAGCAGCAGCGGCGGCGGCGGCAGCAGCCTGCCTCTTGGCGTTCAACGATGTCGACGCTCGTGCGTAGGCTCCAACCTGTCGGCCGCGAAGGGCAACGTGCTTGGTCGCAACGGATCGAGAGGCGCCGACCACGGCCGCAAGGTCAATGGCCATATCGAGGAACCTCATTAGGGGCCGGTGTAGCCTCCAAAGGGCTGTCTTGGTGTTGGTTTTTTTCTCGGGAATGTTGGGGATGAGTGAATTGGACTGCAAGGAAGAGAGCTGGGTCCGATCCATTCATTTCTTAGTTGAAGCGTCTAGCTAGGGTTAGCAGTTATCCAGATATATGCACTTACCGGGGCTACTTCTCTGACTACTACTGAACCACACTCGTACGTATGTAACAATTATGAAAAAAACAGGGTTTCAGTATATATGATTGGCTTTGTTATTATTTTTCTAATACTATGTTCATATCTCATGTACGTGTGATTGCTTGTGCGGAGAGAGAAGAAGGGGAAGTTGCTGCAAGTCGCTCATGGCTTGACGGAAGGTGTTGGAGTTCCACGAACACTCCTCAACAGTGAACCCCTAGGCTTCATGGGTGTCGACTGGCCAAACGTCGCGCCAGGCGTCTTATTCTTTCCCGGGCCAAGTTGACTCAGAAGTCTCTGTGCTGCGGGTGTCAAGTTCCCTGTGACACGCGGACTGCTGGGGAACTTGGGCACAAGTGTCTTGTCTGCTTTGCCCAGGAGACCGTGCCGCGATGCCTCCTTGTTATTCTTTGCTATGCGCTCGACCATTCGTTCGTGCAGCATCTCTCTGTCTCTCTGGCCCTGAATCTTGAAAGGATTGTGCGCATCCCCGGAGCCAAGGTCGATGCGAGGAGAAGGCCCTGTAGCGTCTTCGTTGTCGTCTTCGTCGTCGACAAAGGAATAACCGTTCACCCTTGGTGTCTCACCTCCGCCGACGACGCCCGAATCCAGGTCTTTTGCGCGGGGTCTGCCGGCAACGGCGTCGCGTATAGAAGAGGCAGTCGGCGAGGGCGGCCTCTTGGGCACATGCGGCTCCGGTATTCTCGTGTTCTCGTAGACGATTGTCCGGGGACCCATGCGCGACGCCTGAGCCTGCCTATCTGCCACGGTGGGGACACCGTCCTCCATGTTTTCGGGTCCATACATAAGACTGTTCCTGGGAGCCGAATTCCAATGATCTGGTTTGGCCGGTCGGTCGTCAGACGAGTCTTTGATCGCTAGTCGGCCACTCTTCTTCATATAGCCGTCGTCAATCAGGCGGCCCTGCTGCGCGAGCCTGTCCTGAACCTCCTTCTGCTTGATCATCTGCTTCGAGGGCAGCTTGTTTCCACGCCAAAGCCATGCGTACTTGTCGGCGCGCTTCTGGTTCTGCTTATCCACCAGCTTATAGAAGCTCTCATTGTCCTCGCTCGTGTATGTCTCTTGGAACTTGGACAGGCTCATACCTACATCCAACCCTGGCGGCGCATCGCGTGCTGTCCGTACCGATGGGGCCGCCGAGGCTGGTGTGTCGCCCACATACGTCGTAGGGGTCTGCGCGGCATCTCCAAGCGTCCGTTTCGTGGCCGGGGTATTGCGACTCCTGCCGCCTCGCCCGGGGGTCATGACGCTCTGTAGTCGACGCCCGGCGCTCAATATCCATGCTTCATCCTTGGATTCGAGGGCATCGAGGTATTCCTGTTTGGTCTCTGTTTCGAGGAGGCCTGGAAAGAAGTCCCTCGCAATAATGCGCGATAGTGCATCGGTGTATGAATCCTCGTCGAGAACCTTTTTAGGGCGCTTAATCTTTCGGATTTGAGGTGGTGGTGGCATCAAGGCCATGTCGGCGGGCCTCTTGCGCACAAGAGCTTTGGATGGCGTTTGTAATGAATTCATCTTCGAGATGCGGTGTATTGATGTGTTGTCGAGATGTCGAATGAAAGGGATCCCAGTCGAGTCCGGCCGTCATCTGGGTTTAGAGAATGTGTGAGAGGCAAAAGACGGAGGCATGACGTTGAAAATGGTCAGCACCATCTTATCGATACCTGCGACAATATTCATTAACCGGGGTAGGTAAGATAGTGACATTTCTACCAAGGTATCTCTTGTATTGTGCCCTTTAGCGACGCCAGTGCACACTCAAGTACCCGTAGAAGCTCCTAGAAGAGCTCGACAGTGGATGATAGCGCTAATAGTGACTCGCCAGGGATCCCCCGGATAAATGAATAATTTTGGTCTGGTGCCCACTTTCTACTCTTCCCGCAAAAGTCTTGTCGTCTCCTTCACGTCCATGGTAGTCTTTCTATTCTACGCAAGCCTCAGGATCTTCCTTGTTTTTTTTCTTGGACTGGCACGCTATACCTCGGGCTCTGTTTCATCTCGGTTTTCGATTCTCCAGTGTTTCGGCCTTGCACGTGCAAGCGACTGGCCGATCGAGCTACACGCGACCTTCCCCCCACAGAGACGAGCCTCCCCCGCCTTCGATCCTTCACAACGAGATTGTCACTATATAATTCTTCCTGTTTCCTTGATACCCTGCCAGATAATAAAAAGAACAGGATAGGAGAGAGAGATAATGTCAAAGTCGGCCGTGGACCTCAAGAATGAGGGCAACAAGGCCTTTACGTCGGGCGACTACCCCGGCGCTGTCGAATTGTACAGCAAAGCCATAGAACTTGACGATAAGGAGCCTCTGTTTTTCACCAACCGAGCTCAGGTGCGCAATGTGCTTGTGTTTCCCGGAGGAGGCGGTTGACTAACATTGCGGCACTGCTTGTGTCTATCAGGCGTACATCAAGACGGAAGCATTCGGCTATGCCATTGCCGACACGACCAAGGCCCTGGAGCTGAACCCCAAGCTCGTCAAGGCATACTACCGTCGGGGGCTTGCGCGGGCAGCCATTCTCCGACCCAAGGAGGCCATTGATGACTTCAAGGAGTGCGTCAAGCTGGATCCCGGTAACAAGGATGCGCGCCTCAAGCTCGAGGACTGCAAGAGGATCGTGCGCCAGATGGCTTTCTTCGCCGCCATCGAGGTGGGTGACGAACCCTCTGCCGCTGAAGGCCTGGACCTCGACAGCATGGCCGTCGATGACAGCTACGACGGCGCCCGCCTCGGCAGCGAGATGACGCAGGAATTCATCGACGACATGACGGAGCGCTTCAAGACGGGCAAGAAGATTCACCGTAAATACGTCTACCAGATTATCTTGGCCGTCAAGAAGCTCGTGTACGACGAGCCGACAATGGTGGAGATTTCGGTTGCCGACGACGTTCAGTTGACGGTATGCGGTGATACTCATGGTAGGTTCTTAGATTCCCACAATCTAGAGACACACCGGGAAAAGGGCAACGCGCTAAACACATGCAACCAAACAGGCCAATACTTTGACCTCATGGAGCTCTTCCGACGTAACGGCAAGCCCAGCGACAAGCACTGGTACCTCTTCAACGGCGACTTTGTGGATCGTGGCTCGTGGTCCTGCGAGATCGCTCTCCTCTTGTACGCATACAAGTGGCTGCGGCCCAACGCCTTCTTCCTCAACCGCGGCAACCACGAGACGGACGACATGAACAGGGTCTACGGTTTCGAGGGAGAGTGCAAGGCCAAGTATAACGAGAGGTATGCTCTCTTTTGCTATCCTGCTTAATTCCCCGTCATCTCCAGCGCGTGGTATCCTAACGTCTTCCAAACAGAGTATTCAAGCTCTTCTCCGAGAGTTTCTCGGCGCTGCCCTTGGCCACCCTCGTGGGTAAGAGCTACCTCGTCCTCCATGGCGGTCTCTTCTCCGACGACAAGGTGACCCTCGACGACATCCGCAAGCTCAACAGGCACAACCAGAGGCAGCCCGGCCAGTCGGGCCTGATGATGGAGATGCTGTGGACGGATCCCCAGGTGGAGCCCGGGCGTGGCCCCAGCAAGCGCGGTGTTGGAATGCAGTTTGGCCCGGACATTACCAAGAGGTTCTGCGAGAACAACGGTCTCGAGGCCATCATTCGCAGCCACGAGGTTCGCATGGACGGATACGAGGTGCAGCACGACGGAAGGTGTATCACAGGTAGGCCGTCTCACAACGATACGCATGCATGCATGTATATCTCGGGAGTGTTGTCCTTTGTCGCTAACGACTGCTTGCGCGTCAGTCTTTTCTGCTCCGAGGTACTGCGACTCGACCGAGAACAAGGGTGCTTACATCAACATCGGTTCGGATTACAAGCTCAAGTTTGAGAAATTCGAGGCGGTACCGCATCCCGATATCAAGCCCATGGTATGTGCTCTCCTTCCTCTCCCTCTTGTCTCCCCCTGTACCTTGAACCTCGTTCCGACTAACTCCTTGCAGGCATATGCTCAGAATTCTGTCATGTCGTCTTTAATGTAAGGGAAAAAATAATAAAAAATCTAGATAAACTACAAAGAGAGAACAAGAAGATGAAGGAGGTTTATCATGAGTCCATGAAGCAGAAATATTGAAAGCGACAGCAGGTAGACATATAGGCTCGCGAATGAGGGCAGGTAGTGGAACGGGATACCGCATAACCAGGCGTTTAAGTCGATATTGGCACATTGAAGCATGTTGTCATGGGGCCGTGCATTAGTGTGAGATATTAATTTACCCATGTGTTATTGCCTCGGGATGAGTATTGATGCTGGGGCCCAGACGAGACAGGGAGAAAGGTGCGTGCGTGCGTGCTCAAGCATTCCACAGCTCCTCCTGTCCATGACTACCAACCATGGCGCCAAGCCAGTCAGAGCACTGCCTCAACCGCAGGAGACTCTGCATGCCGTCCTCCCTGGCGCCCCTCCAGGCTGTCATGGCAGCGGCGAACGAGGCGAGGTCGTCGCGGGGAACGCGTACCCAGCACTCGGATCCCTGGACCTTGAGCACGTCAACGGACACGGCCGCCCCGGTGAGACCCAGAAACTGGCGCAGAGCACTTGTGCAGTACGTCTTCACCTGTAGGGGGTCCAGGTCGGCTTTGAAGGAGGATGAGGAGAGCTGGCTGTTGCTGGTGTTGTCGCCGGTGATGAGTTCAAGGTGGGCGTAGGAGAATTGGGGGGCCCGAATGGTGCATGTGAGGATGTCGTGGGACTTGGGTATACCGCTTCTATTTGAAGTCTCCGGCATTTTTTCTAAATAAGGAAGAAGAAAATAAGACGGAAGAAACGAAAACAAAGGATTGTACTATTATAGTGAATAGATATAAAAAGTGATTGTGTTTTGATGTGAAAAAAAGGAGTGTTGAGTGAAGCAAGGCGAAGTAAAAAAATATTTTGCGTTTTATCGCATAGATGCATAAAATCTCGCGGTCGTCCCCCCCCCTTCCAAATCCCATACAAGTGTATGCGCGCGCCGCCATCTCAACGAACATTCTCATCAACTCTCATCTCCAAACAAACAGCCACGCATCACACGCAGCCCACGGGTCTCCATAAAGAGACATTTATCAAGGAGACGGATATTCCTGGACTAGCAATCACAATGTCCTCTGCATTCGTCGCTCCAAGCCAGCAGCGCTACCTACGCGCCTGCATGGTATGCTCCATCGTTCAGACCTACGCAGTAAGTTCTTGTGCATCCGGGATCACAAGAGAAGAAGAAGAGAAGACGCTACAATAGGAATTGGGCGATGGAAGAATTTGAAGATGGGAAAGAAAAAAACGGGAAGAAGAATAGGGAGCTGACAAAGGTCCAGCGCTTCCGTGATGAGGGATGCCCCAACTGCGAAGAGTTCCTCCACCTCCAAGGCTCCCAGGACCAGATCGAGGGCTGCACGTCCCAGGTGTTCGAGGGGGTCATCACCCTCGCCGACCCGTCCAAGAGCTGGGTGGCCAAGTGGCAGCGTCTGGACAATTACATCCCGGGCATGTACGCCATCAAGGTCTCTGGTCAGTTGCCTGATGAGGTGCGGTCCACCATCGAGGAGGAGTATAGGATACAGTATATCCCGTGAGTTCAGCCCGTGTTGACAGTCTTACCTGATAAATCTGCCCCCCCCAAGATATTGGTTGAAAAGAATACTGACAAACGATGTAGGAGAGATGGAAGTGAGGCCGAGGTGGATCAGTAACGCGGGATCGATCTTTTTTTAATATCTGTACTTTAGTAGCGAGTTTTCAAGAAGAGAAAAAAAGATAAGAGGCGTTTTGAATTGGAGTTTTAGAACAATATCAAGTTTTGGTGTCCCTCGGTATTTGAAATTTCTTGAAATGGACAACATATATATCTATATATATTACATACAAAGAGAGAGTTGTAAAAGTAACGCTTTAAATATGTCCTAGTGTCACCGCTGACGATGTAATTTTCTTAAAAACTCCAATGGACGCCATATAACAAGACTTAGACAAGAAGGGGGGAGAGAGTTCAACTCCTCTGCTTCTTCCCTCCAGGTATACCAAACCCAGCCGATTCTCGGGATCTCTTCTTCTCCATCTCCTGCTTCATGATCCTCTCTGCCTCGCTCATCTTCTTGGGCTGCTCGATGGTAGACGTCTTCTTGGATCCCGACGACGCTCCCCCCAGGGCATTCTTACTCTTCTTGGCCTGTGCAAAGACGTTTTTCGTCAGGGGTTTCGCGCCCATCTTGAGAGACATGGCACCAAACGCTGGTTTGCCGCTATCCTTTGGTAGTGCAGCATCACCACCTTTGTCACCTTCTTCCGTAGCGGCAGGTGTTGCTGCTGGGGACTCGGACCTTGTCGCAGGGGGCTTCGCACCGCCACCAAATGACAGCTTGACCCTTTCCCCCTCCTGCCTCTGCAGTCCGCGATCCTCCTCCTGCCCCCCGTTCTGCTTCTGCGCATTCGCCTGAGCCCTCTTGATCTGCTCGCGTATGATGCGCTGTTCGACCTCCTCGTTCCCCTGATCCTGGGCCTCCTTCCTGCGCAGGGCGTCGCGTCGTCTCAACGCCTCGGGCGAGTCGTCTATCCAGGCGATGTGAAGTCCTTTTTCCGTCTCCTCTACGCGGCAGATCCCCTCCCGGCCCAGGTACTTGGCGAACTCGGTCAGGGAAGGCCACTTGGTCGAGTTCATGTGAATGTGGTCGCGGTTGGCAATGTACTCCTGGTAGAAGTGATTCATGTTGACCTGCTTCTCGCCGTGGCCCGTCTTGAGCAGCTGGATGAAGTCGTGCAAGAACTCCTTGCTGTACTCGTCCACGTACTTCTTGGGGTCCTCGCCCACCACTAGCATCTGCCGCACGTGGCTCTCCGACGATGTGTGCATCTTGAAGGCGTGCGCGTCCCGGCATGGCTTCTCGCATACCTGGCAGTACCAACGGAGTCGCGTCAGACCCTTGGCCTTGAGCTTGTTGCTCAGGTACTTGTTTGAACCAGCCTCGGCTTTAGGCATGGCGGCGGGGTTTTTTTCCCTCTGTTTTCGACGGTGTCGTTCTTCTCTTATTTTTATCGGTCGGGCAGTATTTCGAGATGCGATGATTACCGGTGGAGGTTTGTATATGTTTGGTGGTGAAGTTGTTTCAGAAGAGCACCCAAAGATGGTGTATTCCCTAGGTTCCTGCGTCCTAGGAGTGTCAGGCTTGGTCCTAACTTAACCAACTGCACAAGATCAGATGATTCGCTGGTCAATGTTGTTGATGAAGCAACTTTCATGCGTCGACGTACTCGTACTACTGTTGCTACTACAATTTCCTGGAGTGGGCGGGGCTTATCTAATCTTCCCACCAACGTTGTCAACCGCCATCACATGCCCTTTTATGACCAAAACCTTGACTCCAATCTATTCATCAATCGCAACAACAACAACAACAACATCATCATCATCGTCGTCATTAACAAGGACGTTGGCCCAAAATGTCAGAACGAAAAGTGCTTCAGGTATGTGCACCCCTCCCCTTTTCTTTACACCCTTCTACCTTATTCTAACCCGAGATCGTTTCTCCTTCCAGAAATACTACCCCCCGGACTTCGACTACCGCGAGATCGGGCGTCGCAAAGGACCGAAGCAGACGGGCCCAAAGGTGCAGACGGTACGGCTGATGGCACCCTTCTCGATGCGATGCACGTCGTGCGGCGAGTTCATCTACAAGGGCCGCAAGTTCAACTCGCGCAAGGAGATACCGCAGGACGAGAAGTACCTCAACATTCAGATCTTCTTCTTCCACATCAAGTGCACCCGGTGCTCGGGGGAGATCACCTTCCGCACAGACCCCAAGAACAACGACTATGCCATGGTCCGGGGCGCCGTGCGTAACATGGAACCCTGGCGCAACCGCGGCGCGGAGGAGGAGTCCATCAACGACCGGCTTGACCGCATCGAGCGCGAGGAGGCAGAGGCCCCCGCCGAGGAGGAGAGGAACGCCATGGCTGAGCTCGAGGCCAAGAACGACGAGACCCGCAGGGAGATGGCCGCCGCAGACGCCCTCGACGAGATCCGTAAGCGCAACGCCAGGATCAACCGCTCCGAGAAGGAGGACATCGACTTCGCCGACACCGTGGTACGCTCCGAGGACGAGGAACGCCAGAGGCAGGATGAGGAGGATGAGGCGGCCGCCAGGAGGGCATTTGCCGCCGCTAGGGCGCGAACCGACGTCGCTGATGCAACTAGCAGCGGTGGGCGGGTTGTGGTATCACCGGTAGCAGCAGCAGTGCCGTCAGAATTGGACTCGATGCTTGATGCAGACGAGGCACTCATGCCCCCTCCGCCTGTGCCAGCGCCGGTCACCAAGGCAGCGGACCCGCTGAATTTGCCTGGTGCTAGCGCTCCGAGTTTCAAGAGGGTCGTCAAGAAGAAGAAGGATCGATCGGCACTGTTGGGGATCAAGAAGGCGTCTTCTTTGGTGTAGTCTAGGTACGGGGAGGTGTGTCAACCGAGTCAACCAATGAAGTAAATACATGTACGTTCAATGAGATACGCGTAATGCATAAAATACCCCTTGCTTTCCCAGTATACAAATCGTTTGCCGCGGGGATAGAGAAGACAAATGCGAGAATTCTTACGAACGAATAAAGGCACAATCGTGAATAGTAACATGACTTGAGCCAGTTAGCGTTTCTATTTGTATTTACCAAAGAGAATGCGAGGATTCTCTTTCCACTCCGTTTGGTGGCTCTGATAAACGCCGTAACAGCAAGACGATAGGGAAGCCAAGTGAAGAAGTGAAGATGGTGAAATAAGTGTCAAGAATCGTAGTTTACTCGTACAAGAGCTCGTAACAAATGGTTTGAAAACGCCTAGGCACTCCGTATACCGCACCGGACCGTTTCTTTTTTTTCTGAGTTGTGTTCCTCGCTTCGCCTGTTCGGAATCATTGCCCAACCGAACATAGATAGAAAATGACAAGTAGATTATTAAACGCCGTGAGTTTGGACAGTTGGTTAAAGAAAAAGAGAATAAAAAAGGACAGCAAGACAACAGGTGGGACGACAGCATCCCGTGGTAATCGTTTGTGGTTGACGCTTTCCGTTGCTTTATGTCGTCATATTTCATCGTGAAGGTGATGGTAGTGGTCGTAGTGGTAGTAGATGAGAGAGAATATGTGGTCAGGGTGTGTTGGGTCTCAAAACCGTCTTATTTCCCCAAGCAAAAAAAATTCAACCCCTCCCTCTCTTGAAATTGAGAGGGGAACGGAAGAACTGGGGACAAGGGAGAAGAAACAAAGAGGGACTAGGAGTGGTAGTCTGTAGGGGTGGAACTGCCGTTGGTGAATCCCCTGCTAGAGGTGGTAGACTTGCCATCGCCACCAGAAGAGGTACGGTCTAGCGAGTGGTGTCCCTGGGCCTCCATCTGGCGCTTCGTGTGGTCATGGATGAAGCGGGAGTAAGTTGAGAGGTCGCTGGGAGGAGGAGGAGAGATGGGAATGTTCATGGAGTAGCTGTCTGAAGGGCTGGGCATGATGGCGGCTGGTGATGCTCGAGGAGAATATGGTGACGTCGTAGACGGGAGGGCACAGCCGAGAAATGTAAAAATTCGAAAGAAAAAAAAGAACCGAATAGATGGGACCTTTTTATACTATGTTGGGAAAAAAGAAGAGGGAACCAACCCCGATCCAGATCTTATTAATAGTTTCTTCGGGGTTGAGAATGAATAATAATGTTGAAGATGAAGATGATAATGCTGATGAGCAGATAGGAGGGGGATGCAGGGTCTTTATAAATGAGGGAGAGAAGTAAAAGGTGGGTGGGTTAGAAGTGGAGAAAAAGAAAAGAGAGAGAGAGAGAGAAGAGAGAGAGAAGAGAGAGAGAGAAGCGTGTGTGTGTGTGTGTGTGTGTGTACGGCTCAGCGGGGAGAGGGGGAACAGTACAGCGGTACGCAGTCGTGGTAGTGCAGAAAGCCTTGCCTATTCAAAAGTGGCCAAGTCCCACAGGCCACACACAGGCCACACACCCCCAGAGCAAGACTAGGAATTGATCGGCAAAGCAAGCTAAGAGACGAGGAAAGAAAGCAGGACAGAAAGCTTGGTGACAGATAGAGAGGTAGAGAGAGAGTTGGCGGGAGAGAAGAGAGAAAGAGACAGAGAGAGGGAGGGAGGAGGATCTACCCGACATGGATGAATGGTGGTAATAATGATGGGGGGAGGGAGGGATGGCGTAATTGGTGTTGAGATTGGATGGGCAGTGTCATCGTCGTCTGGTGATCCACATGAAAGCTTCCCCACTCTGAATTTTCAGATATGTACAGGTACGTGTACTGAGAGTCTGCACATAGTAAACATTCGTATGATGTATCCACACTTTTCGCCGTCATCGCTTAACCCACGAGCTTCTCTCTCTAGTCTACTCCGTACTCTACGTCTGCTCTCTCTCTCTCTCTCCCCCTCTGCGCATTTGTATATCCCGACCCTTGGCCATGATGATGCAAACCCTCTTTCCCTACCCATCGATCGATACGACGACAACGACTGAGATACTGATACTGATGATAGTATTCCGAAGCAGTACAACCATTGGTAAATACGTACCCGTACCAACTTTGTTCCTCTCTCCCCCCGCTCGGAAGAAGGGGGACCCTGAAGATCCGCTAGAGTCGTGACTCGCCGGTTCTTGATCATCAGTACTCGTACACTGAGTACGAGTATCATACTGTTCCAGGGCTAGTAGTGTTCGCACCTTGCTTTGAGTGTTGATTGTCGGAGTGGGGGGGGAGGTCGATGAGGGTTATTATGTCATATGATTGTATGCCTTGTCTTGGATGTTGGACCCTGAGATCCCTAACTTCTGGCTTCCCAATCTTAGACATCACATGCTTGGGGTTGCCATGCACGGGAAATGGTTTTTAATGTTGGTACGGTTATCATGTACACGGTCGCAATCATCAGCAACACTAAACTATAGGTATGATATTACGGAGTACGTTGGTCTACGAATACTAAACCATCGATACCCCGGACTCCCTGGTAGTAGGAGTACTCGTAGTGCTATCCCACAAGGTGACGACGCATGCTTAGACCAGCTCACCCGACTTGGTCATTGCGACCGACCGGCGACCGGATACCCCTTCAGTCGTTGGAAGAAAGTCTTGTTATTGTAACTCTATATTCGTAGGCCAACAGGGACAGCCTCTGTCCTCTGCTCTTTTTTTCCTGTTTCGTTCTATTCCTCACCTTCGCCGCACACACACACACACACACGCGCGCGCGCGCGCGCGCACTCTCTCTCTTCTCTTCAGCAGAGCATTGTCCTTGGTTCATATAATCCTAATAATCATGAGTCTATTAATTGCACGAAATTACGCATGTACTCGGATCAGTATACATATATACGATTACCTGAACGATGCGTGGGGGGAAAGTGCAAGTCTAGTAGATTCTTGCTCCTTCTTCTTCTGAATTCTTGGCATTAGAAAGTCTACCTTGGCCCTGCCCGGCTGCACCTGGAATGCGCTGGAACACTCGTAACTACAATATGTAATGCAGTAATCTGTACGGAGTAGTATAGGCAGTGTAGTATTATAGGCAGTACAGGTACATAGCACTACTGCACCTTCCCCACTAATCCACTGGAGAGGTGCAGAATTGGGTCATCGTGCCTGCATGATGTCATTGGCCGCCGTGTCTGCCATTTCCTTCTCAAGTGGATCTCTTCTATTGCTTTCAGGAGTCTCTCCTCGAGTCTTCCCCAGCAAGCTTCTCTCTCTATCGTGCATGTACAGGCCACGGTACAGGTTCCGAGCCTCCCCGGTACATATTGTCGTCATATGTGTCACAAGGCAGGCACAGTCCAGTCTGCTCCTTCCACTCTTTTTTTTATTTTTTATTTTTCTTTTTTTCTCACACACACACACACACACACATACACACACACACATACACACATACACACTTACACATACACATACGCGCACGCACAAGTAACCAGATTTTACATTATATTAGAATATCAACCAACAATCTCACCAACTCCATCCCTGAACCCTTGTACGAGTAGTATCGTGACTATCATATTCTCTCAATCTGACGCTCATCCTCTCTAGCTCCTCAACCTCAGCACTCGTCCACCACCGCACCCTTTCCCCGTTCTATTCTAGCGGGCCCAGATCATCACCAATGGCCAACCCTCGTCCCTTGTGCGTCGCCTTCACCTACTCCGTCCGTCCGTCCTAAACCGTCCATTTATGGATCCTGCAACTTGTTGGACCCTCTGCCCAGTGCCAAGCAAACGAGTTATCTCCGTCATGTGATGCCACAAGAGTCGCATTTCCCATCCAGTGCCCGAATTCGACTATACTATCCCGTCCTGTGTACGGTAGTACGTCTCCGCTCTCTAACTCATCGGCATCTGGGATGATTGCGAGTATAACATATGACTATCCCCGCGCTTTTGTTTTTACTCTCTGGCTCTCCTCTCCCCACTTGGTCGTTTCTTGGCAACTTCTTGTTCTTACCCCTAGGTGTAGGTTTTGAATGTATCTTCTTGGCTTGTTATCATGACATGACGAAACTTATCGAGAAAAGCTTTCAAGACTGCCAGTTACATTACCAACTAATACTACTTGCTCAAAGTATTACTACAGGTACCTACCTATACGAGTATGTACAATACGAACAGCAACAGCAGCGTTGCGCCGCAACGCACCATGATTGTGCGTCGGCTCATTCCAATCATAGCACCATCTCCACTCCAAACGCACGCCAAATGGTCAGCCCTTGCCATTTTGCGAAACGGTGGCGACCGTCGTGGCGACAGAACGGAGCACGGTGCGCAATGACATCAAACTGCACGTCACCGGTCACTGGTCAGACCCAAGGGGACGAGAAGATGAGGCTGACTGAGTCCATGACTCTCCCCCTGTCTGTCTGCCTGTCTGTCAGGCATCTGCCTCCCTGCCTGCAAGTCATCACTTGACTGCTTGAGTCGTCCAGGTCCCATCCTTGGTAATTCTGGGTCTTGATGCCTCTGCTTCTGGTCGCTTCTGGAAACCTTGGGGTCCTTCTCTGGTATGATGCATCCTTCTCTCCGGTTCTCTCTATCCCACCCCTGTACCTCGGTCGGCGCTGGTGTCCCGTTTTCATCTCCACCCCTCAGACACCCAGAGATGTTTGCACGCACCGGGAACAACCGTTTGGCCACCGTCCCGTCTCCCTCCATCACTCGTAGTGATACCGAGTAATGATACACCGGTACCCGTAAGGAGTACCAACAATGCCTTGATTGAGATCCATCAAGCTAGTGCACATCGGACTACATCTCTCTTTCCGGGATTCTAGCACATTGTAGTGATGTCAATTTGGTCGACGGTTCATACAGGATGCATCAGAAACGGCGATACCCTCCAAGAATCGACACTGTGACACACCTATAGAACACACACACATTCTCTCTCTCTCTTTTACCTCACGGTACTTCCTCGATATTCTTACTCTCCGACTTTCTTCCCCAAGTAACGTGGAGAAAAAGATGGCCCATGATTCCCTGTTTACGCGTGTGAACGGGTATAACAAGAAAAGGACAGCACCGGTCTTGGTATCATATGTACATGTACCCGTCCGCTGCTGGCCAGGACCCTCTTGCCCTGCATATCACCCGAAGTCTGAGTGGAGAAGGCAATCCACACGGGAGTGACCAGGACATCGATCACATCACATCTCCCAAAGTCGTGATGCAAGGGTCCTGACTATTAACAGGTTCTATCAGTCGTGACTACATGTACGAAGGTTCTTGAATTGCCTTTCCCCGATCACGTCTGACGGTGCTTCATCTGGATCTCTTTTCCTTGCCACCATCATCACACAAATGCGAAGTGACCAATCAATCATTTTCTTTCTTCCATAATATTACAAGATCAAGAGAGCACGAGAGAGAGAGAGAGAGAGAGAAGCATGAATATTGCCACAGATGGATATATCATCGCTTGGTGTTTTGAATTAACCTTGAGCTTTAGGTTTCAAAGGTCTGGACGACTGAATTACTAATGAAGCACCAGTCAAGTGCGGCTCTCTGATCGCCTGTGCTTATTGATAAGAATGACAAAGCACCTCTATTGCTGATTATTAATCCCACCCCAAAAAAAGCCTGTCAATTGTACTCGTATCTAACCGTCGAGGGTCACCACGTTATACCACATTTGAAAATAGGAACAAACCCCCAAGTCTGATAAAACAGTTCTAGATTCATGAAATCGCAACAACGCGCGCGGGATCCTGAAAAGGCTTAGCGTCGGGATAGAACCCTGGCATCAACCAAGCCAGGACTCATCGTGATTGGACTGGAGGTCTAGACAAAGACTCCGGGAACCACTTGAACCCCCCCCGGGGCGGGACAGGCAGGGGTACGTACATATTGAACATATTGAACGCGAAACGGGGTTAAAGAATTGCTGACCCTTGGGTCAGAGTATAAGTATGTTGAGGGTTGGCTCACCGTCAGGAAGAAGAAGAAGTTGCCTCCAACAATTTTCAACTTACTCACTACTCTGTTGAAAGAAAAAAAAGAAAAAGAAGAAAGACCCCCCATCATGACCAAGACGATCGTCGTTCTAGGCGCTGGCATAGCCGCCGTGTCCATCATCCGCCAGGTGATGCGCAACGTGGTCCTGCCCAGTAACGAGTGGAAGTTGGTGGTTGTTTCCCCCAACACGCACCTGCACTTCCCCACGCCGATGCCTCGCGTCCTGATACCCGGCCAGATCCCCGACGACAAGGTATTCGCAGCTCTGGATCTCCAATTCGGGCAGTACAAGGACGCCGACAAGTTCGAGTTCATCCTCGGCGTGGCGACGCAGCTGGACCCGACGTCCAAGAGCGTGACGGTGACGCCCAATGCCGACGGCGGCGCCGACAGGACCATAAGCTACGACAAGCTCCTAATCACCACGGGGGCCCGCACTGTCGACGGCCTACCGTGGAAGACGCTGGGGTCCACGGAGGAGACGCGCGCGCTCATCGCCAAGCTCCAGTCTGGCATCAAGGCCGCCAAGACCATCGTCGTCGCCGGCGGCGGCCCCACCGGCACCGAGATGGCCGGCGAGCTTGGCAGCGAGTACGGCAAGTCCGGCCCCAACCGAAAGACGATCCACTTCGTCTATACCGGCGCCAGGCCCCTCGACCCCCAGTGCATGGAGTCGGTCCAGCGCCAGGCCAAGACGGAGCTGGAGCGGCTGAACATCAAGCTCATCCCCAACACAAAGGTCACGGCCTCCACCACCGACCCTTCTACCGGCGTCACCACCCTCCAGCTCACCGCCAACGACGGCAAGACCACGTCCCTCGAGACGGACGTCTACCTTCCCGCCCTGGGCCTCGTGCCCAACTCCGGCTTCGTGCCGGCCGACTTGCTCGACGCCGCCGGCCAGATCAAGCAGACCACCACCCTTCAGGCAGAGGGCTACCCGGACATCTTCGTCGCCGGGGACGTCGGCTCCCTCGAACCCCCCAAGTTTACCGTGGCCAGCAGCCAGGCTCACCACCTCGCCGTGCATCTGCCCCCTCACCTCAAGAGCGGTACACCCATCCCCGTCTACGCCCCCGATACAAAGAATGTGCTTGCCGTCACCCTGGGTCGGAGCAAGGCTACCGGCCAGATGAAGGGGTGGAAGCTGCCGAGTATTATGGTCTGGTTGCTCAAGGGACGCGACCTGTTCCTCGGCCTGTTCGATGGCTTTGTTCTGGGTAAGAAGGTTGATTATACCGTGTTGGAGAAGTAAGGTGTGGGGTTTGTGTGCGTTTGTTTCTTATACCTGTTTCATTCTGGCTTGATCATACATCTCTTCATGGTATTTCAATATCCCCGCTTAAGACCATGTAATACGATACCATATTTTGCACTCTTAGCATGAATACATTCTATCTCTTGACACATCATACTCCGTCTTCTCATATTCCTTTACACCGTGTTTAATATATCTATTATGTACGCATAGGTCTGTCAGGATGAACCATGTCCTCAACCTCTTCCAATTGGTTGAAGAAGAGCAACGCTTGAATCCAGTCTACATCTTACACCACTCAACCGATCAAGTACATCTCTGCCCACTATACCAGGTCCATCCCGTCTCCCCAATCTATCCCGTCCAACGCAGCCGCATCCAAATGGGTATCAAGTCCGCCAAACAGGTCTGCATCCCCGCCTACATCCCCGCCGTCGCCGTGTAGTCCGTCGAGCGAGGACATGTCCAGCCCCATGGCCGTCGCATCGCCATGCATAGCAGCCATCGCATCGAGCGATACATCTCCACCTGCCCCTGCCACATCTCCACCTGTACCTACAACATGATCGTTATTGTTATTGCTGTTGTTGCCGTTGTTGCTACCGTTGTTATCCATGTCCATTGTTGCTGCAGCTGCAGCTGCGGCGGCTGCGGCAGCGCCGGCTTCACCGCCATGAGGCTGGGAGTACTCCATCTGGGCTTCTACACGACGGTGGAGTCGCACGATAATGTCCGCTAGGATGGGGTCCTCCTTGTGTATCTCTCTACACTTGTCGGCCTCCATCTTGAGCATGTCGCGGAGCGTGAGGAGTCTCTGCGGCTGTTGCGCCTGGGATTGTGCGTTGTCGATGCTGGGCGCCGGTGGCTCGTTGGTCACGTCGGGGGAGCAGATGAGCGCTGTGGCCACATCGTTCACAACGCCAGCGACATTGCTGGGTGCAGGGACGTTGTTGGGTTTGGCGCTGTGGTCCTGGTGTCGCCGTCGGACTTCCTCAAGGATCAGGCGGAGAACACGTCGGGGGCCCATCATCTTGACGCCTAGGATGAACTGCCGGTGCGTGTACGTCATGGGCGTGATCGTCATCTGCGGCTGCATGGACCACTGCATGAGGCCCTGAGTGGTGGTGCGCAGACTTGTCCATAGTCCATGCGGCTCGGCGCGCGCCCACTCCGCTATCTCGCTAGCGTCGGCCCACCCTGACCGTCGCGACAGCGGGATACTATCCTTGAGAGAGTCTAAGAGCGGCGTCACGTCCACGTTTTTCGGGTCTCGCTTGTGCAGGTACATCTGCAGCGAGTTGGCCAGCGGCTTGGCCACGATGCGCTTCACAGACGAGAGCATGGCTGTCGCCTCGCTCGATATCGTCGCTGGCAGTAGGATCAGCTGGAGCACCTTGATGACAGCCTTTTGCTCCTTCTGGTCTATCTTGAGGTAGTCGGCTAGGAAGAGGAGAGCCGGCACCAGGGACGGGTACAGAAATGTATCAACCAGGTCTGCGTCTTCAATCAGTATCGAGACAAGTACAGTAGAAAAACGACGTGGGGGTGGTAAGAGGGGGGAGATATGATTTTTTCCTTCTAAATAAGAGAGAGAGAGAGAGAGAGCGGGAACTTACACTCGACCCCACTCTTGAGGCTCTCATCATTGATATATCCGTGCGAATACCCAACGACAATGTTGTAAAACAGCGGCGCGATGAGCAGGTAAAACTCCTGTGGCGGACATGACGACATGAGCTCGTCGCCCAGGCCGCCGGCCTCCGTGTCAAACAGGCCAAGTATCCAGCCGTTGAGGCACTTGTCCTCCGCTTCCGACAGCTGCTCCTTGCCGCGGTACGTGTGCGAGTGGGTTATGATCTTGCGCAGCTTGGAGTCGGGCGAGTACAGCCCCAGATCCGATGGCTTGAGCGTGTAGCGGTTGGTAAAGGCTAGGACAAGCAGCAGGATAGCACCAAACTCCTCGTACACAGGCTGGTACTCGGCCTGGTCGTCCTCGTAGTGCCATCCCTCCAAGAGCTGGCATAGCGGCCCCAGAATTGAGGGGAGCGTCTCGAATAGTAGTAGAATGTCTAGGCACTGTAGCTTCTGCACCATGTCCGTGCAGAGAGTTTTCAAGGAGGCCGTGTCCTTTTCATTGCAGAGTCTCCGGATGATCTGTACAGAGTGGTCAGCCTCTTTTTCCTTGTTTTTCACGTGCTACTAGTCTGTGAGCAGCATACTTCGGCAACGGCATGGGCTACAGCCGCAACGTTTCCGTCCATCTTGTCTAGGTCCCCAAGGAGATCGACAATCCTGATATTCCCGGCCTGGTAGTCGTTGACGAGCTTCTCAGTCGACTTCTTCTCGGGCTCATACGACATGGACATTTCGCCGAGAATGGCCTCGACGTGCTCCTGATTGATGAGACCGTGGAGGACGCATGCGGCACAAAAATCCTCGCGCACACTCTCAGTATAAGGGTTGTTGTTGCGCGACTCGTCAAACATAAGAGACGCCGTCGGGAAAAGACTCCTGTCCACTTGGTTGAGGGCACTAGTAATGCACATCTCAGCCGATGGTGTCGAGAATCCCGGCGGGAGGAGCTGACAAAGGAGCAGCGGGACTTTGTTGATGAGAAAGGAGCGGAGCAAGGACGCGTCTTGTTTGCCGCCGTCTCTAAATATTGCGTTGGCGAGGACGTCAAAGGATGCCAGCACGAGGTCGATGGCAGCCGTCTGGTTGTCGCCCTAGGGTGTTTGTTAGAGATAAATGGGAGGACAAGGACCGAGTACGAAGCGGAGCAAGGGGGCTCACTTGATGTCTGTTGTTGATAAAGTTGAAAAAGAGGTTGTCATCCACAAGGGGGCGGGCCACGAGCTATTGTAACAAGGTATCAGCATCATGTTCAAGGTTAGGAGGAGGGATGCTGTCTAGAGGCTCACCACGGCGTTGAGATGGATATACATGCCGACACGTGTCGTCACTATGGGCACATGTGCAACCTCAAAGGCGTCAGGGCCAACAGCCGAGTCGAGCATCTCATTCATAGCAGCGTCAGCAGCCTGCTTCTTCTTCTTATCGACGGGGTCCAGGCTGGCGAGCACACGTGTGCGAAAAAATTCTAGCTTCTCCGTTATCGACTTTTCAGTGCCGGTATTGACGAGCTGCAGCGTGGGCACAAAGGCGGCGAGGTTCTGGGACAGTTCCCTGCGGGCGTGCTTGGCCGCGGGTTTGGCCAGGACCCTGAGCAGGACTGGGTTGTCGGTCAGGCGCAGCAGTAGGGGCACAAAGGCGGCTCTGGCCGTTTCCATCTCCATCTGCAACGTTTGGGAGGACCCTGTGGCTTCGCTGTTGAGCAGGTCATGGGCAAAGGCGGACGACGCCTCGGTGAAGAGGGCCAGCCACTTGGCCACAATCTTGAGGACGTCGAAGGCGGTCCTGGTGGTCTGGACGGCGCGACCCTCGTGGACAGACTTGCACAGTCGGAAGAAGATGACTTCCTCCACCCAGTACGAGTTCCTCCATCTTATTACCGGAGTCGTCGTCTGGTCGGCAGCAGAAGCAGCAGCAACACCAGCGGGATCCTTGTGATGGCCGTCAGACTGCTGGCTTCGACGTCGCTGCGCCTCGACGAGCGTGTGGGAAGACGAGTATCGGTACAGTGCCCTGAGCGTGGCCGAGGCATCAATGTACTTCAGGTCACTCAGGACCTGTAGGTAGGGCGGCACGCGCGGGTCGAGGCTGTAGCAGCAGTTTGGCTGGGGACGGAGGAAGAGGTCGGCGATGGCGGGGGCAGGGAGCGGGTGCTCATCGTGGACGACGCGCACAAGAGACTGGAAGCTGTCGGGATCTAGACGCCTGTTAATGCAGCGCTCTATGAACTCGGACCAGAAGCAGACTGATTGGCGCAGACGGCGGTCGCGCGCCGACAGCATCAGCGCGGCGGCCCTTTTTGTCTTGCCGCCATCCATCGTGGGCAAGGCCTGGGTGGCGGCGGGTCACTTTGCATCCAGTTCCCGGGTATGCGTATCTTGTCTTGTATTTCCTTCGTCTATGGGTGGTTCGGAGGCGATCGAGTGGGTGGCTGGTGGCGGTGGTGAACTGGGATGTCGTCGGATGAGGCTGTCTAGGATCTGATGGGAAGTAGGCAGTCGCAAGGCTATCGTGGTCGAATAAGGCAAGGAAGGTACGACCAGTCCGGTATTAAGGCAGTGGCTCATCAGTACATTTATGCAGAGCTTATACATGATAGTACCTGAATCTGAGGTGTTCACTGCCAGTGCACGTACTGAGGAATAGGGAGCTCTACCAACTGGAGAGCTACAGGCCCCTATAAATCCCCTACAATTCCATCGTTACCCGCCTAAGAGTAGAGCACGTCCACTGCCTGTAGTGGATCCCTCCTGGGGTCCGTACTGGGGTCAAAGCCCAAACAGGCAACTCGCCCCAGAACCTTCCACGTCACACCTTGATCCCCATCACGAACCCTTCCTTTTTCCTTACCCTCTTCCTCAACTCGTCCAACTCTTCTTGTCTCGCTCCAATCTGGTCTCTCTTGTATCTCCTCCTTCATCATGCTCTACAAGCCGTCCGTTCTCGCCATGCTGGCGCTCCAGTTCCTCGGTGCTCTGGCCCAGGTAAATTGAAGCTTCTTCTCGTCGTTATCCAAGACACCATCGGCTAACCCTACCCCTCTACAACGCAGGATGCTGCTGAGCCCGGAACCAAGCAGACCGAGTTGTCCGACCTCAAGGCCGACGTGAGCACCTCGTTTCCCGACGCCGACATCTTCGGCGTCAAGCTGGTTAATGGCCGGCCGACAACGGCCCTGATCGAGCTGGCCAATAGGGACGAAAGCCCCGTTCAGATCGCCTTCGTCTCCGGCTCCCTCTTCACAACCAGAGACGTCTCCGACGACACGCCTCTGTATGATACTATCCTGCGCAACTTGACGGCCGTCCAGCAGCAGGTTGTCGTCCCTGCCGGCGAGTCAAAGAGCGTACCCTACTCTTTCTCCGTCGACATGCTGCCCCAGGACGTGCGCGTGCGTCTGGTAGCCGTCGTCACCGACAGCAAGGGTAACGTCTTCCAGGTGGAGGCTCACAACGATATCGCTGCCATTGTCGAGGCTCCCATCAGCTTCCTTGATCCTCAGATGTAAGATGTACACCCGCTATTTTTATCAATGCCTCGGTGCTAACATGTCAACAGCATCTTCCTCTACCTCTTCATCTCGGCTACCTTTGCTGGTATCCTCTACTTTGTCTACAAAACCTGGCTCGAGACCTTCTTCCCCTCCTCGGCCCCTAAGCGTTCTGCCCATGGCGCTTCCGCTCCCAAGAAGTCGGATGAGACGGCCGCCACCACCGCCACCATCGATGACAGCTGGATTCCCGAGCACCACCGTGCCCGTCCTACCGCTCGTCGTGGCAAGTCTGCCACCAAGGGCTCTGAGTAAAGAGGGGCTATTGCCAAAGCAGTGTACTACTACTATCTTGTATGCAAATCGCTTATAGCATATATCTTTGCAGCATGAGAAAACAATCAAGATGGAATGAAATGCTGTATTCTTTTGCCCGGTTCTCCCTTTCATACGCTGCGTGTCATGAATGTAGTAATAGTAATCATGGGTTCTTCAAAATCAAAAAGAAAATCTGGGATAAAAATGAAAGAGGAAACAGAAAGTGGGGTATCAACCTTCACATGACAAGGCAGTCCAAGCCGTACATGGCCCTCTCGACGCTCTTACGCACATGATACCAGTCTGCCCTCCTCTGGGCAAACTCGTAGACCTCCTCGGCGCGAAAGATACCCCCGAAGCGATCGCCGTCGGCGATGACTGTGGCCATCTCTTTTGCGTGACCGGCGTCGATGAGGTAGATCTGGCTCAGCTCGCGCAGGGCGCGGAAGTAGGCCAGCAGGTCCTGGTTGCGCAGGGTGCGCACATAGTCAAAGTATAGGTTCATGTCTGCGATGAGCTTGACGGCGCCGTCGGTGCTGATGCGCTGGCGCTTGAGGTGCTTGCAGATGGCGGTGAAGAGACGCAGTCCGACTTCTGCGTTGAAGACGTCGAGCATGGACTTGTCCGTCGTGCCCACGAGCATCTTTGTGTGCGACGAGACGAGCTCGACGATGCGCTTGGCCGTCGGGGTGGGGCCAGTGTCCTCCAGGTCGAGACCCGGGTTGGTGAAGACGGACGCACGCTTGTCGCTCGTCGACGCCGACGTTGCTGCGGACGATGTTCCGCTGCCGGCGGCGGCGACGGCGGTTGTGGTAGTGCCGGCGGGGTTGTAGTCCGTTGGGAGCTGCATGGTCCCGTTGAGGTACTCCACCTCATCCATGAGGACGTCGATGCCCTTGTTCAGGCCGGCGGCCACGCTCTCATCCAGCATCTGCTCAAACTTCTTCTTGGCCAAGCCTGAAGGGTCTAGGAAGTCGTTCTTGTCGGCAATCTTGGGCCCCGTGAGCTGCTGCTCGTAGAAGACGTCAATCATCTGCGAGATCAGGTCACCCACGTTGACCAGCTCGATGAACGTCACCAGCGGGGCCACGCCCGCCGCGTTGTGCTCGCTGACCTCGCGCGGGTTGTAGTGCGACAGGTGGTCCACGGCCCGCGCGAACCCGCTCCTGACGTGGTGCTGGCCCAGAATCCGTAGCAGCACCACAAACATGTTGGAGCACTGCTCGCGCGCCTCCCCGCCCACCTGCCCGCCCAGCTGCATCAGCAGACGCGCCCGCCCCAGGCTCGCCTTGGCCGCGTGCACCAGATCCAGCGCCACCTCGATGCTGAAGAGCGACTTGATGCCCTCGAGCTTGGATGCCATCAGCGCCGCCTTGGCCGCCAGCTCGTCAGTCGGTGCCGACGCCCCCTGTAGCGGATTCTTGCGTCCTACGTCTAGCCCAGGCGCCGTCGCGGGTTGGGATAATCGGTTCTGCTGCTGCTGTGCTGCCGCGGCGGGACCATTCGAGGCCGTCTTGGGCGCAAAGGGTGACCCGATGCTGGGAAGCACCGTCACGGGCATCATGACCACCTTTTTGAACGAGCTCAGAAAGTCCTTCTTGTCGGCCGACCGGTTGATGTTGGACATATAGAAGGACTCGAGCGACGAGTCCTGCTCCGACAGTTTCTTCTCCCACAGGTCCACCTGGGATTCGGCGTGCTTTGTGAAGGCGTCGAGCTCCTCCTGGAGGTAGAGGTCGATGTGGGGTTCGAAGACCTGGAGGGTGAATACCTTGGCACGTTCCACGACGTCGTCGATGTTTCCAGGCTTTTGGTTGTTGCTTTTGTTGCCATTGCTGCTGCTGCTGCTGCTGCTGCTCCCTTCTTTCGCATCGAGAGATAATGGTGACGATGGCGGCGTGACCGACTTGAAGAAGAGCAGCGTCTGCTCAAAGACACCAGACACGATCTTTACATAGGCCGTGGCGCTGCGCTCGTGGGCCTCGTCGAACAGCGGGGTGGTGTACTCCATGATGAGGTCGTCCCTGACCCTGTCCAGCAGGGACCAGAAGACGGCGGGGGCCTCTGTGGCGAAGATGCGCTCGACGATGCCTGCCTGCTCATTCACCTTGGCGAGCAGGGTCTCGAAGAAGACGCGCGAGGGCTCGAGCGACACCTCGTCGGGGGCGACGCGGCTAAGGCAGTGGACGGGGTTGATGGCGATGTCCCCGTCGTCGAAGAGCGGGTGCTTCTGGATGAAGACGTCGGCGCCCCTCTTGCCGCCATTGAGGATGTGCAGCACGTGGGCGTAGCGGCGCATGCGGCCGTCGACGTCCCAGAACTCGTACCCCTGCTCGAACTCGCGCAGCACGGCGCCCTCGAATACGCCCATCATCGAGTCCACCTTGCTCACGCGTTCCACGTACCCGTCCGTCCAGTCAGCGCGTGCGAACCGCCGCAGGTTGGCCAGCATCTGCGCCTGGCGCTCCGGGTCGCGGAACGCCTTGAACACCACGGGCTCCGTGTGCGTGCGTGACCGTACCAGGTCCGAGTAGAACGGGTTCAGCGCCCCGTGGATCCGCCCGTACTCCCCGCGCGCCCCGCCCCGTACGCTGCGCACCCGCGAGAACACGTCCAGGTACCCCTCCGGATTCTCCCCCGACCCCGCCGCCGCCGCTGCCGCTCCCGATATCTCCATCGTCTCGAACCCGTCGCGCAGCTCCGATGTGGCCCTCCTCCTCACAACAGCCTGCTCTTGCATTTGCAGCTGCAGCTGCTGCTTCTGCTGTTCCTCTGTCGCATCGAATAATGCCGGCGAGGGCGGTGCTACTCCGTTAGCAGCGGCGGCGGCGACTGCTCTCCGCTGCTGTTCCTGCTGCTGTCGTTGGATGGCCTCCTTCCTCCGTCGTATCGACTCGTCGAACCTCCTGCGCGCCTCGGCCTCGTCCCAGCAATCCATGGCCTTCAGTCTTGATACCCATCTCGTGTCGTCGTATACCATGTCCTTCATCCGTCGGGATGTACGGGCGAATCGCATCTGGTCGGAAACGGGTAGGTAGTCAAGGATGCTCACAAGGATCTCTGCGGGGGGAGTCAGGTCTCGTTTTCTTTCTTTTCAGGCATAGAAGGGGTAATGAAGGGTGAGGGGACACACCAGCTGGTAACCTCGCTTTGACGTCGATCATCTCCGAGGCCTTGAGGGCCGTCAGAATGCCACCACCCCGATTGCGGGACGTCTTGTACATGGTGGGCGGTGCGGGAGGGGTGGAAGGGGAACAGATAATAGCTGTTCTGTTCCTGTCTTGTTGTATTATTATTGTGTGTATATTTTTCAGGCGCTGTTGCATGCCCCGTCTGACATGAATCGGTGCATCATTAAGAAGTAGAAAGCCCAATGTCGTCGCCCCTCTCTCTCTTTCTTTCTCTCTCTCTCTGCTCTCTCTCTGCTCTCTCTGCTCTCTGTGTGCCCGGGATTGTTGTGGAGTTTCAAGGTCGAGAGGGAAGCTTGCTGCGGCAGACGTCTTGGTGGGATGGCGGTCTGTGAGTGGATGGGCAATCATTATTACGGAGCTGGCTCTCCTCCGCATAACTCGTAGTACATGTAATCTGTATATACTCGGATAGTGCTGCTGCCCCCTCGCCCCTGTTTTGGCATCAGACTTGCCCACATCCACCAACCCGCAATGTTACTAGTATTTAAGAGTGTATTACTCTTTCATCATTGAAAATTCTCGGTATTCTTGCAAATCGTGGCAGGCGTGATTTATCCTCTTCTTGTTCATCCGCTGGTAAAGTGTTCACTGGGTAGAGGAATAGCACAGCAATGCAAATAGTCTCCTTCTTCCCCTCTTCCTCGAGATCTAATAATACCTCGAAGGTGAATTTTTTGTTTTGTTTCTAACAAGATACCGAGTCAAAAAAAAGCCCCAATACTCCATGCGAGGGGAGAGGGGAGAGGATATCGATGGTGGAGCCATTGAAAATGTGTCTCTCCTTCCCTATATATATATCTCTCTCCCTCTCTCGCCTCTGTGGCCCATAACCCGCATTTCTTCTCCCCTTAGTTGAGAGAAGGCAACGGTTATCGTTAGGGGGGAGCTTCATAGCTTGTATCCCCTGCTTCCGAGCCGAGATAGATGATGTCTAGTGATACGCCTTTTATTCCATATACGGATGAGTCGCTCGTTTAGTCCAGGAAAGTAAACAGGTGGGTGTGCAAGACGTTCATGGCCCTCGTGGCGTCTTCGGCGGCAATGACGCACGAGATGTTGATTTCACTGGCGCCTGTTTATACGATTAGCACGATGGATTACACTCTTCCTGGCATGAAGGCAAAATATGGGGAAGGGGGGGTGTAGGGAGAGGGGGGAGAGAACGTACCCTGAGAAATCATTTCAAGATTGACCTGGTGCTCTCCCAAGGTAGAAAACATCCTCCCGGCAATGCCCTTCATCTGGCGCATCTCGGCACCGACGAGGCTGAGGATGGCCATGTTGGACTGTATCGAGACCTCGCCGACCTCCTCGAGCTCCTTCTGCGCCGCCGAGATGTTGCTGAGCTGCTGGCTGCTGGAGTGGATGGCGAGGGAGACGTGGACCTCGGAGGTGGAGATGAGGTCGACGGATACGGCGTGCTTGTCGAGGATAGAGAAGACGCGGGCGAAGAAGCCGTGGGAGATGGACCGCTTGTTCGAGTGGATGTTGATGATGCTCATGTGGTCCTTTATAGTGACGGCCGTGGGCCTCTTGGGCTTAGCGGGGGCGCGCGGCAGTGGGGGCGCGCCGACGCCAGTACCGTCGGCGTCCTTGGGCATGACCAGGGTGCCGTTCCCGCGCGGGTTGTTGACGTTCTTGATGCGGATGGGGATGGGGGGCTGGGCGTGTATGACCTGGTCCATGGTGAGATGGTGGATGACCTCGGAGCCGTAAAAGGTGAGCTCGGCGGCCTCCGAGGGCGTGATGGACGACAGCAGCGACGCCGTGGGCACCTTTGTCGGGTCGGCAGTGAAGATGCCGTCGACCTCTTTCCAGATCTGCAGCTCCCTGGCCCGGACGCCGACGGCGCACAGGGCGGCGCAGAGGTCTGTGTACCCGCGCCCGATGTCGCCCTCCATCAGGCTGCCTGGGACGTTACCGAAGAAGCCGGTGACGACGGGCACGCACGTCTCGCAGGCGGCTATCTTCTTGGCGAAGACGGCGGCGGCCAGTCGATAGAACTCGGAGCCCAGCACGTGCGACGAGTCGTTATGGAAGACTTCGGACAGGTCGACGTACTTGGCCTCGACTCCATGCGTCCTGAGCAGAGCTGTCATGAACAGGCAGCTGAGCTTCTCGCCGAAGCTGATGACGCGGTCCTTGGAACGTGCATTGATCTCGAGGTTGAACCGCTTGGCCGCGGCGATGTACTCGATGACCTCCTGGCACTCCTTCTTGATGTCCCCGATGAGCTGGGTGCGGATCCGCTCATCGGTGACGTAGGCCTCGCTCGCAAAGATGTGGTCATTGCAGATGTCGAGCATCAGCCCGTTGGCGCTCTCAACCAATGCGGCCTGGTCATCTTCCGTAACGCCAGCCATGTTGACGGCCTTGAGTTTCTCGTAGACACCGAGAAGGCTGTTTCCACATTCAGCATGTGGTGTCTATGGCGATTGACGAATGTGCAACTCACCGGCTGGTAGTACCCTCTGCTTTCTTCCCCGTGCTCCTGGCTGAGCAGACGACAATGACTCTGTTCTTAGAGAGACTCGCCCTGTTTGCATACGTCAGTTCAACTCCCTTCTCCTCCCTCTCTCCGGACCTTCATCCTTTTGTCGGGTCCGGCCCTCGTCCTGACAGTAGACACATACTTAACAATATCACGGGCAATCTGCAAGACAGCGGCTCAAGATGTCAGCTCAGTAAACCCAAGTCCCTCACCCCCCTCCCCCCCTTTCAAGAGGCCACTCATCTGCGAAATCTCACCTTTTCCGGAAACTTTCCCACACTCGTTCCACCGAATTTCTGAACCACCCATCCCAGCTCTGGTGAGTTGCCGTGCATTTCGAATGAATTCCTCTCTTTTTTGGATCTCGCCACACAACAAACAGCCTCAGCCTCTCCCGGCTACGCGCGGGATTTTGAGCGACTGAGAAGAAGAAGGAGAGGGTGTATGTGTCCAGGACTGAGAAGGAAGAGAGTTGAGTATAAGCAGGATAGAGGAAAGAATGTGAACGTTATTGTTTTCTCAGATCGTGAGTGCAACTCGTACGTCTAAAAGTCAGGTCACTCGAAGTCCCAGGTCCCAAAGTCACACTTTTTTTTTTTTCACTCTCTTATTAGTCTGCCTCGCTCCTTCCCCACCGATTCAGGAAACGTACTTTCCCTTACCATTGTTCTGACTCACCAACATGCTCTGACAGACAACGACAATATCAAATATGAAATCAATCCAATTGACGAATACGATTTTTATTTTGTTCCCTCCTCCACTATAGCACTAATTTCTTCTCTCTACTACAGTACTACAGTACTCCGTCTCACTACTACTACTACTACTACTACTACTACTACTACTACTACTACTACTACTACTACTACTACTACTACTACTACTACTACTACTACTACTACTNACTACTACTACTACTACTACTACTACTACTACTACTACTACTACTACTACTACTACTACTACTACTACTACTACTACTACTACTACTACTACTACTGGTATTACTTGGTAGTAACATCGACCCCGTTCTGATGGGCTACCCAGTGCTTGGTATTATTAACCCGATGCCGGCATTGGATCGGGGTACGTACCCCACGTATTCCCATGACTGGAGTGCTTTCCCAGCTCCGTAAAGCGACATCGATAAATGACACGAACACGGCCATATTCATTCAGTACTACTAGTATCACGACGGCTCATCAACATCATTACATCTATCAAACTCATAACAAGCATATAGCATCAATTGGATTATATATAGGAAGAAGTGAAGCCAAAAAAATAAACAATAAAGGACCAAAACCAAACCCGAACCCCAATGGTTCGTCCAAAGCACATACAAAGAACACCCCATACCCAAATCCCTGTGATTACATTAATAAGAAAAAGTTTGGTGTTTTTTTATCTCGTGCTTATTTTTTCTTTCTTCTTCGCCTTCTTCTCCAAATAAGTAATAGTAGTACTCCCCTTTCAACCCAGGATATCTCTCCAAAAGCCCAAAGTGAACAAAACACAAAACAAAAGGGGGTCAACATCCCTTTTGCCTGATATTTCCGTGAAAGAAAACAAAAACAAACAAAAAAGGAAATTTTCATCTCTTCGTCCTGTTGCAACGGTCCTAGGTGGGGGGGCATGATAAAAAAAAGAAAGAATAAAGAGAAAAAATGTGTTCCCATGTACTCGTACAGGGGGAGAAAAAGAAGAGAAAGTGGTAAACGGTAAGTTGGAACATTTGAGACATTTTGAACGTAAGAATACTCCCCATCCCCTCCCTTTGAACCGGTTGCACAGGTGGTATAATATACACACCCGAAACGATGGACACAGGCAAGATTGAACGCCTACTCTGCCAGTTCCGAGTTTTCAACCCCAAAGGTGGTGTACTTGTCCATGGGCAGGTCAGTCTCCGGCGTACGTATCCCTATCCCACTATCCTCGGGCAGGTCCCCCGCCGCATCCAAGACCGGTTGCTGACTGGGCTTGGGGGGGAAAGGGGCGCGATCAGAGTTTCCCGGCGACGCAACCGCTGTGGAGGAGGCATTGTTGATGTTTTGGATGTTGTTGTTGGCAGTGAGTGGTCGGTCCTGGGAAATATCCATATGGTCCATCGTCATCGACTGATCTGCTGAGCGTCGGTCTGTGAAGACCTGCTGCTGCTCTGATGCTGTCGCTGCTGCCGTCGCTGAAGCCTCTCGCGTCTCTCGACGGAGTGACTTCGTTCGGAAGAAGCCGCCCACCTCGGCAAGGAACCAGACCATCTCGTCAAAGAAAGTCTTGGCTACCCACCATGCGCTGAAGCTTGGGCTCTCGTAGATGGTGAGATCGCGCATCACGGCCGAGCCTACGCGCTCCACGCACCACGCAATGTCCGCGTGCGAGGCGTAGGGGAACTTGGAGGGGAGGCTCATCAGGAACTTCCTCCACCGTTCCACACAGGAACCTGCGTCACTGCTGCCGTCACCTCCGACTTGCGCCGAGTTGAACAGGCTAAAGGGGTCCTCGTCGATAGGCAGCGTCTCCGGATCGACGAGGTCCTTGATCGCGTCGCTGAGGAGCCACACGGTATCGTCCATGCCCTGCGTCGGCACGCACTCGGCAATCTTGTGCGGGTTGATCGTCTTGACCCAGTCCGCAAACATCTGGTCCCTGTTGGCTCCGACAGCCATCGAGTTGGCTGCAGCGTGCGCCGTCAGGTTCACGCGCAGCATACGCTCGAGGATGCCGGCAAATATTGTGGCGGGGCCCACCTTGGCCTCGATGACGTGTGCGGGCTGGCCGTGGAAGGCGTCGCGGATGTGGCTCACTAGTCGCGTGGCAATCGTGTGCATACGGTTGATGACGGGCTTGGGGATGGCCTGCAGTGACAGCTGGACGACAAGTCGGGTGAGGCGCTGGTAAAGGACCACGTCGCACTCCTCAATCCACGGTGCGATACTCGGGTTGGCGAACAGCTTCTGTACAGGCATCGTCAGGGTGCCGTGGAAGGATGTGTAGAGGTGGAAGAAGTTCTTCTCCCTGCAGTATCGGAAACTCTCGATGATGGATGTGCACTGCGAGCGGTAGAGGGCGACCAGAGACTGTGCAGCGTCTTGATCCGTGTTTGGGGGAAGGAACGGTCCTATCCTGGGCAGGACGACGGGCTCAGACGAGTCGGCAGCCATGTCTTCTTCCGTCATGAATTCAAGCTTGAGGGGCGTCTTGGTGGAAACCGAGTTACCACCATCGGAATTACGAGTCATGTGTAGAGTGTTATATCGGCTATGTATTCGCGAACCGCGCTTGTTTTGTGATGATGAGCGGCGAGGCCGGCTGTCGACGGGCATCTCGGTTGAGGGAAAGACGCCATGGCCAGTGTCGTCCTGTGTCTGTGCGGGAGCGGTGCTGCACGGAAAGGTTAACGAGGGCTGCCCTGCGTTCGCCATGAATGAATGGAGATGGGGAAGATATTCACTTGAAGTCAAAGTCACCAGTGGGCACCGCCGTGTCGGGTGCGGGGAGTGAATTGCGAGGTATCTCATCGACCAGCTCGGGTGGTGGCGGCTCACGGAGATCAAAGTGGCAGTAGTGATACTTAGACTCGCCCCTAACACCCAGTCGCCTCGTCTTGATGGCCGGGAACACGACGCGGACAAGCTTTCCGAAGCTGGCGGGATTCAGGACCATGACCCTATCGTCTGAGCATCGCGACGCGTACATGTGGTAGACCCGGCCACGGGGGATCGAGTTTTTGCTCTCGACGCAAGCCGAGTTAAGCCTGGAAGAGAGAGAGGTGCCATGGTCAGCTATGGACGGCACGGTATATGTGATGGATCATGTTGCTTCTGCTACCCACCAGAGCATAGCATAGAGTTGACGCTTGCGCTCGGCCTGGGGGCCGCGCTCATTGCCACGGAGATCCTTGGCGACATCGTCAAGAGGGCGGCCGCGGTTGGTCGAGAATAGATCACGCATCTCTCCGTCGTTGTTGGCATTGGACTTCTTTCTCGAAGGTTTTCCAGACGCCGTATTGGCACCCACAGGGTCGACAGGGGTCTGGCTAGCAGACATATCTTCGTGAGCAGCCATCATGCGGGCATCCTCGTGCCCCCAGTTGACTTGGTGAGCAGGATGATGGTGCTGCGGCGGGACCTGGTGAGGGTTAAAGGCCATATGTTGCTGCTGCTGCTGCTGTTGGTGGTGCTGCTGCTGCTGCGGGTGCTGATGCTGATGATGTTGCGGGTGGTGAGCCATGGGAGCTCCCATGGCGTCAGCCATGGCATAGTCGCCGGCGGTGGCCTGCATGTGCGGGATGGCCTGGACAAGCATGTCCTCGGGGCCTATGGGGTGCTGACCCTGCTGGGCAGCGGCGTGGTGGTGATCCTGCCATTGCCCGGCGTAGAGACCAGACATGTCGGCGAAGCTGGCATGGTCGAGGTTTGGTTGTGTTGTGACGCTGTGGGCCGACGTCGTCGACGCTCGGGACTGTGGACGCATCTTGGGCCGGGCAGAGGGATGCGCAGTGGCCGAGTCGACTGCGGGGATGATGATGGTGAGAATTGATTGAATTTGGCAAGACGCGAGGGTGGGTTTATTATTAAGGGGAAGAGAAGGTGAGGGCAAGGCTTACCTTGCTGCATAGTTAAATTATGGCGGTGTCGTAGAAAGGTGAGAAGAGATGAGGGAACGGGGTCTTCGGTTACTCCACAACAAACATTGCCTGTGGGCTTCTGCTATGTTTTTTTCCTTGCGCGCCAAAGACAACAAATAATACGCAGACACACGCCAGGTCTCTTCTCGGGCGTATAGAGATGGGCAATATTACAGAATAGGAAAGAGGAAAAAAAAGGAGAAAATGAGCGTATAGAGACGCCGAATGCAGGGGTTCGAGCAGGGCTTGCAATATCGGGACGTGGACGCGCTATGAATCGTCGTCGAAATGCAAGCAAAGTCGCTTGTTGTGGTTGGAGTGTTTTTCTGTTGCGAGGCCAACGGGAAGAGAAAGGAAGAGGCGAATGCCATACACAGTGAACTGGTGTGTTGTGAATTTGTTATAAGCGTTATGTAAGCCGGCACGCCCCTCATGACCGGAAATTCCGGTCAGCCCCACACAATGTTTTTCGCCAGCCACAAACAAAGGACTGGTGGCTGGTGCTGTGGCCGGTGACGCTCTGTACATGTATGGAGATGCAGTGATGTTATCGAGTCTCGTTCGAGTCTTGAGTATTATCACCAGGAGAATGGTGAGCATCCATCTAATACTAGTATTTGTAGAGGCACATATCCGTAGAGTATTGCCCTCTGTCCTGTCCTGTCCTGTCCTGTCCTGTCCTCTCCTTTGTCCATCTTTCTGACACGCTGCCCCCCAAATGTTCCCCGCTCCACCGTCTGGATCGTTTATGACGGGAGAGCAGATTGCAGGCAAACATGAATGAGACCTCGAGAGACGGGTAATAACGGTAAAATGACCCCCCTATTGAATTCTCATTCTTCGAGTGCGCAGGCAGGACATGATAATAATAACAATGTCATATCAGACCGGATTACTACCACATTACTACCTACCGATGCTCGTAGTAATACTACTCATACTACAGATTACTCCGTACAATCTACCTACCATTCACGCTCGTACTACCGGTAGTATTTATTACCTGGAGCCTCCTAGAACTCCCTCCCTCTCGGTCAGAATTCCTGGCCAAGACGCACAGGCCCTCGGAGCTGGTCCGCAGACCTGGCCCAAAGCTGAGGCCCTTCCTGTATAGGTACACATGTACATATGTACGAGTGCTCGTAGGGCCTCGGTCTACTCATCCTCGTAGAGCGTATATGTAATCTATATACTCCTATGTAATGAAATTTCACAACTCTATTGGGTGTTATTACCGAGCTACTTCGTGCTCGTACCTTCATATCTTGTTTCCGATTGAAGGACGACCACTGGCACCGGCACAGTCCTGCAAACTGTCCACTGTTGGGGCTGAATGTACCGGAAGATAGCGTGGACCCTCGCCCCCTCACCCTGGGACCTTGGGACCCGCGGGGGGCGCATGTACCCCGGTAAGCAGAGAGATCGATGGTACCATTCAGGTTAACATGATACACTGGCTATGTGCCCGAACAAAGTATACGGTACTATATCACATACAGTGAAGATGGTGATGGTAGAGGTAACCTCAACCTTCCAAGTTGTTCCCACCCTTGATGACGCCGTCTCAGAGCCCAGTCCCAGCAGGCAGTCGCACAACCCACGTCCCACCCACCCACGTCAGTTTCCTCTCTCCCCCCCAAAGCAGAAGCCTCCCTCCCATTCTGAACACGCTGGTTTCTCATCATCCGACAGAGAAACCCATCATCACCCACAAAGGTTTTCTTTCCTCTCCCCCTTTCCCTCTTTCTCCATCTCCCCCCTCATCCATTCTTCACCCTTTTTTTTCTCTCTATCCATCTTCCTCGCTTTACATAAAAACTATATAGCAACAGCCAGAACTCGCTACACCCCCATAGCTGCAGTTCTTTCATTACCCCTCTCGCTCACGCACACACACCGCACATCCCGGTTAACCCTTAGCTCCGCCCACAAACGTAGCTATATCGTCAGCTATCAATCGCAGCAACAATGTCTTCGGCTCAGGAAAAGGCGCAGAACTACCTCGGTGTTCTCGATAAGGAGGTGAGAAGATGTTCCCCGGGAGGACGACGCATGGGGCTTGTCCAGCCTTTTCAATGCCGTCATCGTCCCACTCGTCTTTCGTGCCCTTGCAATGGGAAAAGTTCCGTCATCGCTGACCGCCGCCTTTCCGTCGCCATAGCTCTCCAAGTACCCTGTCCTTAACAACCTCGAGAAGCAGGCTGGTGTTCCCAAGGCCTACGCCGCCCTCGGAGCTGCTGCTCTCTACTTCCTCTTCATCGTCTTCAACATTGGTGGACAGCTCCTCACCAACATTGCCGGCTTCATCATACCCGGCTACTACTCTCTCAACGCCCTCTTCAGCTCATCCTCTTCCGATGACACGCAGTGGCTGACTGTAAGACCTTCTCCCATCATAGAAATGGCATCATTTGGAGCTTCGCACAGCTAACTTGCTGTCCGTTCAATAGTACTGGGTCGTCTTCTCCGCCTTCACCGTCCTGGAGAGCCTCATCAGCATCGTCTACTGGTTCCCCTTCTACTTTGCTTTCAAGTTTGCCTTCCTCCTCTGGCTCTCCCTCCCTCCCTTCTAGTAAGTTCCTCCTCATAGCCCATCACTATGAACAAGACTCCGACAGCTGGCTAACAGCCCAACAGCGGCGCCCAGATCATTTTCCGATCTTTCCTCACTCCCACTCTTGGCCGTTACTTCGATGCCTCTAGCCGCTCGTCTGGCCTCCGCTCCAAGGCCGACGGTATCAGCAAGTCTGACTAAATTGATCGCTTCCGTCTTTTCCTAGCCCGCTCCAATTGCCCGACGACCACTCGGTATCGAGCAAGATTGGCCAGAGAAAGAGGCAGCTAGCTCCCAGCTCCGAGAAGCTAGATCAGAGCGATAGGACAGACAGATGCTGTCTCCCCCTTCCCCCACATACACAGTTTAACCAGAGAGGTACGATAGAAAACGAGCTTTAAGAGGTAGTGCATTGTTGGAAGATGACAGTTGGAAATCCTGGAGGGTATTATTATTAATACTAGATGGGTGGTATATGACAGCTGAACACAGGTTGCTCAGGTTTTGTTTTCTTCGCTGCGTTTTGGATCTTGTATTCCATGTTTTTTCCTGTTTGCAACGGCAAGTAAACGACTGAATTATTACTATCAGTAGTTGATGATGCAATGAAACACATGCTTTTGGGGGAAACGCCTTGATGACCATGGCTTCACATGTTGCTCCCACGTGTTCAATCCATTTGCATAAACACCAGTACCCCGGCACCTTGGGCCCATGTCATGCGTCGTCCGTGTCGCGTGCACTCTTGTTTCTTTATTCTTATACGAGTAACCCGTACAGCAGTACGGAGCACCCACAGAGCTCTGTTCAATGCTCTGTTTAACGCTCCTACTAATACTAAATAATATTACATGTACTCTGCAGTATGCACCCAGCTTAGTACGGGCAGTAGGATGGTAATCTCAGTAGGACTGGACGGGAGCTTGCCGTCTTCCCCACGTCATCTATGATTTCACTACAAGCCCCCCCCCTCCCTCCCTCGGCTGAGCCCGGAATGCTACCCAAGTAATCAATAAGCCGCCTTCCAAAAATAGCGAGGGTGCGTACCCTGTGCTCGACTTTTTCGAGGAATGTTGAAATATGAGCTCAATTTCGGGTATTATTAACAGTATTATTACATGTAGCTGTTTCTATCACCTACCATAATAAATAAGGCCCGAGACTTTGTTTACGATATGCTGCAAGTCTGTGATTCGTGTTGGACCTCCCGTCTACATCGCTGGGAGGACTACAGATTACCTTCATCAGTAGAATGCCTTCCGCATCTCCCATAGTAAAGCCCCAACAATTGATATGACCCGGTGCCCCTATACTGCACAAGCACCGTCGGCGATTCTAGAGAAGTTTGGCGCATCAAACTTGAATGTTGCTAAGAGTAGAAAGCCGCATTTCTGAGATTTTCCGAAGAATTCGTGCGAATGTCGCTGAGCAGGGTGGGGGGAGTTGGCAATTCACACAGTTGCGAGCAGTTTCACGGCCTGTCACTATTGGCACAGCTGCGATGATCAGTTTGTCGGGTCGGCGTCTTCGTGGGGAGAGGCAGCTGGTGACAGACAGATGCCAGCTGTGAGGCAGGTGATCTCTCATCTGGCAGGCAAACATACAGGTACAAATTCTTGCTCGAGAGAGCTTCTTGGGAAGACCTCTCTTCAACCCATCGACCGTCGCCGCCATCGTACCGGCTCTCTTAAGCCGACTCTATTTACCATTTGTAAGTACTGGATATTAAATCTTGACCCCGAGCTTGTCCATGGTTGCATGCCACGTTCACCATTTGATATCAGGCTGGACCAAGCAAGTACTAATGCAGCAGCAGTAGACCTGTTGTGGAAGGACGTCCCTAACGTCCCCTCTGGGAAGGAGCTATGGGGAAGGAGCTACATACATATATACACATCTACGTGGCACAGGGTATGGAAAAGACCTTCTGCCCTCACTTTCGTTCCCTGTTGGTATTCGTGACGCTGGTCCCACCATCTCCGTGATCCCCGTCGCCGAGAGACGCTACAAGACCGACTGTTTGAGGTGCAAGCGGCCAAGCATGTTGCAAAGCAGTCGCTGGAAACGACCGACAAGACATACGCCGAGTGGTACAACATGCATCGTATGCCGATACGCTTCTAAGTCGGCGACTAGGTAATGGTTTCCACAAGAAACGTAGAGACAACGAACCAGAAGAACCCAACAACGAACTCCCAGAAGACGAGTATGAAGTTGAAGCCATTGTTGGACACAGGTTCGATGAAAAAAGAAGACTGTACCTTACAAAATGCGTGGGTTACGATGAGCCAGATTGGCCTACGAAAACAGCCTTCACGGACCCCAAGGTCCCAGAAAGATACGACGAATCGGTGGCACAAGACAAGGAGCGGACGGGGAATCAACTGCATCTCAGGAACCCCTATAATAAGATCCTCGCAGTACCAGGTCGGCGTAACGGACAGCAACAAGCCGCAGAAGACCAGAATCTGGCTACTTCTTGCGAAGTACCAGCTTGTCATAATAAATGTATGTCTTTAGAGGAGGGATCGGTCCGCCCTAAAGAAACAATCAAACGTCAGTCAGGATTATATAAAGAGATGAAAAAGGAACATACAGGAAGACGAGCCGCCTCAGCATCAACCGAATACCGCTCAAGGACCAGCTCCTCCAGCTACATGCACATGTGCAGGGGACATTGGCGGGCGACTACCGGTCGAAATCGTCGGCCAAGGGAATGCGCGCAACTCTCGGCCGCTACAGGTCAATCCTTCCGTGCACTTTCAGAACGATACTTACAGCTTATTGTAGCTTGATCGCCCTAGCCCGGTGCTCCAGTTGAGGTGCCCCGCCTTGGGTGCATTCGTTCCGCTGCGTCAGGCAAGGAGACGGGGAAGTGCATTGCTAGCGCTGGTCGCGCAAGGCGTTATCAGCAACAACGAACATCATTGCTCAACTCTCCTCAGTTCATCTCAGCCTTCCATGTTGCGGTCCCTCCTGGAGATCCTCCCCTGAAAGAGAATGAGAGAGGAGGATCTGACGAGAAGGTAGAAGAGAGAAGCAAGATCAAGGCACACCACGTAATTTGCTGCACTGCTTGGTGCATCGTGTCCTTGATCACAACCTTGTGAACCCTGTCGCGGAGGGACGTTACATGGTATTAGCAATTCAACATTAGTATCTGTTCAACCGCGCGGGCGGATACCAGTCCCGGAAGAACTCGTAGAGACGAACGTGCGTCTCAAAGCGGCAGGCGAACCGTCGCCGAAACCCATCACTAAGTTGTAGCCCGTCGGCTCTCGAATCAGCATACCGACCATCTATCGGCTCCTCGAAACACGATACAACCTAGACTAGGCCGGAAGCTCTAAGACTCTCAAGGCTCGGTAAGCAAGGCCATAGTGAGAGGCGAAAGGACAAAGGCATTCAGAAACTATAAGGATATGTAGCACCACCTGATAGCTTGACGTTGGCCCCCCCTTTGAGATGAAAGCGGCAAGTGACGCTATTCCCAATCAGTAACTTCCTACATACGCTGCCCACCAGATTACTAAGGTATCAATCCTAACAGTTTGAGCCTTGAGAGTACGAGAGCGCCTTATGTACGACTTATTAACGAGTAATATTATTTGCAGGAGATCCTGGAGAGGTACACTCCGCAACTTTACCGCATAAAATAATACTACTCCGTACGTAATTCGGTACGTTCCGCGTACCAGATCACACCCCCTTCGTATCACCAAAACCCACGACCTTTTCAGCGGACTCTTCCTTCTTGATGGGCGGCACAGTCAGTCGCTCCCTGTCATCTGTCATTTGCCAATGAGGATGCCATACGCCATCAATCATCTGTCAACAAATACACACACCTGTACACCCTAACGCCGTCGTCTCGAATCGAATATCCCAGCAGCGGCAGGGACACAAGCCTCCAATACTCGAGTGGTAACAGTACTACCTAGGAAATCCGTCACCTGCCGCCCCTACTTTCGCCTGGGAGGCAGGACCCGCGTCTATAAGATGCGGTTGAATCCATGGTTGGCGGTGTCCTTCGCTGCCATCCTGACCACCCCCCCCGCTATCGTCGCCCAGGCCGCCGAACTCGTACCATTCGATGCGACTCCCCTCGATACCGGGTTGAACCACCAGGGCCTCGGCGAACCGCAGCTGGCGCCATCATACGGAGACGACCTTGGCGAGCGCAGTGACGATGCCTTTCCATCATATGAACCCGATATCGGCCCGTTTGGGCGCAGCATCGTCGGAAGAGCAGCCGTCAGCGGCGTCCCCATCCGGTTGGAGCAACCGTCACCGCAGAATATCCAGCCCAATGGGTCGACGTGCCTGGTGGTGTTGAAAGACACAATATTCGGGACGAGCTCCTCCTCATCCAGCCGGAGACGCGACGTGCAGGATGGGGGCAAGCATGAAGATCATGAGCGCCGAGCCACGAACAAGACCATATACCTGTCATCGACGACATGTCTGATGCCCGGTCTAACAGACGTCAACGGAAAGAGCAAGCAGGCACCACAGCTGCAGCTGCTGGCGTCGACGTCGGAGAGCACGGGGTGCCCGACGAGTACCAACGACGTCGACGACGACATGTGGGTGTCATTCGACGAGGGTATGGCGACGCTGTCATTTAACGTGTCGGACAGCCCCGTCTACATCAGCGTGTTGGCACCCAATACGAGCGGGCAGTTCTCGGACATTTACAACGTGGAGGTGGCGGCGTCGACCGACTCGTACTACCACTCGTACGACGAGAACAGCGACAGCGACAAGGCGGTGCTCTGGATGGACAGCGACTCGAGCGCCGCCCTGCTTGTGTCGCGGAATCTGACACTCGACCCCAGCAAAACCCAGGAGATTATGAACCAGTCGGCCCCCTACGAGCTCTATGTCGAGAATGACGCCTACCCTTCCCTGAAGGGCATGCGGCGCTCCCTCTGCGCCATGCAGGGCCAGGCCCTCATCTCGGCTAACAGGGCCAACACGGGCCGGCAGAATCAGCTCGTCCACACTACCATGACGACGCGTGGGACCGGCGGCTTCCCCAAACAGCAATTCTACTTTGAGGGCCTCAACCGCACGTCCGTCTACACTGCTATTCTCGTCCAGGTGTCCAACTCCAGCGGCTCCGTCTCTGGCTTTGATGAGCGGCAGACAAGTGATGCGAATCGTCGGTACACGGTCTTTTCACCCATCCAATTCCGTACTCTTTCCGGTACATCCTTCCCCCCAACCCCCTATCCCTCCTTTCCTCACCCCTAACCCAAGAAGGATTGTGGCTGACCCGCAAAACACAGGCACGACATGCAAGATCATCACCGACCTCGACTTCTGCACGGACACGCAGTACGCGGTTCCCGGCGGCGGCGACAAGGTCAACGGGTCAGCGCTGGCCACGCTGTACGACAACTACGCGCGGGACATGTACGGCAACTTTGAAAAGGCCATGATGCAGGTGGCCTGCGAGACGGACGCGACGTCGCGGTACTCGCTTGCCCGCGGGTGCGACGACTGCAAGGAGGCCTACAAGCGGTGGCTGTGCAACGTGGCCATCCCCCGGTGCGAGGACTACACGAGCAGCAACGAGTTTGCCTATGAGCGCAACGTCGGGCAGCCCTTTCCCAACGGCACCCTGCTCCCGGAGAGCGAGCGCGAGGCCCTGTCCAAGACGCCCGGCCACAACTCGTCGCGCAACGCCTTCATCGACAGCGCCGTCTCGCCGGGCCCCTACAAGGAGATCCTGCCCTGCGAGGAGCTGTGCTACGAGGTCGTCCAGAGCTGCCCGGCCGTGCTGGGCCTCGGCTGCCCCCGCCCCGGCATGGTTGGCTTCGAAGCCAGCTATGGTCAGCGTCTGGATGACAACTCGCTCGTCACGTGCAACTACCCCGGTCAGCCGAGGACAAAGGTAGCCGGTGCCGTCACGCTGGTGCCATCTCTCGTCACCACGATTTTGAGTGTTTCCGTGGCAGTTTTCGCCCTGGTATAATGTTGATTTTCTATCATGAAGTGGCGTATGGGAGATGGGGTACATGCATGATTTTTTCTTCGGTATCAAAATGAGCGGCATGGCGTTTTTTTCATCATGTGTTGCATTTTTTTTCGTTTGGCAGTGCCGGGGTATGATTTGGTATCTATTATATTATACAAAGTTGAATGACTCCATGTCGAGAGCGGTAGAAGAATGGTCTTATCTGGGTGTACACGTGTTCATTTCGACTTTTCAGATTTCTTGAACTCTTCCACCTTGGATTCGAGATGAGAAATTGTGTCTGTATATGGCAGATTGTCAGCAAGTCTGTTATTCTCCTTCTCCTCATTCTCCCTCCCCCAAAACTCACCAGCCGTTTCGGCGCGTATCTCATCAGTCTCGAGCTTCATCCACCCAAAGTAGACGAGCTGGTATGTCAACACGGCGATGAGGAGGACCTTGGAGACTGGTCTGGTAAAGGTCTTGTAGAATTGTGCCTATAATTTTGTCACATCCTCAGCTCAGCCCTGTCCTCTGTATCTCCTTCTCTCTCTCCCTCTTTCTCCTTCGCTGGGGGAACATCTCTCACGGCCGGGTTTTTGCTGGGAGATTTGGCATCTTCCTTGGGATTGGATGGCGTTGCATATGACCGAACATAAGGGATTTGTTTGGTCCTGACGGTATTCAATAAAGGTGCCCTTCCCAGGGGGTGCAGCCTCATTAGGCGTATCGTTGTCGTTGATGCCATGCTTTCGCTGTCTGTGTTGTGAGTGAGTGAGTGTGAGTGAGTGTGTGTGTTTGTAGCTCGTCAACGTTGGTTTCGCGATTCATAGGAGGACAGAAACGTCCCCCCCCCCTCCCAAAAAGCAACAGACAAGAAACCATTCTTACCCATTCCAAAAATCATAGTGGCTGTGCACCCCGCGTTCAAGCCACATGGTCCCCAGTCAATCTGCCCCCCCCCCCCCCTGTAAAGGGGAAAAGAAAAGGAAGAAAAAAAAGAAGGAAAATCGGCTAAGATTATCGAAGCTTCCTTGAAATGACAGGACACCATTGCCTTTTACAACTACCACAATTGTACGGTACATGAAGGGGAGTTTGGCCACGTTTCTTAACTTGCTGCTGTAATATTACCAACTCCGACTTCTTCTTTCCCTCGAGGACTTCATCACAACCTTTTCTTTCTTCTTCTTTTTTTTACTACTACTACTGTCAACAACACAAAAAAAACCGTTATTCACAATGGTATGTTAGCGCGCGACCGACCGAGGGTTTGCACTCCTGCTGCCCCCCCCCCCCCCCCCCCCCCCCCCCCCCCTTTAGACCCTATGGCTAACTGGCAATACCACGTAGGCTGCCAATGGAGCTCTCGAGCAGCGCAGGCGTAATGCCAAGTTTGCAAAGAAGCAGGAGAACCGTATGGGAAAGTCGGAGGAGCAGCTCAAGACCAACAAGGCCAAGGTGGTGCGCAAGTCGCCCATTTCCCCCGTTTGGATGAGTATGTCCCTCCCTTTGCCCCCCCCCCCCAAGTCTTCTTCTCCAAGAACTCCTTGTTCTTCTTTTTCGTCTTCCTCTTTCCTCTCCCTCTGCTCCCTGCGCTCCTGCTAATATGGACCCCTATAGTTGTCCTTGGCTTCATCATCTTTGGAAGTCTCCTGTTCGAGGCCATTTCGCGATTCTTCTTCTAAACATCACTCCGCGAAACCCATCCTCCCCCTCTCCCCCTCGACCAGACGACACGCGACGCAAACGCACACACACACACCCACTCATATATACACATATACTCACTCATCCACGATTGCGCACATACATACCTCTCCTCTCTCTCTTCGTACTCCTACGAGATGAAGGGGGACACTAAGATGACAGCGTTGAGACCTGTTGGGGTCCGATATCGCAACGTTGTACTCAATTCACCATGTACAAAGGGGGCATCTTGCTCATTTCTTATCAGGGGGTGTTCTATTTTTGGAGATGGATATTTTTCTATCTTCCTTTCATTTCGTTTGTCTCATTTCTTTGTTACGGGGAGGGTTATATTTTAATTCCCTTCTTTTTCCTTCTTCCCTTCATTTTTTTTCCTCTTTGATTTTTCTCAAAGGTCCTGGCGCTATGCTGTCACAATGAAATGGTGGTGGCCGAGAACAGATTAGGAAAACGTGAATGCAAGCAATATTGTTGGACGTGTGAAAAAGCACGCGCGCGCGCGCGCGCGTGTGTGTGTGGAACGGAAGGAGAGCTATGCGCCTAGACCACGACGTCCAGGACCACCCTCGTTCTTCTGCTTCATACCATTCTCAAACTGTCGTTGGATGTCGGCCTCGGCCTTGATGGAGCTAGACTTGCTGCCGCCAGCCTTGCCAGATGGCCCCGTCGATATGCCGCTCTTCTTACCACCCAGGAGACGCAGCATCTTTTCCTGACGGGCCTTGCCGCCCTCCAGCTCGGCAATGTTCCACCGCTCAGCTTCCTTACTGTTGTCCTCGTCAGCGGTGGTGGCAGCGGCATTAGTAGGCTTGCTCTTCTTATTATCCTTCTTCTCCTTCTTTTCTTTCTTTTCCTCCTTTTCTTTCCCTTCCTTCTTTTCTTTCTTTTTCTCTTTTTCTTTCCCTTCCTTCTTTTCCTTCTTGGGTCTAGGTTCAGCCTCAGTCTTAGCTTCAGACGCAAATTCAGGCTTGACCTCGTCAGTCCTCTTGCGCTTTGCCTTCTTGTCGGTCTTGCTGATCTCGTCTTCCTCTGGCTTCGTAGACTTGCCGCTCTTTTTCTTATCCTTCTTCGTCTTGGGTCGGTGCTCTCCGGCCTCGGAAACGCTCAGGATGGACCCGGCGTCACTCTCACGGCGCTTCTTGAGGACAATTTCGTCTGCTGGAACACTGGCGGCCTTGTCGTCGTCGTCGTCGTCGTCGTCGTCGGCCACAGCCACATCAGCCCCGCCAGGGGCGTTGGAGGATGTAGACTCGTCATCGGAGGAGGAGGTCTCATCATCGTCATCGTCATCGTCAGCCATGGGGACGTCCTCGTCCTTGGTGGCGGGCTTGTCACCCTCCTGGGCAAGTCTCTTCTGTGGAGGGGAGAGTAAAGTCAGCATGTGATTTCCTAACCCAGTAGCGTTGGGGAGGAGAAGAACGGACCTGCTCAATCTTGACAAGCTGCTCGTACTGCCTGGCAGCCTTTTCTGACTCCTCCATCAGCCTGGCAGCCTTGACCTTTAGCTTCTGGGACCGCACGAGCAGCCTCCTCCTCCGGGACTCCATCTTGCTGGGTCGGTTGAGGATAGCCAGTGCCTTATCATCTCCCTTTTCTGCCGCGTCTCGCGCGCGTCTGGCCTCTGCTTTGGCCTGACGACGAAGCTTGCGGACCTCTGTCTTGCGCTCCTTCTTGGCCTCTTTTGAGTGTTGAAAGATTTAGCATATTCAAGTCTTTTTTCTTCTTCTTTTTCTTTCAAGATGGGAGATTGGACTCACTCTTTTCGGCCTTTGACTTGCCGGCGGTAACTCCCATGATGTCTAGACTTGTTTTCCTATCAGGTCCTGGATATAAAACGGATTGGACAATGGTTCGTTTGGGCAGACGAGCTGGAGTTGAAAGAATTTATGGGTCGAACGACCGTTGCAGCAAAGAAGGCTCGGAGACAAGACAGAAAGAAAATGATGGGTCCGGGAATTTCTGCCGGGCGGTGTGGAGATGATCGGTTTGCCCCACCAAGGCTCGAACCTCGACAACTCGTACTCGTACATGTACAAGGTTCCAGACCGATTACATGATGGATAGATACCACGAAAAGACTTGAAAACAGCAAGTTGGGTAGTAAACGTATTCTTGCCCTTCATGTCCAATCTAATACCACCATTATCGAGGCTTCGTACTATACTTGCTATTATTAGTAATACCCTCACCATCATGAGCGTCTCTCGCACCATCTTCCTAATCAGGCAACTGCACTTATACACCTCGAACCTCTTTCTCAACCCATCATAACATCATTTCTATCCGAAAAAAGGATAGAGAGGGAAAGGAAAGTAAAAGGAGTGTGTACAGACTATACTAGACCCGCATAGACCCCTATGCCCATTTCAGATTCAAAGTATAACCTATTTACCTGGTGAAACGACCTCTTAGTACTAGGGACATGTATTCTAGACAAGATTGAACGCCTCAGGTATTACGCCACGCCAGTTACATTCTCATGGCCTGTCTACCATGTGTCCATGATCGGAGTAGAAATAGACGTGGTAGTAGTATCACTTCCAGAAAGTCGACATTAACAGCAGGCGCTCGTACTAGCTAGTAGCTGTGCTGGTATTCTCCCCAACGTAAAGAAGGAGAAAGCAAGCCATATATTGACAGGTTCGGATTAGCACAGCTTTCTATACTCACACCCAACTTTGTACCATTGTACCGCGGTCCGTGACCGCCTCATATCTCGACCCGTCGTATTCTCAAGCCGTGTGACACGACAACAACTAGTTCTCACCCCTTTTCGATCCAGGCCTTCGTCTTTTTTTCCCTTCACGTTTCTCAGGGCCCAGGCACGAGTGAATGTCGGTGATCGAGATGAGGTCACATGGAAGCAGTGCTTGAGAATAACGAGTTTTATACGAATTATAACCTCGTTCGCCTCATTCACACACTCTCCATCTCTCTCCACAAGTCTCTCGTGTTCTTGCATGCTCTCAAACGTAGTAGATATATAGAAGCTGGCAAGCCGGAGAGAAGTGGAAAAGAAGGATGCCATCAGTAATGCATATATGTTCCAATAATCACATGCCTCGCCTTGCATGACATGAAGGAGATGAAGTCGGCTCGGAGTCACGAGTAGACAAAGAAATAGAAATTGAGAAATGAATCAAGATCAAGAAGCAAACAATGGAAGACACACACGCAGAGATGAAAGCACAAGAGGTATATAGTGTCAAGTTCTCGTCGTAAACCGCCAGTAACAAAGAAGAAGGAACGAGTAACAGAAGCTGTCATCGTCGTGTCGTAGCAGAAGATAAATCATCATAATGGCGACAGAGAGTTGTACCCTTGTAGGAATGCGTCGAACGTATACTGCACATTGGGCATATACGAGTCGTCGGGTAAGCTGCTCTCGTATCCCGACATTGCCTGTGGGAAAGCACATGGCGACGCCATGGGCTGCATCATCAGGCTGATGCTGCTCCTGCCACTGTTGCTGCTGCCGCTGTCCGGTACGCTCTCGTCGCCACCGCCGGTATACGCCGTGGTTGCGCGACCGCTGCTCCGCCTGCTCTCGAACTCGTGCCCGCGAGCGATGGCGTGGCCAAAGTTGAGCCCTCCCCATGGTAGTCCACACGGTTCGGTGCTCCAGGCAAAGTCGTCTGCTGTGGGTATGCGGTAGGCGTTGCCAGCGTTCTCTCTGTTCTTCGAGTCTCGGTCCGCTCTCTCTTTGTTTTCTCTTGCCTTCTTGCCTGTTTCGAATTTGTGTTAGCCCACATGTGCATCATCTTTCGCATGGGTAGAATGGGAACCACGTACGGAACTTGCGTTGTGCAATGCGATTCTGTATGCGCCGCCTCTCTTCCGGGTCCGTCACATCTGTCCAGTCCGGCTCCTGCAGTGTAGCCTTAGTCCGCCTGCTCCTGGACCGTGGCACCTCGGACTCCTCTGGACTTGCTGGCGATGCCATTGACACAGGAGAGCTGATGCTGCTGCTCGGTGTCGGCATTCTGAACTCTTTGGGCTCTTTCGAGACCCCTTTCTTGGCTGGCTTTGTTAAAGCCAGGGACTTCCTTGGTGTTTGGCGTGGGCTGGCAAAGGCAGACTTCGTCGCGTCTTCAGAGAAGCAAAAGGTCTCCACGTCGCTCTTATAGTCTGGGGATGCTCCCTTGATACGGACACTCGGCGGTGTCAAGGGTGTAGAGGCCTGGGGAGGGAGAGCAGAAGACATCGATCGACGTCCAATCCTCGCTGAAGAATCTGTAGGTTACTGGGATTCGTCGTCTATGCTTTGTTTCTCCGCCTGGACCCTGATGTCTTATGCGCTTGGTGCTCTTACGGCTGACCACAGTTGGTGCCGCTCTGTATTGCTTGTGTTGTTCTCAAGTCGGTCGGGTGGGACTGTTGTAGGCGTGCTGAGAGAAAGTCGTAAACTTGTTCATCCAATGTAGTTTACAGGAGTCGAGGAGCTGACTGCACGGGTCCCCTGTTATATTATATATATGACCCGCTGTTCGCGACTGCGGGGTGGTAAGGCGAGGCTGGCCTGCTTTCCAAGACCGACGAAGCGAGGTGGCAGCGGCCTATTCCGCAGGGCGCTACGGTACCAGGTTTGGCAAGAACAGGGGGGGAGGGGTGTGAACAGACTAGCCTGATAGATTAAGGAGATCAGCACCTCAAAACCCCGGTATTGGGGACTAGCACAGCCCGTATTCCGTATTCCGTCCTTGTATCCGTACATCCAACTGGGACACACGGCAACATGTAAAACCCGGAATGCTTGTCTGACGAGTTGGGGGCCCAAAGAAGATGCCTCATGTAATGCCCAGTTGTCTCTGTATGCTCGCAATATATGCCTTCAAGGTGCCTCCGCACATAATTGGATGCCCGATGGCCAGAATACTATCGAGAATCAGCGAGTAAATGACACTTGGGTATTGGGTGTCGTTGACCAACCACAAGGATCTGTTAGTATTTGGATCAATGTCCACATACTGATGTCTACGTATCAATGATCACATTCACCAAGGTTCTCGTACCCTTGATTTGCCTGGCGGGAATTCGGGAAGGCAAGGCACGCGACAATATTGATAGTCGCCCGGCAGGCAGACGGGACCATCGTAATTGTACTCTGTACACGTACGATGAACAGAAAAATATACTGCACACCCCTCCCTCATACAATACATATTTCCGTCTCGCCTGAAAGCCGATACCCCTGCTGGGAACGGATTCAGTGTAACAGAATGGGGGGGGGGGGGGGGGAGGCGTGTGTCTTCGGACAGGCTAGGACGACGTGGAACTGTTAGCCCGGTCCAAACTCTGGCATGTCGCAACGGATACGCGTTATTAATCAACTTATTAGCAGCGTCTATGAGAAGGGCACTCAATCGGGTGGCAGCGGTTACCCGCAATCCAGGATGGTCAGTGTGACTCTTTCTTTTTCTGGATCCCCAACTTCTGATCTTCTGGATGGAGAAAAAGGTGCACGCACAAAGATTGAGAGAAGAGAGAGGTCAAGGGGGGTGCATGTGTCTCTCTCTATGTCACCTACTTGCCATATTCGTGCTCTCGTGTGTGCGCTGTGCCTGCGGGTTGTAAACATCTGCGGTGAAGGTGTAGGTGCAACAACCATCTACTCTGTACTCTGAGCACTGATGGTGCATGGCTTTGGTAGACCGTCAGCGGTACAGGACCCCTACAGACCATATCATGGAGTCGTGGACTATGATCGTCGGCCGATCCAGCTGGAATGCCACATGGCAGACATTGTACATACTCGGAGTACTCCGTACTCAGTAGGGGGAGATGGTACGTCGTAAAGCCATCCCCTGCAGATGCCGGCCTGAATTCCGAGCTCTGGGGGATATTCCTCCATCTGGCCGCCCATGACCCTGCCAAGCCTATATTTGTAGCCATTGCTTTTAGCGTCATTTTGTAGTTTTCATTTCTCCATTCGGCGTGTTGCTTCTTTCGTCGTTTCGCTCCCACACCTCCACACCCCCTAAGATGGTTTGGTTACTCAAATTCAAGGTCACGCGAGTCTAGATGCTGTCGGTGGTCAGCCTTCGAGTTCACTTGGTGCAAAGTCAGTCCAGTTATCACAGAGACATGGACACAACAACCCACCACACCACCAGTCGGGGGGGAGGGGGGAGGGGGGGACAAGAAAAAATGGAGAGATGAAAGTCATTGCAGAGACGAGACGACGTGAGACAGCGGCCCAGGGCCAGTGGTCTAGTGTCAAGTCGGTGATATTAGGTCGGCCGCCAGATGGTTCACAGCATCACGGTTGGCCGCCTTTGATGCGGATGTGGTAAGACGCCGCGTGAGCTGGGTCCAGTGCGGCAGATACGAATAAGGGCCGACATTGTGTGTGTGTGTGTGTGTGTGTGTGCATGGTAACGTGGTTGCGCGGGTACCAGCTGTTAATCCGGCTCGTTGGTTGTTGGTTCGAGGTTCGAAGAGGAATGAGGGAATATACTTGATGCGAGTACGAGGTTTGAGGATGATGATGATTCACCAGGGGATGGGAAAAGGATTGAACGCTTTTGCCTGGGGCTGTCGTCTTGGTACCAGGGAAGGAGCGTTCTGGTCGTAGTTACCATAACGCGTAAGGTGCTGCCTTTGTAAATCTCGTGACATCTTTTTATCACTAGCACTGCTGTACTACAGCTAGCTGTACGGTACAACACTAGTAGTAGGTTACCTGCAAGCTGCTACATGTACAGATTACAGTCTACTATTACTATATGTATATACTGCCGTCGCCATTCCTTCCCTGCCTCGTCAATCCCCTCTGTCGCACCTGCCCGCCTTGTTTTCAGGGCCTGGTCCGATCCTTCCCAACATGTTTAGCCTGTGCTCCCCTTTTTTTCTCTCTTCTCTCTCTGTCTCTCCTCCTCCTCCCCGTGTACTCATAGGGATGGGTGTGTGTGTGTGAACTCTTGCACAGCTCTGGACTAGTCTACATGTATGGACGACTTGGCATTGCCTCATAGTACTGCAAGTACGAGTACCACATGTACGACGCAATAATGAGTACGGAGTACGGTCTACGAGTACGAATCCAGGACGCCCACTCTACATGCGCTTAGCGGCCCTCTCCAACCAGGTCAATCCTTACGCGATTGGCCCATTACGAGTCCTATGCGATTGGCCCATACAAGGCTTCCTTAATTTTAAGCTCGGGCGCAAGGCATTCTCATCCTTGTCAGTATTTCTCTCACAATGTCCCATGTGCGGAAAACCTGGAGTCAAGCGAAGATACAATGCGGAAGAGTGGGAAGAGTGTTACAATGGGGGCGTCAAAAGAGTGATCACGCCCTGCCTGACAAAGGGTGACAGCCAGCTTACGTCTTCCATGTCACACTCCAGGTCAAACTCCGGACCGTAGCTCATGACGTACATGTGCCGTGTCGCGTACCTACAGTAGAGGGGTTGCCGAGGGGTCTGTCACTCTTGTCACCTGGAGTTCTCTTTGACGCCACCTCTGCCAGTTTGTCGGCTCCTCCGTGCCAAATATGGCATCGAGTACGACATCTTCACGACCCTGATTCCCGACTTTCCGACTCTGCCAAGACTCTTATGTATGCCGATCACCGTTCTCTGTCCTGGCCGGGCGTTGTGTGTCACTCCAAGTACGCCGTCGAGCGGTTATGCATCGGTGATTCTGCTATTAAGCCTTGTTACGTATAGTGTTCCCTACATGTAGAGACTGACACGGCCCATTAACCACTTTCTACGTGTTATCTCTCCTTCTCCCCCACACACCACTCGCATAGCAGCCACGTATTGACGCCTGTTGGATTGACAGCTGAATCTCAACAAGCGAATGAAGATGGCCACCTATGAACGGCTTCAGAACGATCCTGTTTCCGGGGATCTATTCCACCGAAGGATCCTGACTCCCAATGCGCTGTGTCCACACATCCAGAACTCTGCATTTGTCGCAATTTAAACAGAGAATATTGCTATATCAAGCGAGAAGATTCGTTTTCGCAGCCAATTCAGCCTTGCGTACCTTCCTACATGGTGCTATGACACACATACTGTAGATCAGCCCATCTCACACGAATTTTCCAGAATAAGAAGATATAATCCATGGCCATCGTAATAAAGCTAAGCAAGGAAGAGTGACGGAGGCTTATTGGTGCCAGGAGTGGCAAAGGTTTGCCAGCTCGCCGCCGGTATCGGCTAAGTGAAAATCAACAGGTCGGCATTGGACTATTAGAAGAATGCGTCGTTGATCTCACCAAGGGGAGTAACAACAATCCCCAGGAGAAGCTTGTCTTGATGGGATTCGAGCTTGCGGTCGAGTAGACATACCTGTACTACATTCCCCAAAGCGACACCCTTCTTCTCAACAAGGATTAGATTCTTCCTGATATCGCCAAATACATTGCTTCTGTTGGCGTCATCCCAGGTCTAGTGTCTCTACTCCAGATCTTTCGGTTCCGCTGAAAAGATATGAAGCCGAACAATAAGGAGACGACTCTGGCCGGAACTGCTGACAACGCTGACAATGATACTGTAGCAGCCTGTGCTCTAGCTGCTTCTCTCTTACACCCAGAGACTTATGCTCCAACGGCAATGCTGCCAGATTACCGGAATCTTCACGAGGCGAAAGGCAAAGGATCCTACTGCTACGTCCCCAGACTGCAGGATATCTCTACCGTCGCCATCCACGCTTAGGATCTGCAGCCGTTCCCACCAGCGCTCAACTCGGAGATGAAACCGGCTCCTGTTTTCCCTTTTTCTTCTCTTTCTCTTTCACATGTTCCTACTTGACCGGCCTTGGTGGCAGTAACTCGTCGTGCGTAGATATTGTATTGCGTCGGGTACTATATATAGTATCCGACGGATGCTGCGTCCGTCGGTCCTGCTCCTTAAAGCAGCAGGGTGCAAGAAAAGCCCGTTCACAAATATGGCCCTCTATGCAACGCCTGTTGGGGTCTGAGAGGGGGGCGCCACACGAGCGGGAGCCTTGCGTTGACACCCTCCTTCCAACAAGTCGCATACATGTACGTACGAGACCGGAGTACAAGTGACGGAAATGGGTCGAATCAAACAATTGCCGTAACTCGGTACTCATTGTCAGGTGTATATGTAAGTCCGAGTATGCCTAGTATGATAGAGCATCTGTATGTATGGAGAACATAGAGCACTCCTATGTAATAATGTGGAGTATTGGTATAAGACGGGGGGGGGGAACCCGGCCCCATTAAGCGATGATAGAACGGAGGCTTTCCGTGACTCAGAGCGGTACGGATACACGTGCGCTAGTGCATTCCGCGTTTCTCGCTTATTCCTCCTCCACTCATCGTGGAAAGTAGATTTTCGCTAGTTTCTCGCGGGTTTTTTTCTCTCTCTCCTTTATTTATGTTTTAAGTTTTTTTATTCTGTTTTCGCTACCTTTTCTAATGAGACACTCTTTTCTTGTCATGGGTTCAATCTGATTGTACGGAGTATTACAAGTGACCACTGTTTCGTACGGAGATCTACTCTCTAGTATATGTCAAAGGGTCAGTTGACAATAGTAGTACGCAGTTAATACTTGGTACTACTACTTGTACGGCTTACATTTCTTCATGTCTAATATGAATACAGAGAGAGTGTGTGTGTGAGTTGTACAACAGCTCTGTGTCGATGGTCGGCGTTCTTGGGACTTGATGATTGGCAGCTCGCACAGGATTCCCAATCAGGAAACGATCTCACCGCCCCATATGGGTACGGCATATTATTATAATCTGCAGGTCGGGAGGGTGTGTATATAGTGATTTGAATCTGATCATCGGCCGCCGCATGCAATGAAGTTTGGGAGTCCTAGGCGCAATGCAGAGCCCGGCTGTTGTTTTTTGCTTTTGTAGAGAGAGTGTGTGGGACGACTTGCATGCATACTCGTACATGTACGAGTAGTGCTGGCTGGTAGTGTATGCACTCTCCTACGCCCAGGGCTGATTGCAGTGGCTTCCATGTCTCTCCTGAGCTGTAAGAGCCGCATTCTTCAGGGTTTCTGGGGCATCCAGCATATGAGAGAGAGGTCAAGAAGATACCAAGGAGGAACTCGGCAAGCACAGCTACACAATGTTTCACCAATGGTAGCCAATACTTGCCATGGCAGACCAGACGGCGAGGCCTAGACCGTGATTGCAGGACCATCTTGATCCTTCTTCTTTTTCTACTACTCAAGCTAATAGCCAAGAGTAGATTGAGACGAATTGTCTTGTGCTCACACTCGTGGCTGCAGCTGCGGCCTCTCTGCGCGACCCAGAAGAGTTCGGTTGGCAGAGTCCCGGACGCCACATGTCTATAGGGTAGTCCGATCTGTACCGCCCAGCTGTGTTGGTGGGACGTCGTCGGAGGTTGAGTCGTCGAGCACTTGGGGGGCCAGTGCCGTCAAATTGCGAGGTCTGCTCTGAAGCTCCATTGTCAGCGCGTTGGGCAACAAGCGACCGATGCCGAAGCAGTATTGAGAGTGGAACGATGGCCCGCGAAGCTGGAACGATGGCGAGGTAGATGTTTGCTTTGACCATCATATATAGCGTTCCATTGCTTCCACGCTCAGTAGTTGAAGCTAGAGGAGTCACTGTCAAGATGAGTATATGTAGGGGGGAAAAAAGCGACGATGCACTCTTGGTAGGGGTTCGAAGCTAACGGTATTCCTCTCTTCTACTACTCAATGGCCAGCCAAGTGGGTGGGATCATATGATTGTGTGTAACCACAGGCCTAACCTTACTTGTTCGCCTTTTACAGGCGAATCCGAACCTACATATGTGCTTACCGGTCATGGTTGCTGCGATTCAACGGCCAAGCTAAAGGTGTCGGGATATATTTCACACATATTTGGCACGGTCTGGTAGCCTGTAGTGCTCTGATCCATCGGCAAACGCCAGGAAATGTATTGCTTCAAGTAGTACAAGACATGCGTAGTAGTAGTAGTAGTAGTAGTAGTAGTAATAGTAGTAGTGGTAATATACATTACCCAGACCATTCCTCCTGGTCACAAGTAGCTGAAAGCAACCGCCCCCCCTCCCCATCTTAGATGACAATTGCAACCGACAGACACACAAAAGTTTTACAGCTTGGACAGGATCTCTGCTTCCCTCTCGGCCCTGCGCTCGGCTGACCTCTTCTTGAAGCGGACCTCGGAACGCCTCCTCTCACCACCGTCAATCTTGCGGCCCTGGCGGTCTTCCCACATACCCTCAGTGACCTTGACGCTGGCGCCGCTCTTGGCGAGCGGAATGGCAAAAGGTCCGGCAATCGTCTTCTCACCCCGGACAGTGTACCCGAGCGGCCGGGGCAGGAGAAGCTTCCCGCCAGCAGCAGCAGCAGCATCCTCGGCGGCACCCTCGGCCTCGGGATGGGGCACGTTGACGACAAATCTCGTCTGCTTGACCTGCCCGGCGGGCGGCAGCGCCGTCCTGAGCACGGCCTCGCCGTCCTTGACAAACTCAAAGTCGCCCCCGGGGCCCAGGTCGCCCTTGCGGTACTTCTGCATCCACCGGAGCAGGTACTTCCTGTTGCGCGCCGGCTCGATGCCCAGCTGCTGGAGCTCCGGGCCCGTCAGGGAGAAGAGGGACTCCCACGTAGGGAACTTAGACGCGTGCCTGCTCAGCCCCCGACCGATCAGGGTCAGGAAGGTCGGTACGTCGGGCACGAACGGTCGCGGTGGGGGGATCGGGTGCGCCTCTCGCGTCCGGTGGAGCCATCGTCGTGCCGTCTGCCCGCCGACCGCTGCTGCTGCCGAGAAGGGTTTTGTCGTCGTCGCTGATGCCATGAAACCCAGGCATGGCCGCAGTCGCTCCATCCTGGTCGTCATTTTCTCCTGGGGGGCTTTTCTCGTCTGTTTAGGTGGGAATAAGTGGTCAGATGTTGCGATTCCTCCTCCCGGAAATGGAGTGTCGTGTGGCGGGAGCTCACCTGGGATCGACAGGGTGTGATGGTAGACGGAAGCTTGGTCTCCAACTGCTTCAATTGTGCGACCTGTCCCTGTCTGCTCGTCTGTGAGACGCCAAAGGTCGAATTTTTGCCCAGGGGACTCCAAGTGACTAAGCTGTAGACGTGGCGCGGGACTTAGCGCCACACATGCGCGCCGCCACATCTGTCAGCAGGGGGGAAGGCGCGGTGACGCGCTTCTAATATATCGATTTGTCGTGGGGTCTTTCCTTCTATGGCTCTTTTCTAGAGTAATACGGATTTTGTGACCAACAACCCTGGCTCAGAATGGACCAGGTTTTACCCATTAACACTCGGTCGCATTCTCTTACCATGCAGCCTTCTTCATCTGTTTCATCCTTCTCTTTGTTTGAATATTTGCACCCTCTTACCGTTGTAAGTCCGGATACCAGGACCGTCGCTGTCCTCGTACCTCGTCATGGCATTCCGGCTTCGTCCCCAGCCTGTCGACATTCACGGTATAACTCCTCATTTGCACCCCCCCCCCCCCCCCCCTGCTGCACGTCTATCACTGAACTGATTCTTGTTGCGCAAGATACTCTGCCCTGTGAGATCATCGACCACATCACATCTCTGCCAACTTCCGAACCTGGACATGCGGCATCAGACGAGCATTCATCGAAGCGCCGGAAGCTCGACCCAGAAAGGTCCCGCTTTTGCATCGCGACAGGAGCCCTATCTTTCCAGCGAAGGCTCCCCAGTCCCGAATCGACACCCCGCGTAGTGGAGCGCTCTGGTGTCGGCACCTATGTCCGGGCCTTCCTGGAAGATCAAGATCTCTATCTTACACTGCGCCCAGTGTTGTCCGGGGACAGATATTTCAAGTTTAAGATACCCCTCTTGTCGCAGCACATCAGCGATGATGCCAGGAAAATCCTTTCCATCGACACGCCCGTGCAGACCAGCTCTCCTGGCACGGTCTTGACCAATGTCGACGTTGTCATGGAACTGAAAGGAACGTTGGCGTCAATACATCTCGACTTCCAGCTGTTCTGGAGCATTACGCTTTCGCCATGGGATGGATTCGGCAACAACGAGGGGTACAAACGCACAGGTTCTGTTATCGACACTTTCTACCCTATTTCTGATGCGCCCACAGCCGCGCGGTCTCCGATGGACTTTTACGAGTCTGCCTTTATTCCAGACAAGCAGGACAGCTTACCACTATCGATCGATATTCCTGACATGGATGCCACACTGTTTCCGTACCAAAAGAGGTCACTTCAGTGGATGCTGAGAAGGGAAGGGGTCCAGTGGACGGGTTCAGACATAGAGTCGCTCCCGGGAGAGATGCCTGCACCGCTAAGCGAAAGCTCACGAATCGTCCAAGACAGCACTGGCCGGGACTTGATTTTGAATGACGTCTTTCACACCGTCTCTGAAAACGACGAGCCTTTTAAGCAGGTTGAGAGGTCTGTTCGGGGTGGAATTCTGGCCGAGGAGATGGGACTCGGCAAGACGCTCGAGGTCCTTGGTCTTATCCTGCTGCACCGCCATGAACATGTGGAGATGAATAGGTCAACACCCGGTCTCATTTCAACCGGCGCGACCTTGATCGTTGCACCAGAATCTCTGCGGCAGCAGTGGATGTCCGAGATATCGAGACATACACCTGATCTGCGGCTTGAATTCTACCAAGGATGTAAGCGCGAGGGAGGTCAGGGAGATGCGGTGGCGAGAAGACTCGCCCAATGCGACGTTGTTGTGACTACATATAAGGTTCTGTCGTCCGAGATACACTTCGCAAAGGATGAGCCTGAACGTTCCCGTCGTCGGGAGCGCAAATACGAGCGACCAAAATCTCCCCTGGTCCAGATCATGTGGTGGCGGTTGTGCCTCGATGAGGCCCAGATGATCGAGAACGGCTTCAGCCAGGCAGCAACCGTTGCCCGCACGATACCACGCTTCAATGCATGGGGGATTACAGGAACGCCAGTCAAAGACGATGTCAAAGACCTCTATGGCTTGCTAGCGTTCCTTCAATATGAGCCCCTCTGTTCCGCGCCGTTGCTTTGGCAATCCTTGATCAACGGCCACAAACCCATTTTTCAGAAACTCTTTAACACAATATCGCTGCGACACACAAAGGCGCTGGTGCGGGATGAAATCACTTTGCCTCCTCAACGGCGCTTTTCCATCAGCGTGCCGTTCAGCGCCGTGGAGGAGCAACACTACCAGTCTCTGTACAAAGAGATGACGGAAGCATGCGGGGTGGATGGCGAGGGCAATCCAGTCGTTGACGAATGGAATCCCGATGAATACGCAGAGATTATGAGAGTGTGGCTTGACCGTCTGAGGCAGACTGCACTCCACCCAGAGGTTGGAGCGTACAGCCGTCGCATTCTGGGTCAGAATAGGACTCGGCCGATGCGAACAGTGGAGGAGGTCCTCGATGCAATGATCGAGCAGAGCGAAAATGCCATCAAGGTGGACTACAGGATGCTACTATCCCACAAGCTTACACGGGGACAACTCTTTGAAAACTCTCCACGCGTCAAGGAGGCTGCCATGATATGGGAGGCTGTCAGGAAGGAAACAGGCAGGATGGTTGCAGATGCCCGCGCCGAGTTGAAGGCTGCCCTAGGGGACAAGAGGGCCAACGGTGCTGGGAGCAGTGCTCTTGACAGGGTTGAGAATTCTGGCGGTTCGGACGATGATGAAGGCCCAGGCTTGCAGGGCCGTATTGCAGAGCTACGTCGCAAGCTACGGCCACCCTTGGAATTGCACCACAAGGCCGTCTTCTTCTGCGCCAACGCTGTCTTTCAGATAAGGGATAATAAGGATATGACGGAGCCGGATTCGGACGAGTTTCACAGGCTCAAGAAGCTGGAAGAAGAAGGCTACGACGAGGCCAAGAAGATTCGAAGGGAGATTCTTAGGGAGACTCACCGCAAGGCAACGCAGCTCATGAACCAGATCACGCGCAAGGCCAACGGCCAGTCGTTTACCGAGGTCTCGGAGCTCGTTGTTAAGGCAGAGAGGGGCATCGAGAGCGGCCGCATCATCGACAGCCTCGAGATGCTGTATGGGAGTCTCAACGACCAGGCTAACGTGATTGATGAATGGCGTGAGCATGTGGTCCAGCTTCTGTTGAAGCCCCTTCTCGATGAAGAAGAGGACGTTGAGACGACGGGAGAGGAAATGGGAGATTCGGCAAAGATCCAGGAAGAGCTCATCATCTATTCGCAGGTCCTGCGAGTGGCCGTTGCCGATCGCCAAGACGCCATGACAGGGCAGACCAACGAACTCGCGAACCATGAGGCTCAGGTGTCTATACGCATGGCCAAAAACGATGAAGGGCCGATGCCCGAGAAACTTCTAGAGCTCTTTACGCTACGAGACAAGATCAAGCCCCAATTGGGGCCTCTGTCTATGAGGGGGGCTATCAGCGAGCTACGCAGCCTGGTGATGAGGCTACGCAATGAGCCTAGCCAGACGGACCGTGTGCGCATGGAGCTCAGCTTGGCTTCTAAACTGCTTTCCGAGACGCAAGCAGCGCTCAGCGAGCAATTAAAAGCCTCGGCATCCCTCGAGTCCGAGATTGAGAGCTTCCGAGCAACGGTGAATGCGCGGCTCGAGTACTACCGCCAGCTTCAGAGCGTTTCTGACAGCGTGCTGCCATATGAAGGCCCCAAGACCGAGGAGACTGCGACCAAGATGGCCAAGAACGAAGAGGACCTCGAGCGCAAGCTCGCTGCGGCACAGGCCAAACACCGATACTGTAGGTGGCACTTTATTTCTCTCTTTTCTTTATTCTCGTCGGCTAACTTATTACACTACGTATTGCAGTGATTCATCTCAAAGAGGCAGGTTCCAAGACTAACGAGCCGCGGATATGTGTCATCTGCCAGATGCCGTTCGAGATGGGTGTCCTGACCATCTGCGGACACCAATTCTGCAAAGAGTGCATGATGACGTGGTACAAGGCGCACCGCAACTGTCCCATCTGCAAGAGGCACTTAAGCGTGTCGCAGTTGCACGACATTACCATGAAGCCTCAGGAGCTTCGCCTCCATGGTGACGAGACGACGAGGGGCGAGAATGACAGCAGCGATGGTGGCGGTGTCGCACAGGGAGACAGTCGGGACGACGGTGACGGCATAACGAAAAAGACGATGATCTATTCGACATTCAACGCTGAGAAGCTGGCAGAAATCAAGAATATTGAGCTCGAGGGGCCGTCATACACGACCAAGGTGGACACGTTGGTGCGTCATCTACTGTGGTTGCGAGAGGTTGATCCAGGGGCCAAGTCGATTGTATTTTCACAGTACGTCCCTTCCCTTCTCCAGCTCATGCTTCTCTTCTCGGACACATCGAGTATTAACCGAGACACAACAGATACAAGGGCTTCCTAAGCGTCTTAGCAACAGCATTCCGACGATTTCGCATCGGTTTCGCATCCATCGACACGCATGGCGGGACGACACGCTTCAAGGAGGACCCGTCAGTTGAGGTGTTTCTGCTGCACGCGCGTGCCCACTCGAGCGGCCTCAACCTGGTAGCAGCCAACAATGTGTTTCTGTGCGAGCCACTGGTCAATACGGCGCTGGAGCTGCAAGCCATTGCACGCGTTGACCGCATCGGACAGCAGCACGAGACGACGGTGTGGCTGTACGTGACGTCGGGCACGGTCGAGGAGAGTATATATAATCTCGGAGTCAAGCGACGGATGGAGCACATGAGACGGACGCAGTCGAACGGGACCAAGTCAAAATCACGGTCCAAGGACAAGGGCAAAGGCAAGGGCAAGGACCCTAGGTCTAGGGGCTCGACGCCCGAGCTGTTAGATGCCAACCTCGAGGCTGCCAATACACTGGAGCTCGAGCAGGCGACACTGTCCAAGCTGATGAGCAAGGACAGGTCGGCTGGAGAGATGGTCGACAAGGGAGACCTGTGGGAATGTCTGTTTGGACATGTGGGTGGTTCGATCAATGGCAAGTCTTCTGCCAAGAAGCATTGATGATATGAAAGATGTATGATGGTTGATGATTGCAGGGTTTCATGTTTCTTGTAGAGGTTTATTGTAGTTTATTTGAGATACCCGGACTTGATTCCTGTTGAATGTTGAGTAACTCGTATAGAATTCATTCAAAAAAAAAAGATTAGAAGTTTCTTTTTTATATATAAAAAAATAAGTAAATTCGCCACCTGGCCCCCTTCCTTTTTATATGCCATGCCATGAGATGCGCCATGTGAAGAGAGAGAAAAAAAGAGGAAATAAAAGTGAAGAAACCCCCAAATAGTCACCATCAAACAAGAAAAGAAGATGGAAGAAAAAATTAAGCGCCAAAGTTGAGCTTTCTAGCAACCTTGGAGCCCCTGTCATCATCAGTAATGCCAGGCCTCCTCTTGAGATCGGCAGCCATCTTGTCCTCCCCGGCCTCGGTCTTGCGAGGGAGCTCGCCCTTGGGGGTAGGTTTAGGATCGGCATGCCACCAGGGGTGGTTGAGCATCTCGCGGGCGGTAATGCGGGTGCGGGGGTTGAGGGTGAGGGTGCGCATGAGGAGGTCGACGCCGTGGGAGCCCACGGTGCCGAAGCGCATCTCGTACCAGTCCTTGCCGCGGACGGGGCTGGCCAGAGGCACGGTGTACTCCGGCAAACGGGAGACGCCGGGCCAGTTGTCATCGTTTGGGGTGCCGACGGCCTCGCAGATGAGGCGGATCTGGTCGAGCTCGGTGCTGCCGGGCAGGTAGGGCGCACGAATGACGAGCTCGGCGAAGACGGCGCCGACGGACCAGACGTCCACGGCACCGGAGTAGTGCTTGGCGCCAAAGAGGAGTTCGGGGGGCCGGTACCAGCGCGTGATGACGTTGGACGTCATGACCTGGTGGGGGTCGGCGAAGCCCCTCGCTAGGCCGAAGTCGGCCAGCTTGACATCGCCGTCGGCCGCGATCAGGAGGTTGTTGGGCTTGATGTCCCGGTGGAGCACGAAGCTCTCATGGCAGAACCAGACGGCGCGCGTGAGCATGCCCATCCAGGCCTTGATGTCGGCGGCGCCGTAGCGCACCCGGTCCGTGTCCCGGATCAGCATCTCCAGGTCCCCCAGCGGGAGGTACTCGAGCACTAGGTTTAGGTTCTGGTCCTTGGAGGAGAAGACGGCCAGGAGGGAGATGATGTTGGGGTGCTGCAGCTCCTGGAGGTGCTTCAGCTCGCGCACCGCGTCCGGCGCCATGCCCTCCGTGTACTCCTTCTGCACCTTGATCTTCTTGATGGCTACCAGGCTGCTCGGATCGGCGCGGAGGTGTCCCAGGAAGACGATGGCGTATGTACCTTCTCCTAATTTCTTGCCTGTTTTATATCATGTGTCAGTCTTTTTTTTTTCTTCCTTTCTTTTCTTTCCTTCCTTGTTTTTATTCTCATTATTATTATTATTATTCAGTCCTTGTATATTTTCCACGCAGAAAAAGATAAATCAGAATAAATGAAAGGTAAATGTAAAAATCCATACCCTTGACATATTTCCTCTTCTCCTCCTCATTCATCTGTTCGGCCACATCCAGCGTAGCAGGCACACCTCCCGAGACGGATGGCGGCGGCGGCGGCCCGGTAGGCTTGGGCGTGACATTGGATGATGTGGGACCCGATGGCACGAGAGCCTTGAGGGGCGACGACACGGCGCGCGAGGCAGATTCGACCGTGTGCGTGACGATGGGGGAGAGCGCCATGATCCTTCCTCTTTTATTTTATTTTTAGTCGTCGTCGTCGTAAACAGTCGTGGCGGGGGTGGGGAGCCGCCGGGGGGGGGGGAGAGGAGCAGCAGCAGCTCCTTGTGAAGGCGGTGCTGGGTGGCGCGGGCGAGAAGCTGATCAGTCGGTGGCTTAGATATTGTCGCGTTGATTGTCGGATGTGTTGAGTGCATCAATTCTCTCTCACATGGATGAAAGATTGTCACCAAAGTCGCTTGAGCTCGGAGAAGAGGAGGTCAACAGATATCGTGATATCTCTTTATCGCAACGTCTGCATCTTATCGGATAAGATTGGGTGTATCTTTTATCGATTATGATAAGGCTACCCCGTCGTCTCATCTTAACGGCTGCAAAGCGCGAATCAGGGACAACACAAGGACATTTTGCCGGATGCAGGTCGTGATCCACCCTGACACATGCACAAAAACCATGAATCATTTACCTATACGGAGTAATAACATGGGAGTCCTTTGGTTCTTTACGGAGTGGAATTGATCTCTTTTGCGGAGCAATCCGTAATATTTAAAGCTGTTAACCACTGGTCAGTGCGACGCAACAGGCTCATTTGTCGCGTTTTACTCCATTTTTTCTTCCATTTTACTCGATCAACACTGCGTGATGTATATGACTAGGTACAAGGACTTGGACAGGGGTTTTTTTTCTTCATGCATTTGTTTTTGTAAGACGAAAAAGTAGAAGGAAAAAAACAAGAAAAAGATGTTACGGACAGCTGTTACAGACTTTGCACTCCGTACAGATCGATTAATCTCGTTCCTCGGCCGTCCTGGAATGTGCCGCTCCGCACTCCGATTCTTTCGGCAGTACGGAGTGTTCGCTGTCCGAGTATCCGGTGGTGCCATCCAAGAAAGGCATCCATCAAGGCAAGCTTTGGGTAAGAGGGGTTGGAGGTTTGGGGTGTAAGGATATACGGGGCTGGGAGGATAGTAATCTACTGGCTACATGCTTACAGTATATTAGCATCTATAGTGTTGTATAAGTACTTACGAGTACAGTGGTATAACAGGAGTAGTATTGCTATCATGATTACTCTTCACCCTCTTCTTACGAGACGCAATACTGCAGCATTAGTGCTCATAGCCACCATCCCGGAGCATCGCAGCGTATGAGTACCTGTAATACAGGTTACGAGTACATGCACGCACACTGCACTGCGCTTCCCACCTGCGCCGCCGGATTACGTGCTGCGCGTCTGATTTCGTCCTGAAAAAAAACATGTCGCTCAATGTAATACTGAATGAAGGAGGGGGTGGGAGCTGATCTGCCGTGCGTCCCGGTCGGCACTTGACAAGGAGGAGACAAGGGTTGGTGGGGGAAGGAGGACCCAAAGAGTCAGCAATTCAGGGACATTGGAATTGGAGGAGGAAAAGGATCACAATGCTTGAATGTTGCTGGTGCAGATACTCCGCCGTAACTAAGTTCCCAATCTTGACTCCTGACCCTCGCGTATATGTACTGGAAATTGTACATGTATTAGATTAAATACATGTACGGAGCAGAAATACGTGTATCGTATTGGTGTATTGGTGTGTTGTAATATTGACATGAAGGCGGAGCAGAACTGGGATTTCCCGCGTCTTTTCCGTCAATAATGCCTCTCGGTGACCGTCTCAAATAGGGCGGGGGGCTCGGGCTCCGTGCGCCGCAGCAGCACATGGTTAATGCCGGTCGTCTTAGTGAGGATAACATGTACTCTCGTACTTTCGTACTCGGAATTATTACTCGGTAATCTGGGTCCGTTATCCGTAACGTACGGCAATAAGACCTGTACAGGTACTGGTATATTACATCCTATAATGAGTGGTGGTGACTTACTGGTGGCAGGGTACATGTACCTGTATCTGTATATGTAAAGCCCATCCATCATACCAACGATCCAGGGCAAATGAATGACTGTGAGACTTTTTTTTCCCCAACCATGTCCAGCCGCGTTGGTGTGTGTGTGTGTGTGTGCCGTCTGTTCCAAGTCACGGTCACGGTCACAGTCGCGGATAAGTGAGAATGGCGAGAGCGCGTCGTTGGAGACGTTTGCGGATGTTTGCAAAAGCCACAGCCACAAACGATGTGGGGGCGTTAGCGTTGGGAGAAGGGAAACCAAGCCTGGGCAGATTCATTTTCGAGGCAGATTCTGTAAGTCCGTGATGGTGGCATGCTTCGACGCAATGATGGGGGTATGGACTGGGTTGGCGGTGGTTGTGAACATCTCTAGCAGAATATTGTAGGAATTGTGTGCGCGTGTGTGTGCAGATTATAAGGGGTAAAGAATGAGAGTGTGGGAGGAAGAAGAAGAAAGAACAGGAGCAAGTGCGAAACATTTGAAATGGCGTGACGTCACGGCTGTATTTTCACTCGGGCCAGACGGAAGGAGCGACGGACCCGATCTTTCCATGTCAATCGCCATCTAAGCACTCGGTATTAGGCCTGTTCCCGCCTATTACATGCCCTGAATACCCCATTAAGAACCGTGAAGGGGACCGCCAAGGGAAGCCGTCCGAGCCTTCTGTAGCGCTGTACGAGTAGGAACCATTGGGCATGTAGTTATACCGCTGTGAGGCTATGTGCTGATGCTGCCATCACTACTAGTCAGTACCTCTAGTAGCATTGCTAGTAATACTACTAATAGTAACCGCTGCAAGAGGCCCAGGCCAATCCGTTACAAATCCACCTTTTCCAAGCTTCAAGTTAATAATACTCGTTTTATGTACTCTCTTCTTCTTTTTTCTGGGTCTCTACTTTTCCAAATACGTACTCAAATGTCTCTCCATCTTTCTACTCTCTCCATCTTTCTACTCCCTCCCTCTCTCTCTCACACACTCTCTCTTTTCCCTTTTTTCCCTTTTTTATTCCCTTTTCTCCTGTCTTTTTTTATCCTTTTTTATCCTTTTTTTTATCCTGTGAAATATCCTAATTAATCCACATTGACTATCGCTCTTCACCTACCCACCCCCCTCCCCCTTCAAGGACCGATCGTCCGTCTCTATCCCTCCTGTTCTCTCTCTCCTTCCCTCTCTCTGACTCTCTCTCTCTCTTTCTCTCGTTCTGTCAGAGAGACTCATCTGAGGGCAACCTTGCCCCGCGTCGTCGCCATGGCTGTCAAAGGCGCCGTTTCCTACTGGGTGAGTAATCCTATATGCAACATGGCGGATCTCAATCCCCCTTCAAGAAGATCCCCTTCAAAGGCGACCCCCCTCGAGAAGGGCAGTCCCGTACCGTCCAACTGCCTAACAACTCCCAGTGGCTCCCCATCATAGCATGCGTCACTTGGACTGCCACCCTTTTGGGCATGATGCTCTGGTGGTTCGTCACTGTCCACCAAAAGGTCCTCGTCACCATGGACGGTCCCATGCCTCTCCCCTACATGAGTGACATTGGCGCCCTCTCCCTAAAGCCGCTCTTCATCGCGGGGTCTACCGTCACCGTCGTCGCCTTCAGCCTAGCCTTTGCCGCTGAGCGGTGGCTCCGTCACCGTGGCCGGCTCGCCCTCAACGTCTCCAAGAACGAGAAGATCCTCGCTGTCCTCGCCACCATTTTTGCCATCATAGGCTCCGCCGGCCTCATCCTCCTCACCGTTTTCGACACTTTGCGCCACCACACGCTGCACTACGCGTTTCTCGGAGTCTTTATCGGAGGCTTCATTATTTCGGCCATTTTTGTATGCTGGGAGTATCAACGTCTGGGTAGCAGTATGTCTTCTGCCTCCTCATATCTTGGCAAACAGAGGGACGGGTCGGAAGAGAAGACAAAGTGGGAAAAAATGAAGCTGACCTGGCATGACAGAATACCCCGAGTACCCTCTCCTCCGCGTCTCGTTCTTCATCAAGCTCGTCTTCATCTTCATCGAAGCCTCCCTCGTCATCGCATTCGGCGTCCTGACCTTGGTCGACGACCTGGTACACGCCGCCTACCTCGAATGGACCATCTCTTTCCTCTTCGGCTTCTACGCTCTCTCCTTCACCGTCGACCTGTGGCCCGCCCGCCGCACGAAGGAGCACATCAAGCGATTCACTCGACATGGCCAGTACTCGTCGAGCGAGATGGAGGAGGCAGTCGACATGCCCGACGGCTCGTATCCCCTCGGCACGCGAGCCAATCAGACGACTGTCACCGCCGCTGGCGCCAACGGTAGCCATACCCCTACAACGGCTAACTTTTGATCTTTCTGTCCGAAAATACAAAATCAATCTTCCCCCCCCCCCCCCCCAAAAAAAAAAAAACATCTACAATACAGCAAAACTTCCAATTCCTGGGAACCTTATGACAGACACGACACAATTTTCAAGAGAAGGGGAGAGAGGAACAAAATCTAGAGCGAAGTGGGAAAAAGAGCATTACATACAGGGCGGATTGTTGGCGTCCGTCTTGTTCCTGGGGTTGTCTGTTTTTACATACTTTTTTTCACCGCTGGGAGGGTTTATTTATACCCTTTTTTCGGGGGATGGGACACATTTTTTGTCCCTTATATGCACCGTCGATATCCTGCATTTTTCTTCCTTGCGCATACCATTCGTTTCATCCTTTTGGTTTCCTTTTTTTTGTGTATTCTATATTTTTAATACTTTCTTATTCCCCTACCTCTGTTTGGTTCCGGCCTTTTGCCAGGTCGAAAGATATATATACATGGGGAGAAAAGTCCAGATTTTATATATATGAGTATATATGGGTATATATACCGTGTCTGACAGTATCAATTGATATATCGGCTGACATTCTTGGGGATATACATCAGCGTATGAATACAGCACAGGCGCAAGGACAGATGAAAGGATGGCGCGAATATGACGCGAGCTCTTTTTTGTCCCCCCCCCCCCCCAGAACATCAATTTTGAAGCCGCGCTGAGCCGGATGGTCCAGACTGACAAGTACACGAAACTGCTGCATACATTGTCTTGGCAGTAGGAGGCCGAGGTTACACGCAGACATGGCATTAGTTTTGCTACTATCGTACAACTATTGCTACGAGTACTACTACTACTGTTGCTTACCTCATCGTAGATGATATTCATTCGAGTACGACGAGTGTGACAACTTGTCGAGCACAGCACCGAGTTGTAAATTGACGATGTAATCAACTCGGAAGTCAGACTTGTCACGTTGCCATATTTCCTCATTTCGACAACGGCAATAAACAGTACGAGTATGGCAATTGCCAAGCCAAAGAATAGCCAGATAATAATAACGAACCGGTGCCGGTCATTTCAGAGAAATTCTGTTTATGAAGGCCAATAAATATAAAAATACAAGAAAAGGGCAAGAAAGGAAAGGGGGAAAGACAAGACAACAGTTGATGAGCATACTATATTGTATATTACATCACATCATTGGCAACGAATGGCAAATAAGTCTAATCATACCCGTGTACTTTCCCTAAGTGCACATCTAGCCACCGTGATATGAATTAACAATCCAACTTGACCTGTCTGTGCAGCATACATGCATACCTTCATCCCCACATGACCCATATTGTACCCGATACCCGATACCCCCGATACCCTACCCCCAAAAAAGCAAACCCCCAACTCACAAAAAAATCAAGCAACACCGCGAAGAAAAAAAAAATCATAAGCAAAGAAAAACTAATCAATATCCTCGTGAAATCGAGAGTCCCTACTAGGACTCGGACTGACACTCATCCTCGATCCAGGCCCGCCAAGCGGTCTAGGAGGAGGCAACATGTCCACCGTGTCGTAGAAACGTTCCCTCTCCTGGTCTTGACCCCCTCCTACCTCTTCACTCTCGACGTCCCGGACCGAGCTGGCGATGCTCACCCCCTGGGAGTCTCTGCGTGCCCGGGAAGAAGTACCAGGAACACTAGGGGCACTAGACCTTCCCGACATGGCAACATCCCCCGTACTCCCGTTGTCCAGACTGGCCGCACTGGCGTTCGACTGGGAGGGACCTCTGGACCCGCCGCGCGCCCAGAAGAGACTCCTCCGCTTGTTGCTGCTCCTATCGCTCTTGTCGTCTGCTGCTGCCGCTGCCCCATCCGCCTTATCCTTGTCCGTGGTCTGATTATGGTGATACTGGTCAACCTCCTCGCCCGTAGGTCGTCCACGGGAGAAGCGGTTCCGGAGCCATCCTTTCACCTTGGACTTGGGGGAGCTCTGCTCCGTATCTTCCGGCTTCGCGTGCCCGTCGCCGTTCGTGTCAATGGCCGTCACCCTGTGGCCTGTCGAATGCTCGAATCCACCCGTTCCGGAGTGGAAACTCCGGTTCTCCGATGCGTTCGTCGATGCTGGCCCCTCGTGCGACTCCTGGGACATGTTGACGTCGCCGGCATTCACTCCAGAGTCATGCTTCGATCCGTGCTTTGCTTCTCTAGCTAGCCTCTTCTTCTGAGCCACTTCGGCTTTTTCTTGCTCCTTCTTGGCTCTCTCTTCTTCTTTTTCCTTGTGTCGCCTAAGCTTGTCTTCTTCTGTAGAGCATGTTAGCTTGTGTTACTTTCTTTTCATCATCCTCATATCTGCGTCCTCTCATGCTTGCGTCAAGAACTTGCCTCGAATCTTCTTGTTAAACTCCTTGGCTTCACGCTCCCGCTCCTTCTGCCTCGCCAATTCTCCCTTTCTAGCATCCTCCTCGGCCTTGAGCGTGGCCAGACGCTCCCGTTCCTTCTCGGCCTTTTCATTCAGGTCGTCGAGCACGGGTTGCATCCTCATGGCGGCAATGGCATCAATCTGCTCCTGGTCCATGAACATGCCGCCGCCAAGATCCCGCCTGTCCTTGTCCTGGTCGCTGCTCGACACGATGCGGTTCTTGGCCGCGTCGTGGACCTTGGTGCCCCAATCCTTTGACAGGGAAGGGCTGACCATTCCCGTCTCGGAAAAGACCTTTTCGTCCATGTCCTGCAAGCGGGCCTTGACATTGCGCTGGGCTGCGGCGAGGAGGGCGTCGCGGTCATTCTCACGCTTCGTCTCGTCGACCTCGGTGAGCTTGTTGGAGAACATGGACATTTGCTGGCGAATCCTCTCCGACTCGCGGCGGTCGCTGACGTAGTCGTCCGAATTCTTGCGCCGCAATCTGTGGGAGACGGAAAAGTGCCTTTTCGGCATCTTGGGGTTGCCGTAGTACTCTTGCATATCACGGTTCCGGGTATAGCTGTTGTCGAGCTTTGCCAGTCGGTCTTGAGCCTGCCTGTATGCGGCATCCTGGAGGTTCGTGTACGGCGGTGCTTGCGAGCTGTTTCCGCTATCGCCGCCGTTGTCGTTCCCCTGTGCTTGCTGCAGCGTGTACATCTTCCTGGCCATCTCGATAGCAGACAAGCGAAGACGGTCCGTGTTCTTCTGCTCGTCAATCTCGAGCTTGACCTTTGGATTCGATGTGAACATGTTGCGGGTCATTGTAGTCACGGGGACAGCACCGGTATCTTCGATGGATGCCTTGGACATGACTGACGACCTATGCGCGATGGAGGCTCCGTCGAGTGCGTTGGAATATGCCCTGGAGTGGGTGGAAGCTGGTTTTGCAGATCCGCCCGCGGTCGGCGTCGAGGTTGATCGAGGGCGGGCCGAGGCCATGGCCCCCTTGGCGGCAGCCAGTGAGCGGTCGGCGTCGGATATGGACGACGACGCACGTGAGACTTGGGCAGACAGTGACCTGTTGGTGTTAAAGGCCTGTGTGGCAGCCGTGTTCCCGGGCGAGAGGTTGTTGCTGGACCTGGGAGTTGAGCGAATGGCATGGAAGGCCTGGGTGGCTGCCGAAGTACCCCAGCCCTCGTGCTGATCACGCGTGCTCGACGAGTTTGATGACTGGTGCTTGAGGGCTGAGCTTGCTGATCCTACAGCGAGGAGAGCAGCCTGGTGGCCCGCAGACTCAGAAGACGGCGTCGAGGTTGAACTCTTCCTGGCGTCTCTGGAGAGAACGGCAGCGGCCGAGGCAGACGAGAGCTGGTCGGACTTGGTCATGTCGGCAGATTTGCTATGGCTGTGCCAGCCGAGGGTAGCCGCGGCGCCGGCAGCGGCACCATCAGACGGGAGACCGCTTGACGGGAAGCTTGGAAGGTCCCGAGGGTCGGCGTAAGTGAGGCGACGGCCGGAATTACTGACTGTTTTCCCGGGCAGAGGAAGGCGTTGTCAGCGGAACGGGGTCCATCTGGATGATATTACAAAATATGACGTGGGGGTGAGTTTTTGATTGACAGGGGTGCGTGGGTGCGTGGGTGCCACATGGGGAGGGGGAGGGGAAGAGAGCGACAGACACGGGACATGACCTGACGCAAGGCGCAAGGATAATCCGTAAATCGAGTACGTACCTGATGATGTGGCTTCAGCCATGATGAATGGTGGCTGTAGAGGTGAGGAGCAAGAAAGACGGTGGTGAGAAAAAGGAAGCGTTACGACGTTGATAGACGAAAATACGTCTGTCGCCGATCCCCCGCTACTTCTCGACGGCGACAGCGATAAGCTCTTGGTATCGGACGCCCCAGGGGTCCTTGATCGACTGTCGAATTATCCAACAAGGCACGGATCGGTAAGGTGGTTTTCCGTTGGCCCAAGGGTCCCGTTCTGCGGAAGAAAGGTCCGGGTTGATTCTGTCGGGAACGGCAGAGGTGTGGTCACTGGTCAGAGGGGGGAAGACTGAGACCAGGTCTGGGTGAGATGGCCTGATTCAAGAAACAGAATGGGATAGCAGTTTAACCAGCCACCTTATTATCGAGTGGATGGCGGGCGATGGGGAAGGAAAAGTAGGGGCACAAGTATCAGGCGTCAGCACCGGAATGACCCAAGATATGAGAATGTCATGGTTGAGGGGATGGATGATGTGTTGATAAAAGTGGCCTTGGGGGAAGATGAAAGTGCATAACTACTAATATGGCACTAGCAGTATTATCGGTGCAGGCAGTTCTCTATAGTGAGGATTACATACCACTCAGTGCCTCGCACTCCAAGGATCGAAAAGGATAACCCAGTTGGCCCTGTCGTCATCGCCTCAGATGGCTTTCTTGGCAATTTTCCCTGGTCCGGGGGGGCCTGTCTCGTTTACGTCACGGAGATCTACTCGTAAGCTAATACAGAGAGAGGCAAACAAGGTGGATTATAGTCCATGATCCCGGATGTGTCGAGTCTAGTATTATACCTGTGCTAACATTCTTCTGTCAGTACGAGTATCAACACCACCACTATTCCATTCTCTCCATAGATAACGTATTATTGGCTATCTATTGAAAATACTTTCAATAAAATGTGTTTGCCTGACTTGGATTATTGTGGGTTGGGCGTTGGATGTTAGGCCGTGACACTGGACTGCCACATAAAGTACTTTGTCGAGCGAGCATAAGAGCAAGAGCGAATACAGGCACAGGTCGCGACTGCCCATCACATCGTGCACCGCTTCGGTGACTAGCACTGCCTAAGTATCCAGGTATATTAAACGCTATTAATTGCTACGGGGAACGGAGTGACAGTATTACTGTATCGGACTGTACGGAGTATACTAATCACAGGTACTAACTATTACCACTAGCCAACCTGATCGTGTACGAGTATGTTCCAGAGTCTATCGAGCATGAGTAATCTACACATGTACACAAGTAGGCCCAATGACCTGTTAGGTACTTGTAGTCAGTATCTGTACTATCCGAGGTGCCCGAGCCAGTGATGCCCTCAGCTAACCCCCCTCAGCTGACTGCACTATTACCTCGACTGTACCCATTGCTACAGTAGTAATCTGTACAGATCACTTGTACTTCTAATCTGTAGAGTATTCACCATTCATCGTCCTCGCTTGCCATCATCACGTCGCTCTGCCTCTTTTACATATTACGTACCATATGATCAACAGTCACCCCATGGCATATAAGTGTGATTCACAGCTATCAAAAAAAAAAAAAAATATGCAACCAAACCATCATCCCACATGTTTGCATCATTTCCTCTCTCCCTCCTGTGAACTGCTAAGAATGCCATCTTCTCCGTCGCCGAGGAGATCAAGGGTCTGAGTCATGTTTGCGCTTGGGGGGGGGGGGGAGGAGTCTTTTAGCATCTAATATCATCACGGATAGAATACAAGTAGAAGTAGCACTTTTCTCTTCCAAAACTTCAAAGCACTATCATTATTTAGCACTGAACTTAATAGCGCTGCACACTCTTGAATTGAGTTCATTCATCAACCATATATGCAACTTTTCCTATTCCCCATCATCAGACAATTCCAATGTTTTTTTTTTAATCAACCGTCTTAATAATTATTATTTACCTCTTCCGTTTCCACTTCTACTCTTCTTACTTCCTTGCTGTACATACGTAGGGTAGGCAAAGTAGCACAGAGGGATGAGATGAAGCTGATCCTCTGCTCCATCACTCCTCGTAGTAGAGAACAACGTAATCCACTTTAACAAAAGTAAAAAACTACACACCGACGAGGGTGAACTCATCGTCAAGAAGTGAAAAATACACCAAAGGGAGTAACAATGGCATCGACGGATCCTCTCAAGGTCCCTGAAAAGGTGGCCAACTTTCGTGATGTCGGCCATACAATCAACGAATACCTCGGAGAAAGGTATGTCGACATGTCTCCTCCCCCTCCAGGACCATCGCATAATTGACGGTCAAGGGAAACAGACGTATGCGTGAGGGACTCTTCTACCGCTCAGCCAGACTAGGTAACGATATATATCATGTTTTACCACCATTAGCAATGACATAACGAAGTAGTCGACTGACAGTCCCCCCCCCCCCCCTTTAGACGACGCCACGCCTCACGATCGTCACCTCATCCTACATGACCTAGGCATCACCAACGTCGTCGACCTGCGAACAAAGTAAACCGCCCTCCCCCCTCTCTTATATCAAATGTCTTACACCCCCAAGGTCCGAACAGATCGTCCAAGAACGCAAGCACAAAGCCAAGGCTGCTGCCACCGCCCTGTCGGAGCAGACCATGATCGAACCTCTTCACATCCAGGGGATACAGTACCATGAGATCAAGGTTATCGGTCGTCGATACGAACGACATCTCCTGAGTCAACTGTCCTGGTGGAATTACATGTACTTCATCACTCTCTTCATCGTCGAGCACGCCAAGCTGACCCGGCAAAATTGAAAACCAAAAAAAAAAAAAAAAGCGAATTCCTGTTCCTCTACATCCTCGGTTTCCGCCAACACGCCATCCGCATCATAGGCCAACAGGTCCTCACGCCCAACGGGCTCTTCGGCATAGCCCGCGGCGTGATGGAGCACTCGGGCGCCGAGATACGCGACGTCCTGACGCTGTACGCCTCGCCCTCCACGCTGCCCAGTATCGTCCACTGCACCCTGGGCAAAGACCGCACCGGCCTCGTCTGCGCCCTCGTCCTCATGATCCTCGGTTTGCCCCATCGCGCCATCGAGCACGACTATTTCCTCACCGACTCCCACCTGCGAGATCAGCGTGAGGCAAGGGCCCACGAGAATGAGATGGTCGGCCTGCCTAGGGAGTGGGCTGGCACCGACAAGAATATGATTGTCGACATTCAGACTCACCTGGATACCACGTATGGTGGGCTGGATAAGTATCTTGACGGCATTGGCTTCACAAAGGCCGATAGACAACTTGTGCGGGACACATTGCTTTACTAGAGCAGTCTGCGTAGTATGTACGGGGGGAGAGGACACGATACTAAAGCATTGGTTCTTTTTTTGGATGAAATTTTACTTTTTGTTCCCTTCTCGTTAAGTAGATTTTAACTTTTTTTGCTTTGTCTTTGTGCTTTTTATATTCGTTGAATAGATTTCTGCTTTGTGTTCGGCAATGGCCTATTTCTTTCGGAAACGGCCTTGCAACCAGCAGCGATACATCTTCTTCTCCTCCTTCCGGTTGATGAGTAGCCGATTATCGGTACCGAGATTCTCAACCTCGAACTTAGGAGTGAAATCGCCTGCTAGTGCTCGGCCGTTGTTGCTGTCGACCTGCTGCTCATCACCGTCACGTTGAGGGGTGTGGCCACACCAGATACCTGCGAGCTCATCCTTGTCAAAAAAGTAGACGCGCGTGCCGTCACCGCGAATGTAGAAATTCTCTTCCAGATAACGTCCCTTGCGGAAGCGCACCTGGGCGAGGTCACCTCTTCCATAGTCGCGGAAGCAGACCAGCCCGCCTGGTTTCAGCACGCGGTGGACGTTGTCGACCGCCCGGGCCCACTGGTCGGGCGACAAGGCCGAGAATATGAAAATGAGGATGGCCACGTCTACGGAGCCCTCTTCCAGCCCGGGCGGCAGGCTGTCGCTCGCCACATCCCACACATCGGCCTGTATGTGCTTCGTGTCGTACGCCGCGTTATTGCGCATGACCTCTACGGCTGTCTTGGAGAAGTCGCACGCATGAATTTTAAGCTGCGGGTTGTTGTTGTTGGCCAGCACGGGGAAGGCAGTGTTACCGGCGCCAGCGCCAATCTCTAGCAGGACCATGGGACCAGCGTCTTCCTTGGTTGCCTCAGCCAACACGGGAAACTCTTGCTGTAGCCATTTTCTGTTCTTGAAGAAGTTGGACGTGTTGTTCTTGTAGAATAAATTCCACCACTTTTCTGGGTTGGAATTGAATCTGCCTATTGGTGACTTGTGTTAGTAGCCAAGTTCTTGTTTCTCGAGTAATGTGATGAGAGAATGAAAAGTGGAGATAAAGTGTGCCAAATCAGATGGGAGCGAAAGAATTGAAGGTATAGCTTTGTCATCAGGTATCAGATGAACTATGCATTGGTTGGTGTATCATCACGTAAGGCATGTCATGTATGTGCGGTTGACAAAACGGAAAGACAGAAGTGAAGTGGAAGATGAACATACTCTTGTCAAAGTCGGAGACGGGAGATTGACGTTGCATCTCGTATTGCTTCTCAGCATACTCCTTGTATACGTCATCAGTCTCGACGTGATCCCAGGCGTTGAACTCGTAGACATTATCTCCCGCCTCCAGGTACCGGCTTCCAAACTGGAAGGGATCGGATCGCTTGAGGTTGTTAGACGGGTCATGCGACCTGTGTGGAGGAAGCTCCTCCTTGTTGCTCTGTGAAACAGCCTGGGTCTTGACCTCGGGCTTCTCCTCCTCCTTCTCCTCCCCCTTCTGTCCCTCAACTTTTGGGGACGCCATCTCTTCGGCAGGAGGAGAAGCAGCCGCAGCAGGGCTATCCTCGGCTACAGACATTTCAGTGCTTTGTTTCACGGTAGAATCCAAACATTCCCCCTGTAATTCCCGGTAGGAAAGAACCAGGAAGGGGAGAGTCTCGTGATACACAAAGGAAAAGAAAGTCTTGCACCGCAGTCCTGTGGGCAGCTGGAAAAAGTTGGAATATATGAAGAAAAGGAAAGAAAAGTTGGAAAAAAAATTCATCGCTAGAAAATTTATGGTGGGGGGGAGTCTAAGCTAGGAGCTGAGTGGGTGGATTCGGAAATCCGGAAGACTGATTGTTCCGATCCAAGTTAGCTTGGTGGTCTTCAGAGTTGCTCCGGGGTGCGTGGGGGCCAATCACTGAGCGGCAGCGCAAGGCCTCATCATTGACACCCGCAAGCTCCCAGACGACAATTTGATAATGCATAGTTACGAACATTACGAGTAATATCACGACCTCTGTATCCCGCTCCCAGCCTGCATCCGAGAACTGTCATTGGTATACTCTAACGCAATGGCTCCCTCCCTCACACAACCCCAGGGCCAGCTCTCGGCCGCTGACGCCCTTCACTTGGCCCAGCAGGCCCCGTCCATCCTACGCAGCAACCCGAGAGCTATATCGTCGTCGCCGCTGTCATCCCTCTTCTCCGCTAAAGAGAGCCCCGAGCTCTGGGTTATCTACAATAACCTGATGCTGTCATGCCTGCGCGCCGGTGACGACGAGGCGGCCTCCGAATGTCTGGAGCGTTTGCTGCTGCGGTTCGGCCCCCACAACGAGCGCATCATGGCCCTCAAGGGTCTGGCCAAGGAGGCTACTGCGGAGAATGAGTCTGAACTGCAAGAGGTCCTGAAGGACTATGAGGTCATCTTGCGCGAGAATGCGGCCAACATTGTGAGTGTAGCCGGGAAAACGAGGAAAGAAGAACCAAGCTGATGATATGATATAACAGCCCGTTGCTAAGCGGAAAGTCGCCCTGCTGAAATCAATGGGCAGGATCAACGATGCGACGACGGCCTTGACGGCCCTCCTCGACTACGCTCCCATCGACGCGGAGGCGTGGGCAGAATTGTCAGACTTGTACCTTTCTCAAGGGCTGTACTCGCAGGCCATCTACGCTCTCGAGGAGGTTCTTGTCCTGGCACCAAATGCCTGGAATGTATGTTTCCCTCTCCACCCCTTCTCATAGCACATGAATCTGATAGAAAGAACGCATAGCTGCACGCAAAGTTGGCCGAAGTCCTGTTTATGGCAGCCAACACGTCGGGTGACTCACACCAGGGATACCTAGCCGAGTCTCTCAAGCGTTTCTGTCGAAGCATAGAGCTGTGCGACGACTACCTACGGGGATACTATGGACTGAAAAAGGTAATAATCACCCAGAACCCAACCACCATTGTCTTCCCGTTTCCCGTTTCCCGCGTCTCGTATGTTTAGCGCCTAACATTGTTCTCTTCCCTACGAAAAAAGGTGACGGATCAGATCCTCGAGGCTTCTGCGGCAGGCAACGGCGGAAAGAACGTTAAGAAACAGACCGAAGAAGGGAGATTCGAAATCCCCAACAGGATAAAGGTCGAGAAACTCAACCAAGCTGCGACGAACAAGCTGGCCGAGATTGTGCGGAGGAATTCGGCGGGGGAGAAGCGCTGGCAGGGCTACGATGCTGGTGAGATTGCCGCCGCGAGGGATCTCCTAGACAGGTCAACTCTGTCGGTGGAGCGATGATGAGTTGGCTCTCTTTCTCTCTCTCTCTCTCTCTCTCTCTCTCTTTCTCTCTTTCTCTATCGGACGATGGAGGGCACATGCGTGGGATAAGAATAATGATTTATATATACACCCTCTCCCTCCAAGTTGTAGGCAAACTGTGTATCCACACCATACAAATACACAAAAAAGAAAAAAAAGAGAACTCGAAAGGTGTGGGGAGGGTTAGCAGGGAAGAGGGGGTTGGGAGGGTCCCATGTCTATATGTTGGCATGCAATGAAAGTAGCGCACTCGTATGTACAAGACATGGCGATGCGTGGAAGAGAAAAATGCATCTTGGGAGAAGGAGGGGGGCTCCTTTCTCCCACCGATTTTTTTCTTTTTTTTTTAAAAAAAAATAAAAAATCAACGAATCTTCTAGAGATATATGGCGGGTATTGGAAATGGATTTCTCGCCCCCCTGTCTTTCTCTTTCTTGGCTTACGTCGTACGGTAATATGAGTTGGATTGGGGGCAAACCTCCAACACTGCTACAGCCTACAACTCAGCAAACGGCTAATAATAACATGTTTCCACGTGTCTGTGTCCCCCATCGGGTAGTCTTTTTGGCCTTGTATTACTTGGCTGACGACGAAACGAAAAGGAGACAAAATCTGGTCTTGTTTCACATTTTGCTCGTTTGCTTTCCAGACTACGACTACTCGTGCTGCTTGAAGCGGTTCTAGTACTATCACTACTACAGTCAGTACATGTACGTGGCAAACGCCATGTTCCAAGAACAATCCAGGACCCCTGGTTGGGCAGTGGGTGCGCTCAACGTTGGGCACTCACTGCGCATTACCGTACAAGCATACATGCATGTACATGATATTGCACATGTTGATACTGCAGACTACATGTACATGTACAGCTGCAACAGCCGATAGGAGAGCCTTTGGAGCCCTATCTGATGCCTTGCTCACATCTCAAGCTCTGGGCCAACTCACGCGCGTTTCGTTGCAACTGTCTGTCGCCCTCGTGCTGTACTGCCCAGCCACTCGTATCCGGTGGTGCCTGGGGGACATCATGTACGAGTACTCGTACGGTAATCTGGGCTGTCTGTCCTGCATCGCAACGCATCGTTGACCGGCATAGTCATCGAATCACATAGTCACATCGTCTCTTGTCTTGTGTCCTTTTCATCCAATCTAGGGCCAAGCCCTGCCATGAAAGCAGCAGGGAAGGAGGAAGGTCCGACGTCGATGGGGAAGGGGGTAGGGGAGGACAAATCATCATGTCCGCCAGCTCCTCAGGTCCCATCCGAAAGATGTGCACCGATTGTTCCGTAGCAGCGAAACATAGAAATCCAGTGTTAACATCCATCGTTGTCAGCATTCAGGCCACCCCTTTCTACTACGAGAAGTACTCGTAAGAGAGAAGCAAACAAAGGATGAGTCAAAGGGGTGAGAGAATAATAGTATGACATCTAGGGGCATTGGGCCGCAATGACGGAGCTCTGGGCGCTTACGCGAAAGGTAAAACCCTAGAGAGAGGTCAATTGCTTGGCTGGCAGTGCAAAAGTAAGGCTCGCGACATAACAGGCTGGCTCTAGGAAGAGAAATTAGTCACCGCAAAAAAAAGGGCTCCGTTGGTGAGAATATAAGATCTGGAGAGAGTGCCCTCATGGAACAATGCCCTCTTCTCCTCTTCTGCCTGACCATACATAACTCGTGTGTTGCTGCCTTGCCGGATTTCCTATTTCTTTCGACAAGACTGCTGTTATTCTGTGCTTGTCAGATCTCACATATATCGTGCCCGGCTACGTGCAGCTCTCAAAAAGAGCCGCCACACTTTGCCCACCTCAGGATACCTTACCCTCTTGACCATGCCGTGTTGCCCCAGGATTCAAGAACCATCATCACGAACCAGGAAGAGACATACCGCACTGGACAGGATCCCAGGAGTTTTGCCACAGGAGACACTGCCAACTTGATCACAGTTGCCAGGATCAGGAAGCAGTTGACAAGCCCGTCGACGAGCCAATTGCTCTCAAGTTGTTACACTTGATTTTTTCTTCTTCTTTTTCTTCTTCTTTCTTTCTTCCTCTTCCTTTCTCCTCTTCTTTTGTTACATATTTCCAACGGATAGGAACCCCGATTGTCTTTTGTGTGTCATATTTCATTTACTGGACACAGGCCCGTATCTCTCAAAGGTTCCATCCGTGGGAGCTGCCAGAGAAACTTTTCAGTGGCCCGTTGCAGGAAATTGACTGCTGGCCTTGCATTGGTGTACGCATCTCTCAAACCAAAAGTCGTACCAGGACGGATACATCCATTTTTTGCTTTGTGTGTTGTCACTCGCACCTTGTCCCGTGAGCCTGTTGTCGAGACGGGACAGTTTCAGAGGTGCAATTGTGGCTGACCATCGAGAAAAGACGATAGGTCTTTCCAAGCTTGACTTCTCGTGCTGCTCATCATTAGCTTTGTAAGTACACAATGCCTCTCTTTGCTGTCTCTCGCATCAATCCATCGTTATTTATTCCCTCCACACGGTCAATGGGCCGGTGTAGTATGCGTGTACGCATCGACAGCAAGCAAGTGCTTGTGGTTGGCCCGATGCATTCCTGGCCAATTCGTGGCCAGGCAACCAGACGCTGCGCGGGCGTAGATGCGTCCCACTCACGCATATACGTCTCGTAAAGGCTGCAGGGGAGGAGTGAGCAAGCAGGTTCGAGGTTGTGTTGTCGTTGAATGTCCCCATATTGCTGCTTCACCGCCAATCTCGCCTGCCTCTCTTTTTTTCTGCCGCTCGAGGTTGTCAGGCGGACACAGCAGCTTGTCTCCTGCCGCATCTTTTCTTTCTGGTTATGGTTGTGCATGGAAGGTGCATGCTTTTTGGTGGGCTCTCACTGGTGGCTCTCGCTCAGCTTGGCTGGGCTGCTACTTAACACTGCTTTTCGGTTTCCTGGGCCAACTCACGGTGACTCACGGCGGTGCCGATCGGGAAAGGAGCGGGGGTGTGTGCTGTACGAGTAGCCTGAGGCCTGTAGTACAGTGTATGTGTACCTCGGGTGAGCACCCCTCTCACTGCTCAGTGGGCACTGGGCAGGTGGGCTTGATCACGGCTCTTGGACGCTATACAGGCTGGCATTCCAGTGGCTTGCCACTAGCCCCTAGCACCTGACAGCACCGCTTCTTCCCTGGGGCCCGGCGCGACCCGTACGCCTCACCTGGCACCGGTGCAAACCCAAAAGGAAGTGAGGGAGGGAGCAGCCCGCAAGCAAGGGAGAGTGAGAGCCCAAAGAGGGCAAGAGCCAGAACCAAAACATTGGACCTCTGTCAACACCAAAAACCGTTAAAAACATTATTTACGACGACGACTACAACAACAACATCGACAACGGCAGACCGTCAACCTCCCCATTCGTATTTTCTTACCTCTTCTTACTCAATCGGCATTTGCAGCCAAGAGGCCCAGCCGCCAGGACCATCCGTTAGGCCCACCATCATCATCTGCTTTCGAAACATATTCATCGTTATCGTCCCGATCTAACCTTTTTACCTTTACCGCAGACGTCTATCCTACCCAGTTCTCGGTTCGCTGCACAGCCTAGGCAGACAGCCAACCCAACCATCCCGCCGTCCATCAATCCTCCCCGCCTCACCAACTTCATCGTCAGCACCAAAAAAAAAAAGACCCGCAAGTAGAATAAATATTACCACCCACTCCGGCTGGCTCGCACATCTATCGAACCCGACCATCTCAACGACTGTCACAGATAGTGACTCCGCCCTTCACAACCCCTCACCCTCATCTCGCCTCCCTGTCCATTGATTAGGGCTTCTGCGACGTTGTCCGACAACCTCTCGATCTATTCCTCCCGCTGTGTAACTACTCTGCGGAATAGTTCAATTCAGCACAGCGCACCACATAATCCGCTGTCCATCGACCCCTCCTTAACCCCCCCGGCCAACACCGTCATATTGCCCACCACCAATAACGCTTACAGCCCCTCCGACACCCCTTTCCCCTCTTAGCGCCGCACCCTCCATAACCCAACCCCCCCCCGTTCTACGCCAACTCTGTTTTTCTTTGTCTTTTGCGCCGCACGTCTCTGAATCTCACCATCAACATCATCTTGCGCCGTTTCACGAGACCCTGGAGTCGGTAGTGTGCTGGTACTTCGACCACTCGTCTCGACATCGTGTTTGAGGAGTCGTTGTAATTGCCGTTCGCAACCGTTTGATATGCCGTATGTCTTCCGCCCCAATCCCGCCCCAGAGTCCAACCCTATTTTTGCCCAGCGCGCGCTGGATGCTGACACAGACTCATTCTTGACACAGACTCACTACACGAGGGACGAATAACAGGGTTACTATACAGCAACCAAACCCACCACGCAGCTCTTCACAGACCAATTCACCGGACGACTCTGACTATACCGAATCGTATAGCGATTACGGCGGCGACTCGCACTACGGCGGCGACTCGCACTGGGGCGACGACGAGGACGACGTCGGGCCCTCAGACTCGGCTTCAACCAGCAACGAGGGACTCCCTTACCAGCACGCCCCGCCTCGGCGAAGCCAGCGTGTTGTTCCCGCCGGTCACTGGAGAGACCAGCATTCGCCAGGACCTGCCCACCTACCTCACGCACCCCCCAACAACATGGACCATGAGGTGGAATATCGCCAGGGACGGACCCGCGCCTATCATCCGCAGTACCAGCCTCAACAGCCCCCGCAACATCACCCTCGCCAGCAGCACCGTGGCTACTACAGCAGCGTTGGCGGCCGCGGTTACCCTGCCGCCGGTGGCCACGTCTCTCCGTACAACAACATGGCGGCATACGCCAACAACGGCATGGTTCCTTTTGGCCAACAGCAGTTTGGCGGTGGCCCCTTTGCCCAAGCTCCTTACTTCAACGGAGCCGGCCGAGGCTATGACATGATGCCATACGGCAGCTACTACGGTGACCCTTCCCAGTACGCCATGCCCGCCAGCATGCAGCCATACCACAGGCCGCCGCCGGCCCCTAGCAGCCCTCCGGAGCAACCCAGCCAGGCTGTCGCCCCAGTTCCCAAGGAAGACCCCGAGAAGCTGCGTCTTGAAGCTGAGCTGGCTGCCTTGAAGGCTGTAGAGGAGGCCAAGAGGCAGGCCGAGAAGCAGCGCGAGATAGAAGCCCAGATCCGAAAGGATGCCGAAGAGGCATTCAAGAAGAGGATGGAGGACATGAGGATAGCACAAGAGGAGGCCCGCAAGGAAATTGAGCGGGCAAAGGAGGAGGCCGAGCGTGCCATGCGGGACCGTATGGAGGCCGAGAAGAAGGCTCAGGAGGAGCAGGCCAGGCAGCAGGCCGAGGCCCTGAGGCGGGCCGAGGAGAATGCCAGGTTAAAGTTTGAGGCCGACCAGAAGGCTGCCGAGGAGCGCAGGAAGAGGGAGGAGGAAGATCGCGCGAGGGCCGAAGAGGCCGCGCGCATCCGCCTCGAGGCCGCCATCAAGGCTGAAGAGGCCGCCAGGGCCGCCGCCGCGCAGAAGGCTGCCGAGGAGGCCGCGCGTATCAAGCAGATTGAGGAGGAGGCCAAGCGCAAGGCCGAGGCCGAGGCAGCAGCCAAGGCCGAGCAGGAAAAGGCCGACAGGGCCGCCGCTGCTCAGAAGGCTGCCGAGGAGGCTGCGCGTATCAAGCAGATTGAGGAGGAGGCCAAGCGCAAGGCCGAGGCCGAGGCAGTGGCCAAGGCCGAGCAGGAAAAAGCCGACGCGGAAGCCAAGGCGGCAGCAGATGCTGCGGCCAAGGCAGAGCAGGACAGGCTCAAGGCCATGTGGCAGGAGGAGGCCAAGAAGAAGGCCGAAGATGCGGCCAAGAAGAAGGCAGATAAGGCTCCGATCCGGTTCAAGGACGCCGTCGGACGAAAGTTCAGCTTTCCCTACCACCTCTGCCAGACATGGGCGGTACGCAAACTCCCCTTTTGCTTTGTTTCTACTCTGTTTCTCTCGTCGCTCGAAAAACTCGGGACGCCAGGCATCGACACTAACACGATTTACTTCTGGGCATCTAGGGAATGGAGGAGCTCATCAAGCAGGCCTTCCTACAGGTTGATGTGCTGGGCCCGCACGTCCAAAAAGGCCATTACGACCTGACGGGGCCCAACGGTGAAATCATCCTGCCTGCAGTGTGGGACAAGGTGATTGAACCCGACTGGAGCATCACCATGACTATGTGGCCCATGGAGAAGACACCACCGGCGGGATCTCCGCCGCCACCACAAGGAGCCGCCGTCCCTCCTCCCCCTCCTCCTCCGCCGCCGGGCGGTCGACGCCACGGCGCCCCCGTCAATGTACCCCTGGCTCCTAGCGGCTTTCACAAGCGGGCTACATCTTCTATGCCACCCAACATTAACATTGTCAATGCGACGCCTCACAAGCACAAGAGCAAGAAGAAGGATGACACCCTTTTCAAGTTTTTTGCTGGAGCTCCGACCAAGAAGAAGAAGTGAGTTTGCTTTTGTCTTGTCCTTTGGCTCCCCTTCCTCACTTCCCCCTCTCTGTCTTCCCCTCTTTGATCAGCGACTTACCATGTGCATTACCAGGAGCAAAAAATGAGCAATCATATGTTTTTGTCCGATAATCTATTGATTATTCTGTGTTTTCTCCTGCGAGTCTTTATCAATACTGATACCTCAGCGAATCATTTCTGTTTCTGTTTTTTTTCCTTTTGCGTCTCTTTATTACATCTTTCCTTCCATCTATTTTACATCCTTCTCTTTCTCTTCGAAAGGAATACAACGCTATGGGAACGGAGACGGTGTGCATACACTCTCTCTTCTTACACGTTGCTTTTTGGGGAGATACGAAAGAAATTTTCTTAACTCTAAGTGCTCAGAGGTTAGCGCGCATGGTGGGAGAACTAATGATTTTTCTATGATGGTCATGATAAAACGGAGGGAGATTATATGAGAGTTGGGCATTTCGGGGGTTTTCTTTGAGACTTCCATTGTTTTTACGTTAGACATGCTTTGGATGGATACATGTATGTGCTTTTGATCTCTGGCTATTTTTCTCTCCCTTGATATCTTTCTGTTTAAAGAGAACATGTTTTGAAGTATGGGATGGATACATGTTGCTATAGCGAAAATTACCACGTTTGTTCATCTATATGTCTTTATGCCAACAGTGATGTCAAGGTAAAGGCTATGGTGAAAAAGAAGGAGCAAAAGAAGAAAAGAAAGAAAAGGTACATGCCATAAAAAGAACGTAAGGCAAAAAATAAATCATTAGAAATTGAGGAATTGAACCCAGCCCGATTCGAACGGGCAACCTTCAGGAATCTCCGAAGTCTTCTAATCGTACTGGAATCTGACGCGCTACCGTTGCGCCATGGGTCCTTGTTGAAGAAGGAGGACAAAAAGGTAACTATAAGGCTATTGGGGGATATCCATCGATGCCAGTCCCTAGTGTGTATTAGCTATAGCTATTATAGCTACAAATCGTTATTATATCACTTTGGACTACGGCGATGCTACAGGAGTAAAGGTGGAATTTTACATGTGTTCTGTGATGTCGGGGGAGAGGACGATTCCACGTGTGAGACGCATGTTTTCCGTACGATACACTTAAAGCATGTAGCATATTCTTCCCCCCCCCCCCCACGAAAAGATAAAATAAAATAAAAACCCCATTCTATGAATACAATTGTATATATATGTACAAACACACGCAACAACAAGAACAACAACAACAAAAACAGCAAGGAGTTCTACAGTCTCCCCCCAAGTTTCTCCCTGGCCCTCTTCTCAAAGGCCTCAATCATCAAGCTGGCAACCTTGTCCGATACAGCAGCGCTGACGGCAGCGTAGAGCGGATTGGTGAACTGATAGCGTATATCAAGGTGGACCTGCGTGCGCGGCGACGGCGATGTCGTCCCTCCTTGCAGCGCACGCACAGACCACCTGGTCACCAGGCTGGTGAAGACTGCCGAACCCGTCTTGCTGCTGCTGCTGTCTCTGTCGCCGTCCCCGCTGACCGCCTCGACTGACTGCCCGGGAATGCAGTGCAGTCTGCTGCTGAACACCTCATCGAAACCACCCCATCCGACGTGGAGGTCTGCGCGGACCGGCCAGCGTCGTCCAGTCTTGCTGTCGGGCGGCGACCACGCCGTTACGGGGGACGAGGAGCAGTACGGAAGGAAGGTTGAGTACGAGTCCACGTCGGCTATCAGGTCATAGACCGGGTCGAGGGCGTAGGGGAGAATCCGCGTCGCTGTAAGGTGCTGCGCTGTCGCTGACGACGGGAGCGAGAAGAAGGGACGGCCGCGTGCAGGACAGGGAGACAGGCCCAGTCGGGTCGTTCCTCTCAGTCGGGCTGGACAGATGCGCCGTGCGGTTCGGGTAGCCATTGTTCGTTGCGGGCGTCTTTGCGTGGCGATATAGTTGAGTAGGACGGGGCCCCCAACTCTGGAGCCGCTTTTGGGGGGGAGGCAATCCAAGGGATGGAGAGGTGGGAGAAAAAAAGTTGAAGACGGTGATAATTTGGACGTTGAGGAAAGATGTGAGCGCGTATTGACTGATTGGTTGATACTAGCGTCGATGCCGCTTTGAACACTTTACCCTATAGTTGTACGCTGATCTTTCTGGACTTTCATTATTTGGTGATATCACATGGGAAGACACCTATCTTTCTTTTTTTTTGGGGAGAGGGAGGAGAGGGGGCGAAATATTGAAGAGAAGAGACAAAAGAGTTGGAATCTGTCAATTCGTGAAAACAAGCATGTTGACATCGCCATCGCCAAGGTAACTTATTCATCAATAAAGCACATTTGCATGGGCGCCAAGAACTACTGATCAATACTCGTAGTCGTACTAAATCCATCCATCCAGCAGACACGAAGAAGAAACAAACCGCTAAAAACCTATATATATGTACTATAGACACATATAAATTCACGATCATAAGAAAATCCTGCCGTTTCATTTATTTTTGCGCCATAATCTCGGCAAACTCCGCGTCTTTGGTTGGGCAGCATTCGTCAGCTTGTGTGTAACATACGCGGTGGTGGTGGTGGGGTAAAAAACAAGACGATCAAGGCGGGGGGAGAGGAGGAGGAGAGGAGGAGGAGGAGGAGGAAGGGGGGGGGGAGGGGCTCCAGGACTCACAATCGATAGAGCCGTTGCCGTCCTTGTCAGCCAGGTTGAGCATCTCGTCAATTTCAGCCTCGGTCAGATCCTCGCCTAGAGACTTCATGACGGCGCGGAGCTCGTCGCGCGAGATGGTGCCGGTGCCATCTCGGTCAAAGACACGAAAGGCCTCGCGGAGCTCCTTCTCGGGGTCGCCGCCGGCTCCTTTGCGGGCCATCATAACGAGGAACTCTGGGAGGGACAAGACGAGTTAGTAGCGGGCCATGGAAAGAGGTCATATATATATGTATGTATGTATGTATGGAAAGAGCAACAGAGAGCGGACTTGCCGTCAAAGTCGATAGCACCACTGCCGTCAGCATCAACCTCGTTGAGCATATCCTGAAGCTCAGACTCAGAGGGCTCAAGACCGAGAGACTTCATGACGGTACCAAGCTCCTTGACAGTGATCTCGCCTGCAAAGAAATCAAAATCAGTCGCTGTCGCGTGGCGCATGACGCCTATCTGGTGGTGGTGGCCATGTTGTTTTTACTCACCATCACCATCCTTGTCCTGTTTCGATTTGGGAACTATTAGCAGTAATCTCTTTTACATTGGGAGGATACCAAGCTGGCTTTTTATTTTTCTTTTTGCGACGTACGAAGAGGGCAAAGGCCTCCTTGAGCTCGGCGATCTGCTGCTCGGTGAGTGCGTCGCCCTGCAAGTCGGTGGTGTGGGGGAAAAGAGCTGTCAGTTGAAGAAGTCCCGGTAGCAGAGAACCACCCCATAGCGCGTGCGTGCGTCGAGTATCGCAAACGAACCATTGTTATGTAGTAGTAGTAGTAGTAGTAGTAGAAATCTTTTTTTTCGAGTTGGAGTCGTGAGGAGGGGAAAAAGCAGACTGGACCTGAGGAAGAGGAGGAAGAAGAAGAAGGTGGGGTCTCTTTTTTTTCAAGGAGCGAGAGAGGGGAAAGAAAAAAAAAAAGGGACCCCGACGGCGGCGATTTTCAAGAGTGTTGTTTTGTGTGTATGTAAACGTCAAGGATGGAAAGAAGAATGGCACAGAGGTTCGAAGATCATGCTACCAAGCATGAACTGAGTGAAACTAGAGGAGGGGCAGCTCGACAGAATGGGGAGGGAAGGGAGGGAGAGGAGTGAGGGGCAACAAAACCGGCGCGGGTCAGGACGCGTCGTCGTCATTGGGCTGTTACTGAAGATGCGAGTAATACCGAAGAACAACTCGTTTGTAGCGTAACATTCCACTGTCCGACGCTCGTAAATGATTTCAACACTGAGGAGGTGGAATGTGGACGCATTGTATTTCTATATAGTTTAATAGTATTGTGTGAAATAATTTATAACCGTAAGGTGGCGGCGTGATACAATGCTCGATGCTCTATTACGTGTTAGATAGTGGTAGCAGGGGAAGCAAAGGAGCCAAAGCTACTAATGCTGCCACTACCACTACCACTACTACCACTACCACTACTACCACTACCACTACTACTACTACTACTACTACTATAACTACTCCAACGTGTATTCGTACGCAGGGAATACGGAACAAAAGACTGTAAAAATGGCAAGAACGTGTCTCTCGCGCTTACCTGCTTGCCTTGAATGACGTTCCTTCCCTTCAGTGATAGTACACCCATACATGTAATATGTAATACATACCACCCTCGGTCGTACCCGTGTGTCCTTCCTTCCCTCTCATAATACCAGTAGCAATTAAAAGCGACACCCACTAATTATTGATATCACAGCAGGCAGGCACGCACTCAGCTAGCTATCTGCCCGCTGTCGCACCTTCTGTAACCTATAATCTAGGTGTTACTCCCCTCTGCTACTGCGCCCTTCTATCCCTCTCTCCTCTCGGCCCGCCTAGCGCCCCGGTACAGCAATCGCCTGCTCTGTGCTTCATGCCCCATGCTCCAGAGTACCTACGTACCCACCATTATTATTACCAAACAGGCTCCAGACGTCTATCTGCTTCAACATCGTCATTCCCACATACGCTACACACTTGCACCGCCACTACCACCACTACCACCACCACCGCCACTACCACATAGAAACTTGGCCATAACACCGGAATACGGCCAGCCATGTTGGGCCCATCTTGCTGACCTCTTTCGTACACCTCCCTCACCGTCCGTTTCTTTGCTCGTTGCTCTCCGACTGTCCGCCCCGCGTGGGGCACCCTGACGCCGCAACATGTACGACTCAAGCTTCGCCTCTTTGCGGCCCGTCGCTGGTGACTGTTGGCCATTTTGCTTGATATGGGTCCGATGCTAACCCGTGTATTGTTCATTGTGCAGGTTCGAAAAGTCGCTCTACGACCTCATTCGAGGTCTGAGGAATCACAAGGGCGGCGAGAAGGAATACATCCAGAAGAGCTTGAAAGAATGCCGCGCCGAGGTTCGCAGCCAGGACATGGGTTAGTCCACTCTCCTTCCTCCCCGTCTCTGTCTCTACCTCCTCCACCACCTCCTCCCGTTCCTCCCACTGCTGCCGTGCATTCATATATATCTGCCCTCCACTCAGCCGACAATTCCCCGGCTGACTCTCCTGCTGTGTCTAGACCTCAAGGCAACCGCCCTTCTCAAGCTCGTATATCTCGAAATGATTGGCTACGACATGTCATGGGCTTCGTTCCATGTCCTTGAGGTCATGTCCTCGCCCAAGTACCACCACAAGCGCGTCGGATACCTTGGCGCTGTACAGAGTTTTCGGCCAGACACCGAGGTCCTCATGCTCGCCACAAATCTGCTCAAGAAGGACCTTGGTTCGCCTACCCCGACCGTCATGTCGCTCCCTATTGCTACCCTCCCCCATCTCATCACGCCCTCTCTCGCCCTCTCCACCCTTTCCGACCTCCTCCCGCGATTGAATCATAGCCACTCCAACATCCGCAAGAAGACGCTCGTGACCCTCTACCGCCTGGCCCTGGTCTACCCCGAGGCCCTCCGTGCTGCGTGGCCCAAAATCAAGGAGCGCCTCATGGACCCTGACGAAGACCCCAGCGTCACCGCAGCCATTGTCAATGTCATCTGCGAGCTGGGATGGCGACGGCCAAATGACTTCCTGCCTCTGGCCCCGCGCCTCTTTGAGCTGCTCGTAGACGGCGGCAATAACTGGATGGCCATCAAGCTCATCAAGCTTGTCAGTGCCAATCCCCTACAGCTAACTGTGCCACTGCTTCCCACGATTGCTTGACTAACCGTGTACGTGTGTCTAGTTTGCGACCTTAACACCTCTCGAGCCCCGCCTCGTCAGGAAGCTCTTGCCCCCCCTGACAACCATAATCCGCACCACCCCTGCCATGTCTCTGCTCTATGAGTGTATCAACGGCATCATTCAAGGCGGTATTCTAGGTGCGGACGACTCTGGAAGTGAAGAGATTGCCAGACTTTGCGTCACGAAATTGCGCGGCATGATTATGGTTGATGGTGACCCCAACTGTATGTTCATTCCAGCCCCTCCCCTAGTAGATCCTGCCACCCCTTTGCTGTTTACCTGATGCTTACCCCAACGACAGTGAAATACGTTGCGCTACTCGCCTTCAACAAGATTGTCGTCACCCACCCATTCCTCGTCTCACAGCAGGAAGACGTCATTCTAGAATGCATCGATAGCCCAGACATCACCATTCGCATACAGGCCTTGGACCTGGTCAAGGGCATGGTTAGCGGCGAGAATTTGATATCAGTCGTCAGCCGCTTGATGAAGCAGCTCAAGATATCCATGCCTACCACGAGCAGCGACGACTTGGCCGCCCGGTCCAGCGACCCGGACATGGACTCGGAGGGAGAACCGACTCCACCCGGGGCGTCCGAAAGCCAAAAGTCAACCCTACCAGAAGATTACCGTATCGACGTCATCACCCGTATACTATACATGTGCTCTAAGGACAACTACGCCAACGTTACAGACTTTGACTGGTACATCGATGTCCTGACGCAGCTTGTGCGCATGGTCCCAGCTTCTCGTATCACCGCCGCGCAGTTACGGTATGCTAGGCCTGTCAGCGACGTTTCAGAGAGCATCGGCGACGAGCTGCGCAACGTGGCCGTCAAGGTCCGGGCTGTGAGGCCCGCGGTTGTACAGGCATCCGAAATCGTCCTGACTCAGTTAAGCACGGATGTTCCCGCAGGCCATCCGGTGTCCTCGCGTGCCCTGAAGTCAGTATCATGGATATTGGGCGAATACGCCTCGCTTCTTGGCTCCGCAGACGACACCCTCAATGGCCTGCTGCAGCTGCTGCCCAGGTCCAATGTTCCTGATGTTACCACAAGCATTCTCCAGGGGACAGTTAAGGTCTTCTCATCTATCGCGGGCAGCAGTCTGGAGTCCTGGTCGGCTGAAAGGAAGACTAAGATTTGCCTCCTCCTGGCTCGTTTAATCCACACACTGGAACCCGTCACCCTCCACCCGAGTCTTGAGGTTCAGGAGCGCACTGTCGAGTTTGTCGAGCTGCTCAAGTTGACGTCGGAAGCCTCGGAGGGCCAGTCTGCCTCGACCGATGGCTCTCACCAAGACCCCCCACTGCTGCTCACGCAGGCCATGCCGTCTCTATTCACCGGATGGGAGCTTAACTCAGTCGCCCCCAAGGCGCAGATCCATGTCCCACTGCCTGAAGGCATAGACCTGGACGAGCCAATTCATCACAACCTCGACAGTCTCCTCTCGAAGGCGAAGTTTGCTGTCCTCGAAGATCCCGAGAGTGACGATTTTGAGGTATTCTACCACCAGCGCCCGCCGCCCGTGGCCATGTCTTCTGCCATGGCACCGGCTATCACCAGACTGGTGGAACCCCCCGAAGACGTGGGCTCCTCCTACCAATCTGCTTCGGAAGACAACTATCTGGACGCAGACATTGTTGCGCGGAGGAAAGCAGAGCGCCTGGAGAGGAACAAGGACGACCCGTTCTACATTCCTGCGGGCGGCGGTGCAACTCGCACCTCGACGCCCATTCACAACATCCTGCAGGACAACAACGGACCCGACCTGGATATTGACTCGATACCCATCATGCAGCTGGACCTGGGCAAGGCATCTAGCACACCTGGGACGCCCGGCACACCTGTGATACCGGCCGAGAGACCGCAGTCGAAGGCTAAGCGCAGGGTTGTCGTCGCCACGGACGAGACGCTCGAGGGCAGCGACAGTGGCCCTAGCCGAACGTACGGCTCAGAGAACAACTCTGAAAGGGGCAACCGCAGTGCCAGCGCCGCCACGGCCAGGAAGATCAAGCAGGGTCTTCTCGGCGTCGACTCAAGCACCATCGGCTCGTTTAGCCTAGAAGGCGAGTCGTCGATCGGGGTCGACCATGAGCGTCGTCAGCGAGAGGAGGCCGAGATGCAGCAGGCGGTCAAGGAGGTGGAGCGACTACGGCTCGAGATGCAGCGCGCCAACGAGAGGGTCAAGGCCCCCCAGGGTGCCGGTGCAGAGGGTACAGTGGTCAAGAGGAGGAAGCCGAAGAAGGCAACAGCAGCAGCAACCGGCGATGCTCAAGGGTCGAAAGCGAAACCCGTCAAGAAGAAGAAGAAGAAGAAGCCTGCAGAAGGTGAAGGGCAAGAAGAGGCAGCTGCAGGCGAGGGTGATGACATAGTAGCGAAGCTGGTCAAGAAGAAGAAGAAGCGGGTAGCCCAAGTAGAAGAAGATGAGAGTGCGCAGGTCTAGACAGGAGAGGAGTGTGTCCTGTCTTGTTATCATGGTTCATATCCCACGACGCACGCAGCAGATACAGACCCCAAAAGGAAATAGTCTGAATAGATTTTTTGTAAAAAAAATGTTTTTCTTTATTTTAATCCAAAGCTATGAATCATCTACTCTTCCCATCACCCTATCAACTTTCCAATAATTTCTCGTTTATACAAAAAACAATAAAAAAATAGACGTCTTCACGCGAGTACAGGAAGGGGGTACAAGTACATCGTATCGAACAATCGTGACAAACTCAGAGCACAAAGCATAAGTAAGGAATAAAATACCCAAGGGCAGTGTAAAATATGAAACAAAGGAGCGCGACAGTCACTGGAAAGAAAACAGAGGACAGAACAAGGAGCGGTGACAAAGAGAATAGTACGGCTAGAAACAAGAGGTATATAATACCCATTTCTCATGCTCTCGTTGCAATCAATGAAAAAAGAATACATGGGGATAGAGGGGTAGTCAAGGACAAAGAAGAATATATAAAGAATAAGGTTCTGACCAGGATATCAAAAAGAACAAGTCTGATCAGAAGAGGGGGCAAAAAAAAAAGAAAACAAAGAAACTAATCCTCCATCGACTTATCCTCGAGCGTCACACCCCGCGGCGACTCCAACGAGGAAGGTGGCGAGGAAGGCACGCGCTGGCCGCCGACAAACTTGGCAGAAGACCGCGTTACGCTATCGCGGTGCACGAGGCTCTCCCTTTTGGAGCTGCGGATGCTGTCGCGCGCCGAGCTGCGGATGCTGTCCCTGTCCGACCCGGTGCGGTTTACGGGCTCCGTGGGCGTGCCGATCGAGTCGTTGTCCGGCACGTCAAGGCTGGACCGCTTGGCGGCTGAGGATGTCGGCGTGCCGCTCGTCACCGCGCCAATGCTGCCCAGGCTCATGCGCACGCGCTCGCTGGGCGACGCGGGTCCCGTCTGGATCGGGAACCGCGTCTCCGGCCCACCGCTGCTGCGGTCGCGACGGTGCCCGCGAGGGCTGGGTGCAGGGCTTGTGGCGCGGCTGCGACTGGCCGTGGCCTTCTCGAGAAGAGCGCGGTTGCGCTCCTCCATCAGCATCTTGCGGTTGCTCTCATCTGTGCTGATGGCGCGCGACCGCGTCGTCACAGAGCTTGAGTGGCCCAGCGTTGACATGCGCTTCAGCTCGCTGAAAATGGCGTCCTTATTCGCCAGGAGGTCCCGCACAAGCTTGTACGCGTGCTTCTCCTCAAGTGTGAGGGACGTCTCTGTCCGCGGCCGGAGGACACAGGGGGCTAGGCCCGTCGCCAGCGAGGCGACATAGGCGTCGTCGGCCGAAGTGAGGTCGATCAGGCGGGTAAAGTGGTTCATGCAGGCATCCAGCGTCGCGATGTTGGTGAGACGCAGCTGGGAAAGCGTCTGCTGAAGCACGGCTACCCGCGAGGTTTCGGTGCCGTCGGCGGTAGGGTTGTTGTAGATAGTCCTGACGATCTCGTATACGTGGGAGGAAACGAGGGAGTCTGCCGATGACATATATGTTAGCAGGTTGGATTTCAGGGCAAAGGATGTGAAGGAAGCTGAAACTAAAGAAATTACAAGAACAGGGGAGGAGGCAAAACGTACCCGGAAGCTCGAGGAGGTACAGCTTCAGTAGGCTAGCAACAGTCGGCACATCAAACTCGGCGAGTATATCAGGCGAGAATGGCTTGCCGTCATTGACCCTGGCGCGCAGCTTGTGCGTCTGAGCGAGGGGGACCTCAACAAGCCACACGTTGCGTCTGGCCTCATCACCCTCTAGATCGGGGTAGTGATGGTCAAGATAAGTTAGGATGGTTGTCACGATGATGGGGACTCGTTTCTTATCAGCCCTAGCGCGAGCCTCCAAATCGACACCAAACGTCTGTTCATCCGCCTTGTTGTAGTAGTTTTCGTACACAACAACCTTGGGCACAAAGCTACCGGTGCGGTAGTTTTCCAACAGGTAGCGCAGGTCGCCCTGGGGCTGGATCGTCTCCTGGAACAGCACCATCTTATCAACGGTGGACTGCATGCTGGGTATGGCGTTGCCGATGGTACCAGAAAAATCGAGGATGACCGTCTTGATGGCCTTGAGCCTGTCCAGCTCGCAGCGCTCGAGGAACTTGAGGTGCAGGAAGATGGCCTCCTCGAGCGAGCAGCGCAGCTCGTCCAGCCTCCTGACGCCCGCCTTGTACTTGTCGTCAGCCTCCTTTGCCTCGCGCTGGAGCCTCTGACCGGGCGTCTCGTCGGGGTGCGCCCTGCTGTTGATGACGTTCCAGTTGGCAAGGTAATCGCTGACGGTGCCAAAGACGGGCGACTCGCCAGATTCGGAGCCTGTCGATGGCATGGAGAATGTGCGGCTGGGCGGAGCCTTCTTCTCGGGGATTCCAGCCAGCTGGAAAGCCTTGGGGCGCCACTGATAGTTCATCTTGGAACTGTTGGCAAAGACACTGCCCACGTTGCCAACGAGTCGAAGGAAGCCATGGGAGACAAGGTCCTGGCCGATGCGCTCAGCATAGCTGACCGTGGTGCTGCCCATGTAGCGCTGAATGTACTCGACGATATCGGAGCCACTCGAGACATTCTGATACGTACCCAGGATGGCCACCTTGTGCTCTCCCATGGGGATGGTAGAGAGCATTTGCGAGAGTATCTTCTTAAGCTGTTCCTCCTGGTATGTCTCGTCGCCGATTTCCCAAAACTGATCGTCAGCTTCTTTGTGCTCATCTTCCTGGACCTTGATCTCGGGGATCGCCTGGTTGCCCTTGGGGGAGGACTCGGGGTCACGGAAGCCCAACTTGTTTTCCTCCTCGAGGTCCTCGAGCAGACGACATTTGTTGAAGTAGACGGAGCGCAGCTTCTTGACGGCTTCAGCCTGTCGATCGTGGGCCTTGATACGCGCCTGTAGGTCATCCTGAGATTCTTGTAGGCGGCTTTCGTGGGCGTCGCACCAGCGGGAAAAGGGGTTAACAACAAGGTCGCGAATACTCTGGGCGATTCGGCGGTGGCTGGCGGAAGCGTCCTGCATTTCTGATTTCATGCCGTCAAAGGCCTAGGGAAAATATATCAGTGAGTTCCATTCTTTGGGAAATTGATGATGCACAAGACGGCGCGGATCAAGACAGCGTGACTTACCTTGCGGATAGTGGCGCCCTCATCGCGAGCGAAGCCACCGGAAATTTTGTCGGTCGCGGGGACAATGTTGGCAAGCTGGTTACCGTAGACCTCCTCGGCCTCGGCGCGCATGCGGGCTATGGTCAGAATCTGACGGTTCTCGGTGGTTCCCTGCTGCAGTTTGTCGAACAAAACGCCGAGTCCTAGAGGGGAAAGCCGAGGTTAGCTGGGTGAGTCAAGGTTATGATGGCGTTTTACAGGGAATGCTGTTACCTGCAGCATAATCGGCGGACCAAAAGGAGTCAACGAAGCCCGGCATTTTGGACTACTCCAGCCCATAGACAGTGGGCGCGTCGAGGGGAAGGGTAACAGAAGGCGGAGCTGTTGTGGCTTGAAGACGCTCAGCGCCGGTTGGTCGGGGGGTGCAATGGTAATGCTTGATCGCGAGCGGGCCGATCAACGGCAACGTTTCCGAGGGGCGGTTTGGTGAGCTGTCGGTCTTAAAGGTGGCGAAAGAGTTTGCTCGGTGAGATTGGGACCAGATGACAGACAGGCTCACTGTTATTCTTTTCGTCCTGAATCTCGGGCTTTGCGCGTTGTTGTCGGGCAGGAAGAAAAAAAAAGAAGATGAAGGAGAGACGGAATACGAGGCTCTGGCGATCAGTGGGCTGGGGTGAGGTCGACGCAATTGGGCATGGAAAGACACCGGGGGGTGGCTTGATCTGTGCGTTGCTGTACTGGTAGCAGTACCGTCAAATACTGGTGATGCCTCGAGAGAGAAGCGGTGATGGAGCGAGAGATGGTGATGAGTCTGGCAGATGGATGACAGCCGGAAGAGAATGAATGGAGAATATCACAAGACACAAGAGCCAACGTATCCCTGAAGAAAATGGCAGCCTCGTCACAGTACGAGTAGCAGCAGCAGCAGTAAGGAAGGAGCTGTGGAGGAAGCTAGACCCTGGTCCTTCCGTTCCCGGTTCGTGTGGCGCTTCGTGGCCTTTGTGTGGCTGGACGTTAGTATCTAATACTGCTAGTATTGCAGTAGTGCTATGATTTTACTGTATGAACGAATATTACTGCGTTAAAGTAAAACAGTGCTAAAAAGTAGTAGTAAAAATAGCATGAATGATACTGCATTCAAGGGCCTACAGCCTATGAGTAGTATTGCAGGTACAATACCCCATAATGGTGCAGCTGGCCTGGCAACACTTGCCCTATTGCTACTCTGGCTGAGTGTCCCTGCCCCCCCTCAGGGCTCTCCAGGACCCTCCAGGACCCTTTTCTTGTTACCGGAGCGAGAAGCAACTTCTGAAATGCTACGAGTGATGATGATAACACATGTACAGATCTCTACGAGTAAGTTAACTCATTACTACTGCTCTTGCCTCCCAGGAACGCAAAAGTTACTATTGGCCAGCCTAACGTTGCGGCGCAGATCCTGGTAATCTACATATATGTGGCATTAGGGAGTAATTACTCCACATGGAATTGCTGGCGGGAATGCTATAAATATTCGTATCTGTACAGAGTACGAGACTACGACTACTTGTGCTGTGAGTACTAGATACTGCTTAGATTGGGAGGAGGTGGTGATCCTCTGCGAGTAGTGTAACGGTAGTCGAAGTCGACATGTATTCTACTTGATAGATCTAGGTGTTTTACGTCTTTTATGACGAGTGTTGAGAATATGAGTAATGCTAACATGGTACAAGTTCACAGTGCATCGTTCCCATCTCAACATTAGGCATGCTGATAAATAATATTAACTAATGAGTTTTACGAGCTTGGCTAAACTAGGGCGCATAACTGCTAATAGCAGCTATGGAGCACTACCAGGCAGGAGCGGCCAGCCTCTCTTGCCATCAACAACGACATACTCATACTCGTACGCTCCTTCCAATATCATCGTCATCTTGCTTGATATATCCCACTTAGCCATACTTTCCCACTAACCCTAATTGGGTCATCTTCTATTTTCAAGTTTCATGGCCTTGATGATAACTATGAAGTATGAGTGCGACTGCTTGTAACACTTCGTAGTAGTATCAATCCGGTTTTGACCTACGGCGGGTAACATCATCCCACGAGGTGGAGCGAGCACTCTGAGGATCAAGAGCTCTCGGCAAGCTATCCATTCTCTTAGCGATTTCAGGAACATGGAAATCCTATACTCTATCTTGGAACTATGCGGGCTCGTTCGTCGTGTTTGTGTATGCTCTGGCTCCCAATCTGCGATTTTCGGCAGAAACTCCGCAGCCCACTAAGTGGGAGTAATTGCCTTGTACGAGTAGATTACCAATGCTCCCCTCCTCCTCTCTTTTCGGAAGTCCGCCGTCTATCAAGCTTGGCCGATAACCGTCTGACTGTTGCACCATCATTCGAACTTCAACAATAAACCTTAAAAAAAATAGCAGTAGTAACAACAAATACGAATACTGCTAGCATGATGGAACCCTCATCGGAAAAGGGAAGCGTCAGATTGCCGGTACGCGCCAAGGCCGGCTCCATCACGCCTCGGAGGCTCCTGGCCGTGGCCGTTCTCTTCCTCGTAACCGTTGGCTTCATGCACAAGTCGTTCGGCCAGTGCTACCACCGCCTCCGTGAACATATCTGCGGGCCTCTATCTGTCGAAGAGCGAGCTGAGAGGGTCCTGAAGACGACGCCCTTGATTGGTAGGCGGATTATCCCCTCTTGTCCTGAGCAACTATCTCTAACATGTGCTGGCAGATGGCCATGTCGACATGCCTCTGCTGTTCCGGTACTTTTACCACAACCAGATTGACAATGACGATGTTAAGCAGGCCTTTGAGAACGGAACATTCCCGGGTCACATTGACATCAAGCGTCTCCGAGAGGGCATCTCGGGCGGCTCTTTCTGGAGTCTCTATGCTCCTTGCCCGGAGCATGGCGATGACTTTTCCGATGAGAATCTCGCAGCAAGTGAGTTCCTCGCACACATATAGAAGTCGAACCCGGACTTGGAAATGTCTTGGGAGCTGACATATGATCAAGGCGTCCAATTCACCTTGGATCAAATAGATGTCATGACGCGCCTCCAGGAAATCTACCCCGACGACTTCTCGCCAGCCAAGGGTCTGTACGCCTCCAACGCCCTGGACGCCTGGAAGAAGGGGCAGTTCATTTCACCCCTTGGAATCGAGGGCCTGCACCAGATCGGCAACAAGGCTGCCAACCTGCGCCGCTTCTACGACCTCGGAGTACGATACGCCACCCTCACGCACAACTGCCACAACAAATACGCCGATGCCGCGTTGCTGGAGAGCCCCTTCCGCAAGGCCGAGCCGCTGCACCACGGCGTCAGTCCCGAGGGTCGCAGTCTCATTCACGAGATGAACCGCATCGGCATGATTGTTGATATTTCCCACGTCAGGTGAGTTACCTCCCCACCAATCCCTGGACTAAACAGATGTGCAACTGACCAGAGATAGCGACGACACCATGATTGATGTACTCGGCGGTAATGACAGCTGGGAAGGCTCCAAGGCTCCCGTCATCTACTCACACAGCTCGGCCTACGCCATCTGTCCCCACCCGCGCAACGTCAAGGATCACATCCTCCAGATGGTCAAGGGCACTAACTCAGTCGTCATGGTCAACATCTCGCCCGACTTCATCTCCTGCAAGGACACGGGTGCGGACAATGGTGTCCCCGAGTTCGCCCCTGAGGACAGCACTCTGGACCGTGTTGTCGACCACATCACGTACATTGGTGACCTGATCGGCTACGCCCACGTCGGCATCGGCACCGACTTCGATGGCATTTCCTCCACCCCCGAGGGCCTCGAGGACGCGTCCAAGTACCGCGTCCTCGTGGCTGAGTTGCTGCGTCGCGGCGTTAGCGAGGAGGATGCTGGCAAGGTAGTTGGCGGTAATGTTCTGCGTGTCTGGACTGCTGTTGATGCTGTAGCTGCCAAGTTGCAGACCGAGGGCGCGCCGGTTCTCGAGGACAGGGTCGAACTCAAGTTCTAGATGAAGATCCGTTTCATCTTTGCGACACATAGCGTACTTCTCTCTCTGTCCATCCTGCACGTTTGTAATCTTGGGAATCTATTCAGTGGTATTTCGTCTTGCTACAGAAAAAGCAGACAGTTGATAGTACGACACCCCGCCGCTTCCCTGGCGGGCAACAATGATATACAACTCATCCCCTCCCCCTTTATTCCGACAATCGAATTTGTACGTGTACGCAGATGGCACGGTTTAACTAGCCCGGTTGAGGCGGTTGAGTTTGGTAGCCGTGGCTGTCTGGTTCTGGGTTTTCTGCCCTCGGACAGGGTATCCCATTGCGTGGCGACGGCCACGATTCGATGCTATATCCCTCAGACGCTGAATGTTGCCCCTCATTATGCGTTTTGCGTCGTTGTCAATTGTCATTTGCGAGAGCTCAGCTGTCAGGGACGTGACGGTTCGGGGGTGGAGGGAGCCGCAGCGGGCCAGTTTGTGGATGGAGAACTTGGCCATGATGCGCGACGAGTGATTGTTTCCGAGGGCGTAGAAGGACTCGAGAGCTGTCTGTTCTCGCGAGTCAGAGACTAATCCGTCGTGCCATGCATGTCATGCCGCGAGGGGGGGCCCTTACCTTGACGAGCTTCCCGTCAGGAAAGTTGACTCCCATTATGAACACCTGGAAAGGGGAGGGGTTAGCAGTTGCCAGTGATGGAGTGATTCCAAAAGAATCAACAGATGAAGGGAGGTATGAACTTCCCCGTCATCCGCATACGTACCATCTTGGCGGTTTGCTGCAAAATCACACTACTTGGTCGTAGCGACTTGGCGAGATCATCAAAAAAGTTGGCGTCGTCAATTCTCCTTTGGGGTGATCGGAGAAATCGTATTATGTAATCATTCATAGGCTGAACAGGGGCTGTCTGCCCGCGGGCGGTGGAGTTTCAGACGTCGGGGGCAAGTTACAGGGGACAGTTCACTAGCAACCAGAGGCCTCAGGAGCTACGTACAGTAGGTAATGTTGGCTGCGCGTCAGAGCTACCGCCCACTGCGTTTCCCCTCTCTAGGTCCATATGTCTATAAGGTGGCCTCTCCTCCGCAACCCCCTCCCTCTTCCCCTTCCTCTCCCCTCCAAATACAACTCATCAATTAAGGTTGGAACTTCAAAACCTCATCAATCGAAACCCGCAAACATGTTCAGTTTTAGCCGACTTGTGGCTACCATTGCCCTGTTCTTCGGAATCGGTCTGGTCCTCTTTTCCCAGACGGCCGAGGCCGCCAAGGGCCCCAAGATCACCAACAAGGTCTACTTTGACATTCAGCATGGTGACGAGCCCATCGGCCGCATTGTCATGGGTCTCTACGGCAAGACTGTCCCCGAGACGGCCGAGAACTTCCGTGCCCTGGCTACTGGCGAGAAGGGCTTCGGCTACGAGGGATCTACCTTCCACCGCGTCATCAAAGACTTCATGATTCAGGGTGGTGACTTTACCAACCACGACGGCACTGGTGGAAAGTCCAGTATGCTTCCCTGCTTATCTTGGTCCTTATTGGTGTGAAGGGACAATGGGCTGACTAATTGACAGTCTACGGCAACAAGTTCAAGGATGAGAACTTCAAGCTCAAGCACACGAAGAAGGGTCTCCTCTCCATGGCCAACGCCGGTCGCGACACCAACGGCTCTCAGTTCTTCATCACCACCGTCGTCACCTCGTAAGTCTGCATCTCGGGGGTAATCGGTCCCAATCCCAACTGAATGACGCTAACACCTCCCCAGGTGGCTCGATGGCCGCCACGTCGTTTTCGGTGAAGTTCTCGAGGGCTACGACGTCGTCGACAAGATCCAGAACTTCAAGACGGCCCGCGGCGACAAGCCGGCCGAGACCGTCAAGATTGTCAAGAGTGGCGAGCTTGAGACGCCCCCCGAAGGTATCCACGTGGAGCTGTAAACGCACCACCACCACACCACCACCTCATCTCTCTTTCTCCCCTAGCACAACGCACCCTCTTCCTCGGTTGGTGCGTCCTTTATCCTCCCTCACCCTCATCTCGCTTGACATGCTCTCCCTCCCCTCATTCAAGGCGGAACCAAGTGCGCTGATGGATTTTCGCTTCCAAAGACGACGACGGCGATGACAACTCCGAGACTGAGGCCGCTCCTGGTGCCGTCAACGACGAAGCTCCCATCGCCAGCGAATCCGTTGAGGGCTCCTCATGGATGCAGAATGCTCTCTTCTTTGGCGTCATTGCCACCGCTGTTGCTGGCGTTTACAAGTACACGCAGGGAGCTCGTTGGGAGAGTGAGAAGCCGCTTGCGTAAGCTATGACGAATTCTATAGTAGACGATTATGGGCCTTGGATTCAAAAAAAAGAATGACAAGGCTTAGCCGTATTTTCTAGTGATTTTATATCTGTTTTTAGTTTCAAAGGCCATGTTGATAATTGTATGTAACACGATTTGTCTCTGTACGGAATTATCCTGGTGCAATTCTGGCGAGCTATACGCTACTAGCACCTTCTTTGTCACGTGGGGCGCAAGAAAAAAGTTGTAAGCGCAGCTAAATGTTGATGTTCATCTGCAGCCTCTCACTCAACACTAGCAACGATACCCAGAAGATCCCAGAGGACAAAGAAAGCGACGAACAAAAAAGTCCATTCAAATCGTCTCGATATATTCTAGTTATCATGAAGGTCCTCACCCTCAACTTTGTCACCTGCGCCATCAAGGCCTGCAAGGGCACCGTCGGCGCACACCCGCTCCACCCTAAAGATGCTGAGCTCGTGCAGGATGAGATTGAGATCAACCCGGACATGATTGTCAATGTGTTGCCTCGTCTGGACTGGGCAGCTCTACGTACTACATCATCAGAGGTAAGCATTTCAAAGAGAAAGAAAAGGTGGGGGAGATGCTTTCCTTAATTTATCTGCCCTCAAAAACTCGAACCCCTCCCCTCCCCCTCCCCTTCCCCCACCTTTCAAGAGGAAACTTGAAGATGCAGAGAAGTCGAGGAGAGAAGTTGTATTGTGCTTACGTTCAACCGTTCCCCCTTCCCAGCTCGGTTTCCCCTCTCTTCCTGAGCAGCCCCCCACGGCGGAGGACCTTCGGGGCGATGAAAAGGCTCTCAAGGACCTGCACCATCTCCTCCTTGAGACGTCCGTGTCCGAGGGCAAACTGGTCTGTGGAAACTGCGGACACGAGTACGCCGTCAAGGAGGGCATTGCCAACTTTCTGCTTCCTAGCCATTTGGTCTAGATTTTTGTTTTGTTTTTTAGATACCTCGATTTTTCTTCCTCGAGAGGCGGACGGGGTGGTAGGAAGGAGTGAACTGAAGGATAGAAAAAGCACATGGGCGAGGAGTATTGGGCGTTCATTACATATTGAAATTCTATTCACACACATGCACACACATATGTATACCTCGTTGAGAGCGTGCAAACATGCAAGACCGACATTATGCATCACAGACCAGAAACATGACTGCTTCACAAGAATTCCTATTCAACATTTGTCTACAGACCATCTCGTATGCAAGGATATCCAAACCCTGGCGGCTTACCTCGTACTAAACTGACAAGCAAAAGGATGTAACAAAACCACAAGACAGTACAATAAAATAGAACCAGCCCTAACAAAAACTCCATTTTAGCTAGGGGAGGGGGAGGCGAATATATAAATACAAGAGCAGCGACTATTATCAATAAGTCGTTGTCATGCAGAGGGAGAGAGGGAGAGAGAATAAAGAGTAGAAGAAAGACAGAGAGAGGAATAAGCAGGTTATTGCTGCTTCTTTTGAGCAGCGGGACTCATATCCTTGGCAAAGGCGCCGTAGGAGACCTGTAGGCTGTTCAGGGCCGTGAGCGCAACACCGAGGATGCTGAGCATGATGATGGTCGCAATGAGGCCCATGAAGACTCCTGCCATCATCGTTAGCTCCTCAGAATACAAGCAGAGAGAGGGGGGGGGATAGACAGCATACCAGGAGTGAAGAACTGGTATTTCTCAAACAGAGCGCGGGTATCACGGTCTGAGTCCTGACGACGCGAGATATGGTCGTTCTGCACACGCTTCTTGAGCTCCATCTTCACAGGCTCTTCAAATTCGGCGTCGTACACCGTAGGCTCCTCGGGGCTAGACATGAAGATGACGGTGTAACTGTCGTCAGCCATGATGCTGGCAAGCTTGTCACCGAGGACGGCGTCTAGAGGCCAAGTTAGCAAAGCAACCAACACCCACTCCGTTGCCATCCACATCGATCTCATCTCTGTTTTTGGAGTAGGAAAGCACTCACTGTTCTCCGGTAGGGCAGCATTCGTCAGCTGCACGACCGACACGTCCTGGTCGCTGCAGGTGCTCTTGATGTAATCAGAGATGGCACCGGGCTGGACGGCACCAATGACCTCGGAGACGGTGTACCCAACTTTGTTGCGCGAATCGACGATGGCATCGCACAGGCTGGGTATAGAACAGCCATCGGATTTGGTGCGGAGCGAGGCGGCCGTGAGGCCGGGCTGGTCGACGACTAGGTATCGCTTCGTAGGGCACGTCTGAAGAAGGGACTTGGCTAGGCCCTCGACCTGGGCGTTGGTCTGTATCTGGTCAACGGTCGATGATGAAGGGGCGTTGTCAATACTGCAAGTAGAAGAGGGTTTCCTGTTAGTTGGACGGCGTGTGTTATATTCCCAGGAGAGGGGGGCAGAGAGAGAGAAAAGTCTCTCGGGTGGGTGGGTTGATATCCTTACGCCGACGTAGACAGGAAAACGAATGGCGAAGAATCCGAAAAGGCGACAGTGGATCCGGCGAGCGCCAGAGCGCTGGCGAGGGACTGGAAATGCATGGCTGAACGATGAAAATTTCAAGGGTTTTTGACGGGGAAGGGGATCGAAAGCTGTCCCTTTGGCAATTCTTAGAGCTTCCCTCCTGACGCTTTGCGCGAACGTGCCAAATCACGAACGATGATGCAGTGATGGATTACATAATCATTCGATAAGTGCATATCTCCACCCTTCTTTTACATGCACACCATCCGGTGAGAGAGTAAGAATATGGGACCCTTGAATTAGGCAAAAAAAAAAAAGGTTTGGGATGATTATTGGAATGTCTGTTTTTCTATACTTTTTATAAAATCAAGACAACACCCTGTCAATTACCTACTATAGAATCTGGGGAACAGAATAGTCACCAGGAGAATTCAACCGCTTCGTTGTCCATGTCAAATTGTCACAATGTTTGCCAAACCTCGTCCGAAAAAGTCACTGGCCCCCCCGCCCAAGAAGCGCAAGGCGCCCACCATTGAAGAGATCAACTTCGACTTTGATGCGCGCCACGAGTATCTCACGGGTTTCCACAAGCGCAAGCTCCAGCGTCAGAAGTATGCGCAGGAAGAAGCAGCCAAGAAGGAGCGTCAAGAGAAGATAGAAATTCGCAAGCAGGTATGTCTTCCTCTCCTCTCTCTTTTGTCTATCATTTTTTTTCTTCTTTTGCAGGCAGAATACCGACCTCTCTTTCTGTCCATAGGCACGAGAGGAGCGCAAGCGCGAGGTAGAAGACCATGTCAATATGGTAAATAGCCTCCTCAAGCAATCTGGACACATCGGCGCCAGCGGCGAGACATCAAGTTCCGAAGACGACGCCGACAACGACCAAGATGAGTTCGAGGGTTTCCCGGACCGCCCAAACTTAGACATGGTCGACGACGAGGAGGAGTACATCGATGAAGACCGATACACCACAGTTACCGTGGAGACTGTCGACATCTCGCGCGATGGCTTAAACAAACCGGCTACCCGTGAGGAGGAAGCGGCGGCGGCGGCGGCGGCAGAAGAGAAACGAAAGAAGTACGCCGAGGCTGCCGCCGCAGAGGAGGAGGCCAAGGCGAAAAAGGAAGACGCGAAACAGAAAAAGAAGAAGAAAAAGTTCCGCTACGAGACCAAGCTGGAGAGGTCGCTCAATGATAGGAAGCAAAAGGCCAAGAATCACAAGAAGAAGGCCGAGAGGACGGAATAGCAAGCGGTTGGTTGGTTGGTTGCATCATCATCATCACTATGGTATATAGGCATGACAACATAACATGGGCGCTCATCTGGGCATGATTGACTTCAAATTGTGCGACATCGATTTACATTGAATATACTTTCAAAGGTCCCCCGTTCCTCCCAAATCCAGCCAACAGCAATACTAAAAAACCTCTAATTTCAATATGGCGACAAAGAAGGGTAGAGCAGTATGCTAGAGGACTTGTTACTTCTTCCACTACAACTGCAGAGCTGCGCTACACCACCGTCGTCGCAGAGATTTGCTCGCCATGCTCTGCAAGACAGGAATTCCAACAACGAAGAAATAACGACACATCCGCGAACGCTTAGATGGTACCAATCTCGGCTTGGAGGTCGTCGAGCTCCTTTTGGAGTGACGAATGCTTCTTGGCCATCTCCTCGTACTTCTGCTCCCACTGGTCGCGTTCTTGCTCGAGGGCCTGGACCTTGCGCTCAAAGTGTCCAGCCTTGACATCGGTTTGACGGAGCCTGTGTTTTTTGGGCGTGGTAGATTAGTATGAGCAGTCGAAAGGGAAAGATCAAGGGAAATAGGCCAGAGGAAAAGAGCCGGCCGTGTATGATATATTGTGTGCAAGAGGGCACATACTTCTCGTTGGTCTCGCGGAGAGTCTTGTCGGCCTCCTCGGCCTCCTCCTCGAGCAGCTGCAAGCGACGCTGAAGGGTCTCGTTCTGGGTACCGTGCTGCTGGCCATCCTCGGCAGCTTTCTTGAAGTCCCTAATGGAAGTCTCCAACTTGTCGACGTCACCCTCGAGGACGCTGTTCTTGTGCTGCAGCGATGTGATCTCCTGCTCCTTGGCGAGGTTCTCCTGCTCCAGAGTCTTGACCCTGGCCTGGAGCTCCTCAACCTTGGCGGCCGCCTCGTCGGCCTCCAGACGGAGCGAGTTCATTTTCTAATAAGCACCATATTGTCAGTTTCCTCCGCATATCCGGATGAGGGCTAAAGGTTTGGTGAGGTGCGACAGAGGGCTGGGTGAGGAGGAGCTAGTCGTCACCCCCTCCGCCACCACAAAGACGCGGTGTGTGTTTGCCTCGTGGGCGCAGGCAAACGTACCTCCTTGATGCGGTCCATTTTAGCTAGACTGTTCAAACGTCAAAGATAGAGAGTTGGTATTGTAATGGAAGAATCAAAGAAGCTGCAGGATCTGCTTGTTTCCGAGAGTTGCAGGCAATTTATTACTGGGACAAATAGAGGACGAGGTGGTTAAAGGGAAAAGGGATGCGGGTGGGGGGAGGTTGCCCCTCCACAGGCTCCACGTTACCTCCAGGAAGGCGCCAGGAAGATGCTGGAGCCAGTGGAGCATTTGACCAGCGCTGACCGGCGTTGGCCAGCTCGCAGGTTGCTGCCTGTACCCTGGAAGCAAGACTCAAGCCACAGATACAGGACGATTGACGTACAGCTTGGGCAGGTAGCTATGGTTCAGCCACACCTTCATCGCTCGTTGCCCTGTCAACTAGATTGCCACTCAAGCCACAAGTTGACAAACCTAGTCGTCCCCTTAATTACCCAATATTACTTTCACCACTTGCACTAAGACCACCACCGGAAGCCTCAGGATTTGACAATACACGTCAATAATTAATTAGACAGGCAATCAAAGCAATTACAACCCACGCCAATATTGCACAGAGAATAAATCTCAACAACAAGAAGAACAACAATATCCATCACACCGAACAGCCACCGGCTCGAATTTCACATCGACAGCAATACATACAAACGACACCATGCTGGCCGCGCACCGCGATCAGGAAAACCTGGTGCATAGCCACCAGGCCGGTCCTGGAAAGCAGCAGATGCCCAAGACGCCTGGTGCTCGCTACCCCAAGACGCCGCTTAGACCGGGCCATAATGACGAGAATGCTCCCACTGCCTTTGCTGGTAAAACCGGGCTGGGCGGAACCAAGGCTGGTAACACCATGACCAAGGGAAATGGCAACCAGGGTCTTTCGACGCCCATGGGTAAGCGTGCTCTGCTGCCAGATGGAGAAGGATTCCATTGTTCTAACTTGAGCCACCACATAGGTCAACGAAGCAGAGCTCCTCTAGGAGCCAAGACGACCAACGCTAAGGCCCGTGCTGCTCCGGACACTGGTGTCAAGGGCATAGTCAAGGAGATTGAAAAGACGGCGCTGAAGCAGCCCACTGCCCAGAAGCCTAAGCCCAAGTCTGCACTGCAGATTGAGGTCAAGAACGACCCAGAGCCAACTCCTCAGGATGGCGAGGAACCCGAGTATGCGCCACCCAGGCCGGCTGAGCTGCCTTACGAGTCGGACCTGCTGCCCAAGGGGGGGCTGTCCATGGAGGGACTGAAGAGGGAGAACCTGTTCCTCGGCTACTATGAGCACTTTATCAACCCCATCGACGAAAATGGCGTGTCTCGCCGAGATAGGCAGTTAAAGGACGAAATGCGGTCCGTCATGGACAGGGCCGTGAGGAAGAACCAGAAGGACCTAGATGAGGTGGACTGGAACACATCGGACTCGACACAGTCGACTACCCGGATGATCAAGCAGAAGCCAGACGCACCCGAGGTGGCTGAGGCCAAAATGGCGAGGAAGGTCAGGGTGAACCCCGTTGATAAGCAACAACCCTCAACCATCCGTGCCAGGAAGGCTGCGTCGACCCTGGCTGTGCACACTGATGGACCCAGGAAGACGGCGCCCCGGAAGACACCAACACCCACTGTCGCCCCTGCCAGGCGACCTCTGAGCAGCCTAATGACCGGACGGAAGCCCGCTAAGAGCAACCTCCAGGAGATGAAAACACGGGACAGCAACAACACCGCCGCCGAGGCCGCGTCAAGAACCACCCTCGGCTACAACAAGGGCAAGTCGGCGTCGGGCATGGTCCACCCGCGCGCCCCCAGCCAGGCGTCGTCTGTGTCAGGTCGCAGCACTACCAAGACGCCGGTCCGCCGAGACGACGAGTCGGACCTTACCATTACGCCGGCTCGCATCCGCCCGGCCGAGCAGCACCGTCCTCGGTTTACGTCCATCTTTGAGCCGGAGAGCGACGATGAGGATCTGGCCCCGTTGGCCGGTCCCGCCATGCTTGGTGATGACGATGATGAAGAGTTTGAGCTCAAGCTCGATCTTTAAAAAGCCTGGGTCAGGAAAAATTAAGACGCACGAGTACCTTTACCCGTACGGGAGTGCTCTTGATGACACAAGCATTTGGCATGATACAAGGCACCCCTTCATCGTCTGCCTGGCTGATTTATGTTTTTTTTTGTTTCGTTATAATGCCGGGCGTTTTTTTTGGCGAGTTCCATGCGACATATACGTGTTGGCTGGGAAACAGTTTTATGTCATTTTTCTTCATGCTGAGATATCTTTTTGTTTTTTTTTCTAGTTCTCTTTCCTTCGTCTTCGCTAATACTACTCGCTGCGGGTTCTAAGTCCACCATATTTAGAATGGACTTGAATGAACACGGTTATACAGCATGTTACGAATTGAGGGTTACTTTACCTCCGGTAATTTATGCATATTCTTACTACGCACTTATATAGGAGTGACGCATTGAAGGTGCGGAGTAATATATATATATATGACCGTGCACTCGAGAGCCAAGAGTTATGTGGTATTACGTCGTACTCAGCACTACGAGTAGCATGAGTACAGGTCCCTCGTGATGTGGGATGACGCGGATAATCATACACCCGCCTTCCGGCTCTTCGGTGCGGCTGCGCCACATAAATTGGCACAAGAGTAGAATGTACGGGGACTCGTATGGAGTACAGATTACGGAGTACGGAGTAATGAATGATAATAGCAACTTGTGCACAGGGCTATAAGTGGCTAGTAATTGGTGGCTGGCAACACAACCGAAACTCGCCGTAGCCAATTTCTCATTTCCCCATTGACTCCTCCCCCCCGTTTATCCCTTTAAAGTACCTTGACACCAAACAAACGCGCCAAAGATACATAATACACTCTGCCCCGAACCTTGGCGGCGCGCTCAGAAAGTTACGAGTGACTCTCAGGCTTGGGCTCAAGCCCGGGCAGGCGCATCTGACTTCACCTTCCTCCTCGCCGCCCTTTTGGCAATTCACCACCTCTCACCAACCCAAATCTGGCCTCATTTCATGCTCCGACCCTACGCCTTGTCGCTGTCGTTTTGCGCGTTGCTCTTTGGTGACATTCCATCATCCTACGCATTCATTCCATCTCCTTTCACCTAATACTGCTCTGCCATCCTTCTCTCTCTCTCCCTCCTTCACCCCACCCCCCTTCGGTCGCGTGGGACTTTTTTTTTTTCTGCCCTTCGTTCTCAGGCGCGCGCGTGTGTCCGTGTGTTCCCACGACACACACTAAACACCCAACCTTTACCTCCAACCCCCGATCGCCGCCTCATCTCAAGAAACGAAGAATAAGATCATTCCTTTTCGCGCGCGTTATTTGTGAATCGAGACGCGTCCTCACCATCTATCATGGTTGGTACATCGCAACAAAGATAGCAGGAGTTGTCCCCCATCGACCACGATGACTCGTACCCCCTCTGCCCCCGGCTTCGCGCAGTTCTTTCCCACTGCCCCCAAGGTGAAGGCTGAGGCTGAGGGTCGGGGCGATGAGCATCAGTTGGGACCTGGGCCCGACGGCCTCACAGATGACCGCTCATCGCAGCATCCGCATACCAACGGTGGTATATCTCGCCCCGACGAGGCCGATCCCCATCTAAGCGATATACCGGGCACTGGCGACTCGGGAAGCTCATACGCATCGACAGTCCTCAACAGCGCTCGCTCAGGCAGCTCGCACGGTAGCAACGTCCCTTCCGTGTTTAGCAGCGACCGCTCGGGCACCACCGCTCCCGTTACCACATCCGCGTATCGCCATCCCACCACGAGCGATACCCCTCTCACCTCGAAAGACTCACCGCTCACCCCAGGGACTACGAACCCCGACATGGCTTCCTCGTCGTCATTGGCGCCTACCAGTTGCGTTGCCAACCCGGCTTCGTCTAGCCACAATGGCCTCACATCTCACAGCTCATCGCCACCTACCTCCGAACCTATCATTCCTGCGCGAGATCCCATGCCGTCAGTCAAGGGTATCAAGTGTACTTTTGACCCGCTCCTCGAACGACTTCGCAATAAGGTTGTGAGCAGATCTGGCAGACCTACATATAAGGAGTTTGGATTGGTACGTACTTATAATATCTGTATCCCACTTCTCTCCCCTGAGTGGGGAGGACGGTCTGGGAGGGGGGGCGTCAAGTGTTCTCGTGTGTGTGAACCCAGTGGCTAATTCAATGCTTGATAGGAAAATGACGCCCCCCCTACAGATCCTCGGCTGTCCAAGCCCGGAGGCCGCCTAGGATATATCAATACCGACTTTTATCTTCCAAAAGCACGACTACGCCCCGCACCAGAGAACATCAGGCCCTATCCCTACGACCCCAAGACATCTGTCGGTCCTGGTCCACCGACCCAGATAGTTGTTACCCGCTACAACCCTCTTGTATCTTTTAACAAGGTGACGGCTGTGTTCGCTACCTTTGGAGAGATTGCTGAGAGCAGCAATAAGATGCACCCTGACACTGGTAGCTATCTTGGCTTTGGGACGATCCGCTATCGCGACTCAAAGCGACCTGACCGACCCCCGGTCTCTGCATTTGACGCCGCACGGAGAGCCGTAAGAGCTCGCGGCATCAAGGTCGACACAGACATAGTCAAGGTTGAGTATGATCCTGAGGGTCGCAAGAGTCGTCGCATGCTTGAGGAGCACCTGCGGAGGGATAGGGAGAAGCAGGCCAAGATGAACCAAGCCCAGGCCAAGGCTGCCGCAGCCGCAGCCGCAGCAGCGGCCTCAGATATGAAGGCCCCCCCGACAGGACCTAAGTCAACGACACCGGCTGGTTTCGTTAGGGCTCCCCCGACAGCCCCCAAAGGTCTCGCGCCTCACAAGCCGCCTGTGGCCTCCGCCCTTCCTACTGCATCCGCCGCCAGCAGCGCCCCAGCTCTGACTCGGGCCTCCCAACCGCCCGCCAATGCAGTGACCCTCGCTTCGCAGCTCTCAAACGATCCCTACATCTTCATCCCCTCTGAGGCAGTACCTATACTCACTAGCATTGTGCCCCACATGAAACGACGTCTCAAAAACTACTCGTTCGAGGACATTCGGCTAGATCCCAGCGGGTACTATATATCTTTTCGAAAAAGCTTCAACGGTCGCTCAGAGGCTGAGCGATGCTTCCGTGCTGTCAACCATACCGAGTTCTTCAACTACGACATGGCCATGCAGCTCTGCCTGCCCCGGTCCGGGGGCCTTTCTTCGGCCGAACCCCGTGTTTCTAGTCGCAGCCCGCAGAGGAGTGAGCGAACAACTGCTCGACCCAGAGATGAGGAGAAGGAGCGCCGTCGTCGCGAGGATGAAGCGGACCTCGAGGAAGAGAAGAAACAGCGGGCCAAGAACTTCGACCCCGTCATGGAAGCTGTCGAAGCTGTCCGTCGCGAGATGACGGAGCACTTGATCCGACACATTCAGACGCAGGTGGCAGCACCGTCACTAGAAGAGTTCCTTGCACCGGCTAACCACGCCGCTCAGCGTAGGAAGCTGAACCTTGACAGGGGTGAAGATACGGAAGATGACTTTACATTGGACGATGGCAATGACAGCTCTCGTATCGGCACACCCGCGCCCCGTACCGACCCTATTGAGCGCCGGACGGGACGGGCCAAGGTTGAACCGAAGAAGGTGAACGCGCTGCCCAGGATCCGCAAGGCCAAGGTCAGCGGTCAGGCCCAAAGGAGCACGTTTGTTGATCCCTTTGCCCGCAAGAGACCCATCGAGCGGCCCAACGCTTTCCGTTCATTGCACCACCGTCTCAAGAGCATGGACAGCGATGTTGAGTCCGAGGAAGACAGCGACGTGAGAGCCCTTGCTGCCCGCGACAGCGAGGACCGGTCGTCGCGACCGCAGAGCCGCATGAGCAGCGACGAGGAGGCCTTCAAGGAAGACGAGCTCGGCTCATGGGGTCCCGGCGAGGACGATTCTATGACGGATGTCAGCCTAGTGCCTGTCCCGCTGGCTAAGAAGCGCAAGCTGAAGGCATCTGTCGAGGCTGCCTTTAAAAGGCAGAAGAAGTCTAACGAGGAGTTGTTTGGCATCAAGATTGGGCACACTGAAGGCGAACTGCGAGATCGTGAGATGACGGAGGATAGTAGCCTCTCTCGTTCACAGACGCCGATGCCTACCATCACAGCGCCAAAGGGTGGCAAGAAGAAAACGACGGCCAAGGCTAAGAAGAAGTCGAAGAAGCAGATCTTTGAGGAACGCGAGGCTCTCAAACAGCAAGAGGCGGCGACAAATGCCGATGGCGGAGAGAAGGAAGAGCCGACACCGGCGCCGGCCACCGAGGAAAGGCCACTTCTATCAAGGGAGCCTGAAGAAGTTGAGCCTGAAGGATTTGACGAGAAGAGGTTTGCCAATCAGCCATTGGTGCCGGTACTCAAGCTTTCCGACAATTTTACACCCGACATTGCGACTCTGGACAAGCTCGTGCTGGGTCTCAAGGATACACCAGATCTGGCAAGACTGGGTAAAAAATTTAACATTGGACAGATCGGATCACCAGAGCTCTGGCTGTGGAAGCGCAACCGCGTGCGGCAGCTCAACTCTATGGACGGAGACGTGACGCGCCCCGTGTCAATTGAGGGCTACTACGTGCCCAACCCGACGGGATGCGCACGAACCGAGGGGACCAAGAAGATCCTCAACTCGGAGAAGTCCAAGTACTTGCCTCACCACATCAAGCTGCAAAAGGCGCGCGAGGAGCGCGAGGCCAGCGGCAGCAGCGGCGTCACTAGCAAGGAGTCGGAAGCGGCCAAGCTAGCGGCAGAGAAGGCGACCAAGGGCAATAGCCGAGCGAATCGTGCGACGAACCGACGGTACGTGGCGGACCTCAACGACCAGAAAAAGACGCTCGGCCAGGACTCGGACGTGTTCAAGTTCAACCAGCTCAAGAAGCGCAAGAAGCCGGTCAAGTTTGCCCGGTCGGCCATCCATAACTGGGGCCTTTACGCCATGGAAAATATTGCCAAGGACGACATGATTATCGAGTACGTGGGTGAGGTGGTGCGGCAGCAGGTTGCCGAGATCCGCGAGAAACGCTATCTCAAGAGCGGCATAGGCAGCAGCTACCTCTTCCGCATAGACGACAGCACGGTCGTGGACGCGACTAAGAAGGGAGGCATAGCACGCTTCATCAACCACAGCTGTATGCCCAACTGCACGGCCAAGATTATAAAGGTCGAGGGGAGCAAGCGCATTGTCATTTATGCCCTACGTGACATTGCCATGAGTATGTTTCTCTCTGCCCTCTGCACTATACGGAAGAACGGAAGAAGATCGCTGACGGAGTGAACAGACGAAGAACTCACCTACGATTACAAATTCGAGCGAGAAATCGACAGCGTCGACCGCATCCCTTGTCTCTGCGGAACCCCAGCATGCAAAGGATTCCTCAACTAGACAGTCAACAGTCTCTCGAAGACATCGGCATTAACCACTTTACCCTCCTCCTCTCAATACCCCAATGGATTGCATTCACAGCAACAACCACTTGGTTCATATACATCTATTTCTTTTTTTTACTTCTCTCCTCATCTGAAGAATCTCTTAATGAACACTACCATGTACGTTTCTTGTATCCATAGACAAATGTAATGTTGGGAAAAGAGGGGGTATGAGAGGGCAGGGAAATTTTCCAAAGGCGGGAATCAAAAGCCATATTCACCATGTTTCTTCTTCTACCTTCTTTGCTACCTTTTCTTGTGCGTGTGTTTTTATTTTTTTCATCTTTCAAATAAAAAGACAGAATCCTTACCAACACGGATTATGCGGAGTGGAGGGGGGGGTGTAAAAAAGAAGCTTGGAAAGTTTTGGGGCGTTCAGGAAGGTGACGGAAGGATTTGACGTTTTTTTTCTCACTCTTTGAAAAAAAAGTATTGGAATCATTGTCTTGCACAGTATCTCATGTTGTGATCCCTTTTATCTTAGCATCAAATTAAACATGGAATATACCCTATAGAACCAGACACATACAGTCATATGGAGAATAGGGAAAAAGGAGACGAAATAAACAAGTGGCTAGATACGTATACTCTGCCTGCCCAGATGAGGAGACCTATCCTAGACTCCACCCATGCTTGTCTTGAAGATGATATAAAACACAAGATGAATGAATGAAAGAAGAGAAGAAAGGAAGGAAGGAAGGAAGGAAGCAAGGAAAGAGAAGAAAAGATGGAAAGATAAAATGAAAGAAAGGATATTAGAGGAATCGTTCAAATCAGGTGTCGTGTTTGTACGCTTTCATCCCAGAACCCCTCCCCCCTCTCCCGTCTCTTTCTTCCCTCGTCATTTGTGATGACATACCCTATATAACTTTTCAAACCCGCTGTATGAAGAAGAAAGAAACCAAAAAAGGGAAGTGGAGAAGAAAAGTGAAAAAAAGAAGAAGAAAAAGAAGGAAAAGAAGAAGAAAGGAGTACAGTACTCCCCCTACTTCATACCATCATCCGGATTCAACGACCTCGGACCGAGCATCCAGTCCTGCATAGCAAGCCAGTCACTCCAACCCGTCTCGGCACCCTCGATCTCGGCCAGGCTGACATTCTGCAGGGGCCGCAGAAACGGAATAGTCTGCTCGTCATCCATGTCGTAGTGGCTCTTGACCGCCAGCCATGAGTCCGATTTGGCGGCGAAGAGGTAGTTGCGGCGCTCCGAGTCGTGAATGGGACCCACGCCCTCGGTCCATTCGTCGCCAAAGAAGCCGTGCAGCACTGCGGGGGAGTCGAACGCTGTGGCGACGAGGCGGCGGATGTAGGGGATGACGAGGGTGACTGAGGGGTCCGAGGATGACGGTGCTGTCGTCGTCGACGGCGCTGCTGCTACTGTCGCTCGAGGGGTGGTCTTTTGGTAGGGGAGCCTGATGTTGATAAAGGCTGCCACTGCTTGGACCGACTCGGTGTGCTGACCATGGTCGAGGAAGAAGCGTAGACATGATTGGAATCTGGGGTACCATTCGAATATGTCAAACTGGATTTCTTGGAAAGGCTGCTGGGTTGTCAGTCAGTCGAAAAGTCGGTTGCCCAAGCGACGATGGTGCTTCGGCCCCAGTGAAGAGAACAATTTCTGCAGTGCCATCTATCCCCTGGACCTGGACAGAGGCAGGAAAGGACAGAGACAAAGGATGGTCGGTAGGAACATACATGGGTAAATGGTAGCGACATGTCGACAGGTCGGTGGGCCCAAACGCCCAATGTTGGCAGTAATCGTAGCAGCTTTGTGAAGAGCGGAGAGTGGCGCCTTTCGAAAGAAACCAACAGGTGCGAGATCCTTTCCCCCCCCTCTCTCTATCTCTCAATATCTCTCTAGTCTCTCAATATTACAGACCTCTAGCCCTGTGGACTAATAGTCCATAGCCTAGCATAGGACACACAAGGAAAACACCTTCTGACCAAGCTGTGGGTGTGCCTTGGTGGGGCGGGTTGGCCGACACAAAAAGGATGGGCAGACCGCCAGGGTCAAGAGGACAATATTGGGGAGAGTGGGCTAGTAACTCGTACTCGTGGCACTGACAGCTCGGGGGTGGGCGGCACGGACAGATCTTATGGCTTGGTCAAAGGGGCCCAGGACCAGTTGGAATTGGTCAGGAGGAGAGAAGAGAGGGGGAGGGAACCGTACGGGCCAGTGCTGATCTTTTCTTGCCGGGAGTGTATCTTCCCTCCTTCTGTCTGTACTCGTATCAAGGGCTGTGTGTGTTTATCGTGTGGGTGCGTGGAATCTGGTAACGAGCATGGATACTCTTACCACGGAAAGAATCTGATGTCAGGTAAATACAACGTGGGACGAGATCAGCAACAGGCCAGTAGTAGGGAGGAGACGTAAGGAAGAGAATGAATTCGACTGCGGCTGCATTTCTTTGGGTAGCCGTTTTCATGACACTACTGCAAGCATAGCGAGAGTGGAAGCAGCCGAACAAGTCTTGGTGGATGTCACACCCTTCTTCTTGTCGACCCCCTCCCTCCCCTATCTTCCCCTCTGGAGGGAGAAGAAGAGACCATTGTCAGCTTGCCCAGAGATTCTCAGCGGAGCTTTGTGGAATCTTCTAGTTTCTAGTAGGTAGCAAGTAGCAATACAGAACACAACTCTAACGTTGGCCAGCCCACAACGCTGTTGAGCCCTTGGGCAAAAAAAGGCGGGGAGAGAAATTGGAGGGGTTCGACGAGCTAAGGTTCGATCTCGGAGTGGGACTCTTGCGATTGGCGCCATGGGTGGGAAGGGGGGGGGGGGGGGKCGAAGAGCCAGGAACGCATGAGTCCACAGACAGAGAAAGAAACAGGGTTAATAGGCTGGAACTCACTCTGATTAAACGTCCAATTGCCTCCTTCCTTGAAGGGGCGTGAGCCCGTTCCGTCGCAGAAGCCCAGGGAGATGTTATGTTGTCCGGATCTATCTTCAGGCAGCAGCCGAGCAAAGGGCGGCAGGCAAGGTTGAAAGTGAAGTCTCCCGGGAACTTTGGTAAACACACTTGGGGGCGAAGCGACGAGACGAGGGTGAGGCGACGAGTAGGAGTGTTTACTGGGTCTGTATCTGGGATGGAACGGGCTGCTTGTGCTAGAAGTATCAGTAGATGGGTGTGCCACGTATTTTCTTTTGTTGTGGCGTTGTACCGACGGCGTCTTTGTTGTTGAACGCCAAGCAAAGAAGAAGTAGAAGAAGTAGTTGCAATGCTACCATTTTGAGTATGCGTACGGACGTAGTACTCAGTACTACTCGTCCTCTGTTACCCATGCCTTCTTAGCTCATCTCATCTCATCTTGCAGACGCGCGACGGTAGTACCATTGGCGCCACATCTGGACATACGCACACGCACGCATGCACGCACGCACACACACACCCCCGCCCTGGCCGGGGGGGGTGTCCTGGGTCCAACTTAACCTGCATGGGGAGGGCCCGTAGGTACATGGAAGTTCGAGGCTTAGTCTCGCGTGACGCGCAGCAGCTCCCCAGGACTACTACGGGTACATTGATGATCGTACTCGTGCTCGTACCGGTGAGACGTTATGGTTTTCCGAATTGGGTTGCCAGCCCAGAGTGGTGGGAAACCCTAGAAAACCTGGGTGGGCTCCGAAACTTCGGGGTTAACGAGTGGGAAAGGAGGGGGTAACCAAAGAAGGTAATTATGGTACGGAGGCACAGAGTCGTTTTCGTCATGTTGAGTTCTACACACTAGGCTGCGGATTGTGTCATTGGCTCATTGCACAAAGTCCATGAGTCCTTGGTTGGAATTGGGATGTCTATGGCTACAGGTCACGGCAAGTCTGAAGATGCATGTACTCGCGGTCGAGCTTCTCGTGGTTGGCAGACGGATGCCGAAGGCAATGCAGAGAAAGATCGACAGAAACCAGGAGCTGTTCGCCAAAGTGTGGGTCAGTGAGATTTGCCGGCGTTGAGATGCGGCGCGGAGCCGCGTGCCCATCGCCTAATTATCGTGGCTGGCGACGTATAATTTTTATGCTACATGCTGGAAAGGGTCGACTTGTGGGACAGAGAGAACAATCCAGGTAGCTTCTGGGCAAGTGTGGAACAACGCTTCGTGGTATGGAGTGCTGGAGGACTATCCGTAGAGAGGGAAAGAAGGAAAACGTCGAGTACAATAGAGCACGGTCCATGCCATCGACTTGGCGTGCATGTGTACGTCGTAGTTACAGGCCGGTCCGTGCTAGTATCAACGTTAGTCAAGCCAAGTTCTGAAGTGATCAACAACATCGACCTTGTCCGACTGACTTTCTGTCTTCTCTGGCTTGCCTCGGCATCAGTCTTGAAATTTCGGATTCTTGGCAGCAAACAATGCCGATGCTTTTCGAGCTGAATATGACTGCCATGTGCGACGGCGTCTGAGTAGCTGAACCATGGCCAGATCCATTGACAGAGTGTGTCTCCAATCATCTAATTCAAGTGACGTTGAGTTCCGAGACTCCGAAGGGATTCACGACATGCCCGCGACAAGGGACGTTTTAAGGAAGGGACGAGGAAGTATCCGTATTTTGGTGTGGGTTTGTGCGTGAGTTGATGGAGTATATTGCCAGCAGCAGTAATAGTAGAAACACACGCGTGTGTACACGTACTCTCTCGTATGGTGTGTATACTCGTACTCGCGTGGTGTGTGGGCGTGTGTGTGTGCGCGCCAAAACTGGGGAATGGATGGAGGCTAGGGCATTCTGGTGGTGGAACCGGCATTTGGGAAGGAGCAATGGCTCATGGGTCTTGACTTCCACGACTTACGGTGAGCCTACGAGTACTACAGGTAACGAGGAATGCTCTATTAGAAGAGGCAAGTACGAAGCATCGCATTTGTCGCTTTGCCCTCTCGCCACCTGCGCCCAACTGCCGCTTTGACGGAAGAATACGGCGTATAATACAGCGCGTTATAATAGTGGACATCTACGGGGCACAGTCTGACTACAGGGCACATGCCAAGTATCATTATACTATAGTTAGCGTACTCCATACAATGGAGTCTACTCCGTAGTGTGATAGTATTACTACAAGTACGAGTTTCAAGTAGGTGATGTCTATATTGATACTTCCCTAACGTAAGGATACTCCACGTACATGGGCAATACTCCGTGAGGTCCGTACAATAGACTGCATCATGCATCGCCTCTCATCGCCTCGCACTTTCTTCTAGCTCCCACCAGGATAATTTTATTTCTGTTCACGGGGCATTAATTCGCCGTACGACGGGAAGTACTCACCTGCTTTGTTCCTTCCCTGCAGCTTCTGCATCTGCATCTGCACGTCCGTCTCTATACGGCGTAACACTTTGTTCTTCTCTTTTTATTTTTATTTACATGCATGCTGCCAATGCGTCTTCGCAGCTTCTACCCAGCCTGGGAACGATTGTACTTGTTGGTCGTTACACATTTCTTCAACAAGATCATCTGATGTCCGTTCATAGCATCCACACTGCACGACACTATAATATTGATACGATGTGCTTGCAGTTGCAGGCGACAATGACAGGGATCCAGGCTCTAAATCCAAACCTGTACATGCCGTACTCAACAGCACGCAGCACTGCGCGCAACACTCGATTCTTGGATTCCTAGCCTGCCCGGATCAGAAACCTGCTTGCCTTTTAGCAATACGTCAAACGGTCTACTCTTCCCACTTTTTTTTTTTTAAAAAAAAAAAAACCTAAAAAAAAAACTCTCCTGCCATTTACTCACTCACTCGTGGCGGTCTGTTTTGTCACAAACCCCAACAGGATTTCTTTCCATCGCTCATCATTGAGTGCGCGGTGCGCGGTCTAATTGCCCTTCTACGCCCGCCTATTTACCAACAGCATATCGGATCGTACTCGCATCCAGAGACCAGATACGGACAAAGGGTGTGCTATACAAACGACCGATATGAGGCGCCCGCCACCGCACGCCATCTGTCACCGGCCGTCTTATTGTTGTTGTTGCTACTAATTTCCGAACCTCGCATTTCTCGCCGCCCAGCCTGGCCATTCGCTGCCGATGTTCTGGCCTCCCTGACTGTCTGCATGGCCATTGCAGCTTGTATCATTCCTCAGCGCAACACTAAGCTGTCTGTGGAAAGAAGCAAAGTTCTGCAGTTGACCAGCCGGACCTCGTGATGTGTAATGAGGTAACTAACGGCCAACCAACCAAGCAGTGGCAATACTGTCATGGTGGTGGTGGTGGCAGCGGATCAACAAGACCATGTTGATGAATCATGGGGCCGCCGCCGCCGTCGTCCCTACTCCAAGGATGCCTCGGGATTCGAGAGGGAAGAGAATAAGCACTTGTTGGACAGGTACGGCAGACGCGAGATTCAACCTAGCCGCATCGTACATGTATATGTATGAGGCTGCAGATGCTTCTTAACCTTGATGACTGGCCATTGTCAATAACGAACTGGAACTCGCAAGTCTATGACTACTAGTACACATGTACGGAGTAGCATTACGATGTACAGAGTACGGAGAACGGGTATCGGCTTGGGGTGGATCGGCCGCTAACATCAGGTCTTTCGCAGAGTAATACCACAGTTTCGGCACCATCTCTCCCTCCTTGACGAACCAGATGGCGAATCGGCCGTTTCTCTTCCTTTTTTTCAGCTCGACAAGGGGTCTCGAGTCCCGACACCCCTTCCCCACCACCCCTGTCCAACCTCGTGGCCAGTACGGAGTACGTGCGCACTACGGGAGTAGTGGTGGGTGGTGTCAAGAAAAAAAAAACGGTCTACCGGCAAGTGAGGCAAAAATTTCGGCCAAGTGCGAAAGGGACAACGTGAAACTGCCCAGCGATCGATTATTGGCACAATTTGGTGGAGTTTCCCGAGCTCGATGAGAGGATTGCTCTCCCAGGTCTAGCTCGGACCCCCTCTCTACTCGATCGGCCCCATGGGTGTTAGCACGATATGTACGGTACAGTAATACACTTTGCTTTTGGCGCGTGGTCGAGGGCGGGAATACCGGAATTATGATTTGGTGGCTGATAGGACGTCAATGCACGATTGCACATGTGCTTTGTTGCTGCCAATTTGGCGCAGGGCAAGGCGAGGCGAGACTAGAAAGACTGGTGGGCGAAGCAACCAGCGACAAGACGCTAGTACGTGCTGTCACTGCGAGCCAGACGACAGCGAACCGTTTTCTGTAGTGGCGACAGGATACTGCCTCTATGCCTCGTATGAGGGAGGGCTCCATGCTCACGGAGTAGTCGTAATGACCATTGAAGAGACGGAGATGAACAAGTCTGGTGGTTAAATACGATCTACCCGGGATGAGCACCTAATGAAGTAGAAATGTATCCAAGAATGGTTGACAAGACTTGACAGGACGAACCGGCCCAGACCGGACACCTCGCATGGCACATTTCTGAAAAGAGAGATGCTGATCTGGACGCTGATTGGCAATTGTACTCGTACTCGTACCGAGTTGTCCAAATGTCAAAGAAGCTGCCTACAAGTACCACTCGTGGACTTATCACTCGAAATGATACGTCGCATGTGGTACGGTTGGAGGCTATGGAGGAAGGAAGATGGTTGATCTCCCGTGAGCGGCAGTTCCCTTACCATGTGGGATAAAGTGATATGTAATTATGACAAGGATCATGACTCGCCTTTCGCTCTCTCTCACACACACATACACATATTTGACGACTCTGGCTCACATACTACGCCCTGTTAAAGCCTGTATGAACAGATTCCTTGCTACTACCAACAAAACCATTTGCGCATAGTCCCATTTCCTGCAGATGTATCATGTATCATGTTCCTCCCTCTGGAGCGAGCAAATGGCCGAGTTGGAAATAGTAATATTGATTTCGATATCAGGGAGTGTTCCGTTGCAGAAGTTATCACGACTAGGTAGCAGTATTATGTCACTCCACCCCCCCCCCCCCCCTAAACTAACGAAAAGTGAGCAGCCTGACGTGTGTGTTGTCGTCGTGTTCCAAGGGGAAAAAAGGAGGGTACATCATGACTACTTTGTATTGACAGTCTAGAAGACACTAGGAGGTGTGCTCCTTTTGCCTATTACTATCACTCTGTAAGCGACATTGCAGAAAGTGAGTGGCACTGTCACAGATGAGCTTTCGACACATCCTGTAACAGTCTCCTGTCCAGATGGGGGACCCTCTGCTCTGCTTCTAGAGTGTTGAGATATCCCGGGTGAAGTTGCTGGATAGATGTGGCGCCGCACATCTTCATTGTAGTTTCCAGTTCGTCTCGGAGGACTACACGGCGCACATGTAAGAGAAAAATCATACAAATGATCACACAAGAAAAGGGGGAAGAAGAAAACGAGGGGAAAAAAAGGCGGGAAAGGGGATAGATAGAAGAAAGAAGAAAAAAACAGAAGAAAAAAAACCCACTCTCGATATACTTGGCCACGCCCTCCCTCCCGTAGTTGAGAGCATACAGCGAGCCCCTCCCTATGCCGACGGCCTTGGCACCAAGACACAAAGCCTTGAAGATGTCTGTGCCGCGCGTGACGCCCCCGTCCACCAAGACATCCATGGCATCAAACACATGGGGACAGTTGACCCTCATCTCGAGGAGGGCCATGATACTCGAGGCTGCGGTATCGAGGCTGCGGCCGCCGTGGTTAGACACGACGATAGCATCGACGCCGGCCTGCGCGGCCATGACGGCATCTTCACACGTCTGCACGCCCTTGAGCACGATGCGCAGACCGGGCGCACAGCTCCTCAGCCAGGCGAGGTCGGCCCACGACACGGATGCGTCGATCCACGCTCCCATCGTGCGGCCCAGCGCACCGCCCTTGGCGTCGTTGCCTGCCGTCGCACCTGACATGCCCGAGCTCAGGCCGTTGCCCGCCCGGATGCGCTCGTCAGCCTCGCGCTTCCCCGGGACGGGAGCGTCGACGGTGAGGAATATGGCCGATGCGCCCGCGTCGCGTGCCCGCCGCAGCAGACGACGCGACCTCTCCCTGTCCCTGTCGACGTAGAGCTGGAAGAAGAGCGGCATAGACCCGACAGCGCTGCGTACGTCTTCGATAGGGAACGATGCGCTCGTCGACACGCACTGCGCCACGCCGCTGTCCCCGCACGCGCGAGCGATGTCTTTCTCCCCTTCCTCGTGGACCAGCCCGGCCATTGCCACCGGGCTGCAGAAGATGGGCACGCGCACCACGTGGCCTAGCATCGTCGTCGAGAGGTCCACGGTCGATACGTCGCGGAGGGCCCGCGGCCGGAGTCCGATGCTGGCATAGTCTCTGCGGTTACGCGCCTTGGTATGCAGGTCTGTGGCGGCCGATGATATGAAGGCCCACGTCTTGGGGGCTAGCGTGTGAGATGCTGCTTGCTCGAAGTCGTGGGTCGATATCAGTGTGCTGAGGGGGGGTTTGGTGCCCGAGGCCATTGTCGGTGTTGCTGAGCAGGGTGATTTGGGTTTGGAGACGCTGAGATAGGTAGTTGGTTTCCCCACTTGTAAGATTTCTTTTGCTTATAAGATTGATTGAGAGGGAGTTGAGTTGAGGGTTGAGAGGAAGACGGCAATGGGAGTTTTGGCGACGCATCGGTGTTAATTTCGCCGAGGTGCGGGGGAGGTTGGCATAAACTTACAACTTCCAAGACGACAGCATCTATGTTTCTATATACAAGCTGAATTACTACATCATATGAAAGACTTTTCACAGTAGACCCCCCTTTTTACTCTGCTGAAAAAGAAGATGTTGTAACCTGGCAAATAAATGCCTTTACAATGGCACGCCGGCCGTGAGCAACCAGTCATTCCCTGAGACAAAAACCCCTGGCATCATCCCCCCAACGCCTTGCCAATAAGCATCCTGGCCTTGTCGCTCAGGTCCATCCCGAGGGCAAGCTGCCTGCCTGGCTCGCTCATCTTACCCCACGTCTTCTGCAGTATACTCACCATCTTGGCCTCGTCTACGGCAGCCTTGCTCTCAAAGTCATCGAACTGATCGTCCAGGAAGACGAGGCAGGCTACATCCTCGAGGACCTGCACCTCCTCGTCTGACTCGAGCTTCTCCTTGCGTATGAGGGCGGCCACGCGGTCTCGGTCCTCCTGCGTTATGTCGTCGATGCCGCACAACAGCTCAGCCACCTGCTTTGCCGCCTGGGTTTTCAACTTGGCTCGCCATGTCAAGTATCCCGGCCGCGTCATGGGGAAGCTGCTCCTTGGGATCCCCCATCTGATTTTCAAGAGAAAAGTAAGTAAAAATAAATTGCAGCTCTTTTTATCAGCTTTGTGGTTACTGATGGAGGGAAAGGGTGGAGACCATGATACGGAGTAGATGGGATGAGGTAAGGTGGGGTGACGAGAATGACTTTACCTGCGGAAATGTTGAGCTCGACATGCTACTTGCAACACGGGAGATGCGTCGGGCTTCCTCTTTTCCAGCCAGCGCGTCATCTCTCGCGCGTAGTGTAGTTCGTAGGGGACCGTCTTGGGGCCGTCTGGCCCATCGGTCATGTTGGGATCGGTGGCGTGGACATTGTCAATGAGGGTGATGGCCTTTTGGTACCGAGGTGCCAGGGGAGGGAGCGTTGAGGTGTCTGGTGCCATTCTTCCCGTCTATACACTCACGATCTTTGAATTCCTTGTATGAACGATTGCTGTCCGGTATGGTATCTTTTATTGCAGTTTTCTAATCTTACCCACCACCAAGTGCCCACCAAGTCACTTGGTCATCAAGAATCAACCACGTCTGAAAGGGTCATTGACATGGTTGGTACAGTGTCAGTTTCCGTCGTCGCATACTGTCAGATGACTCCGACGTCCGCTATCCGTTGATTTCATACTGAAATATTCTCATATTTTCTCTTATACTATACAGACGTTATTCATCTTGTGCTTGCCAGTTTGTTGTGATTTCCTCCATCGTTTGCCTGATCTGCAGTGGATTCGAGTACCCTGGATTACGGTGAGCGACAGGTAAAAGACTAGACTTTCAATACACATAGACCCCCTCGTCAATTTTAACCTTCTTTCTCTCCTCTGTTTCCAAGTACATGAACAGGTAGATATCATGCCGCGATCCCGCAAACGGCAAGACGAACATGTCAGATCATGCAAAAAGCTCGTTTCCTGCAAAACGAAGAAGCCCAAGACAAGATATCTGAAATACCCTACTGAGCCCAGCTCATCATCGACAGAATGCTCAACGTCATCCGATTCCGACTCAACATCTTTTGCCTCCGATTCCGATCCGTCCTCAGACAACAATGCCGCTCCTGAAGATTGGACCATTTCAGAAGATCACCAACTCCGCGGCATGAAACAGGACGAGCGCAGGCCATCGTGGGAGGCCATCGCCAAGACACTAGGTCGACCAACCAAGCAAACCAAGCAGCGATGGAAGACCATCAAGCATCGGAAGCACCACGACGCTGATGCTGATCCCGCCTCGGACACAGAGTCGAACGTGGTTCCAAACGTCCATGGCCTAGGATACATTCCCGACGTAGAGACTCGTCGACAGACGCACTATCTCCATCGTCATATCTACGCAGGTCTATACCCGGCCAGGTCTACGTTCCAGCAGCAACAGACTGATAGTGAAAGCGGGAGGGACAATACGAATAACAATGATGAATGCGGGGACAAGGACAAGGACAGGGACGAGGAGGATGAGATTCTCGTCGTTCTTGAACGCAAGCACGATAGCACAAAATGGCTCGAGATCCAGGCCGGACTGTACAATGCCACGGGGAGAATGGTACCGCTGGATGTGATTCGCTCCAGATGTCGGCGTGAAGTAGAGTAGGAGAGGTGGGAAGGTCATCTATCATGGGAAAGCGAACTAGTAGTACCAGTAAGCATTAATCACGGGAAAAGGGAAGCAGAGGTAAGCGACCACGGGAAACCAAACTACCGAGGGAAACTAGGTAACGTATCATGGGGAGAATGAAGACCACAGAAAGAAGCACGGATCATAAAAGATGCAATGATATTAGAAGTAAAAATAAATCCAACGTCGACATTGTCAACTCCCCCACCCCATCTACCAAGCACGCTTGCAAAATAACCTAGACAAAAATAATGATAAAAATTCGCCGTCTTTGTTCCAATAATCGAAAAAGAGTAATTGTACAATATGCAAACGCCGAAATGAAGAAAGACATATAAGTGGCTGAAGCGGAAAAGGATCAAGATGACTGCTATATTGCGTTGTCCATCCCTGGCGGCGGCGCAGTTGTGCGTGTGTAGTAGCTGTGAGGAGAAGGCTGGACCTGGACTTTGCTCTGAGAATTGCCCTTTGGCCCCCCCAGGCCGCGTTTCATCATTTTCCCCAATACCGTGACAAGCTCGCACGTGTCACGGAACATGTCGTCCGACATGCCCTCCTCGGCATCGTATGCTTCTGCTATGCTGGTCTTGGCCAATCTGCGGCTTGCTTCGACGTCGTGGACGCATTCGTACAGGAAGGCGGCATACTCCGTCTTTACAGACAGACGCAGGGAATGCGACCCCCATAGGAGTTGGTCTGCCAGTTCTACTGCCTCCCGAAAGTGCTGGTGTGCCATTGGGAGATAGTCCTGCCAGGGCAAGAGGGCGGATGGCGACAGTGTCGACACGTCGATCTCGAACCCTGGAGGGGGACCGACGGGCCCACCTTCCATCGGATGCGTCGGCTGGATCGATGATGATCTCGAGGGGACGTCCCTATCATCCGAGCTCTTCGGCGGCGTCGACGATGCCATAATCTCGGGTGTGAGGTTGGCCATGTTGGACACGGACGGGTTGTTGTAGAATAGGACAAAGATGTGGTGGAAGCTAGCGCGCAGCTTGTAGGCGAGAACCTTGAGCTCAACATAGTTTCCCACCATGGGCACGACGTACTGATGAAGCATGACCAGGCCTTCCCTGGATAGCCACAAGATGTGGAGGATCCGTCTCAAGGCAGATGACGATAGCTCGTTGTTGGGCCGTCGTTCCTTTCTAGCCGCTACAAGCTGCTCGGCCAGGCTCAGAGAGAGGCCGAGGATCTTGAAGAGCATGTTGGAAAGCAGCCCATTTTCCTTTTCGACGGCCTTGGCCAGCCTGCCGAGAAACTTCTGGTCCACCTCGGAAGACGCCATACGGCCCTGATTGTCGTCTTGACCTGGCCTAGTAGACTGTAATTCGCTCTGATAGATGGTTTCCGCAGGATTCAGGATTGCAGACAGCTGGCAATGTGTGATTGGTCGTCTTTCGGATGATGCAGGTATTGGTGGAATCGGGTATGGGAATCACCAGGCGAATATGAGGGGGCGTAATTATCGTTTCCGCGACATGTGTTCCCTCGATATATATATATATATGTGTGTGTGTGTGTGTGTGCGCCCGCGCCTGGTCAAGCCAAAGGAATAATCGGCTATGGCATGGACAAGCGGAAGATCCCTGGACCTGAAGAATATCTGCTGATCTGTCAACAGCGGCCAGAAGGAGAGGACCGACGCTGAACCGACGAAACGGGCCCAATTGAAGGCGAGCAAGAATCAGGAAAATAGCGAGACATGCAGGGACAGATCGCGAATCCTTTTTTTGAGGGGGGAGAAGAAACGCACCAACTGTACTCGCCGGCAACGCAGACTATGCGGGCTATTCCTCTCCGAACAATGGCTAGGAAACGTGAGGAGAGCGCTTTGGCTCGAAAGGTCGAAACCCAACAAAGATACTCAAAGAGACAGGTGGCGCAAGGAGCTGCAACAGGCGTGAGACTAGACTGGCACCTCGATGCTATCAGAAAATCGAGATCCGAGATAGGAGGAGCATGGTGTCGCAGTGTCTTGAGGGTACCGTACGCGCGGATTCTTGATCAGGGGGAGGGCCAGAGTAGAAAAAGCCAGGCTGGAGGCCGTTCTGGGCCAGCGTTCTGGGGCGCAGAGTGCGACGACGAGCTGCAGCTGCTCCTGCAAACCCGCGTAGACCGCAGATGTATGTATGCGTCAGGGGCGAACTGGAATCCGGTAGGGCTTCTTGAGCGGTGAAGAAGCCGATAGAAGGAGCAGGGACTCTGCTGCCGCTGCTGGAACGATATGGGTCCGGGCGTGTCAGAATTGACTCGAATTGTTTGCGGTCGGGGTGCTAGGTGCTGCTGCTGCTGCTACTGCTGCTACTACACTAGCTTATTAAATAAGATGCAGGAAGCAATGTGCAGTAGTCGGTCATATGTATGCACGATGTCCGTTGTGACCCGGATGGCGAACAATGGACTCTCTCAGTCAAGAGAGCGTTCCGCAGCAGCAGGGAGCCACTCTCGCGAGTACTTATAAGCTCACCCCAGCCACGAGACCCCGGCCAAAGAGATAGACAAAGATCAATTCGAGGCACCGGCCCGTGACGCGGGCGTTTCGATTGAGAAGCAGCGCAAGCCAAGAGGTGAATAGGTAAACGACGTTGTGCGACTGGGTTCTTGCTGCACGATGACTTGTCCAGTGAGAAGATGGGTGAGAAGGCACTGAGACCATGTATGGCGGCCGATGAGGTAAGGGCCGAGCCTAGAGGCGCGCATAGCTGGCGCAAAAAAAAAAAAGGCGGTCGTGAGAGAGCGGCGCGAAAAAAAAAACTGGATACTCCGAATGGACGAGACGAAAGAGGGAGCGCGTCCATGCAGGACGGGTGCCTGCTGCTTGGTTGCAAGGGTCTCGTCGCTGCCGCTGGACGCTGGTGGCGAGCTGTGGGGAGGGCAGACAAGAATGCTGCACGTTAGATTACGGCGGCTTTGCAGGCCCAACCTGGTTTGGTTGCACATGGTATCCGCGGGCGCCTAGACGGATGCTTCGTGTGTTTTATTTCTGAAGAGGAAAGCAGAGAGAGGTTGAAAAACAAAGAAAAAAGGAAAGAAAAGGAGCCAGAATCCATCCACGCCGTACTAAGGCAGGAACAGAACAGGCGTCCATCGATATAGGGAAAGAATAGCAGGTGACGATCTCAGTTGTGACTCCTTTCTACAAAAAATAAATATTAACATTCATCACCACATCGACATCGTCATTCCTGTCATTTACCTCAACTACTTTACCACAATTGTCACATTCTTCTGGATATTTGGTGATGCTCTTCTTTTTTTCATCAACCACGTACAAATAGATCAGCACAAACTTTCTCACTGCATCATGGTGTGAATCATCTATGTTTGGATACACGTATTACGCTCGTATTGAGCGGACTAATTCTACCAGGTCGCCGTCATTCGTGGCCATGCAATGTGGCAACCTCACCACCAATCCTCAACCTGTCCCCATTCCCAGCCTCTCGATTTTTCCAACTTGACAACTCTATCAGGCCGCCAGCCATGCGGCCCTTTTTGGATCGCCCTTGTCATGGTCAAACATGGCATGCGGACACTGGTAGTTGAGCTGCTCGACGTATGTTTGCTACGCACTCACCCACTCACGTACTTACTCGCTTACTCACGTACTTATCCCAGATTTGCTACCAAGGTTTATTATTAAGGCATGCAGAAGAAACAAACAACAAGGCAATTTGACAAACTTACTCATTGTCAGTCGCGGATCCAGCCTTAGGTGTACAGGACCGTCGTCTGTCTGCAGCTGGTCGCGGAAGAACTCGCCCCATGAGGAGACGACATAGCTCACTTCGCCAATACGTTGGTAGTGGAACTCCTGCAGGAGGCGCGGCTCGTCGCGGATGCCAAAGCTGATGACCAGGACGTGGTTCCAAACGACCGGGTCGTGTAGAAGATTGATGATGACAAACGGCCTGGGAATTGTGTATGTGAGCAGAATGACTTGCAGCTTAACGTCAAGGGAAACTCACGTTACGGGTATTTCAGGTGAAGTCACCGTTACAGAGGTTGCGTAGGTCGCTCGACAAGTTATCCACAGCCATCCATTCCCTCGCCCATCTGGCGGTATTATCCTGTCTCCAAAGCTCGGCAAGCATAGAATCAGTCACAAGCCGCCTTGCTCATCTCGCGGGGCAGGAACGCTATCGATATATTCGGCGTGTACTTGGCGCCGCCTTGACGAGCTTAAGACACCCGCGACTAACGCCCTATGCTATATATTATCTTCGCTCCCGAAAGAATTGGAGGGTGCCCGGTATAGGCTTTGGCAGGTCTACGCACCCCGCAGTCGGAGACGGGTTATTTTTTTTACATTCAGAGCGAGTCTGTCAGCTGCAAGATGAAAGATGGACCATGTGGCTCTCATATGGGCCCCTGAGGGCTGGGAGCCACGGGAGCAGTATGTGAAGAAGTTGACCAGACTGTTCTGCTCTACCATGTATTCATCTACCCCATAATCAATATTCCACGTTGCACAGAGAGGAGAACAGGAGATAAACACGTGGTTTAAGAGGCATGGCTTACATCAAAGACCTCTGCTGCCCATTGTTCAAGTTGCGATCCGTGAACAGACTTCGAAGCACTGATCTTGGGGTAGAAGTAAGTAATTATTGGCATACGAGTGGCTATGGGTTGCAGAGTATTGGTGTTGACAATTAAGACACAGACACCAGTGTTTAAGCCTCAGCTTCGAAAACTCCATCGAGCAGCACGCGCTGCCGACTGGAGAAGCAAACAGGACCCGCGTATATATCCACTCACCTCCCCACTCTCAAAGTCGACAATTGCTCCATTGTGCAATCTGATTCTGTACGGACGGCGCCCACCCGGAATTCTCTTGTATCGGTCAAAGGATGGCCATCATCCTTCTCTCCCCGCTTGGTGGCCGCCGTATTTCCAGAGTGCCATTTAGCACGCTGTCCTCCAACTCGCACCAGGGCGTCCCAAACCTCGATCCTCTGGATCACTCGTAGGGGCGAGGAGCAGGGCGCAGACCAAGTTCTTGATCTCGTCCTGCTCGTAGCTGTCGAAACTATTCTGACGCCTCCCGAGAGACGCGGTCAGTTCCTCATGAGCAGAGTAGTAAGACGCTACCCGCTGCTGTCAGTATCTCCGTAGCCTGATGAATTGACTCCCCTAGCAGTTAGGGAAGAGCCCCACTCCCTGCCGCCCACCGTCGTCGGCACAAATGGGCTCGCTAGTAGCGACTCAACAATATCATGGGGAACCTCTTTCTTCAAAGTGTTCCGCGGCTTGACTCTTTGATATCTGAGGATACAACACCTGGCCCTGGCGCCGCGAGCGCACTAAAATGAGTCGTTCTTGTCCCAGTATGTGTCCATGAGGACGTGCATGCGGTCACTCAGGCACCCACTGCGGCAATATCGGTCATCATCCTTGCCAGACACAAGGCTGTCATATCACTGGTGATCGTCCCATTTCTTGTTATTGTCCTGATCGCAGCACAGCTCGTGCACTCCCTTCAAGTAGTGAGTTCATCAGCCATGTACTCGCTGCCAGGAGCCTCCTTATCCTTGCGCATCGTGCGGATCTAACCGGATGGACATACCTCGCCACAGTTTTTCCACTTACACTACGGATACTCGGTAGTGACAGTGATCGTGTCCGGGTCGTCTGAAAGCTTGAAGACTTTGCCAGGAAGCGAGACTAACTTGCGTGAGGCCGCTGTCCTGACTACAGCGGCCTTGTCCAGAACGGGCTTGTTGCCGGTCCTGTTCGTGACATTTACGGCCTCAGACTGGATCATGACGCTCGTATCACTGTTTCAGCACTGACAACGAGTACTTGACCCGCACGTGCAGCCTGGGCCGAGACAGTCTGAACTGGTGGTCGTGAAGGCACGGCCATAGAAGCCAGTGCCCAACACGGGTTTGTCAGGGTCAAATACTATTTCTCAATAGGAGATCCATGGTCGTTTGTTGAATACATGTCACGTCTCTACCTTGGGGAAGGACCGGACTGTTGGAGGAAGGGACCTCTTTCCGATAGCTCCTTCCCGTTTCGGAAGCGAGCGAGAAACGGGAAGGAGGGAAAAGAGGGACAGGAGGGAAATAAAAGATAATAAGGAGACAAGACGAGAAGAGAGAGAATCAAGATCAATATACCCCTTTGGCACCCAGCTGCGTACCCCGTGACATTTGATCCAAGAAACCACCGTTGAACCTGTCGCGGAGAGACGCTACAATACAACGTCGGACGCAGCCATTATATTGCTATTGGGACAGCTAAGCCGGATAGCTGAGCCGTATCTGTCGCGGTGGTATAATAGTGTACAGCCATCAGTTTCGAGTGACAATGTACCTTGCCGAACCTACAACGTCTCTTTTCTCATTGTAAGTATCATGTACGAGTAATTGTCACCCATTTGATGCATGAGGAACAGGAGGGGTCATCAGCCCATCGGCTCGGCCCGTAGGGCTATTAGCCTATTTATACAGATCCGTGTAAATCTATTCGGCAAGTCTAGACCACAGTCGGTCATATGGCACAGTAATACCCGATGAAGAAGGGAAAACAGAAAATTTATTATTTTTGTTTGCATACAGCGTGATTGATTGATTTCACGTTGCATCCATTGAGGGGTGTAAGGACCATAAGTCTCACTCGCAGGATGTCCCTCCATCTCAAAGTGCAGTCACCAACACGCCTCGACTCGTCTTATACTCTCTTCTTGCCTCGAACTGGGTCCCTATCTGGCTCCCAACAGGAAACACAAAGCTTTCACCCTTTCCGCTATCTATCAATAATCATATGTCTTCTTCCACAGTCTCCAGGCTCGATTGACCTTCTCACTTCCTTTTCCGCACGTGTCTAAGGGTGCCCACGAGAAAGTCGCAGTGAGCATCCCCGGAAAGTACACCACCGGCTTCCTCAACAACATCAGTGTCCATTCCAAGCAACATTCTCCGGAGGGTCACCTCTCCGTCTTCGTCGGCAATGCTACCGGGGAGAAGCGCACCTCGGGCTATTGGATAGTGACGGTCAGCGGTTCCCCGGCCAGAGACACTTTTCGTCGCCCGATACAAAATCTGGCGCAACGTCAACGACTTTAGTACCGAGGGAGACGGCAAGACCCGTGATACAGCAGCTGTTAACCAGACCGTCTCGGATGGCGCTCGTTGCGGAAAGAAGTGCAAGACCAGCACCGTTTCTCCGGCCATCGTCTACTCCCCCCCCCCCCCCCCCCCCCCCCCCCCCCCCCGGGCATCTACGTCCTCAGTGGATCCATAGTATTCATACCACAAAAACCAGTTTCTTGGCGATGTAAGTCTCGATTCATTCCATCCCTGAAGTCAACGGGCCTTTTTTAAAATGATGTTGGTAAGCTTACGCCAGCAGCCTATCAATGTTCCTATTGTGTTGGTTGCGTCCAGCTTCGTCGACCTCAGCGTTTCACCTCTAACAAGTACATCGATGACAGTATGGGACGGTACCTCAACTTCCTCCGGAGCTCAGGAGCATCGAGAATTTTTAGATGCCCGGAAACCGTCTCGCCGGTCCCCGTGCCTAAAGTTACCGTGAATGAATATGGTAAAATCCTGTGACCGCGCAGTCTGATGATTAGCCAGCTTAGTCATCCGAATACTATAGGGTGAGGAAAACGTGCCGAGACGGACAATAGAAGAAGCACGACCATGATTGATGCTGTCTCTCGACATCAATCAAAAGCGTGTCAAGGAGACTACATCTGCATCTAGATGGGCTACGTACCCACATCGAACCACCGGATACATCCTTCTTTTTCAAGGACCAAACCGACGGTCGGACACAGAGAAGTGGTACCTTTTAACTTTTCAATCATGTACTTGGTAGATGCGGCTAGCTCATCTCGTACGATTGAGAAATTATTTCCAATCGGAACTACTAGGGACTATAGGTACAGATGTTTACTGTCACGACTCTCTTAACCTCCCTGAAGCCAGCATCATTACACGCTTGTGTCTAGATCTCATTTTTGGAGTGAGCTTTTTGTTTAAATTTTACTTTTAATCTTTATTTTTTTGATATATTTCTTGTTCCGGCCTACACGGACAAGCTACGGAAAACCATGAACCGCACGTCCCACATTCACGAACCGTACGGCGGAGAGGGTCTCTACCATAGTCTCAGAGTGTTTGTCGCAGATCTGACGACCAATCAAGACCTCAATGGCATGGTGAACGCGAGGAACTGGCGAGGGAAGCGATGGCAACCTCGCATCCGGACAGCCGCCTATAGAGGCAGCCTCACCACCCGTACCGGTAGCCAAGACCAGGGATCGGGGGGTGAGACGGACCACCTGGCTTACCGGTACTATCGGTGGTAGCATCGGCTAGCTCATCGGCAAAGGACTCGAGCCCGTCATGTGTTCATTCTTTGCCGCCACCCGTCTCCCGCTCCCAGGAGGTGATAACGCTGAGGGATCGGGTGGCCAATTCGCTGGCGGTCCGCTCCTCGGTTGCCGTCTGAATGGCGCCTTCAAGTTGTGCTCCTTATTCGGACCTGGGTTCATGATACCTGCTGCATACAGTACGTAATTGTATGGTCGAGTTGAACTCCACTGCAATCCCCACCACCTGACTGTCTATCGTGTGTGCTGCCCACTTCAAGTTGACCCAGGCAATTATTCTACCGGTGTGGCAGCCGGCGCCACCTACCAGTTCAGACTGATGTTCGTCGTCCTGCTGGCAAACATCTTTGCTATCTTCATACAGACTCTCTGTATCAAGCCCGGCTCCGTGATTGGCCTGAACCTCGCCCAGGCATGCCGCGCCTTCCTCCTGCCATGGTTGAGCTATGCCCTCTAAATTCTTCGCAGAGGTTTCCATCATGGCCACCGACGTAGCCGAGATATGTATATCTCCTTCCCAATGTCATCTTTGATTGACTGGTCTCTCCAACAGGCAGACTCTGCAATTATGACCTGGAGAGCTCACCGGTTCGCAGGTTATCGGATTCGCCAATGGTGCGAATTTCTTGGTGCCTTATATCCCGCTAGTGGCCGAGTATGAAATATCGATATGCGATGTCATGCTCAATTTGGTCTTCTATAGGCCGCAAGGCTCCATGAAAGGTCTCAGGGTATTCGAACTCTTAATCGCCGCATTCGTCCTGGCTGTCGTTGTGTGCTTCTGCGTCCAGCTCTCGCTGATCCGCGACGCCTCCATCGGCCATGTGTTTCGAGGCTACGTACCGTCTTTAGAAATCGTTGAGCAACAGGGATGAGATGCATATTCATCCTCTCCATCCCGCTCATTTTCCTCTTTAAATTTTTTGTTCAAGCGCCCATGTTTTCTTACACCATTGTGCCGGATTATACCAAGCATGCAGTATTCTCAGAGCCACAGTCATGCCTCACAACTTTCACCTTGGTTCTGGCATTGTGCAGTCACGCTTATATGGATTTGATGTTAAACATGGACTCGTGCCTGAAGACGACTTGCTCTCCTCGGAAGGTGGCATTGATAACGGCTACTACGTCCCGTCTGTGAAGGCTATACGTCACTCGTACGTAGCCTCTGCTGCTGAGCTGGCCCTCTCGATCTTCACATTCGCCCTCTTCGTTAACTCGGCCATTGTTATTGTAGCCGGGCCGTCTCTTTACAACAACCCCGACGCCCCAGACGCTGACATCTCCGCCATGCATGGCCTACCAACCCAGTCAATATAAAAGGGGGCCGGCACCATCTTTGCCCTCGCCCTCTTTCTTTCGGGTATCTCTGCGGGAATCATCTGCACAGTCACCGGCCAGATGGTCTGTGAGGAGGCACTGAACTGGAGGACCCCCCCCTTTCTTACGCCGCCTCATCACCAGAAGCATCAGCATTATCCCGTCCATTGTCATTGCGGCGTCGGTCGGCAAGTCAGGGCTCAACGCTGTGTCGATCGGGTTACAAGTCGCCCTATCCAGCTCTCTGCCGTTTTTCAGCACGCCCCTCATCTACTCCACCTGCTTAAGCAAGTACATGACTGTCAAGCTAACCATACTGGCCGCTGGTGCTGCCCATACTACTATAACTCTGGCAGAAGAAGAAGAAGAAGAGCATCCGTAAGAAGCAGGTGCGCAGCAATCTGAGCCTAACCAGTACAGGATGACCAATGCTTGGTACACGGCCAAGTTTTCGGTGCTGCTATGGCTGATCATTACCACCTTGAACATTGCCAACCTGGTTCTTCTTGGTCTGGGACAATGAGCCGGCCATATGGGAACGGGTTTTTGGTGAGAAACCCCTTAAGTTTAAAAGGAATAACTATTTACGAAACTTGGCAAATGCTATGAGTGGTCATAACTGAACGTGGCAACTTCAGGTATTGACCTACATTCCGTGTTATCCATACATCTACCCGATGCCCCATCGCCCTTCCCCCTATATTCAGCAATGTTACAGCACCTCATGCCCGACTCCAAGACGCGCCGTCTAGCCGCCCCTGGTCCTCAACCACTTCTAGCCTGATGAATATTCGGCTAGTAGAGTTGAATTCCCAGAGCGTGTGAGCAATCCCATCACGCCGTCCCTGATATGCCGAACGGACCGTTTCTATGCCACGTCGTCTGAATACGTCCCCCGGTATACGACGAAGCCCGGTTCATGGTGACCCGTATATTTCATGCCTTATATGATTGGCCTATAGCTCGTGTTTCCTATATCGTCGTCTAGAAACTCTAGTGCTCATTTCTGATGGTGTAAGATTGTCTCGGCGACCGTGCACCGTACTCTGCCAGCTTGGCCAGCATATCGTGGGTGATAAGTCGGTCCCTCATTGCGACAAGTCGTGGTTGATTGTTGATGTTAAGGCTTTATGGTTTGCTTGGTGTATCGCTTGCGTGAGGGGTGGTGGTTGGTATCTGGGCTTCATGACTTGCGAAGCGGTAAAACCTTCTGCCGGATACACATTGGGGGCGGGGGATGGGCGGGTCAGTCAGTCTGTTTACTCCGCTATGAGGTTCATAGCAACTGTAAAGCTAGACAGAATCATCATGCTTTGAATGGACATCATATATCTTGCGAGGCACACCACTCACTATCAGCACTAGCTTCCCAGTACCAACTGACCAAAGATGAATATGTATAAACGTCTTGATAATATACATCACAGTGTACAGCTCCTGTTCTCTATATCCCTTATAACCCAATACATCGTTTTTCTCATCTTCCAGGTTTCCGTGTGCGTTATATAAAAGGGGTAATGCCAATAAGAGAGGGGGGTTGTTGAAAAAGAAATGCCGCCAATACGCCTTGTGCCGTGAAAAAGGTAAAACGCATTCAAGGAAAGATATATCCGAGGAAAATAAACAGGGTAAACGTCCTGAGAATAAAATGACGGAGATCGTCAACTCCACGTTTTCAGCTTCCATGAAGCAGCCGTCTTCCTCCTCCTATGCCCTATATTGAACACGTCGTGGGCATCATCCTGGTCCATATTGTCGAAGCGTTCCGTCCCTCCCACCGTGACAACCTTGACGACGTTCCCAAATGAAAAGGCCACGGACATGAGACCGACCGTCACCTTGGGTCCTATATCCGATATGAGCAGGTGGCTTGACCGCTCGTCTGCTTTGAACAGTGGCTCCTCCTCGTCTGCCCCGATGCGGTTGCTGGGCGATATCGTCCATACTTCCCACTCTGGCAGGGATGCCGCGTCATTTCCTGATCCTGATGAGATACTGTTACGGCTGGACAAGAACCTCTTGCGCAGGCCGCCTTCTGCCACCGACTGGGAGGTGGGGGAGTCGCTGGGCGAGCATGGCAACGATTCCTTCTGCTTGCGCCGGATGCCCACTACGCTTCCGTCCGATAGGGTCCTGTAGTGGCCTGGATTCCTGACACGGCGCTTCGTCACTGTAGCATCAATCCACTCGCAGCCCTCGCCATCGGTGGCTCCAGAAGGGGCCCGTAGTCCGATGGCGTCCCAGTCCTCTGACGGGGTGAAGGTGTGCAAAATGCAGTCACCCGTAGCCGCATCCACATACGTCATTGTCGCCGACGTGATACTCGGCATATCGATATGGGCGATGCGCTGCGTTGTGTAGGCACACTCGAGGGATCGCGGGCGCATCGGTTGCATTTCTGCCGTATACAGCGTCTCGCAGTCTTCGACGTTGAAGATGTGAGCATGCGTGCTCGTGGCCACGATGAACAGGCCTAGCGAGTGCATCGCCACTATCTGGTGCACCTTTTCTCGTGCTTCGCCTGGTAGAGAAACTGGTAGTGGGCGCGCCTTCCACCCCACCTCAGTCCGCAGCGACACATGTACATATCCTGTTTTTGACGCCGAGATGATGAACAGCCGTGGCGGATGCTGAGCGGTCCCTAGAGCACGCAGTCCTTGTCAGCACTGGATATTTATCATAAAACTGCAGATGGTTGAAGAACAGGACAAACCTCGTATAATCAGCGGCTCAGCGCATTGTACTGAGGACTCGCAGATGACAGATTCTACAGGCTGACACCCTTCTTCCACCGACATCTCTGTAACGGTGCCAGTGCGGCGCACAATCACTAGACGCGGTGCCTCGTGGGGCGTCTTGGGTGCAAAAAACACGGCCTCTGGCCGTTGGGCCAGGGGTCTCACCGAAGCTGAAGGACCCCACTTCTGGTCGGCGAGACTCCAAAAGGTGACTCGGGACGGCGACACAATGGCCAACCACTTGGAGCTATCATCCGTCGCCACACCCAAGACGGGGAAAATGCCATCAGGCCTAGGCGATATATCAGGCAGTGTGTAGTGTGGCTTTCCGCAGCGGATATTCCACACGCATATTCTGCGGTCGAGGCCTACTGAAATAACGTGGCCTCTGGTCGAGCTGCCCATCAGGGCAATATCCAGGGAATGACCCTCGGGGAGGTGGTTGACTGACAGAAGAGGCAGGTCTTCGTAGTCCCGTTCGTCTTCCATGTTAGCTTCGTCCTCGTACAGCAGATAGCTGATGAGGAGGCGCAAGGCGGCTACTATCAGTACAACAATGACGACAAACTGCGTCAGTTGATGATTGATAAAGTCGTAGTAGGCAGGGAGAAGAGGGGGTTCGCTGTTCCGGCGTGTCCTATCTGAGCCCTTCTTGACAAAGACGAGCGGGTCGTAAACCTGGGCAATGTAGCTGTGGGCCGAAGGTTTGACGACGTTGATGAGCTCCTTTGCCGTTTCGTGGTCCTGGAGGCGTAGCCACGATGTCGGGCTTCTCGCTTGGTTAATGCCCTCGAGCATAGATGCATTGGAGGAGCGAAACAGGCTCGTAGCAGAGTTCCAGAACAGCTCAATTGTCGAGTTCAGCATGACCTGCTGCTGGAAGAAATGCCACTGTGCGATGACAATGAAGCCAAACATGACGAACGTCCCCGCGATCCGTGTCGAGAGCGCCGTCTTGCCGTGTATGACCTGCTCGATCCAGGTCCACCCCCGAGCCTCGGGAATTTGGCGATGCTGCCGCATCGAAACCTTGGCCAACGCATCACTCAGCTCCGTCCTCCGCACATCGACGCTAAGGACGGACAGGAAGAAGGTCGAGAGATAAAAGATGTCGAAGACGATGGCGACGGCCAAGAAGATGCAAAAGGCAGAGACACCTGACGACACCATTCGAGACAAAATGATGAGGATGAGCACGTTCTGCGAAGTACTGATCAAGGCTACGGGTGCTGTCTCGCCAACGGCATGCCCAATCCTGCTGGCGGTGCTGTCTTCTGACGGGGTTTGAATGACTGCGTTGATGAGCCTGAATATGTTTTCCAAGCTCATGGCCAGTATGACGAGCGGATAGGCCGCGCGGGGGATCCTGGAGAGATCAATATTGAAGATGGCGCATACGGTGAAACTCGACATGATGGCAAAGATGATCTGTGTCACGACAGTAATCATGATGCCGACTTTGGACTTGACGGCGCGCACCTTTAACAGACTCATGACGAAATAGCTTATGGCAAGGCCGTAGGCTAGAGTCAGAGTCAAGGTATCCTGGGTTGACATCGGGCGGAACTGGAATTCATAGGGTCGGCTGGTCGAGATGCGACCGTCGGGCGGGTAGACATCCCACCTGTCGCTCACTCTCTCAGCTAGGGCAGCCGCCTTGCGCTCCCACTGTTGGCCGACCGGGGAATCCTTGAGATGCAGCAGAGTGATAACCAGGGCGTCGGCGGCCAGAAGTCGGCGGTACTGGAATCGTTTGCCACTGAAGACGACCGAGTGGCGCAAGGTGACATTAACGGTTGTCGTCAGGTTCTTCATGTCATTGACGGTTGACACGACGTCCGGGTCAGCTAGTATGCGTTGCCTGGAGCACCCCCAGTACTGGAGTGGCGAGTTGAAGAACCAGGATTCGTTGGTCATGCCATTGATGGCGTGTACCGAGTCTCGCTGGCCGGGTGACAGGTCAAAGTCGCCCGTATCGGTTTCAGGCAAGGGTTCGTAGCCGGCATGGCCCAGGGGATTGAAGTTTTCGGTGACGTCGAGCAGTTCGTCTTGAAGCTCGAGGGCGGCGGCGAGAAGATCGCGATCCAAAGCTTCCATGTAGCTCCCGTGGACCCAGACGAAGCGCATTATGATATCGGGCTCGGTAGTGGTGAGGTAAGGCAGTGGGTGGGCGACAGTCCATACATGGTGAGGGAGGTTGGACGCGCCATTGATGAAGTCGGTGGTGAAGAGAAAGGGGATGGGGTATATCAGGATCGTTGCCACGGCGGCGGATATGAGTAGGGTGGTGACGACATGGCGAGAAGCATAACGGCCGTATCGTACAAAGAGTTTGCGCAAGGGGTGAGAGGGACGGAGGATGGGTGTTCCGGCGGTTCTACAGCAGAGGCGGGGATGGGAGGATATGTCAGCAAGTCCTGGCTGTTGGTCGGTATTCAGAGTTTTCGGTCATGGGGATATGAAGGTTGGAGCTGGGCAGACTGACCCTCGCAACGGGAACAAAAGATACCAGATCATGGGAGTCGCGGGGTCGGAGGTGTCGTGGGCGACATGTGCGCGTGGGGACGGAGCATCAAGTAGTATTGCTGGCAGGGTCGATAGATGTGGGTGTCGTCGTCATTGAGCAGTGCATGTGTTGCCTTGTTGTGCTCGAATGGCGGGCGTGTAAATAGAAACAAGACGGGGAAATTGTCTGGGATATTGTCTATCTGCGATTGACTTGGAGGCAGGGAGGGCCGACTGCTGGCGATGAGGGAGGGAGTGTGAAATATATGCGCGGAGGGGCTGCATGCAGACATCAACGGACTGGGTCTGTGTTGGGGTGCGTTGGCTGACTTTGGCCTGGGGTTGACAGACTTGGGGACCTTGGGCCTCGGGGGACTGTGGATGGCGGATTTAATGCGTGGACTGTGTGTGTGCCAATGTGGCCTTGTGGCGGGCAATGGACGAAAGAAAAGAAAGAGTGGATTGCAAACGGCGGATTATTGTGGGCATTCTGGTTCCGAACGGGCCGTCAGTGTTGGGTGGTATTGGCCTTTTTCTTTTCTTCTTTTTTTTTGGCAGTATTATCACTAGGGATAGCTCCGTTTGTGTGTACGATGGAGTGAAGAGGTTTTGTGTGGTATCATTGTGTATTAGACAACTGGCAGGCAAACAGGGCATGTGATGTGCTGTGTGGCTCGAAGTGGGAGAGGCGGGAGAAGGAGCTGGGAGGCACTGGGATGTTCCTTCCTTGAATTACGAGTATTACAGGGCGAGTACAGAGTAGTAGTACTGTGTGCGAAAAAGAAGGAAAAAACAGGGAAGGAGCGCGGTTAATAAGGGATAATACCAGATTGCAAGTACGAGTACAATGTGAGTAGCACTTGCCTGCGTCTATAATAATGGCACCAAAGATTTGGTACAAGAATAACACCAATCTAGTTCCATCAAGTGCTAGTATATGTATTATGTGTACACATATGTATGTACTGATCTAATGTTTGGTCGTTATTACTGTTTGGTTTACGAAGTACTCTTGAGTCCTTACGTACATTATTACTAAAATCAGGGCTCCCGGCTCCAATAACTTTAAATGAAAATTAGCGAGTAAAATACTCGTACTTTTTTCCCTTGCGACGTACAGGTACGATGGGGCCCGTACGACGTACGAGAATTCAGAGACTTGTCAAGCAGGCCCAGAAAGTGATTTACCAACAGCGACAAGCAAGGCAGGCACAATCCTGGATGCTCCACATTACTTCCCTTCAACCCCGCCACCCGCCAGCCCCAATCGTCAGATTTCCAAACATCTGCACCGGTTCACTCCCGGCCGTTGTCTCCCCTCCTGATCCCCCTCCCGCTGCCTCCACCCCGTCCACCACCACCACAGTACTACCCTTGTTGCATGGTGGGAGAAGGGAAAAATGGCATGACAGTGGCACCAGAGACCCGCATGTGCCCTATTATTACTCGCACGCGCTCCCGGGCCCAAAGTCTCCGGAGACTTTTGTGTCGAACGACTTCCGCTACCTTGTTATGCCAGAGACCCAACAGAGATCCGAGTACATGGTTCTCACTGGCCTACCACCCCGAGTCCATTGCGCTTCCCGGTTTGTTCCATCGTCCGATTCGACTCCACTACCTTCGGCGACCGCCACCCCATCAACTCATCAAACCATTATCCAAGTGCCGGCCATGGCCGATGACGATAACGCCACCCGCGCTGCCGCTGTTGCCAATGCTCTGACTGAGTTGATTACCGACTTCAACGACCTCAACGGTGCCGCCATTGATGAGTTGTCCGAAGAGCCGAGTCCCTTGGAGTTTATGCGATACGTCGCCCGCAACACTCCGTTCGTTGTCAGGCAAGGCGCCCGAGACTGGAAAGCCACTCGCCGATGGAGCCCTGCATACCTGAACCAGGTTCTTGGCACGCGACCTGTCAACGTCGCTGTCACGCCCAAGGGGTAATTACTACCATTGCTGGTACAGTAGTATCATGCCATCCCTCATCGTTAGGATGCTAGACGGTGCTAGTCTGCTCTCAACGACTCTAGTTTGCCAACATACTCATTCTAGATGTTTCATGATGCTAAGAAATCTCGCCGTGTCTCTCTAGCAATGCCGACGCCCCAACATTCTCTCCAACACACGGCACTCGTGTCATCTCCAAGCCGCATGAGGAAGAACAGCCTTTCAACGAATTTCTCGATCATGTCATTCGTCAAGAGACCGACACGGACTTCCCAAAGGAAGCCGAAGTTAGATACGCTCAGAGTCGTCAGCCATGCCCCTCCGTCTTCGTATCTCCCGTGAAAGCATACTGACTGGCACGCATCGTCAGAAAACGACAATTTCCGTAATGAGTACATGTCGCTTTTCTCGGATGCGCAAAAGGACATTGCCTTTGCTCGCATAGCTCTCCAGAAAGACCCTGAAGCCATAAACATGTGGATAGGGAACTCACAGTCCGTCACGGCCCTTCACCGTGATCCAATGGAGAACATATACGTCCAGATCATCGGCCAGAAGCACTTTGTCCTCCTGTCGCCGTTGTGCCATGCATGTGTGAATGAGAGGCTTCTTGCTCCCGCAACTTACTCGCGGTCTGAAGGAGGGTTCGATCTGCGCATTGACGATGACTCTGAGCCTGTACCATTGGCCACCTGGGATCCCGATGATCCTCAGATCAATACCACCGAGTTCTCGCATCTCGCTCAGCCGATTCGCGTCACTTTAGATCCGGGGGATATGATGTACCTCCCGGCCATGTGGTAAATGATCCACAAACAAGGGCCTCGGGCCACCTACGTGCTCGTTCCGGGCTAACTATCTCAGGTACCACAAAGTAAAGCAGTCGAGCACCGAGCAAGGCTGTGTCGTAGCCGTCAACTACTGGTGAGCGCTTCCCTCGGAGACTTGAAGAGCGATCAGTAAGTTACTGACATGTGTAGGTACGACATGAACTTTGATGGCCCCTTCTACTCGGCGACATCCTTCATAAGAACCCTCGGATTGGTAGAGACGGATGCAACGAAGCCTGCCTGATGATATCAACTTAGAGATTACCGTCATGTCTATTGAGCAAAAAAAAAAACAAGTACGAGGTATGAGGAAGAATTACTATATACACGCTGTTGTCTACATGAGCGCTCCCCTTCCCTTTACCTCTTCTTCTTCTTGGCGATCCTCTTCTGCGCCCTCAGCTCCTTCTTCATCCTAGGGTCCACAATACGGTACCTGCCTTTGACACCCTGAGGACGTCCTTTGACACCCCTGTTTGTTCCCCTGGCCACGACCAGCTTGGCCGGCTGCGACGGCTTCTTGCGCGCTGCCTTGCTTAACAGCTTTGCGATACTCTCGGACTTCTCCTTCTCCGTCATACCCTCATCGTTGGCTAACATGTCCGACTTCTTCTTGAGTTTCTCCAGCCTCTGAGCTGCCTTGAACTTCTTGCGAGCCTTAGCCTCGCGCACCTTCTTGATCGGACGCGCGTTGTAAGCGCGCAACTTCTCCTGAATCGCACGGGCAGCGGCCTTTGTCGTCGGCTTATGCGGCTTGTCGTGCTTGGACTCGTCGTCTAGGAACCAGTCGGGGACGCCGTCGCGGTCGCGGAATGCGTGCTTGGTGTACGCATTGTCAATCAGATCGTGCCTTGTCTCCTCGCCCGTCGCGAGCTTGTGTGCCAGAGTCATAGCCTCAGCAGTAATAATGTCGACATCTGTTGGTTATGATTATTAGGACATTGACATTTGCAAAGTGTAAATAGGGATGTCCTTGACTTACCTGGCCTTCCATTCGTCGTGTTGGCTCCCTCGTCCTCCCACTCGTCTTGTGCAGTCTTGGTTCGCTTAACAATCTCGAATTGCCCGGGCTCGTCATCTGCCATTTCAAAGTCGGAGTTGTACGCCGTCTCCTGGACCTTGGCCTTTTTCTCCTTGGTCGGCTTCCCCTGCTTTCCGTTCGTGGCGGGCTCGGTGGTGGTGGCCGCGGTGGCCACGGTGGCGGGCGCAGCGACGGGGTCTGAGAGCGAATAAGCGATGCCCTTGAAGATGTCCTGGCTGAAGAATGCGGCAGCCTTCTTTGACAAGCCATGCTCGTCGGCCGGGGTGTCATCCAGGTCCCGAATAAGGCCCTTTCCGTTGACACTGTCCTCCTCATCCGAATCAGAGTCAGACTCCTCCTCTAGGTCGCTCGATTCGTCCTTGTCAGACCCTCCACTGGCTGACAGACCTTCCCACTCGTCCTTGTGTTCTTCTCTGGCCTTCTTGGCGCGGTACTTGGCATCGGCCTCGGCCTTGCGCTCCTGGTACTGGCTGTACATGTTGTCGAGTTCTCCTTCGAGGCGGTCCTCTTCCTCGTCACTCACGTCCTCATCCGAGTCGGGCGAGGTACCGAGACCACTGTCTTCCCTTTCCTGCTTCTTCTTCTCGGCGGCCGAGAGGTTGACCATTCGGCCCTTTGATAACCTTGACAAGGTGCTAGCGTTGTCAACCTTTTTGAGTGAGAACATGGAGCCCTCGCCCATGGGGCCGGCCTCCTCCATTCCAATGTCCATGGGTGCAGTCATGTTGAGCTGCATGCGCACAATCTCGCGTTGTTTGCGCTCGTTCTCGCGGCGCTTCTCGCGTTTCCGCTTGGCACTTTCTTTATCTTTCAGCGCCTGCAGCTCTTCCTGAGTCTTGAGTTCCTCATCCATGGATTCCACCTCGGCAACCTCCTCCGTGGTCTCCTCTTTGTCCTTCGCTTCATCCTTTTTGCTGGCGAAACCAAAGATCTCTCGGACCTTGAGGCGCCACTTGAGAAGAAGCTTGAAGTCCTTGCGACCCAAGACCTTGAGATCATCGCAGCATCTCCGTATCTCGGCCGTGGTCTCCGGGAGTTTGTCGAGTGCCGCGAGTGCCACATCCCCATTTGGAGGCTGCTGGAAGGTGAGTTTGTTGTAGTTACCCAGGATAGCGATAGGGTCCGTAGTCTGAATGAATTCGCTGGCCGAGAGCTCCTTGTACATCAGGTAGTCGCCCTCATCATAACCGTCACGCTTGCGCTTCTTGACCTCGGGATTATAGACCTTGGCTTCGTTGTTGGGGGCGCCATCCTTGAGTTCGGCAAAGACGGACGTGGGGTCCAGGAAGCGAGGATCGATGCGCTTGGGTGCCTTGAAGCCGCGGCAGACGACGAAGATTTCTGCTGAGACATTTCTCGAGGACGGAGGCTTGGTGGCCTCGACCTTTGTGAAGAGCTGGTTCATGACCCATAGGAGCGAGTTGTAATCTTTGGACCTGAAAACTTTTGTGACGAATGTTCCGCCCTCGATGAGGAACTCGGTCGCCAGCTTAAGCGATTGCAGCGCCAGCTCGGCTTGGTTGAACGAGTCCTGAACCCAGGCGGTACCAACGTTGGGCGCACCGTCGTGCAGAACAGTATCGGCCTTCCACGTCTTTAGGTGCTGGCGGATAGTGGCACGACACTTGTCTGTTGTAATGTCGCTCTGAAAAGTGATGACTCGGGGGATGGGTTTGATCGGGGCCAAATCTACACCGACAATAAGAGACTCGACGGGCATGACCTCGGCTGCTACTTGGGACCAAGACTGTAAAGGGGGGAATTATCAGTATAATGCATTGTGCCTTGCGAATTTTTTTACCGTTTTTGAGGGGGAGAGAAGAGATCACTTACACCAGGAGCAGCACACAGGTCCAGAAGGACCTTGCTCTTCTCCAAGAAGCCATATTTCTTGTTCAGTTGGATGAGCTTGAAAGCAGCTCTGGCTCTGTATCCCTTCTCTTTGGCAAGTTTGTACCACTTATCCAAGCGGCCTTTGCCATGCTTCTTTTGAATCGCCATTGTTGCTGAGAATGGTGATGGTGTGAAGGCTGGCGACCTTCATAACATTGTTTTTTTTTTTTTAAAAAAAAAAAGGCCCCGCGACACTAAAAAATTTCCAATCCAACTTTTTTTTCTAACTTTCGCCTAGATAAGAAATACCACGTGACGATAAGAGATAGCATGACCCGTAATTACGTTTTAAACCAGACCAGCGTAATGGCAATGCATCATGCACTCTACACAGCATACGGAGTAGTAATCATTACTATAAGAGACGCTGACGCTCCGTTATCGAGGCGTTTTGCCTCCCCGTAACATATCCAACCCCTGTCGTAATCATATGCACGTCGTCGACAACTTCGGGTGCCTCAACGAGGCATAGCTTTGCATCAAACACACGATCGACGCCTGATTATGACCGGCCAAAACCACTATACAACCAGATAACACAACAACAAATACATACTACAGCACACTTACCGCAACCATGAGCGGCCGTATGCTCACTGCGGGAGCTCGGCCGATGACGGCGCGACGCGCCAACTCCTCGGCTGTCCGCCATCTCCATCGCTTCCCGACCGGTGGTCTCCAACGTGCCGATGCTTTGATAAGGGCGACTAGGAGACGCATGTGGTTTGGGGGTAACTCATTTCACAATGCTGTCGCCGTACGCAATGCCTCTTTTGCTCGCTTTTTACCTAAGCTCGTCGTCAAGTTTGCCAGGATACCTGCCCTGTTCGGAGGAGTGACCGTTGCCGGCCTGGCATGGATCCAGTATCAAGCGAACCGTACGTTTGTTCGAATCATGGACATTCCCCTTTATTTTCAACCCAAGAGAGGAGACTTGAGCTGACTTCACATGACCCAGAGGCTGGAACTTATGCAATCAACGTCCTTAACACTACCAAAGACACTGTGACCGACACCCTGTCTAGTCTATTTAATGGCGCCGCAAGCGTTGCTGAACAAACCCGCCAGGGCTGGGAGACTACCAGGGAGCAGACGGAACTACCAGAATGGCTCAAGAGTGTTTTGCGTATTCACGAAGATATTGGAGCCGGTGGCTCCGAGCCTGGGGGCGAAGGAGGGGAGCCTAAGAAGAGCAGGGCCGGTGCCGCCGCCGCCGCCGGTGCTACGGCTGCTGCCTACGGCTACGAAAAGGATGAGGATGCACAGTACGATGGCGAGATTGCTCGGGACGACCAGATGATGCTTCTGACCAAGAAGATGATTGAGATCCGGACCATCCTGCAAAAGGTCGGGCAATCGGGAACCTTGACCCTCCCTTCGATTGTCGTCATCGGATCCCAGTCATCTGGCAAGAGCTCGGTCCTTGAGTCCATTGTCGGCCACGAATTCCTCCCCAAGGGGTCCAACATGGTGACTCGCCGGCCCATCGAGCTTACGCTTGTCAACACGCCTGAGGCCAAGGAGGAGTACGGAGAGTTCCCCGACCTGGGTCTCAGGCGCATCACCGATTTCTCTTCGATCCAGAGGACTCTGACCGAGCTCAACCTTGCTGTTCCTGACAGCCAGTGCGTTTCGGATGACCCTATCCACCTCACCGTCTACTCCCCAAACGTTCCCGATCTGTCCTTGATAGATCTCCCCGGTTACATCCAGGTCGTTGGCCAGGACCAACCTCTTCAACTGAAGCAGAAGATTTCCGAGCTCTGTGACAAGTACATTCAGCCCCCCAATGTCATATTGGCTATCTCTGCCGCCGATGTGGATCTTGCCAACTCAACGGCGCTGCGCGCTTCTCGACGCGTAGACCCCCGCGGCCAGCGGACTATTGGTGTCATTACCAAGATGGACCTCGTGGACCCTCCGCGAGCCTCTGCTATCCTTACCAATAAGCAGTACCCGCTGAGGCTAGGTTATGTGGGCGTTATCTGCAAGGGGCCTCCAAGCCAGGGCCTGTTCAAGATAGGCAGCTCAAGCCTGCTGGCCAGCATCTCCAAGCAGGAGGGCGCTTACTTCTCGTCGTACCCTCTGGAGTTTGGCCCCGGATCAGGTGTGGAGGTTGGATCGACAACCCTTCGCAAGAAGCTGATGCACGTGTTGGAACAGACCATGTCGTCCAGCCTGCAAGGAACTAGCGATGCCATCAAGCAGGAGCTGGAAGAAGTGGTGTACGAGTTCAAGGTGCAGTACAATGACCGCCCGCTTTCGGCCGAGTCGTACCTAGCCGAGAGCCTGGACGCCTTTAAGCACTCGTTTAAGCAGTTCGCCGACGAGTTTGGCCGGTCGCAGATGCACGAACTGCTCAAGGCCGAGCTGGACCAGAAGGTCCTCGACCTGCTTGCAGCTAGGTACTGGAACAAGCCTATCAGCGACCTGTCGGTGGCGAGGCCGGAGCCCGACAGCATTGCCGACCTGCCCAAGGCGGAGCCTGACTCTCTGCACTGGCACCGCCAGCTAGACGCCTCAACCTCCAGCCTCACCAAGCTGGGTGTCGGTCGCCTGGCCACAACGGCTGTGGCCACCTCTATCCAGGCACACATTGATAGGATCATTACGCAGTCGAGCTTCTCGGCGCACCCCTTTGCGCGAGAGGCCATCATGGAGGCGACGTCGACCATCCTCAACGAGCGCTACTACAGCACCAGTGACCAGGTGGAGAACTGCATCAAACCCTTCAAGTTTGATATCGACATCGAGGACCGCGAGTGGGCCCAGGGCCGCGAGCACGTCCAGGGCGTGCTCAAGAAGGAGCTCAAGGACTGCGAGGGTGCCCTGGCCAGACTCGAGACGGACGTCGGCGGGCGTAGGAAGCTTAAGGAGGTCATGGCGTTTGTCGACAAGGCTCGCAAGGGCGACATAGTTGTCGAGGGTGATGGGCGCAGCGGAGCCGGCGGCTTCAGTGCGGCACTCCTCGCACGAGGTAAGGCTTCTTTCTCTTTTTTCTCATCGGACCATAAAAAAAAATATACTAACACTGATATCAAGCTCGCGAGGCCGTCTTCCTGCGTGACAGGGCCGACATCATCAGGATGCGCATCATGGCCGCCAAGTCGAAGCAGTGCGCCAGCAAGAAGAACAAGTACTACTGTCCCGAGGTGTTCCTTGACGCGGCCGCATCCAAGTTGGCCTCTACGGCCGTCCTGTTCCTCAATGTCGAGCTCCTCTCCGAGTTCTACTACAACTTCCCCCGCGAGCTCGATCTCCGCCTGGGCCGCCACCTCCCGGAGGCCGAGGTCGAGAAGTTTGCCAAAGAGGACCCCAAGATCAAGCAGCACCTCGAACTCATTCGGAAGAAGGACCTTCTCGAACTGGTACTTGGCAAGATGGATTCTCTCCGCCAGCTTGAGGGCAGGGAGAGGGAGAGGCGGGGTCTTCCCGCTACCGACAAACAGACTGGTGAGAAGGGACGGGGCCGATGGGGCCTGTTCTAGTTTTTGCTTGTCCTTCATTTTTGTTCTTATGTTTCTGTCCCACCTCCCATCTGCCATATTGTCAAGAATGAGCTATGAATATTTATTAGAAGTTTCGTTCCCTTTCTCCCCCCTACCCCCTTGCTTCATGAATCTCTCTCCCTTGATGGAGGCATGCCACACACACAAGACTGCCAAAAATACTCGTCATACTTTTCTTGGGTTCAGTTGTTAAATTTTTTTTGAGTGCCGATAGACGCCACTTGTAAGATGTAAGGATACCCTACTCAGGTTTTGTTTTATAGTTGTCATAATAAATTTCCCTCTCCATGGCTCCGCGCCCAAGTTGGCATACATGTATAAATGTTCCCTTAACTCATACATACAACACAGCTATATATCCTACCTAGCCATTCTCATTATGCCCGTCTTAGCTTCTCATGCCACAGGATCCGGGCTGGTTTGCAGTGTCACCTCCCAGCGCATGGTGCCGCCGTTGCCATATCCTTCAGCCAGACGGTTCTGAATAAGAGAGGAAATGCGGGAGCGCAACTTTCCGATGGACGAGTCGTCGCTGCCCTTGGACACGGCGAGCTTGAGGTTAGCCATAGACAGACCGTAGTGAACCTGCCAAAACTGGGCGTCGTGGACGCGCAGGACGGCCGGGTCGGACTCGATGTCGCGCAGGACAGAGGAGACGCCTAGGTCGCCGCCGTGACCTCCATAGGACATGAGCAGCATGAGACCCTGAGCTACAACTAGGCGCATTCCCAGGGCGAACATGGCAGCCGAGATGGTAGCGCAGATGAGGCGATCGAGCCAAGCGTACAGAGAGATAGACAGGAGCGGGAGGAGGGCGATGACGGCGGAGAAGAAAAGGGTGAGAAAGTGGAAAGGGTTGGAGAGGATGCTGGGCAGGGAGGCAAGGTACGAGACACGCATGAGCTTGGCGATGCGGGCGTGGTTCTTGAGCCCATAGGCCGAGACGAGGCTGCTCGCGACAGCGGCGAGAGAGACGAGATTAATGGAGGAGTGGTGACCCTCATGCTCGTGGGCGTGGTCGTGGCCGCTCTCGGTGCCCACAGATGCTAGGAAGTGCTTCAGGTTGTGCGACACGAGGTCAAAGCCGCCGAACAGGAGGAGGACGGACATAGCGAAGCCGGCGAGGACCTCGGCCCTCTCGAGGCCGAAGGGGTGGCGGATGCTGCTCCGGCGCCACACCTCAAAATTGCCCAGGACGTCGACAGCCACGCACACTGCTGCGCTCCCGGCGTCGAAGAAGACAAGATGCGACAGCGCAGTCGTCGCCAGCGACCCCTCGGACTTAAAGAAGGTGTACATGGCTACGGCTACGTGGCACAGAACCCAGTACAGCCGCGTGCGCTGGTCCTTTTGCATGCTCTTCCAGGCCTCACGTAGCGTGGGGATCGGCAAAGAGGCGGGGAGTACGGGAGGAGGCCGCGGTGGAGGCTCCTGAAAGATCTGATGCTGCGTCGAGATGCTGCTGTGCTTGTATCGATGGCCGCGTCGCTGTCCGATGTTCTGTCGCAGCGGGGTCAGTATACCATAGCCTCCCGATCTTGGTTTCCCTAATACCCCTTGTATGCAATTGAGCGATGAGGGGAAGACCTACCGACTTGACGGGCGCCGTCGAAATGACTTGGGTCTGGAAGTTGAAGGGGCTCGGGACAGCAGCAGCGCCATCGCCTTCGCCGCCGCTCGGGTTGTCCTCGTCGGTTGACATGGCTGACGACGGAGCTAGAAAGCTTCCTTGCGAAGAGGATGACTGGCCAAAGGGTTCGTCATCGAACGGCGACGTGTTGGAAGCCGGTTCGTCAATGTCGTCGACTATGAATGATGGAGGAGGAGGGGCGGAGGTGTCGTTGGGGGGCAGCCTAGCTGGGTCCATGTGCGGATCAGATAATGTGTTGACCACGATACATTGATTATCGGAGGAATGAACAGGGGTTCCTAAGGGCGGACAGGAAGAGATATTCTTTGAGAAACGAGATATGGAAGTATGACAACAGTTTTAATAATTACTACTGCTATCAGTAGAAAAGCGGGAGAGTGTGACGATGTGTTGCTGCTCGGCGTACGGACAGTTCCTGGACTAAGGGACATCAAGGTGAGCACAGCCAAACAGCGCGAGGCATTGGAAGTCCCAACCAGACTGGATCTGGAAGTTTAGGCGCCTATGGGGAGCACTGAAGACGCTATAGAGGGACGATGACGCTGGGCGAGTAAGACGACAGCGCCATTGGTAGCGAATTGACCACTAAACTCCATTTGATGCCACTGTAACTCTCAGGTACACTCCCATGCCGATGCTCGTCTAGATATACATGTTGATACTTGCCTATCCTCCCTCTCTCCCTCTCTCTGTTTGACTTCAGCCACATATGCATAACCCATTGAAAGCGCGTCTCCTTTCAACTCCCGTCACAATCAATCCCGCCCTTCTCTCCCTGTCGCTCGTTTTTATACCTAGAGAAGCGAATTGACGGCGCCGCCGGACACAATCTCCCATCTGTTCCATACAGAGAACATATACGAACCCGCCGTCAGTATTCAAGAAAGGACCAGGCCCAGCCAACCAACCGCAAAGAATCCCGGGGGCTTGGCAAACGCTGGGGAGGGGTGGGCTCAAACATCAGCGCTTTCCCAATACACACTACTGCGCACGGAGTTCGGGGTATTACAGTAATACGGACTGCCGTTGCTTCGTATTACTCGCGCTGTTTGGCATCAAGTCGTACGTAACGTAGGCCAGAGGCCCCTCCCGCGCGGGTCGGTGTATCCCCCCTCCCCCCCCCAGTAATGTCCAGTATCCAGTATCCCCCAGTATCCAGTATCCAGGTATCCAGTACCCAGTATCCCCCCCCCCCCCCCCCCCAAATATCCTGGATTGCCGGCCGATCTTTACCATGGAGCCGAGTCAGCATGCGCCGCAACAAACGACTCGTCGAAGGGGTCCGTCGGGATCTGGAGGAATCTTCGGCCGGTTCCCATTCATGAAGACGAGCGCGCCAGCAGAAGACAACGATCGCCAGACTTCGACTCCGACTCCGGCACAGCAGCAGCAGGGCGAGGGCGGCGCAACAATAGCAACAATAACAACAATCTCGTCCTCGTCATCTTCAACCCCCCTCCCTCTCGGCACCAGTAGTACCGATATCATTTTGAAGCAGCAGCAGCGCACGCGTCGACGTAGAGGATCACTTAGAAAGGTGGCACTGCTAGGACGGGGAGCCCAGCGCAGCAGACGGGGCACATCTCCGTCTTCCCCATCTTCGACGACACCCAAGCCAGCGACACACGATACCAACGAGACGCCGCGCGCCATGAACCGGCAGTATGACGCCCTGGGCCTCGGATCCGTCGACCTCACCCCGCGGGCATTCATCGCCGCCAGGCACGGCGCCCCAGCTGGCCAGAGCATCGGCCCGCCCGCCCCAGAGTCCTCGGCAACATATAGCTCCACGACAGATGAGGACGACATGCTGCAGCTCCCGCACCCACAGGGTCCGCCACGACGTCTCAGCCAAGGTGCCGTTGCCGCTGCCGCCGCCGCCGCCAAGTCATCGTATTATGTCGGCATGGAGACGCAGCGCCGCCGGTCCTTTCACCAGGTCAAGTCCCCGCTGTCTTCGTACAACGGGCTCGCCACCGCACCGGGCCAGTCCGACTCGGATTGGGACTACTCCGACACTGAGTGGTGGGGTTGGGTCGTGCTCATCATCACATGGCTCGTCTTTGTCGTCGGCATGGGCTCTTGTCTAGATATATGGAGCTGGGCGTGGGATGTTGGAAAGACGCCTTATGCGCCGCCCGAGCTAGAGGATGACCCCACGCTCCCTATTGTCGGGTATTACCCTTGCCTCATCATTTTGACGTGCGTCATGGCTTGGGTTTGGGTCGTTGTCGCCTGGGTAGGCATGAAGCATTTCCGACATGCCAAGATTAGTGGTGACTAGTAGGTTATGTATATGCATGTATATATACGAGTAGCATGATGCCGTAGTACAACGGCTGAAAACTCCCCGCGACTCTCACTGTTCTAGATGATGTATGTGCTGGGTTGCTGTCGTCATTCCATGTTTCTTGGGATAGGGTATTTATTGAGTGTAGTAGAATATGCGTATCCGGCTGAGTAGCTCGACAGCAGATAAAATAGGACCTAAAGCTAAGAGTGTATTCAATGATTACATGGGAAAATAATTATAATCTAAATAACCAGAAAAAGGGAGGAAAGAACAGTCACGAGCGGCAAAAGCAAAAAAGATACCAAGAAAATTAACTCCTCCGGACAGGATCGAACTGTCGATCTTCCGATTGCGCATGTGCTAACAGTCGGACGCCTTAGCCAGCTGGGCCACGGAGGAATAAATCGGAAGTTGTTACTTTCGAAGCTGGTTGGCGAGTTGGGAACTAGTAGCCAGTCTTTAACTATAAAGCTGACATAAGGTCAGAACGAAATACTGCTCATACACTTGAAAAAAAACGCAACAGCAACTTTCCCAAACTTGGCCTGCAGATACCTTGGGCATCTTGGCGTTTCAAGAGCTTATGCGCCAGCACCATGCTACAAAATTTATAGACTGGTTCATACAACCCTCAAACATTGCCAACTTGGGCATAACGTTGCACACGCACACGGGAGGGAGGAGGTCAGGCATCAGTGCCCAAGAACAGGGATTTCGATTGTTTGATTGCGATCCATTCTGTCGGGGAGACTGTAATTCGTAGTGTGATGTATCTGATTTCCTAGCCTTCTGTACTCTGGGCCGAATTATAGACACAGTCTTGTTTCCAAATAACTGCTTTTTCTTCGTTATAAAGAGGAAAAGAAAAAAAGTCTAGATGACTGCTAGAATCTCTTGGCTTATTGGGAGAGAGAATTATAGGGACGAAGTACTAAGAGAAGCATTGATGTATGACGTAACGCAGGCGAGAGATGGGAAGATCCTTCGAGCTAAAATCGATCAAATATACTGGGCGTTAGCCTCAAGGGGTTCCGTTAGATCACGTGCTTGTATGCGATATGTGTGGTTTTTTTCACTAACGGTACACGTGACGTTACACATCTATCACAGCTCACATGATTTATACGTAACTTTCGTTGATAGGAAGGTACCTACTACTTTGAAAAGATTAGTGTTTCGTGCCCCTATCGAATTTGCCGTGCCAATATGATGGAGTTAGTACAATGGCTCTACCTGTATTATTCAGTTACAATATTTGAAGGTATTTTATAAGGAAACCAGACTTTACAGGCCTACCATTTGTATAGAAAATGAATAACTTCGGAGTTAATCACCCTATTTATTGTGTCCTATACATTGTGATATTTGGAGGGCTCTCCCACTGCTTTTGAAACAGAGAAGATTCCAGATGCATTCAAGCTGCATGTTGGCCACGCCACACATCATAGTTGCATAGTGGATCTGCTAAGTCTCCTCGAGCGATAACATTCCTGGTAAATGTGTCGCATCCAAAAAGGGCGCTTTGTAGTCTCTTCCAGCAGTATTAGATATTGCAGCTCAACATCCAATGTTGACACAAGGGTACTTGGTTCAAGTGTGGTAAGTGGCGCTAGAAAGGTTTGTAATCTTTCCTCGGCCCAAGGCCCCCGCGCTCGGCGCATAACCCCGCGGACTGACTTATGGGCGCAGATTCGCCGCACCATCATTACTCATCTCTCCTCGGTAATCTATCTCATCACCTACATCGATACAAGTGCATTTATAGCGGTATTACTGGTTTCAATACAAAGTCCGCCAGCGTGTTGTATCTGCATTGGCAGTTCGGAATCATGCCCGAACAGAGCCCGTTGCAGCAAGGGCGCGACATATCAGAAGCCCACGGAGATCAGACCAATAGCTTCCCCCAAACCTGCTGGGCGTTGCGCCGCAAGGTCCTAGCATTTCTCGAGGCTGAAAATGTCGAAGACAAGGCATTAAGGACCCTCCAGGGCCATATCCGGGTGGCCATGGAGGTGATTGGGGAGGCGTTGCACCGGTACGGGTAGGTGCTACGTTTACCCCGTTGTCGGAGGTACGCCGTGGACAGATGACTCGGCGCACGACAGGAGTTTCCGGAGTTGGAGGGGAAAGGCTAACCATTCGTGCGCACACAACAGCTTGGAGCACCTGTCGCTCTCGTACAACGGAGGCAAAGACTGTCTCGTCCTACTAATCCTCATCCTTGCATGCTTGCCGGAACTGGACGAACATCGGGCAAACGGTCGGACCAACGGCGACCATCAGACTGTACCGGACTCACAGACAACGCCGTTGAAGTCCGAAACCCTCGTGAAGCCTCTCCAGGCGATCTACATAGTGTCCCGAGATCCTTTTCCGGAAGTCGAGGAGTTTGTCGCTTCCTCAGCGAATCAATACCACCTCAGTCTTGAACGCCAGGAGCTGCCTATGCGGCAGGCTCTCGATGCTTACCTGTCTGAGAAGACGGACGTGAAGGCGATATTCCTGGGGACCAGACGGTCAGACCCTCATTGCGATGCTCTGGGGCATTTCAGTCCTACAGACGCGGGTTGGCCACAGTTTATGCGCGTCAACCCGATCATCGATTGGCACTATGTCGACATCTGGCTGGTAAGTGTTGCGACGCCTCTGGGCGACTTGCATCGCGTGTGTCTTCTGGCCATGATGCTGACCGTCCACAAAGTTCATCCGGCACCTCGAAATACCTTATTGCTCCCTTTACGACCAAGGCTTCACGTCCCTAGGAGGTGTAAATGATACCAAGCCCAATCCAGCTCTAGTCTCTGATGCCGAAGCTGGAGAATACCGACCAGCCTATGAGTTGGTTGACGAAGACGAGGAGCGATGCGGGCGAGGGCGGTAGATTCTATGCGAGGACGCTTGACGGCGGCGGAGAGTACCGTAAGCCTTGGGTCAGGTGTATATCAACAGTTGATGTTGACTTTCGATAGCAGAGAGCTAGGAGGAAGGGGGGAGGGGGAGGAGAGGGGAACATCGAAGCAAAAGACCTGGAGTTCGAGCATTTCGCGGCGTTTTTATGGTGCTTGTCCATCTCTCAATGTACAATAAGATAACAATACGGGCATGTCACTTCTACTATCTGTTATCCTAACCCTATCGACCACGACCATACTCGTACGCTCAAACTGCATGTGCCTTGTCAAATCTTGTCGCTATTTTCCGTGCATGCAATAGGATTTGATCTTAGAGTACCCGTACTCGTAGTGACCTGGCCAAGGGATGATGGATACACTCTAGCGCCCAAAAAAAACAAGGAAGCGTTGACTAAAAGAAAAGCGCTCGACCTGTCCAGGAGATTTCTAAGGGAGTTGTCAAAGAATTGCGCGGTGACAGTACCACGGTCCACGATCTACCGTCCCACTGGTATCCAGCAAGGGACACGGCGGGATAGCTGCTGATGCAGTAAAGGGCCTGGTTCTGGCTGGAACTGCGAATACGGCAGTGTTATTACAGAGTAATAATACGAGTACAGAGCAAAGCTCAGCAATCTAATAAGGAAAAGATGAAAATATACAGGTGTTATATGTATTGTTATTATTATTATATAGTAATACAAAAACACGACTGTAGAATTGATACTCGTAACCCTGAAAATAAATACTCGTAAGACTGTAATCATAATAATAGATTGCATATGTAAGCTATAGCCCGATTGCTAATCTGCCCTCTGGTGGTGCTAATTAGGATGCATATGTCGTACGTCGTAATGACAGTAGGGATGGATTAGATTCGCCACTAGATGAAGAATTTGGAATGTGCGTCTTGTTGGTTTCTTCCTTCCTTTTTCCTTCTGTCCTTCTTGTCGTACCTGCCAACAAGAGGCACAAAGCAAAACGAAGATTGAACCAAAACAAAATTGTAACTCCGTATATTCATGACAGATGGTACATTAGGGACTCAAATATGTAATGATCTGGAACAAATGTCATGGCAATAGAACCAACGTAATAATACTACAACTTGTCCGTACCTAACGGTAATACTCCGTGGGGCAACCCTTTGGCTACGAGGTGCCGGCGAGCCGCCCGCCTAGAAAGAGAGATCCGCCTAGGACGGAGGTCCCAGCGTTGACTGGATGGACCACAGGGGGTTGAGAAAGAGTGGAGGTTGCACACCAGCACGCATAGTACAGCACGGAGTATTATTGCTACTAGTACCGAGCACTAAAGCCGCAAATACGGAGTACAGGGGAGGGGGGGCCTGAACATTTGATGGGCACCGTCCGGGATTACAAAGGGGGCCCGCCATCCATGACAGTCATGGAACAGGCGCGTGATGGATGAGATGCGAGATGATACAACACGCGACCAACAACGACACGGTGAGTAATACTAATACCTAAGAGAATATTGATGAATATCTTTGGGACCTTTGTTTTGCATTTCAACGGAAGCAATCATGGCAGACAGAGGACTCTGACAAGAAAATATCATGCCATCCAATTTTTTCCCCGGTCTGCCGTTCTTGTGCAGTTAACGGCCATCAAATCTACCTACATACATTACTGAAGGGAGCTTCTATTTGGGGAGGACTGTTAGGGACTGTTAGGGACTGTTAGCGGGTATTATTATGTACGAGTGGGAAGCCCAACCAAAAGCCCTGCCTGAAACGAAGAACCCATGGACCCGCCTTTAACTACATCTTAGGTGTTACCAAGTACCGTAGGCGCCTTAGGACTGAATGCAGTGGAGCGCCCAATTGCCTACGATAGTGGGTAGACGCCTGTAAGGTGTTGTAACGCCTACGCGTAAGGCGGGCAGGAAGCCTGTAAACCTCCCCTTATGCGGCCTTCCATCATGTTGGATAAGCCTGAAGCCTGTACCTGTAAAATGCAGCCAGTTGATGGATGGAACCGTAGCACCTTGTCGGGAACCTGTTAACACTACCTCTGGGCTCTAACTAATAGTATTGCATGCACTCATCTCCTCCATATCTCCTCAACCAACATTGAACATTCGGACTCTCCCCATCCCCATCCCCTCGCCTCCTTCTTTCACCTCCACCGAAATCAACAGAGGAAAAAAACTCACATCTATATATAACCATTCCAACAAAAATCTTCACTCGTCTATATCGGCCATAAAAATCAAAACTGGTTCTTCTACTGAATCACCCGACCTGGCCATCTCATCCTTTTTTTCTTTGCATCAGCGCACACAACCAGCCCCCGGTCGTCCTCGCCCCCCCTTTAGCGTTGTCGCGCCACCGGTTTCTGCCTGGAGAGAGACTTTTCTCCCCCCCCCCCCCCCCCAAAAAAAAAAAAACACATCTTCTACCAACCTACCATCGAGAATATACTGAGAGAGACAAAGGGAAGAAGTGCTTGTGTTCGTCAGGTTCTGTGCTCATTTTTTGAGTGGTATATTCTCTTTCGCCAACCTTGTGGTTTGGGCTTCTCATTTTGCTTCCTCTCCCGGTCGCTCTCCCCGTCTATGGGGCCTCGGAGACTGGCATCTTCGACTTGCACGGCCCTGACAACCAACAACCCTTCGAATCTATAATTCATTCATCTCTGCCATCATGAGAGAAGTCAACTTCAGCATCCCAAGCGTCAACAAGGCGTCTGTGGGCATCACCACGGCCCTGTACGACCGACGGGCCCTTGATTGCACCTCGACCCTCCCCCTGATAAACTCCCTCAACCATCTCGCCTATCTCACCACATCGTCTGCTCGCATCCGCGACATCCTCACCATAGATGGAGGGATTGAACGCCTCGTCTGCATTCTTAAGCAGGGCCGGAGCAAGGACATGATGGGCATGTGGAAGTGGAACCTCGCCTTCCAGTGCGTGGTCAACATAGGTGTTCGCGGCACGGAGACGGTCCGCACCAGGGTCGTCGAGGCCGACATGGTCCCTGTCATAGCTACCATTCTCGACAACTACATCAAGGTCATTGAAAATTGCCGCGAAAAGGCCGAGGAGGCCAAGCGAAAGCACATCAACGACCACCACCATCGACACCGCTCTCACATAAAGTCATCTTCCGCCCACAGCTCTCGCGTCAGTCTCGTCGAGCCCGAAGACGCCGGGTCCACCACCGCCCGACGCCAGACCATCAGCCACCGGTCTACCCACAGCAGCACCGCCTCAAACAGTGCCGCCGCCAGCTCATCTGCTGCCGGTCCATCTACCACTACCCTCAGCAGCCACCGGGGCCACGACGGTGCCTCGCTCGCTTCCCAGAACGGCTCGGGCTCACGCGAAGGCTCTGCTTTCCTCGCACTGCCTCCACCACCCCGTCGTCTTGTCCCAGAGGCTTCTACACGAAGCGTTTCCTCTTCATCTTCCTCAACCTCCCAGCAGGTCCTCCAGCCTCTGGCTGCCGCTGCTGCCTCAGCTCCCTCCATGGCCACTGCTGACGGCTTCGTTCGCCCGGCCGTCCGCGACGCTGATCGCCTAACGACAATGGCACCCTTCGGCCCTGCCGATGTTGCCTCGCAACCTACCTCTCCCACAACCCCTGTGCAGCCTCCTCAGCTGCGTTCTCCCGCCTCCAACTCTAGCCCTTCGAACCGCCGTCGCCCCTCGATCCGACACCAAAACTCCACCACCGTGTCCGATGACCTCAACGCCGAGGGTGTCACCTCAGACGATTCTCCAGACGCAGAGATGACGGAGAATGGCGAGATTCAGTCTGCCGTCGGCATCCAGGACATCACCATGGAAGACGGCGAGAGCATGCTGGCCGAAGCCTCGTCTCTGGACCTTACCACCCCCACCGTCTCTGAGGCCCACCAGGACACCGGTACCTTCAACATCACCCACCGGAGCCCCGTCGACAGCAGCGTGGCTAACAACACGACGCCGACCCCCGTGCCCCAGATGGGACTCTCGCCCAATCGCCCCGCCATGGTGACGCCTCCCCAGCCGTCGCTGCCCAACTCGACGGTCCCTCGCTATCTCCTCAACCGTCACTTCGTCCCCAACCCGGAGCTGCTCGCCGTCATGCCGCGCGAAGAGGACATTCTAATGTCCCTGCAGCTCCTGGCCTATGTTTCCAAGTACTGCAGCCTGCGCTCGTACTTCCAGAAGAGCCACCTGGTACCCAAGCTCAACATTGACAAGGACCTGGCGGCGGCCAACCGCGACGAGGCAGGCGAGTACGAGGGCGACGAGGACCTGGTAGTCGACGAGGATGAGGACGAGGAGTACCTCCTCCCCAACGACTTTAACCTATTCCCGCTAGTGGAGAAGTTCACGGTTCGCTACCACAGCACCGACATGCAGTACTGGGCGGGCGTGGTGATGAGGAACCTGTGCCGCAAGGACGACACCCGGGGCGGGATCCGCCAATGCGCCTACTATCAGTGTGGCAAGTGGGAAGAGTACACGCGCCAGTTTGCAAAGTGCCGTCGCTGCCGCCGGACAAAATACTGCAGCAAGGAGTGCCAGAAGAGCGCCTGGGCCTTTCATCGGCACTGGTGCGTGGCCGCCTCGTCGCAGTAGTCTTTTTCGGCTAAGTACTCTTCTCGACGACGCCGACGCACAACAGTGCATTATCTCCTCCCTTGCATGGGGTTGGCATTGCATAGCAAAGTAACAGGGTTCTTTCCGCATTTTCTCGATACCACAGGGCCTTCCTTTTCTGTCTTATTTAATATCTCTATCATGGCGTTTCTTTCTTCTGCAGTTCGGTTTGGGTCGTCTTTTTTTTTTATGGAAATCTTTTCTTATATAGCATATCTTTTTTTTGGGAAGCCCAAATAGGTTATTAACGTCTTTGCTTACCACTTTACACCCTCTCCCTCCCTTTTCTCTCTTCCCAATCACGCACAGCGCTCTCACAAATCATATTTAGTATATATACTACATCATCTCGCCCCCTTTCTCCTAGCACGGGAAAACAGGCTAGGAGGGAGGGGGGTAGCTTGTGTATGGAAACCATGTTTCCTTCCTGTCACCAACACGCGTCCCTTTTGTTATACTGTTTTATTACTTGATTAGTGAGCTCAATATGGAGGAATACCTTCACACGCACACAGACAAACATAGCCTGCTCTAGCGGTATTCAGATTTTTTTTCATCTTTCAAATGTTGTCTGAGCCATAGATACTGCATAATGAACAGTTTACTTGTGTGTGCACGTATACTTTCGTACTATCAATGCAATGTCCAGGTAAGAGGCAAATGAGTGTTGGTAATTAGAAGACGTGTACAAACGTTCAAGCCCGGACAAAGAGCAATTGGCAAAAGGGAAGGGTTAAAGAAAGGGAAAAACTACAGTATGTATTAAATGCAAAGCCTAGACGTAGTTTTTTTTCTTGTTCCATCTACCTTATCTTGTTTAATACAAAACAAATGACCGAGTCTATCGACGAGCCATTGCATTGCGCCTATCCTTGCCTGGCCTGGAAGCAGAAGCCTTGGTGACCCTGCCCTTCCCACTACCGGCCTTCATCTTCTTGGCGTTGAAGCCAGATAGATCGGAGGAGCTGGTAGCATCCCCGGACTTTGAGTGGCGCTTCTTACCGCCGAAGCCGTACTTTTCATTCTTCTTCTGGCGCTTGGGGTTGCCGCTGGCACCGCCAATGTTGCCGCGGCCGGCGCCGGAGCGGTTGCCTGCGCTGGACTTGTTGCCGTACTTGGCCAGTTCCTTGTTGACGCCTACGTCGAATAGGTCGGTTTCGTTGGTTTTGTCATTTGACCCGGACTCTTGGCGCTCTGGAGACAATTTCAGCAAGGCGTTTTCTTATTTACTTATATATACATATTTGGGGAGGGGGAGGAGGGGGGTGGTGAGGGTGAAGATCAGAGGGCGTGTAGAGGAAGTGAAGTGAAGGGATTGGAAGGCAAAGGAGAACATACTGCGTTTGAGAGTCTTAATCTTGTCGAGGGTCTCTTTCTTGGCCTTTTGTCTCTCCTGAAGCTTGGCAACCTGGACCTGCTTTCCGTACTTCTTGAGTTCACGCTGCTTGCGCGCCTCGGCGGAAGCTTTCTTGGCCGAAGCCTCCTCTACGAGCTTGGCCTTAACCCTGTCCATGTGAGCGTCCTCCTTGACCATCTCGGCGAAATAGTCCTTGGGGCGGGAGAAGGGCACGCCCTCGGACAGAAGCTTGGTGCGGCCCTTGCGCACGGCCTCGAGGCTCTGCGTGTAAAAGGCCAGCTCGCGCTGTAGGTCGTCGGACACGTCAGGGATGCTCGCGGCCGTGGGTTCGGCCGACATGACCGTCTGGTGGGTGGCAAAGGGGACCGACGAGTCCGTCGGGATGCCTATCCGCGTCAGGGCCGCGAGAAGCGCTGACGTGTTGTTGATAGTCAGACGCGTGTGCGGGATCAGGTCCTCCTTGTCCTCATCGTCGAGATCCTCAAGGTCCGAGATGGGTATGTCCTCCTCGTCCTCTTCCTCCTCTTCCTCCTCTTCCTCGTCCTCCTCGTCCTTCTCGTCGTCTTCGGTGGCCATCGGCGCAGCCTTTCCGTTCGACTTCTTTGCGGGAGTCTTCTTCGCTGGAGCCGTCTCGGTCTTCTTAGGTTTCCGCGGTAACCTCTCCTCCATGTCTACCGACGAGTCTGAAGAGTCGCTGTCGTCAATGCCTTGAAGGTTCATCTATCGTTCACCATGTTAATCATGGCCCCTGGTCTTTTCTCTGGGCGGAGGATTGATATACAACATACCCCGCCATATTTCTCATATTCCTCTTCCTCATAATCGTTGTCAGACTCCTCTTCCTCCCCCTCAGCCTCTTCTTCAACTTTGTCTTCTTCCTGCTCTGCCACGCGCTGGGCCTTTTGCTGCTTGAGAGCCTTCTTGCGCTTCCGCTCCTGCTTCAGCTTCTTAAAGTCGGTACCCTTTTCGGCGGCAAGTGCCATTTTCAACTTGCTCTTTGTGACCATTTTGGCGGTAGTTGTGACGGCTGTTTACCTTGTTGCTTGGATTTTTTTCTTCAGCCTGTGCTTTCTTAGCACCACAGTCAATTGGGAAAAGTTGCGCCTGCCAAAAAATCTACAATTTCTGCCGCATAAAAGTTATTTCACCGCCTTGGTTTCAAGTGGGGCTGGTTGGAAGTGACCTAACCTGTACAAAGTACAGATTAGTATGTGGTAATACCAAATTGCATGAATAAGCAGCTAGGGGCTGCTACCACACATTCACATCTATAAATCGCCTTGTAGATAAATTGATTTCCTCCCTTTCCGTTAGATTAAGCAACTAGATACACACATAACGACATAAGACGTACGAGTATATATAGGTAGAGACCACTATATTAGCGTCCATAGGCCATCGTGTGTTGCCGCCCACTAGAAGCACAAGTAACAGTCTTTTCCGTTATTAGAAGTGAATATAGTTTTGGGTGGGAGGTATCATCCTAATTGAGCCTCAATACAAATTCACACCGGGATATCGTTCCTCTTATTTCCTGGGATATAGCGGCTCTTGGTATTCTCACGTGTGTCATGTGGTTGATGTAGAGAGTCGTCCCTAGGTAGACTCACTTACTTGTTAATACTAGTCGACTTACATGAAGAGAGGCATCACCAAATAAACAAGCTCAAGATACATGATAATGTCACTTCACATGATATGGCATAAACGTTTTTACCAACAGCTCAATTTTTTTAATCATAGCACATGAACCAGAGAGAAAACAACTTCACCTACATCCGCTCCCCCGTTGAATTAAATTAACTTCTCCTATTCACAGACCAGTCATGATAGAAGGAACGAAAGAACTCTCAATTGCATGACGCGCCATGCCATCAAGAGCCATAGAAATGCATAAATGATTTTGAGTCTGCCAGCGTTGGGGGTATGTACTTGGAACCCTCTGCACCTGAATAATCACAGTCTAGCTCGGTTTAAATTGTCGTGTGTCGTCTTCAAAACGTTGTCATTCCCAAGAAAGAGAGGGAGAGGAGCGTCCTCAAGTCTGTCGTGCTTCCCAGTGTTCAGGAGGGGGGACTGTCCATGGAAGAGGCCAGATTACTACATGATGTAGCCGAAGCTTCCCTGCGGATTCTGGGGCTTGGCCATGACGTTGCACCCGAGAGGATGGCCCATGGAGATCTGGTGACTCTGGGGCTTGGACATTGCGTTGGTTGGGTTCGGAGCTGAGAAAGCCAATAGGAGGAATAATTCGGCAGTGAAAGGAAAGAAAGAGAAGTTGTCTTTGAAGTTGGTCTGATTGCGTTGGTGATGCGGAGAAGGAATTTGGAAAGAAGGTGGCCGGTCCTCTGCTTGATTTATACCTGAGGAGTTGATGACTTCTGGGGCTGTGATTCATTCATCCATACATTTAAGTTACTATTGTACATACAGTTCCTTGTTATACTACATCAGAGTCGACGAGTGACGACCCTACCAAGGCGAGGCCGGTCGACTGAGCAGCTATGGGACGCGGAAAGACAAAGAAGGGCGATGACCGACCTCGAAAAGGTGAACAAAAGCAAAGTCGAGATGCAGGATGAATATCATGTTGTCCATTCCATCAATGGACAGCAGTCCATACCTGGCGTTGTGGCGCATTTTCCTTAGTATTGTCTGCTTAGTATTGTTCATGCCACGTGGAAATTCGTCAACGCGGAACGGCCAGTCTAACGTCCAGCTGATGCGTTCAACTTCAGGGGATCAAATAAATATACAGCAGGTAGATCCTAGAATGTCTCTAGCATTATGCATGGTTTATATAACACATGATCCTGCTATCGGCCGGGGCCTTCCCCTCCCCCTTATTCCTTGTATATATATGGGTTATATCTGTTGCACTCTAGAAGCGAGTAAAAGGGAGCCTCAAGAAGTGTAAGTTTCGAGCGTTTTGCAAAGAAAAAAAAAGATAGAATGACCGCGAACATACCACTTTCCCCTCAGGGTAATGACAACCCAGGGAGCGCCCGTTTCGTCAACCTCCTTGTCGACCTTTGTGGAGAAGCAGATGGCACTCATGATACCGTCGCCAAACTTCTCGTTCAGAATAGCCTTGTAGGCGTATCCGTAGTTCTGGATAATCTCGTACAGACGATAGATGAGAGGCTCCTTGGGGGGCATGGGGCCGGAGTAGCCGCGGTTCGGGAAAGTAGTCAGCTGCTCGACCAGAGGCTCCCTGGGGATGTCCAGCAGTTTTGACAGGCGGTTGACGTCCTCCTCTGAGGCCGTGGCCTGACCGTAGAATATTGCGGCACATGCAACCTCACTGCGTTCTAGCTCCTTGGCAATAGTCTCGAAGCTCAGACCCTTGGACGCCTTGGCGTTGAAGAGGGTAGTGGCGACAGGCGGCAAGCTGCCCGTCATTGTAGGCTGGATGGAACAAATCAGCGGTCTATCATCTACCATGTTTGAAGTGTACCTATATGTGGAGAGAGTAAGCAAAGAGAGTATCGTACGTCGAGGGTTGCGATCTGGCCAGACATGGTTGTGATGAGTAATATGTGGGATGGTGGTAACGGGAAACGACTATCCTTTCTATGACAAAGAGTCAAGAATGGGGGGAGAGGGGGGAGAGGGGTTAATATTAGTACCAAGGAGGAGACTCGGGAGACTCTGGGAAAGAGAGGACTGACTGCCTGCTTCTACTCGTACGTAATAATTGGTGATGGATCCAGCGTAGTGGGCAAGCCCATTTGACCGGAGACGATTCGGAGAGTCGGAGAGTCGTCCTTCGATAATACGTCACTCTTCTATCGAGGCGTTACCGCGTTGTGCGGGCGACAGTAGCGCCCCCGCAGTTATTGCCGACCAACTCTGCTATATCCTGGGATGATTCGCGTAGCAATGATGGTTTCTGTCCCTGGAATAACTCCGCATATATGCGTTTTATAGAGATGACTGGAGGTTGACCTTTGATACCCATAATAATATCATGTAATATTATTGGCAGAAGTTACGACCCAGGTTGGTGAATTTGAGTCGAGGATGACATAATAAGTGTGCCGATATTTTTGTCTTTAAGATTGTTTGCTCCATCTATGAAAAAAAAGTTCCAAGACAAGCAAGACCAAGCCTCATCAACGGCACAATTGTTGTATCAAAACCTATCGAATCCTCCACCAACACACAGCCATGCCTCATAAACACAAGAGAAAGAGGGGAGACGTCACAGAGCAAGTGCATTTCTTCACTAATATATCATGTGGCAAGATGCTGACCATTCACCATCAGCTACGAACTCCCCCCAAGCCAACGAGCGCGTCCTCTCCCCGTTGGACGGAAAGACCAGAACGCTACCAAAGATGGAGAGAAGAAGAAGAAGAAGTCGCGGCAGAAAGAAGACGATACACCCAGAGCATTCCGGCGGATAATGGCCATGTCACAAGGCAAGAAGTTCCGGTCTGGCCTTGATGACGGCAACGTTGACATATCGTCAAAGAAGAACAAAAAGAAGAAGGCCGACGAAGAGGAGTCCGAGGCGGATAAGAAGAGAGGTTCTACTGAGGTGCCCAGAATTCGTCCTGGAGAGGACTTCCGATCTTTTGCGGCCCGCGTCGACGCCGCCCTGCCCGTGTCAGGACTGACAAGGAAGACTGTTGTCAAGGACGGCAAGGATGAGCAGGGTAATAAAGTGTGGCGGACGCGCAAGGAGATGAAAATGCACAAGCTCTACGAACAATGGCGGGATGAGGAGCGCAAGATCCAGAAACAGCGCGAGGAGGAGCTAGAGAAGGATGCCGAAAAGGAGCTGGAAAATGACGCCTCGGCCATGACGGCGGCATCCTTCAAGCGCTTGATGGGGCCCGAGGAAGGGGCGACCAAGAAGAAGGGGAAGAAGGGAAGGAGGCGTCGTGGCAGGAACACAGACGATGATGAGGATCCGTGGGCAGAGCTCAAGAAGAAGCGTGCCGAAGCCAAGGTCGGCCTTCACGACGTCGCTGTGGCACCCCCCGAACTCAACAAGAGCAAGACGAGGCAGCTCAAGGTCAAAGATGGAGCGACCGTCGACGTTGACAGCATACCCAAGGCTGCGGGCAGTCTGGCACGTCGTGAGGAGCTCCAGCAGCAGAGGAGCGACGTGCTCGAGGCGTATAGGAAGATTCGGGAACACGAGCAGGCAAAGCTCACAGGTGCGCGCAAGGCATAATCGCGCACAAGCCTGACCTTACTTGCGAGATTTATGTGGAATTTCTTCACTGTATATAGTACCTTATAAAAATAGAAAAGAGACAGACGAAGAAAACAAAGCAAGAGGGAAAAAAAAGAAACCCATCAGCACAGTGATTGTCGCGGAAGGGAAAGTTGTGATTATGTAATAAAATCCGAATTCAACTTTCGTATGCAGGCTGTGACGCGCCCTGCATCTTTGACTCCCCACTCGGGCCACTCCCCCTCCCCCACTTCGTCATTCTAAAAAAAATTGTCCTCGACGTGCATCAGTTTCTTCATCGCGTGCGTTCGAATCCGCTTCGATCAAAATTTAAATTCGTTTTTTTTTCTCTCCGAAAACTCTTACTATGAGGCCACCAGTGTGAGAAACATGATGGCATGGGACCTGGAAGAGCTGATTGCCAACTTGTTGATGGTCATTTCGTGCGCTGGTGAGCGAGGTATGTATCTCATATCATCCGGCACTTCTTTCATCTCGGCACTCCAACTCCCTGTTCTGCTTCTTCCTCATTCGATCATATATACCATATTTCAGCGAGTCAGCTACTGACAATATCCCATTGCACAGGATGTTCTGTCCCCGAACTACTGCGGGCTATCCGCCAAAATTTACATGACGGCCATGATGTTCAGGACAAGTATGTCGTTGATATTGGAGAATCTATCACTATTTGGGCCTGGATTGTTCGAAGGCAAGATGTATCTCTGGGTCCGGATAGGAAATACAATCATCTCGGCCTTGAAGATGTCTTGCAACTTTCGGGCTTCTCCACTGCTCCTCAAGATGGGTCATTATCACTGGAGGGCCTCGTCTTCCCCAAGGACATGAGGGCTGTTGCGGCCCAGGATGCAATGTGGGAATCCATCACTGGACATGGTGTCGACTACCGCCGCGTCCCAAGATCAGAGTGGCTTCTGCTCTTGGGGATTGCGTCTACCAAGGCCGATGGAATTCTGCAGGGCGACCTCGGTCGCCTGGTAGATCAAGACAAGCGATCCGTCCCAAAACGAACGGACGCTCTGGTCAAGAAGGGCTACATCATCAAACGAACCACCCTCGTCAGGAAAATGAAAACAAGCAAGATGTGGCTTGTACAATTTGCACCTCCACTCATCAAGGAAGGTGAGACCGTTGATGGGCCGACGACAGCCGGCATGGACCTCTCCCATGCTTTTCTCACTGCCAATATCGACCCTGTGCCTTGGCACCATCGGTGGACCGGTGAGTCAGTCGACTACATAGCACTTGCCACGACAATCATGGCTATCGCCAAGGCATGGGGTGTCGTTCGACTGCACGACGTCAAAGCGAAGCTGGCTGTCCTCGAACTGCGGTGGCAGATGAGGGTCATCTCAAAGACCTGTCGCTTTCTCAATGGACGGGGAAATATTCAGTATGTCGCAGCGAGACTGGACGAAAAGGTTTTCAAGGACTGCATCAAATATGTCCGAGACATGGACCCCCAGGACTGGACCATGTACCTGGCCACCGGCAAGCGAGGTTCGACAAACTCCCCGGACGACTTCGACGGCCCAGGGCAGCTTAACAGCAGCTTGTCAGTTTTGGCAACGTGCCCACCATGGACCTCTGAGGAACCCCTCGCCCAGTATGTTAGCAGGATGGCCCGGTTCATGAAAGGAGCAGGCCTTACGAATCCAGATATCTACTCTCTAACCCTTGGCTCTTCCTTTACTCGGTTCATCGCATCCTTGACTTCAGCAATGGCCTCATCAACAATCCAGCCGCGCCATCTAAGACATCTCCAGCTCAAGAGTGAGCATGTTCGTGTTGGAAAGGTGGCCTCTTACAAGTATTCTATTGCATCCGACGCCGACGCAGTTATTCCGCCGGAACTGGTCTGGCCCAATGCCACACTGGCTGGCTCATATGGCTTCGGGTCTCACCAATTCAAGAAGGCAGAAATCAATGGCGCCACTTGCCTGTCCAGAATATGCAAGTCGAAAACTTCCCTACGCAAGAAGCGCGGCAGACCTAGGACCCAGAAGCCCGAACCTCGGGATACCAACCATGAATTGGAAGACCAACCACAACAAGCTCCAGATGTCGAACAACCAGATACGGTCACCGAGGAGCCTGTTGCTCCTGTTGAAGCAGGAGTAGACACTTGGCAAGTCAAGGACCAATCAGAGCCCCCACTGGAAGAGACTACTGTCGATTCCGAAACGGTGGATGTTACGATGGAGAATATGCCAGTAGCTCCCACCGATGCATTGGAACTCAAGGAAGAAGCCCCAGATGGCGAGCCTGAGATTTCCGGGGCAGTTTCCGCCGATGAGGGCAACGCAAGTGGCGTTGTTAAAGCAGACGAAGTGTCATATTCCGGCCGCAGGCGTGAACAAGGCCGTGGAAGAGGCCGGGGAAGAGGACGGGGTCGTGGCCGTGGAAGAGGGGGGCGCGGTACTTCGCAGGCAGACAACTCAGTATCGTCATCCAGAGCATACAAGTGCGAAACGTGTGGTGGCTCCTGGAAGAATGGCATTGGTCTCAAGTATCACATCGAAAAGTCGAAAACGGCTTGCAACCCGTCTTATGACCCCAAGAGCGAGATAACCAAGGTGACCAGGCACCTGAAAGCCGAGACCCCACGCGAAACCACCCCTGCTGAGCCTACACTATCTGGAGAATCGTCTCAAGTACAAGAAACCAGTACGAGGAGAGATCCCCAGCCCAGACCATCCCCATCGGCTTCGAGGATCTCGAGATTGAAGAAGTCTATTATCCGGAGAAATTCTGGCACTCCTGACCGACCCTCAACGGCAGACTCTTCCATCCGCAATTACTCGCCAAGAGTAGAGAGACCACGGCGTTCGGATAGTATCAAACGTGACATCATTTCCGCTTTCTCCACCCCCCAAATAGGACAAGGGATTCTGCTTCTAGGAAGCGAGACGAGGAAGCATAATGCCTTTGACTTGACGCAGAGTCGCAAGGGAACTCCTTTTGCCAAAATGGTTGGAGACGAATCCCACAATGCTGCTCTTACGACTCGACTAGATCCTATGGAAGGCATTGAGGCACAAGCCAACGGCGACTCTAATGATACAGGTGCCAAGGCCGAGCTGCTCCCTGAAGCTTCGACAAATCTGCAAAGCAGGCCCCTTACGCCTACGCAGCCTGCTGTGAAAACCATGACCAGGTGGGAGAGGAATGGGCGGGTTGGAGAACTGATCAACATGTTACTGTCAGACCACAATGGGGTATACCCTGGCGGGGAAGCTCTATCACGAACCTTGCGGGTTCTATGGGACAAGGTGTTTCCTTCGGAACCATGCCCTACCTTCAAGGAATTTCATGCTGGTCTCCGCTGGCTTCTCGGAAGAAATGAGGTGGCAGAGCACTTTCATGCCTTCCGTGCGCGCAACGGCATCTTTGCAAAGGGTCTGGTCATCAGCCAGCCTGGCATCGATGCCTTTGCACCTGAGATGATGGAGCTTGTGGAAAAGATCAAGGATGTGCACCCCAAGCCATACATACCAGATCAAGTACTGTCTAGCGGAGGCTTTGGCCTCCATCCCGACGAAGACTATGTTCACAGCAGACGTCCTCTTCCCAGTGTCATTTCCATTCTAGACGCTCCCGTATACGCGGCGCAGGTTGCGGCAAAGAGAGGACCCGAGGACTCGGAAGAGGACAGCAGGGACAGGAAACGGCGACAGAAGAGAGCACCATCCGGCAGAGGACGAGGAAGAGGCGGCAGCTTTGGATGGATTTCTGAAGTGCATAGGGCTGCTCGGGGAGACGTATCTCAGGGCATGGGACCACTCATTGGCTCTCATACTGCATCGAAGCTACACTTTTTGGAGCCTAACATGTATCTGGAAGACGAACCTCCCGGGAACTTGCCAGAAGCAGCCCTCGGCAAAGATGTGCTCTTGTTGAAGGACATTGAGAAACTTCTACGACAACAAACCGTTTCCCTGGACGGAGAATCTCTACCATCATTTATAGTCCCCTCGGGCTTCATAACATGCTTCGGAGTTGGTACCTGGCCTAATCTCGACGTACGCTTCTTCGAGGAGTGTGGCGCAAGTCTTAGCCTACAGGGCTGGTTCCCCACCACCCAGTGGCTCGCCTGGGCAGGTATCAACGATGAGATTGACAAGAGGGCTGGATCCAAGGCATCCCAGGGCTTGTACAATACTGACCCAGGGGAGTTTGAGCACCAGCAAGCTTTTGTTGATAGGCTGAAGGCCTGCCTCGAGACAGAGCTTGCATGGGCCGAGGGCTTCGTCTGTGCGCCTCTCGGGGCAGCTGGTCCTCACAACATGTTTGTCCACTTTTCATACAACAATGTAGAGGATCAGAGGAAGCCGGGCGATCTCGCATGGCCTGATGATGGTCAGTTGTCCTTGGACAGTATCGGCAACCTCGTTGATTCGAGTGTTCATGACTCGTCTTCTAGCGACGATGAATTCGATATGAGCTCAGGACCACTCCTCAGGAGAGGCCGACGAGGTCGCGTGAAAGGATCACGGGGTAAGAAGAACGCCCGCCGTCAAGAACCACGGAAGCGGGTGGTCCTCATGCGGAGACGCCTCACTGCTCTTCCAGAAGGAGTGCGAGACCAAGCGTTGGACGCAGAGGAGTGGTCCATGATTCATGATGACCGTGGCGGCGGTGATTCTGTCGGCAACCCGGATGAAGTCCTGGCTGCCATCATTGCTGTCCGCGCCTTGCTCGGTGGTATCGACAGGTCGATCGACTGGGGACTCCTCGTGCGGCTATTTCCGGACGTAGAACTGGACAACCTCCGCAAATTCTGGGTCAGCACACACAAGACACAGACTGCGTATATCGCCAAGTACACGCGTGGATTCCATGAAAAATTTATCCTCGCCTGTGAAAATGAGGTGCTACCCATGATTGACTTCGATAACCCTCTCGACTACGACTGGGATTACTTGATCAAGTGGACCATGGAGATACCCGGCCAAGAAGACATCCACATCCCATCAACGAAGAAAAAACTCCGGGAGAAATACATCATTGAGGATGTCAAGTCCACAGAAGTTGACTGGAGAGAAAAGTTCTTTCACGTCCAATGCTCTACCTATGGCAGACTTGAGGTAGTCACGTCGGAACCGGGCACCGTCTCTATTGGCCGCGCCGGAGAACAGCACATCCTTGTTGACGATACCGAGGTGGCGCGATCGTGGATCAGATCTCTCTGCTACACCAGCGAAATTCAGTATAGGCCCTCAGACATCAAGAAGGAACTCCTGAAGTTTTGTCAAGGCGACTCCAAGCAAGCGGCAGCACTTCTCAAGACCGCCATCGACCAGCTAGCTGAGCAGAAGGTGATTCATAAGAGCAAGCCGTCTGCCCTTGGCGGTCGTCCGTATCGCCTTACAGAGTGGTACGTAAGTTCCCTTGCCAAGCTCTCCCACTGGGCCAAGTACGAGGAGGCTCGCGCCTTCAAAGCACAGCTCGACGCTGCCCACCGCCGTCGCGAGTCGCTGAAGGTTCCGTACGCCGTAACCGACGGTGCAATGATGGCTCTGGCCAATATGAGCGCCCACGGGCGAGTCAGACTGGCAGCTGTTGACGTTCCCTATATACCCTTTGGCTTCGAGCCAGGTAACTACGAGAGTCGCAAGTTCCCCAAGTCGTACTACCACTTTGGCCTCGAGGCCGTGCCCACCGACACGTACCTATGCAATGAGGACATTGATACGCTGCGCAGCGTGAAACAGGAGTCTGTGCCAACGCAGGGACCCAGCCGTGCACTTCCTCAGTGGGTGGACTTCTTCGGCCAATGCAGCGTGCCGCGGTGGTGCGAGGTACTCGGCGCCGTGTGTTTCGCCTACTCTACGCGGGGAGATATGACACTATCCACTCTGCGTAGTGCTCTGCAGCCCGTCGTGGAGGAGTTTGAACTACGGATGATACTAGAATGGGGTAGCAAGACAGGGGTTCTTGAGGAGGCGCCACACGGACGGGGGATGACGGTGGGCGAGTGGTGGTGGTTGGCTGTGCCATGGCAGAAGAAGAGAGATGTTGTCGCCGTTTGAGGATATGGAAACTGTACTAGTTGACTGAGATCAAGGGCGCGGATAGAAGGAGTGTAGAAATACATGTATGCATCGTAATACCCATGGGAGACTTGGAAAGTAGCAAACCCCAAACCCTAAGGCTGAATGGTACGTTGGATTGTACCCGGTAATAATCAAACAGTAGCATACAATCGATCTTTGCTTTACGCTCCCGGTGCTAGCCAATGCTCCGCGTGCTATCCTCTGTCCCAACTAACTCAGATGAATTTCCAGAATAAGAGGGAGGGAAACAGGCATGAATATGAAATAAACTCCCAAGAACAAAAGACGCCAGGTAGAATTGTACAGGAAAAGAAAGGGAAAAGAGATATATAACGCATAATGAGACTCGTCCTCAAGCGCCAAACATGACCTTGATGACTAGAGCTGCAAGCACAACCACGAGACCGACAATGAGCCGGTCAATCCATATGGGCACCCCGTTCTGCGGGTCACGCATCATCATGTTTACGGCGGGACGGCTCTGCGGCTGCCAATGCGCGGCGGGTATTGTGCGAGTCGGCTGGGGTACAGCCTGCGCCGGTCGAGGCGAGAGAGGAGGAGGGTGTTCCGCGATATTTGAGGGGGCGCTATGGTCAGTGCCGTTAGGCGGCGTCGGATGAGAAGAGGAGGCCGCGTTGGTATCGGATGTGTCACCACCAGCCTGGCTCTTGTTTTCGGGTGTGCCGCCCATCTGGTCCTTGAATCCCATGCTCAGCTCCTCGGGAATATCGACATCCTGGCCGTCAGTGTCGGCCTCCTTGGCCCGCTCTTCGCACTCCCTTATGATCTCGGCGTTCGTCTTGGCACATCCAGGACACCTGAACGAATGTGACTCGGTAGCTAGGCGTCGACGGACTTCCTCGGTCGTATCGTACCCGCCGAGTTGGCCATGGGCGTCAGTTTCCATGAAACTTCGGAGTCTGGATCATGCCGTTAGTACACAAAGAGAAGGAGAAATGGAGCCAAATGGTCAATATTATAGTAAAGGAGGATATATTTTAAAACGTACGCGACGATAGCGGTGCGAATTCCCCATGCTGGCTGCCACGTCTCCTCGTGATGGCCACTAATGCTCAGACAGATCTCGCGGTTGGCCTCGAAGCGGCCGTTGGGGGTCATGAAGCGGAAGCTTGGCGGCCGAAGCGGGTATGTCGAAGGTAGTATTATACGTCCATGGTACAGGCCGTCGCTGTAGGCCGAGTGGGGGGGACCGCGCAGGGTGAAGTGCCATTCGAATAGGTCTGTCTCGAGAGGCTCGGCTGTGTAGTCTGGCGACGGAGTCGAGGTGAGCTCAGCGGCTTCGCGCACTGCAGATTCGTTATTATCAGTCTAGTCTCTCTCTTTAGAAAATAATTCAAGGTATGCGTGAGCTAACATATGCGCTTTATCGTTGGCGACTTTGTGCGTGACTGGGGTGTGGATGCCATGGTTAACAGAGGAGCTTCTCTTGGACTCGAGCAGCTTTAGATGTAGGAAGGGCAATGATGGCGTGGCATTGAGTCTCCGAAAGAGTAATAGACACAGCAGGGTTTGGTCCAAGCGCTCCCAAGTAAATAATAGAAGAGAGGAAGCCCTTGTCGTGTGGAGTTATCGGGGCGACGTTTGGCGGCAGCTTGGACGGTTCAATCAATGGTGTTTGAGTATCCGAAGTTGGTCAAACGTGGCCTGCCCCTCCAAGCAGGTGCAAGTGCTTGGTTTTGGTGTATTATGGCATCACTATACGTACCTAGTGGAGGGAGCCACGGCCCACCAATGGGCTCCTTCCCCCACACCGTCTCTCTCCATATTATATAATCGATCATCCTGGCCATTCATAGCGCCCCATTTGCCATTACTAACAATTTACCCCGGGTAAAGTCGCCCCAGCTTCAATCCACATCGTCTGTCCCGAACCCCAGGAATTGAATAGAAAACAACGACCAGGACAAACTTCCTTGGGCATGTACGTTGTGAACCCGGCTCAGGAACCCTCCATCAAAGAACATATACTCCCTACGGACACTGATAGCTGACTTCCCCAGTCCAATTCTTACCGTTCACAGAACGAAAGCCTCCCTCTTCCTCTACGAGCGCGCGACCCGGCAACTCCACAAATCATGGGTCCCCCCAAGCCTCCGCATCCCCATGTTCCAGGCATCTACAGGTACACTGCCACTGCTCTCGGAGCAGGCATGTGGTTCTGGGTGAGTCGATACTTGTTGCGAGCTCGTAGCTGTTGAAAACGACCTTTGCTAACACGAATGAACAACGCGCAGTTGATGTATCGGGCCAAGAAGGACGGTAAGTAACACCCTTGTGAGAACGCATGATAGCTCCTGAGCACCAGCTAACTCTTCCTGTGCCTCAGGTCCCGTGTTGATGGGCTGGAAGCACCCTTGGGACCACTAGTGGCTTTAGATTCGAAGTCGCGATTAGAGGAGGAGGGACTGGTGTACAGATATATCTGCTTTTCGTTGACCGCAATTCAACAAGCTTATCCTGTTTCCTCTCGCTCTGTTTGGCGTAACGCCTTCTCCCTGGAGAAAACCCACACACCGTTGGCACACGAATGTCCCCGACCATATGTTCAATCGACTCAATCATGGATAAATCACCACTTCATAGCTCTTAACCAAGAATCAGCGGTTTATTTTGCTATGTTACACAGGGCCATATCTAGTGTCTTCCTCAACTGCATGTCCAGGCGGGTACCGTCCGTTCATATAGAGCACCATGCCCTACATACGCATGCTCTCATCAATCATCTTGTACTTCTTGCGTTCCTTCGTCTTGCCGGTAATCCTCACCTTTGCATGTCCCAGAAACTTGGCCAAGTGCAGCGACACGTATCTTTCGTACACCCAACCTAGGACGAGGTATGCTAGACCCAGTCCGACAAGGATGAGTTTGAAGCTTGTGCTCGTCTTGCTCAACTGCATCACGTTCTTCACCCAGTGAGCAGGAGCCGCAACCATGTAAACCGTTACTGTAAACGCCACTGCCACTGTCATGGTGAATGGCCCTGTTTATGTTAGCTTTTTTCTATGTATGATAACAAAAGACAGGTATGTTCTTACAGTTCTCGGCAGTCCGCTCTCTGAACGGAGCACCCGCATTGAGGATAACAGCGGACATTATGTACTCAAAGCACGAGGTGAGGAACAACACAGTGTTCTCTGTGTTCTTAATGTTCTCTTCGAGGGACGGATCTGGCCCCTTATACCACGGCTGCTTCTTAGCAATTGCATACGGAACAGCCTGGGTGACAGCACAGAGAACCATGAGACCCAACAGCGGTGTTAGAACTTTGCGTGAGACTAGGTCTGCCGTGGGCCTCTTCTTGTGCAACTTTAGTGCCGGGCCGGACCATCCCATGAAGATGGCCAAGGGCAAGATAAGGGCCAGGTCGATGAAGAGGAACTGGAAGTCGCCGAGGTTGGACGCCTTGGCGTACAGGAAGCTAACGGACGTAAACTGGATGGTCGAGTACAGGCTCATGTACTTGAAGCAACTAAAACTCGTCACCAGTGAGGCACGCCCTTCCCTGATAACCTCGAGCACGCATCGGATGTCGAAGACTCGCGACGTAAAGGGCGCTGCAACTGATGCCTCAGCCTCGGAAAGCGAGATACCCACGTCGGCGGCCTTGAGGGCGCCGCAGTCGTTGGCTCCGTCTCCGCAGAAACCGCAGGTGAAGTCAATGCTCTGCAGCTTTTCAACAAGCTCATGCTTCTCATCGGGAGACATACGAGCAAACACCTTTCCGCGTAGGAGCATCTATAGAGTCACGTCAGTGCAAGCTCCCTAAAAGGATCTCGTGGGGTAACGTACTCTGTGTAGTATCTCCGGCGGCGCATAGTCTACTATCCACCTGAAAGCATCTCCGCTAACGGCCAAGGAATAATTTCGGAGATTAGTAATGTCGTAGGGAAGCGAGGCATCGCATTGTGGGGGCACTGGCAGCGGCTGTGGCTTGTTAGTACACATAAGTAGCAAATATGGATAGGCATATGAGAAACGTACCATAAGCGTGTTACTATCCAAGGTGAAACGGTTGTCGTCAACGCTTTCCCATTTCAACTCAGCCTTCGGATCACGCAAGTCACCTTGGACGAAATGGGGAACGAAGCAGTGGGCAGTCCGATCCATTAACCCACTCTCGCGACCGACGCTGATGGCGGTGAGAATATTGTCTCCCGTCACCATTATGGAACCAATGTTTGATTCAGTAAGCTCCTTCAGAACACCAGCTGTGGTTGGCTTCAGCTTGTTCTCGAAGATGATGAAGCCGACAAAGTTGAGGTCGCTCTCAACCTCAGTTCGAGTCATCTTTTGTGCCTTGACCCAACTCAGCTTCTTGAGGTGTCTCGTAGCACAGCCAATGACTCGGTAGCCCTTGTGAGTGTAGTAAGAGAGGCGCTGTTCATAATCGCTCGGGACTTAGTTCCTTGTTAGATGTGCTATTCGCAAGATTAGTAGTAGGATAATGCTTACAACTTTCTGGACGGCAAATCTTATGCATCGCCTCGGGGGCACCTTTGACATAGATATCACCGCTCTTCCCTCCGAACCGGCGGATAATGACACTGGCACGTCTGAGATGGGATACAAACTCAAATGACTTCAAGACACCCAGTTCGAAAGAAGCCTTTTAAAAGAGCTGTTAGCTTTGGAACCCCAAATGTGCATATTTTTGGGGCGAGAGTGACTTACATCTGGCGGACGGGCTACCGAGGGCGCAAGTCCTCCTTGTTCTTCGTCTTCCGCGTCTCCCGATATCTGCTTGCCTTCTTCGAAAGTCCATCCGGTAAACTCGAACATTTTCTGGTCTAGAGGATCGCCCACAAGTTCCCCGTCGACGGACCGAAGAGAGTGGCAAGTAGCCATTGTGTGTAATACAGCGGTCAATGCATTGTCAGGTCCAATGTTTGATTGCTCTTGAGCCAAAGCTTGGCTTTCGGAGATCACCTCACTGAAGCCATCAGTTCCCCGGACGACGCGGACTCCAAGAACATCAAGACCGTCCTCAGTCAAAGTACCAGTCTTGTCAAAGCACATAACATCGAGTTTACCGCCAACGTTGACCCTTTGGGGGCTAATGCAGAAAATCTGCTTGCCCTTAAGACGGCTGAGTGCAAAGTTGGTGCCGATCGTAAGGGTAGCTGGCAAAGCCGGGGGTACGACAATGGTGATCAGGTCGAGAGCGCGAATGACAATGGTGTGCCATGGGACTCCGAGGTTGACAAAGTTGACGAATGAAGCGATGAAACCGATGATGGCGATGATACCCATGACACTGATGTATCTGAAAGAGTCTCGATAAAACTTGAAGCCGGATGGTTTGGGAAAGAGCATGGAGCGGACCAAGGCGCCCTTTGTCGTATTAAATCCGGTCCTCACAACGAGAGCCAGTGCCACGGCGTCGCCCCCCTGATCTTCCTGTGGTCGACGCGTACGGATAATTTTCGTCCCACAGAAGAGGAAGTGGCGTGCCGTCTCTGGTGAGACTGACGAAGCCTGGAGATTCATGTTCCTGAGGACTTCGTCGTTGGCTGGGACCTTGGACACTGGGACAGACTCCCCTGTCAACATGCTCTCGTTAACAATACTGTCGCCACTGAGCAAAAGACTGTCGGCAGGGAACTGTGTAAGGTTCGGGTCGCTGACTTCATATATATCGCCGGGGACAAGGTCACTAGATGAATGGTATCCCCAGAATCCGTTCTGCAGAACACGGACGTCGCATTCAAATCGGGATATCTCGCGCAGGCGCCGCATGGTTGCCTTTGTTTCGATCAAGGTGGTTGCAATGGTGCCCACAGAGATGACAAATATGCAGGCCGCATAGTAGTAGTATGAGTCCAGAGACCAGAGAGTAAGACTGGCGACCTGGAATATGTAAAACGGATGAAAAACTTCATCTACCAGGAGTTGACTGGTTGATTTTTGCTCGATATCGATGAGGTTCCTCCCGAAGAGAATTCCGCGTATACTCTTTTCGTCGTTATCTAACCCAGTTCTTGCAACCTGGACATCGGTCCACTCTGGGTCCTTCCAGCCACTAGACAGAACAAACTTGTCCTTGAGCTGGTGGTAGCAAAGTCGGACGTAGCGATAGTCCACCGTTCGGAGGTCGTCCACGAGAGGATCAGCCTCGTCGTCAAAGTCATTCCCGAGCATCTTTTCGTTCAGTCCGAAAATAGATGACAGCGGGCGGCCATACGATTGCGTTCGGACCTTGATGATGGCCATTTCAGCCCATTCGTTCTCAATGACGACCCAGTCGCAGTCGCGTAGTGGACAATTCTGGCCGACAAGAGCAATGTACCATCTTGGGAACCAACGCAGAAGCAGGTACCCCAGACCGCCAGTACATATACAAATGCAAATGTAAGCCAAAAACCTCAGAAAGCTGGTGCGAAATCCAGCAATAACAATAGTGAGGTCCTCGTTCTTCATATGAATTTTCTGGTTGGTGCGCATCGGGAAACGGGAGCTCTGCTCTGTGACTGTGCTATCCCGCCTGAGGAGGTGATCATGGACTGATCTGCGTGAAAGGGTTGACGAAGTTCTTCGAAGAAAATAGTCTTCCGAGGCGTCGTAGTCTTGTTCCGGGTAATCGTGTTCGTAGTCTACGATCCCAAATTCAAAATCGCTGACATCGTCGGTACTGCGCTGTCGCCTGTAACTGCTGCCATCGTTAAAAATGGAGCCTGCGCCGGATTTCCGGTCTGAGTCTTGTTCTTCTTCGTCTCCCTGGTCCTCGCTATAGTACACAAAACTAACAGTCGAATCGGCTCGGGGTCGACGGTGAGAAAAGGCAGAGACACTTGTGGGGAGACTCTCGGCGACAGGGCCGGCGTACAGCTGCAGGTAGCCGGTCAGCGCCAGACAAAATAATATTAAGCGTTAGCCGAGGACACGTACCTCGTCATGTGCCATCTCGACATCTTCAAAGACACTCGATGTGCTTTGGTTAGAATTGAGGCGGTAAAGCCCATTCAAGTGCCCGTTAGCAGCTCCATTTCCACCGCCTTGCGATCTTCCAGGGCGTCGTCGTCCCTGGTGGGACGAGTCATCGCCAACATCCATCGGACAGAGATTGTCACCGATGTTCTTCCAGACGTGACATTAGATGACCTAGAAGGTAGTCAAAGTATAGAGTGTCGTATAGGTTCGATATGAGAGGAGAGGAGATGCGGCAGGGGTAAATGGGGGCGTTATCTGCCGTCGCAGTCAGTGTCACAAATGTTTCCAGGTCTTCGAAGCATCGACGACAGTGGTGTTGATGTCATGTAATGGAGGGTTTTTTCTTACCCTGCAGCGCGGTGGAAAGACACGGCGCGACCCCTCCTCATTCGTACGGGGAAGAGCAAAGCCCACCGACTGAGGTATAACGAGCCAAGGAGTAATAATAATACATGCTCCACTGATACCAGGCCACCAGTGTCGTAAATCAACAAGCTCTACACTAAATAAAACGGCAATAGTAATTTTTGCTACAACTCTCCCTTGCGGGCGCTTCGGTGCTAGTTGTTACTTCCATGTTGGATAATGGGGTTGTGTACAGCAACACCACGTCGTTCCGTCGTGAATAACAAGTACCGGGGTGCCACATAGATGGGAACGCCACAGCCATCTTCTGGACGTTTTCTATACTCATAAATTCACTCGTAGACTGTGGAGGGAGAAACCAGGCGGAGCAAATGCCCCCTCCCTCTATTCGTCTCCATGCAGAAAGTATCGCGGGGGGGGCGAGGAGATAGGTAGGGTCAACGAATATCGAAGACACGCACCCACACCCACAGAGTTCCACCGGGAGGGCAAACAAGCCGCCACCACCATCACCTGCGGGTTTCTGCCGTGAAGCCACCCACAAAAGGTGTAAAGACAAGTTGCTCGCAAATTATGCCCTGACCGCTATTACTACCTAATAGTACAGATTGCTAGACAGGCTGAGGGGCCTGCTGCAACTCCATGTGCGTGTATGTATGAACGAGTATATATACGTGTAATGCAGGCATTATAAGTGCTTTGTTGGGCAAGGAGGCACCACCAAACGCCCTAATACTGGTTATGATAACACAAGTAACAGGAATTTCCAGGTGCGACGTAATGATATCAGTGTAAGATTGATCCCGTGGAAGGAAAGAACGACCTTAGGACAGTGTTAACGTTGAAACTCCGTGCGTGCACTTTCTAAATTCGATCCTCTTTTTACTAAGTCAGTGCTTGTGCGTAGTAGTATGAAATATTTGCACCTGGTCTAGATCGCTCAACAAGCTTGGATGTGCGCATAGTCAGTGCCAGTGCCTTTCTGTAGGTGGCCCGCTGCCAGTACGCCCGAGCACAGCCTGTCAGTATTGCACACTACGGTCGAGTAACTAACTCAAGCCAGAGCTGGCCTGGCCCAGCAGGTGGCCTGGCTGGCTGCGTGCAGCGGCGGTCGGACGCCAGCCCAAATTTTTTTTCGACCGGGTGTTCGCCGCCCCCCCACCAAAAATTCCCAATGCCATAGACCGCCGCCTCTCCAACTTCTCTCCTTCATCCCCCCAAAACCTTCCCAAATCATCACTCGTTTCGATACCGCGCGCTCTCTATCAATCCATCAACATGGCTGAGCCCATCCGAGGAAAGCGTCCAGAGACGACGGCGCCGTAAGTTCCATCTCTGCTCGACGCGTCGATGAACCTGCCCCAACATATACTACACAACCCCCCCGACCGATGGATAATACATGGATACATACTGATTACCCCACCTCATAGTACACCCCAAAACACACCCGCCAACAACGCGCCCATCTCTTCTCACGCCCAGCAGCCGGGTGTCTCCAGCATCAAGGAGGGTATGTCAACCGTCTTTCCGTCTTTCCATCTATCCCGGCCAACCCACTCATCTCTCCCATTTATCATACTCTGTCTTTTCCGCCGAGCTATGTTTTGTTGACCCCCGCCACCGCAGAGGACATGGACCGTGCCGCTGCCGCTTCCATCTTTGCCCAGAACCCCCATCTCGTGTCGATGATTCAGGGTCGTCTCGGCTCTCTTGTCGGGCGCTCCTCTGGCTACGTTGAGTCGCTCCCTGCCCCGGTCCGCCGCCGAGTCTCTGGTCTCAAGGGTCTCCAGAAGGAGCACTCCAAGCTCGAGGCCGAGTTCCAGCAGGAAGTTCTCGAGCTCGAGAAGAAGTACTTTGCCAAGTTCACCCCGCTCTATGAGCGCCGTTCCGAAATTGTCAACGGATTCGTCGAGCCCACCGAGGAGGAGGTCAAGGCTGCTGAGGAGGACGAGGACAACGAGAACGAGCAAAAAGAGGATGAATCCGCCTCCAAGACTGAGGAGAAGAAGAGCGACATCCCCGAGGATGTTGCGGGCATTCCCGAGTTCTGGCTGTCGGCCATGAAGAACCAGGTCTCGTTCGCTGAGATCATCACGGATCGCGATGAGGCTGCCCTCAAGCACCTCACCAACGTCCGCATGGAGTACCTCGACGTCCCTGGTTTCCGCATCATCTTTGAGTTCGCTCCCAATGAGTTCTTCTCCAACAAGACCCTCACCAAGACCTACTACTACCAAAGCGAGATGGGATACGGCGGTGACTTCATCTACGACCACGCCGAGGGTGACAAGATCGACTGGCTTCAGGGCAAGGACCTGACGGTCCGCGTTGAGGCCAAAAAGCAGAGAAACAAGAGTGAGTACAACATATCTGGAGCAACTATTATTTGAAAAAAAAAGAAGAAATTATTGGATATGTGGCAATACTAACATTTCTCCGATTACTAGCTACCAAGCAGACTCGCATTGTCAAGAAGTCAGTTCCCACTGAGTCCTTCTTCAACTTCTTCTCCCCGCCCCAGCCCCCCAAGGACGAGGATGAGGAGGATAACGAGGATGTCGAGATCGCCTCGGACATCGAGGATCGCCTGGAGCTCGACTACCAGCTTGGTGAAGACATCAAAGAGAAGCTCATTCCCCGCGCCATCGACTGGTTTACTGGAGAGGCCCTGGCCTTTGAGGAGCTTGATGACGATGAGCTCGAGTCTGGCGAGTTCGAGGACGAGGACGAGGAGGATGATGACCTGAGCGAGGACCACGACGAGGAGGAGGAGACCGACGAGGAGGTAAGTGCTGTAAGGGGAATGAAAAGCGCCTCACAATTACAACTCGAATGCTGACCAATATTGCATAGGACGGTTCTGGCAAGCCTAGGCAAGAGGCTGCTGAGTGCAAGCAGAGCTGAATGGGCGGTGACATGATTCGTAATGGGAAATGGCTCGCCGACGCCACCTGATGGGACGGCAACAGCTCAACCCCGAGCGCTTCCATGCTCATAAGTCTACGAGGAAGTTGTCGTGGGGAGATCTGCTTTTGTAAAAGAAGAGAAGAAAAAAAAAACAAAGTTCAGTCCTCGCAGTACGACAACCGGGGTTGGCTGGGGTGCAACGAGTCTGTAATAGCAAATGGAGACGATTTATGGCAGAGCTTCAGTTCGAGGTGCTACTAGACGGCAACGTGAGTGCAAGTCACTCCAGAGTTTTATTTCTTTATTTTATGTTAACAGTTGGGTACTAGTTAGGTACTGCAATCGGATTTATTGGGCACTGAGAACTCAAAATAGGAAGTTATAACAGAGTGAATGGTGAGGTGAAGCCTGTTACATGTGATTTACATGAAATATTATCATAGGTACCATTACTACTGCTGGTCACATGAAACGCTTGCGCAGGCTCTGAGCCTAAACCAGACTTGGATCAGTAAATTACTCCGTAATAAAACGCAATGCTACATGACGCCTACGCTGGCCTGTAGATACTATCCAATATGAGCTGTATACAACGCACGGGCAACACTGCTACAAGGAATTCTCGGAGACTACGTAGGAAGCTGCATGACCTGGCTGGCAGATAAACCAAGCTCCGGATGCGACGGTGCATTGACTGTTCTGCCAGCCACAACCTCGTACAGAAGAGAACATAAAAGTCGGAAGGCGGAGTAGAAAAAATCCGAGGTCAACGAGATGCCCTTTACGTAATGTCCATGGGTGCGGGATGGGATGGCATGCATAGCGCTACAGAGGGCTTGCGGTACTGCCTAAAGAAGACATATAATGGTGCGAATATGGTACGTAGAGGGGATGGGGTGCCATAAAAGGTGCGGGCAAAAGGTGGGGATTGTGTCATCGGGGTGTCACTTTCGCACAACGCACAATGGAGGGGTAAAATAATACACTCTTTTGTTTTCTCTTTCTTTTTCGTGGTTTGAACTGCCACGAGTTGTACATTCTCCTGGTAGAAATACACAGATATATTGTAGGGAGCAAGAAGAGACGAACATGAAATCATGAAATCATAGCAGAAGTATTAACACCGCTGTAATGTGGTTAGCGGTACAAGCAGTGAATGTCCATGGATCCGACACCCGCAAGCCTGTCAATGACGCGGGGCAAATAGGCACCCGGTAGCCATTATTTGCGGCGTTAGTCCCTCAGACCACTTCGGGTGTGCGAACTTGGTGGAAAAAAGTTTTCTTCTTCCCATGAAGTAACCCGGATGACTCCTATGACTCAGTGCCTTGATGTATAGAGTATGGGTCTCGGAGGAGAGACTTATTTACACACCCAGCACCCATCTGGTCACATGGTGCCGGCTGCAAGAGATGAATGAGCCCGCGTCGAGGAGCCTGTTTACGCAAACCAATGCTCCGGAGTGTGTCCGTACGTTGGCATCAGCCACACCATGTCGTGTCTTTGTTCGCTCCATAAACTCATACATTAGTACTACACAAACAAGAATAGTTGCTGTAGTAAGTTGAGTACGCCGAATCACGCAAGCATAAGTAGTATTTTGTCCCCATCACGATCAACAGAGCTAGACAATCAATTCCATCTTCCACTTAACAAAATATCACCAACAGCTTGTGCCGAAGAGTAGACCGAGACCGACGGCGAAAAAAGAAAAGGAGAGCCCTTATTTTCGTCTACTAGTAGTATTATTGTTGCATACATTTTTTTGTCCAAAGCATACACACATTTGGTGGGGCACTGCGCGCCGTCCAACTAAACAACTTTCCGGCTACGGACTGACACCAAGTGGTTCGTTCTTTCCTTTCCCCAAACTCAGCCCATTCTCGAAATCCCGCGTCTCTCAAGAAAAGAAGAAGCCGACCGCCCGACCGCCCATTCATCATGTCATCAGCCCAGGACATTAAGCGGACCCCCGCCAGCGTGGAGCGGACAGTCTCCAACAGCTGGAACCAGCACCTCTCTGCCTCGCCGTCCGCTCAGTTCCAGATCCCCCAGGCCTCCCAGGGCTCGAGCTGGGGCGGGGCACTGGCCCAGAGGACTGTCGAGAAGCAGCTCAAGCCCTTCAACACCCAGGATGTCAAAATCCTCCTGCTGGAGAATGTTAACACAGCTGGTCAGGATATTCTAAGGGGCCAGGGCTACCAGGTCGAGGCCCTCAAGACGTCGCTGTCCGAGGATCAGCTCATTGAGAAGATTCGGTAAGCAAATTGCATTAGTCTTGAATTCCCACCACAGGCGGCCTATCTTACTTACAATATCTTCTTTCATACAGCGATGTCCAGGTCATTGGAATTCGTTCCAAGACCAGGCTGACGGAAAAGGTCCTCCGCGAGGCCAAGAACCTGCTCGTCATCGGCTGCTTCTGCATCGGTACTAACCAGGTCGATCTCGACTACGCCGCCAAGAACGGTATCGCCGTCTTCAACTCTCCCTTTGCCAACTCGCGTAGTGTCGCCGAGCTGGTGATTGCCGAGATCATCACCCTGGCTCGCCAGCTGGGTGACCGCTCCAACGAGATGCACCGCGGTACGTGGAACAAGGTCAGCTCCAGGTGCTGGGAAATTCGTGGCAAGACTCTGGGAATCGTCGGTTACGGCCACATTGGCTCCCAGCTGTCTGTTCTGGCCGAAGCCATGGGCATGAACGTCATATACTACGACGTCGTCACCCTCATGGCCATGGGTACCTCGCGCCAGGTCCCCACGCTCGAGGCTCTGCTCGACGAGGCTGACTTCGTCACTCTCCACGTGCCCGACCTGCCCGAGACTCGCAACATGATCTCGACGGCTCAGTTCGACAAGATGAAGACGGGCTCCTACCTCATCAACGCCAGCCGTGGCAGCGTTGTTGACATTACCGCGCTCATAAAGGCTATGAACGCTGGCAAGGTTGCCGGTGCCGCCCTCGACGTCTACCCCAACGAGCCCGCTGCCAATGGTGACTACTTCAACGCCTCCCTCAACACCTGGGGCGACGACCTCCGCAGCCTCAACAACATCATTCTCACCCCCCACATTGGTGGAAGCACCGAGGAGGCCCAGCGTGCCATCGGTATCGAAGTCGGCGAGGCTCTCGTCCGCTACATAAACCAGGGTATCACCGTCGGCAGTGTCAACCTGCCCGAGATCCAGCTACGTTCGCTCACCCTCGAGGAGGAAAATAGTGCTCGTGTATGTATATCCCCAACCCTTATTCTACGTATGGCATTCTGATACTTTCGCTCTACAGGTTATTTACATTCACAAGAACGTTCCTGGTGTTCTGCGCAAGGGTAAGTCCCTATCCCATTATCCGTCGGATATTTCTCGATAAAGGCTGACAAAACTATATAGTCAACGAGATTCTTGGAGACCACAACGTCGACAAGCAGAGCAGTGACAGTCGTGGTGACGTAAGTATTTTTTTCTCGTTCCCGCTGAGAAACGATATCTAACTATCGTATCCGTTGCAGGTCGCCTACCTTATGGCCGATATCAGCAAGGTCCAGGTCGAGGAGATCAAGGATCTCTTTGCCAGCCTCGAGGCTCTCAGCTGTAAGTTTTCTGTTCTTAGAGATGCCTGTTGATTACGAGACATGTCATGCTAACCCGTTCATCCTCAGCCCGCATCATGACCCGCGTGCTGTACTAGGCTGTACATCTCGGAGGACCATATGCCATGAGCAGCAGGTATTATTAAGATGTAGTTGATGTTAATGAGTGGGATTGCGTGTCTATAGCCGTGATTCAACGTCTTGGCTACGATCCCGTTTGGAATGAGGATTTCTGTTATTTTGCTTTACTCTTTTTGCCGAGGCAAGATTGGCGTTGTGTTGCAACCTCAACATGTCGAACTCCCTCAGGAAAGAAGCCTGAGACGAATGGTGATCTCTTTCATGGGCGTTTCAACGGGGTTATACAAAAATGATCAAACGAAAAGAAAAGTTTGGTCTTATGCGAAGACTTTTTTTTAAGTATGCAGTCAAATTTCGATAGATCTATATACAGCTACGAGTACGTGTTTAGACGTGACGTCTTGGCATATGCCTATGATATTCTAGTCTATAGGATATTCAATGCAGTTCATCATAGGTAGAAAAGAAAGGTCTATGGGGATCCTTGGCGATTCATGTGCATTTTGCGCGTTGTTTGTCGGTTGATGAAGACAAACGTGTCCACTAATATTTTATGCTAGACCATCTAGTGTTCTCTCAGCTAGTTAGTAGTAATATAAATTACGATATATGCTCCTAGTTGTGGTGTAGTGTGTTATCATACTAGTTAGTAGTACTAGTATTACCGCTACCCGTACGAGTATAAGTAGAGTTGCATATCGAAGAAAACGGTGAGAAGGGAGAACAGAGCTGTCGCAAAACACTACATGGCGGTTGTTGAACAAGTCAAGAGCTAGTGTTTGTACCAGATAGTCCCAATCTCATGTTCGCCCAATCATTATTCTATTTGCATAAAAGAAGGGGTGGACGACAAACGACCCTGGTCCCAACTGGTCCTAACAAACCAGACTATAGTAATATTGTATCGTAACAGTATTGTAAAAGTACGACGCACAGTTACTATATAGTTTATACTAGTAGTGGTGTGATTCTATATAGTAATAAATCATAATTTAAGTATTATGGATAAAATGTTATAAATTGTTATAAATGTATTATGACCCGTTATGACGTTAGGGTCAACTCTAAGCTATAGGGTAGATAGAGTTGATGTCGTTTTATATTGGCGAGACAGTTAGGATGTCGTACTAAGCAATAGGCAGTTATAGTCATAGGTGCTACTACTAAGGAACTAGAGTTTTAGAAGAAGCGTTAACTATATTATTAATAGCTAGGTAAAGAGTGACTAGGCTATAGAAATAAGGTTAACTATATACTAGGTGATCGCCGAGGTCCTTAAGGCGATTATAATGATCGTCTCTATAGTCGCTACGATCCTAGGAACGATCGCAATAATCGTTATTTAGAAATAAGCGATCGTAGTGTTATATATAAGTAGGCATAGTGATAATAAGTAAGGGAAAAAAATATAGGGTACACGTAAAGGTCGCATAACGGGCCGTAATATAATGCCCCTCTTCTAAGGATCTTATCTTAAGATTATATATAAACGTTCTTATCCCACCTATTAGTTATTTTATAAGTTTCTTCCTTTATCCTTCCTATTACTATATCTAGTCGTATTGCTAAACGTTCTTAAAAATCGTCTATAGACGCTAAAAATCGAAAGGTTCGTCTTCTCGAGACAATACTTAGAAATTCTATCGAAATGCCTTTATATTCCTTCTATTAAGATCGTAGTCTATCCTCCTATTAGGTTTCTTAGTTTAACTCTTCCTAATGCGCTAAGTGTGTGCGTTTCAATAAGGCGTCCTATAACGTATCTAGTCTATCTCTCTCGTAACTATAGAAGCTTATAAAAAACTACTCTAAACTCGAGTTAGACCTTAAAGAGGCTAAGGAGGAGCGTCGTCGTATAGAGGAGGAGATAATTAAGGCTCGTCGGTAAATAAACGCGAAAGTTAAGCGTCTTTAAAAATAAAAGAAGTTATAGTTTAAGAAGATAATATAGGTAGTTTCTTATAGTATTAATTTAATAGAAGAGTTAGAACGTATAGAAAAGGAGGAGGAGGAGCGTGAAGTATAGCGTATTACTAAAGAGCGTCCTCTATCGAGCGGGGGTTTATTTTTAGATATTAAGATTAATCCGCTCTTACTACCTAATAATATAGCGTTAACTCTATTATTTTTTACTAGTATAGGTATTACTAGGGAGTTATCTTCGTCTACTAGGGTTTCGAATAGTTCTAGTAAAACTATTATATAAGGCGAAGGCAGTTCTTAAGGTATTTTATAGGTTCTTATATATTTTTAGCGTCGTTATATCCTTTCTATTTAACTAAATATTATATTTCTCCTTATAGTTCTCGTTTATTAATAATTCATTTAGGTTCGTATTCTTCTTTATATACCTTAATATATAACTATTATTTTGCGTTTCGTAGTATAGGTTCTAATAGTAAAATATAAAAAATAGGGTATATCCTTATTATATAGGGTAGTAATAGTTTATAGTTAGTGTCTAAAAGTACTTCTTTAATCTTAAAAGGTCTAATTTTTTTAAAGTCGAGTTTTATACTTAGTTAAGTTATTTAAAAATTTCGTTAGAGTAGGTAGACTATATCTCCTCTCTTAAAGATTAGTCCCTTTAATCTTTTCTAGTTATAGTATTTTACTATTCTTTAGCGAATAAAGGAAAGTTCTTTCTATATCTAAGAGTATATATTACGGCCCGTTATGCGACCTTCACGTGTACCCCACATTTTTTCCTTACTTATCATTACTATGCCCACTTATACACAACACTACAATCGCCTATTTCTAAATAACGATTATTACGATCGTTCTTAAGATTATAGCGACTATAAAAGCAATTATTATAATCGCCTTAAGGACCTTAGCGATTACCTAGTATATAGTTAACCTCGTTTCTATAGTCTAGTCACTCCTTACCTAGCTATTAATAATATAGTTAACGCTTCTTCTAAAACTCTAGTTCCTTTTAGTAGTAGTACCTACGACTATAACTGCCTTATTGCTTAGTACGATATCCTAACTATCTCGCTAATATAAAACGACATCACCTCTATCTACCCTGTAGCTTAGAGTTAACCCCAACGTCACACACTATAAGATCTAATACCGTGTGACGGTTGGTACGACTCTAGGCTATAGGGTAGTCAGAGAAGTGTCGGTTTTATATTGGCGAGGCCGTTAGGGCGTCTAACTGAGCAATAAGGCAGTTATAGTCGTAGGTGCTTGTTCTTAGGGAACTAGTTCTAATAGAAGCGTTGACTATTGTATTGATAGCTAGGTAAAGAGTGACTAGGCTATAGGAATGAGGTTGGCTATATACTAGGCGATCGCTAGGAATTGTAAGGCGATTATAGTGATCGTTCCTATAGTCGCTACGATCCTAGGAACGATCGCAATAATCGTTGCTTAGAACCGAGCGATTGTGTGTAAGTGGGCGCAATGGTGATAAGTAAGGAAAAAATGTAGGGTGCACGTGAAGGTCGCATAACGGGCCGTAACATACCGTCCTTATTGAATCTAATAACTAAGGACATCTCCACTTTCTTAGGTCACCCCTAAAGACTAAGAAAAAGTATGACACTAACTATAGATGTGTTCTAAAAGGGGAGTGCTCTAAAAGTGGGTGTGCTGACTTATATAAGTAGTCACTGGCCGATTCCATCAAGAAAGAGGGCAACGATCAATACACGTATAGTGGTCACTAGTGCCTTCATTACTATAACGCTTCTACCTCGCCTCTATAGCAAACCTTGTCACTCGTTTTACTATCCCCTACCCCAAGTAGACTCGTTGTCTGACATTTTGTGCAGCATCCCGGTAATCTGCTCGCATCTTCATTTCTGCACTCAAACGTATTACATGATCCCTACCTCTTCCATCGCACGCCCGCTTACACAGCCATCCCCATCTTATTAGTACACCAAGCGGGCATCTCCCAGCCCTTCTCCTTGCGGATCCTAGTCCTAGTATCGAAAAGTTCCCTTTCGTTATTTTTCTTGGAGTCTATAAAGATCTTTGTCCATTTCTTCATAACCATAGCGGGCCGCTGTAGCACCATTTCCAGCTGCTCGTCGGTGGTGGCCACCTTTTCAAAGGCATGCCGTAGGAGACAGCGGCCGGCGCGGATATAGGCGTCTGCGAAAGCAATGTAGACGTCCCAGCCGAAACGCGTGTCTAGGAGCGGGGTTGGGTAGTAGGCGTCGTTGGCGCAGATGCCGAGGGCAAGCTCGCGGATATCCCTACTTAGAGTGTCGTCCCATATACGCACGCGATTACACTTGTCAAAGTCGACCAGCCATAGCTGCGTGCCTTCCGGAAGGCCAGCGCACGACCCGTTATCATGGTCCCCCTGGCGACCGGCGATAACGAACTCAACGTCGGTCATATCAACCTGGACCTGGAAGTGGCCGACAGCGAGGCCTAACGCTATCTACCTCGCCACCGAGCAGCAGCCCACCCCTAGGAGCTGTAGGTCATCGAGGTACGCGGGAAAGTTGCGTAGTGACTCCCTCTGCTCGTTATTTAGCCTCGTCCGGCCGGCTGCCTTCTAGTTGACCCAGCGTTCCTGGAGATAGGGTCGGATCATGCAGTCCTTATTTTCGTCGTCCTTGAGGGCGACATCCTGCGCCTCGACCGTCTTCCAGAATTGGCAGACGATGGATTCCTGTAGTCTAGGAGGCACTGGGGGGATCCGCTGGAATAGGAAGACGCCATTTGGCACGCTGTCTCCGTTGGTACTCGGCAGTCGATGCCGGTTAGCCACCCACCAGGGGTCTTGAGCTGGCATACTCTGCATGGCATGGGTGGACTGGTACCAGGGAACGCGAGGCACTTTTTCGGGGAACTCAAGACCAAGCACGGGCTTGGTGACGGTTGTAGCGAAGTGAAAGGCCACGCCGCACTCAAACTCGGCGGTCAAGGTGTCTCTAGATTTAAACGTCTTCTTTACCGCCATGTCGTCCCCTTCCATCGCGAAGACAACACCAAAGGTTCCGCACCCGATTCCCCTATACTGCTTGGTAATCTTACGAGACTGTGTCATTCGGTGGGTGTAGAAGAAGGGAATGGGGAGAAAAGGAAGTCTTGTCGTCGTCGTCCTTGTTGTTGTTGTTGTTGCCCACAACAGCCGTGCACGTTTGAGTCTACGAGACAGGGCTCTGTGGCTGCGGGCTCTTTTAATCCACTGGTGGCTTTTTTGATTGAAGGTCAAAATAGCCAGGCCAGAAACGCCAAATATTGTGTGACTTGCTGTATTCTAATCAAACAGACGTGAGGCACAGGGTGAGCACAGGGTGAGAATAAGCTATAAGCCTATTTGAATAATGCATCAGGGCGGTAACTCACCTGAACATTCTGATAACTGTGCCACGGGATCTCTCCTCTATTTTCTTATAGGTCCAGGATATTTGTTGTTCCTTTCATATACATACAAGCAAACTCTATGACCTGGCCTTTTTGGGAACATTCAAGTCCAAGGAGGTAACGACAATGACTAAGATTTTTACACTTGAATTGGGAGGAGAGTTTGTTTCAAAAAGAATTGATCTTATCCGCGGTGCCGGTGAGGACAATGTCGTCAATGTAAACACCAACGATGAAGTTTTGCCCGACATAAACGCAGGGATCAAATTGTGGCTCCTTCAAAATCACGTCGTACATGGATTGAAAAATAACAAACCATTCCCCCCCAATTGCTTAACCACACAACGCTTTCAAGTCTCTAAAGACGCTTTTAGGTTTTTCATGTGGTAACCTGGCTGTAGACTCAAGAACACGTCGTGCTTAAGTATGCCGTAAAGGTAGGTAGCGTCCACATCTATTTGTCAGACTGTCCAGTCGTGGTAGACGGCAATAGTAAAGATGATTCTAAGAAACCATTAAGTCCCGCACTATCATAGAAAATGAATTACAAGAACCTTAACACTATAGAACACCTAGCCTACAATTATAATGAGTTAGGAGTATTTATAGGGTCTATTATTACTTAATACCTTCCTATCGTATACAATCCCGCCGTTCCTCTTACACGGTCTTGCTTATATATTGATCCCAACTTTTATACTGTTAGAATCGACATCGTTCCTACTAGAACACAACAGGAATAGCTCTGCTTTCTACCCACCATAACGGCAGAAAAGTATGACAATTCTAGGTAATCTGCACTACATACGCGTTAAATTATGTTATGAAGCTATTTATATGGAAATTGCTAATAAGTCGTTTTATATATAATTATATCGTACGCGGGGCGGTATGGGGCGGCGGTGGCCCCACAAGACATTTATCACTAAGGGGTGTAGGGCTGAGGGTGGGGGCGGTTGGGACATGTAGAGTCTCTAGATGTCCCAAGTTACAAGTAGCAGTAGAGCCAAGGAAAAGAGTGGATAAAGCTGATGGGTGAGTGGGTAATTGCGGATAAGTCTGTGACAATCTACAGATCACAGTAGTACAAACAAAAAATAATGGCTTTCTCTTGTAAGTGAAGGGATTGGTGATGTTTAGATCAGTCTGTTTTGTCGTGGCGGCAAACCGGGCTTCATAACTTGTTGGAACACTGAGATGACGAAGTGACTGATGATAATTCGGAAGGGAGAAAATTAGATATTCCAGTCCCTTCGTCGAGCTAACTATATGTTACTGGTTGTGTGGGGGATTTCCAACCCTGAGATGGTGGTGACTAATACTGCCATTGCCACCGGCTTCCAATAGCCTTCGCACCCTACAAACTTTCAAGTCTACAACAGCACGCCCCTTCTAAATAGCTGTATCCCATTTCACTTGCATGCCCGTCGTTGCAGGCACGTTACTTTTCTGAGTGGAAGATATCAAGAAATAATTTGACCAGTCTCTCTAAAAGAGCAGTCTTCTTACAGCCATCATGAGCAGTCAGCGCAGGCAGGAAGCCCGCACCGATGAGACGACCCTCAGCGAGGGTTTGACGCGAAATCGTGCCATGGAAATCATAGCCAACTTTTCTCATTCGACCGGTACCTCATTGGAGGGTACGATACTCGAATTGAAGGATCCATATCTGACAGTTTCTGAGGATGAGGTCTTCACAAAAGCTGCTCTAGGGGATTTCACGACACCCCTCGAGGTGCTGAAGAGAACCTTGTCAGTCCATTCGGTACTCTTAACAGCTTCTTCCTTTGCTGAGCATATGGAAGCAGCCTCTGGAGTGAATTTTCGGAATCCCAAGCTCTCAGAAATCGGGAAAGGGTCCTTCGGGACTGTCTACGAAATTCCAGGCACAGAATGGTGCTTGAAGAAGACACTGCGTTCTCCTACAACATTTAAAACAGAGCTGCATTCCGGTAAGCGTCCTGATTCCTCCATCAACCACATAGCGTGGAAGTCTATCGTCGACAGCGGCGATTTTTCAGACATACTCATGCCTAGGGTTCCTCGCTATTCAAATGTATCCCTTCTAGATACAGCCACCAGCCTAAGGTGGTTCCAGGGAAATGGCCATCTATTTCCTATACAAAACGGCGGCCAGAAGCCAGGTTCGTTCATATTTCTAGAGAGAATCATGCCCCTTCCTCGAGTGGTCCGCACGAATCTTATCAGCCACTACTTCAAACCAGAGGACCGCCAGGGCGCCATCGCGGACCCAGAGAACCAGGCGTGTCTCTGTCGGACCTACCTTGGTCTCAAGTCGACCGAAGTCCCCTCGGACAAGCGGGAGCAGGAGCTCAGAACTCTGAAGAACTTCCCTCTATATCTTGACCAACTTTTCGAGCTAAACATGGATCCGTTCTTGATTGCCCGTGAAATGGCATTGGGGCTGGCGGCAGGGCATTGGGTGGCAGGTATCAACATGACCGATGATGAGTTTGTCATCGGGAGCCGGCCCTACGAACGACCTGAGCTATTTCCCGGTCTAGGCAGGCAGCACACCGCAGGCCACAGCGACCAGACCCTCGGTGGCTCCTCGTGCGCATTCAAACAGCGTGCCTTGCAGCTTTGGATGATAGACTTTAACAAATCCCATCGTTCCAATGCCTCAGTCAACGAAAACTATCACCGAAATATAGAGCTGCTCGTTTTTCATACGTTGGGCTACCGATGGCCCATACTACCCAAGGGTCCTGGCCAAGGATGCTACCGAGTGGAACTTGTGGATTTGCTTCGCCCAGACTTATATCTCTGCCTCTAAAAGATATATTTGCGATGCGAAGGAACGCTTGGAGCAGTGGGGCTACGACCACATTGGGGAGATTGACAAGCTTGTCATGAAGCGTCCGTCATATATTATGAATGCGTGGATGAAAGCCGAGTGCGATGAGTATGGTGTTTCATCTAAGCAGTTCGGCAAGATATCAAAGGATGACCATTGGCCACTGCCGTGAGCTTTGATATTAATACAGTATGCTTAAGCTCTTAATATGTGATTGGTTGATTAATTAATTGATTGATGGGAGTTATTTATCGCACGTCTAAGACCTCTAATTCCCATAGAGCCAAGTGACACGCTAGACTACAGAGCTAGGAAAGACTACTAGAAACAAATGGGATCGCAATCGGACGGGCTCCAATATGTCCTCGCTCACGATTGGGACGTGCGCATTCTCCCAGAAACAGAAGCTCCACGAGCCTGCATATAGCGATTCAGGTAGTTTGAGATTCGGCGGCAGCCGGAGAGACGTTAGCACTATTCGTGGCTAGGCACTGTGACAAGCGTTCCTGGACGAGTCTTAGGGCTGAAGGCTACTGGTGGTTTTCTTTCTCTTTCCGTCTTTCTCTCTGTCTCCCTCCTTTTTTTATTTCTTATATATATTAAAGGCAGATTTTCTTGAAGAAACTGCTTCGGTCAGCAGGCTTGACGAAGTAGGTAAAGGTGGTGCCGAAGGCGGCTTGACTACCGTCGCTAGGGCCTCCTTTGCTGAGAGGCGGTCTTTGCTTTTTTTTTCCAGCAGTAGAAGATATATTCGGGGCAACTTCCTCCATTCGCGTGTGCAATCAATCGTGGCGCCCGAATGTTTGAGCGCTTATGGTAGGCAGCAAAGTCCCCGTGACCCGTCCGTGCCGCGATCAGGTGATGAAGTATGCGTCGAGCCAGCTTTAGCTCGTTAGGGGGCTCGATCTCGGCCGACATCCCGAGAGATCTATAGGCGGGCGGCATATGCTCTTGCCACCAGTCTACGAAGCGGTCGCGGTCGACTTTTTCCGCATTGCGACAACACACTTGCGGGAGCGGGTCTCGAGAGGAGGAAGCCCTCCTTCGCTAAATAGTTCGCAAGTTCGTTTCCCGGAATGCCGGAGTGACCCCGGCACCGTCGGATAAAGGCTTTGCGTTGGTCCTCCGCTATTTCTGGAACGCGAGAAAAGACTTCCTGGGACGATTCGGCAGGCCGGCCTCCAAGGCCTAAACGACCGAAGTGTTGTCTAGGCAGATGGTAATAGGGCCTTAAGATTTCAGTGACATTGCCGCTTGGAGGCCTTCGAGTCCTCGTGAGCTTCAGTGTCAAAGATCTCAGTTTGGTCAAGCCGGCCATTACCTTTAAGGACACAAGCTTGATATTGGAATAAGGCGTAGCCGTATCCTGTAAAGCGGTCCTCTGTCTGGAATCCGTCAGAGAAGACAGTGATTACGCAAGGGGGGAGTCTGCAGAGCCACTGGTGGAAGTGGTGAGTAGCTTGCCTCTTGGATGTCACAACTCTGTTACTAGTCCTGTCCCGCCTGGTCATATATGTGAGAGCAGCGTGAGGTCTGGCAGCCTCAAGTCCTAGTCTTTGCCGTTGGTGCAGCGGTGAGCCTTGTGAATGCTCCCACAGGTCCCTCCTGTGACACCGTGCCTGGCATGGTTATCTGGGGAAATGGAGCCATGTCTGTTGGACTACGCGAGACGGGAAAATAATTATTGATCCCAATAGCACCCTCCGTCCTATTGCCCACTTCTTTAAGGAGCACACCGCTACTAAGTGTAGCTACGAGATGTCACGAGTGGGCTCTGAGTGCAGGTAAACGAGAGCACGTTGGATGAATCAGTCTATTGCTATGTGTGGGCATTGCTAAAGGTAGGTCAGGCTCGTTCAAGGGTTGAAGCTATCCGTGATGTTTTCCTTGCCCAAGCGGCCTAGTCATGAAGATACAGGGTAGCCAAATTTTCTTGGTGTAGCGTGGCACCTGGCCCGCGATGGCGCCGGTGACAAGACGACGTGGCCGTTTCAAGCACGAGATAACACGCTATTGTCCGGCTCGTATCGACGCGGTATTTTTGCAATTGGCTGTCTAATGATGCAAGAGTCAGGGGGGTGTATCTTGAGAGAACCGTTGACATCTTCGTAGGAGAAAGAGGTACTTGATGAAAGAAGTTGTAGTATTCACTTATGAGGCCATTAAGGAGGGGTCGAGCCTCGGCCAGAGTGTTGGAACAAATAGCTGAGTCATCAACCGGAACAGGTTGTTCCGGCCCGACCGGTAGTAACCCTGACGATAAAAGGCCACTTCTAGAGTCACAATTACCCCTATAGATACCATTAACATCATCAGAATTAATAAGAAAAAAACTTCAATTCCTATATCGATAAGTGCGATATATTTACTATTATTATATAATCAGTTCCACCAGATTTTTTCCTCTCCCGATCTAGTAACTCAGACGAGCGTTTTGCCGATATTATTCCACCGCTCCGTCTGATACATAATATAGTCACGTGACCGGAAAAATCAGAGACCGTGCTCCGCGGCTGCAACACATGAAATACTTAGGACATCATAGAATCATCCATGGAGGAACGCGGGGGCCACGTATATTACCCGATTTAGTGTTCGCACAAAGCGTTTTAAATAGCATGAATGGGAATGTACAAGGACCAGGGGTGTGCGAGTGCATTACACAAAGGCCGTTCATCATGACTGCTGCTATCAACACACATGAGGACTACTACGGCGTACATTTGGAGCATACCACAAAAGATGGCTGGTGAGAGGGGATGAAGGGAAAGGGGACGCGTTATGTGTAAGGCTCCTGACGCGACTAATAAGCGGCTGGGGCAGAGCGGTCAAGGGAAAATATACATGAAAGCGTACGGAGTACATATAATACTCGTATTTTCAATGTTGTTCAGGAATCAGGGGCACCATTGGGGGAGAGAGAAGAAGCTCCTCGTACGTCGTAGAATTGAAGGGGTCGAATTCTGGGTACTCCCCCTCCTACTACCAAGGCTGCTAATAGAGCCTAGTAGAGGTCCAGTATCCGGCTTAGTGCTACCCATTACGGGTACAGGTAGGCGGTAAAATTCCAGGACCCATTTACGGTTGGGTATTGGGTACTGCGTCGCTTCTCTCCTCTGGACTCAGGGGCATGCCAGGGGTTGTGCCTCGGAACGCAGGTGACATAATAACGCGTGTAAATACCTTCGCGTTTATCGTCAGAAATGTGTCCAGAATAATATCGTCACCCCCAGCCTTGCCGTTACTTGCGCGCTGCCCACTAGGAAACGTAGCGTGGATCCTTATTCTTCAAACCCCCTTGTCGACGGCCAACTATCCTGTTGGCAAAGCTCCAAAACTTCTTGTTTCCATTTGCTATTCCTCCTATATTCTGGGAAGCGAAAGAGACCGTCAGCCTCTCCTGTGGCATCTATCTGTAACCTCTTTGTGGTTTCTTTTATTATTTTAGCTGCCCACACATCTCCGCCTACTTCCCTTCGTTCTCGAACTACTCTCCTGGGGTTATCATTACCTTTGATCTCTTCTCTCCTCCTGTACCCTTTGACGTCGTTACGAAAGTATTTGCCGGCTGCTCACGAATGTCTTCCGCCGACCAGGTCCCCTCTCTCCTTTAGTTGAGCGTCATTCTACCCCTCGGTGGTCCCTTTCTCGAAAATCTGTTCTCTTATTACCCTTCGCCGCTCTCCCATCGTCCAGAACCGTGAGCGTTGGGTACCGCCCCGATGGCATCGACGTATGATGTCGGCACGAAGGCCTGGCAGCCTGATGCTGCCGAAGGCTGGGTAGCCTCGGAGCTGATCCGCAAGACGGTGGATGGCGGAAAGGCTAGCCTTGTCTTCCAGCTCGAAAACGGCGAAGTATGTTTCTTACCAGCTCTTGATAAGCTAATAGCCCAGGTGCTAACACGTCATCCTTCCAACAGGAGAAAACTATCACGGTGCCCGAGGAGGCGCTCGTCACCGGCAAAAGCGACGCTCTTCCTCCCCTGATGAACCCTAGCATGCTTGAAGCCAGCGATGACCTTACCAACCTCTCCCATCTGAACGAGCCTGCCGGTATGCTACACACGCACACAATGAACCGAGAGAAGAAGCCCGCTTCGAGGATACAGATAATCTAATGGATAACTGCTCTTCTAGTCCTCCAAGCTATCCGTCTGCGATACCTGCAAAAAGAGATTTACACATACAGTGGTATCGTCCTGATTGCCACAAATCCCTTTGCACGAGTCGACTCGCTATATGTCCCGGGCATGGTCCAGGTTTACGCTGGAAAGCAGAGGGCCACCCAGGCACCTCACCTCTTCGCTATTGCAGAGGAAGCCTTCATGTGGGTGGATGCCGATTCATGAAATATGACTACTGCACCAGATGCTGACAAAAGCTTGCGAAACAGAGATATGCTCCGTGACAAGAAGAACCAGACAATTGTCGTGTCTGGCGAGTCTGGTGCCGGAAAGACTGTCAGTGCCAAGTACATTATGCGCTACTTCGCGACTCGAGGGCCCCCAGACAGCAGCTCCAGCGGACGGACGAAACGAGGTGCCGAGACGATGAGCGAGACCGAGGAGCAGATTTTGGCTACCAACCCCATCATGGAGGCCTTCGGTAACGCCAAGACTACAAGAAACGATAACTCGTCACGATTTGGAAAGTATATTGAAATCATGTTTGATGACAAGACCAACATCATCGGCGCCAAGATCCGCACCTACCTGCTCGAGCGTTCTCGTCTCGTCTTCCAGCCTCTCAAGGAGCGCAACTACCACATCTTCTACCAACTCGTTGCGGGGGCCTCAGATGCCGAGCGCGAAGAACTCAATATCCTCCCCATTGAGCAGTACGACTACCTCAACCAGGGTCAGTCGCCAACCATCGAGGGCGTCGACGACAAAGCCGAATTTGAGGCTACCAAAAAGTCCCTGACTACGGTTGGGGTTTCTGAGGACCAACAGAGTGACATTTTTAGAATTCTGGCCGGTCTCCTGCATCTCGGAAACGTCAAGATCACCGCCTCGCGCAACGACAGTGTTCTTGCCCCCACCGAGCCATCCCTGGAAAAGGCATGCAGCATACTTGGCGTCGACGCTACCGAGTTCGCTAAGTGGATTGTGAAGAAGCAGCTTGTCACCCGTGGCGAGAAGATCACCTCCAACCTGACACAGACCCAGGCTCTTGTTGTGCGAGACTCGGTTGCCAAATTCATTTACTCGAGTCTCTTCGACTGGCTCGTCGATGTCATCAACCACAGCCTTGCCACCGATGATATCCTGAACCGCGTGTCTTCCTTTATAGGTGTTCTTGATATCTACGGTTTCGAGCACTTTGCCAAGAACTCATTTGAGCAGTTCTGTATCAACTACGCCAACGAGAAGCTACAGCAGGAGTTCAACCAGCACGTCTTCAAGCTCGAACAGGAGGAGTACCTCAGGGAGCAGATCGACTGGACCTTCATCGATTTCTCCGACAACCAGCCCTGCATTGACCTCATTGAGGGCAAGATGGGCGTCCTGTCACTGCTTGATGAAGAGTCGCGCCTGCCCATGGGTTCCGACGAGCAGTTCGCCATGAAGCTCCACCAAAACTTCGGTAGCACCGGCAAGAACAAGTTCTTCAAGAAACCTCGCTTTGGCAAGTCTGCCTTCACCGTCTGCCACTATGCTGTTGATGTTACCTACGAGTCGGAAGGTTTCATCGACAAGAATCGTGATACCGTCCCCGACGAGCACATGGCTGTTCTCCGCAATAGCAGCAACGGCTTCCTCAAACACGTCTTGGAGGCCGCTGCCGCTGTACGCGAGAAGGATGTTGCATCCGCAACCTCTTCCAGCGCCACCAGGCCTGCTGGTGGCAGGAAGATTGGCGTGGCTGTTAATCGCAAGCCTACGCTTGGTGGAATCTTCAGGTCGTCGCTTATTGAGCTGATGAACACAATCAACAGCACCGATGTCCACTACATCCGCTGCATCAAGCCCAATGAAGCCAAGGAGGCCTGGCAGTTTGAGGGCCCCATGGTCCTGAGCCAGCTGCGTGCTTGTGGTGTCCTCGAGACGGTGCGAATTAGTTGCGCTGGTTACCCTACCCGCTGGACCTACGAGGAGTTTGCTCTACGCTACTACATGCTTGTGCACTCGACTTCCTGGACTGCCGAGATCCGCAAGATGGCCGATGTCATCCTGACCCAAGCCCTGGGAACCAGCTCCGAGAAGGGCATGGACAAATACCAGCTTGGTCTGACTAAGATCTTCTTCCGTGCTGGTATGCTCGCCTTCCTCGAGAACCTCCGTACCAACCGCCTGAACGAGTGTGCCATTCTCATCCAGAAGAATCTGCGTGCCAAGTACTACCGCCGTCGCTTCCTGGATGCCCGTGAGGCCATCGTCCTCACCCAGGCCGCCGTCAGGGCCTTCCTCGCCAGGAGGCAGGCCCAGGAGCTGCGTACCGTTAAAGCTGCTACTACCATCCAGCGCATCTGGCGTGGCGAAAAGCAACGCAAAAAATACCAGACTATCCGGAATGACATGATTCTGTTTGAGTCGATTGCCAAGGGCTACCTTCGCAGAAGAGAGATCATGGAGACGAGGATGGGCAATGCCGCCGTCATCATCCAGCGCGCCTGGAGGACGCGCCAATCCATGCAGTCGTGGAGGTCGTACCGCCGCAAGGTCTGTCTCGTCCAGAGCCTCTGGCGTGGCAAGCAGGCACGTCGCGGATATAAGAAGGTCCGTGAGGAGGCCCGCGATCTCAAGCAGATCTCCTACAAGCTGGAGAACAAGGTGGTCGAGCTTACACAGGCTCTCGGGTCCATGAAGGAGAAGAACAAGAACCTTGTCTCGCAGGTCGACAACTACGAGAACCAGATCAAGTCGTGGAAGAGTCGTCACAATGCTCTCGAGGCTAGGACTAAGGAGCTGCAGACTGAGGCCAACCAGGCAGGTATCGCTGTGGCTCGTCTTGAGGCCATGGACGATGAGATGAAGAAGCTGCAGCAGGCCTTTGATGAGTCAACGGCGAACATCAAGAGAATGCAGGTGGAGGAGAGGGAACTCAGGGAGTCGCTCCGCCTGTCGAGCACAGAGTTGGAGGATGCTAAGCGGATCAGCTCCCAGCACGAGAAGGATAATGGCAACCTGAGGCAGGAGCTCGATGCCCTTCGCGACGCTCTCGAGCTCGCCAGGAGGAACGCACCAGTCAACGGCGAGGGTGCCAACGGAGCCGCCGCTGCCGCCCCGGCCACGAGCGGTCTCATCAACCTGGTCGCCTCCAAGAAGGCCAAGCGCCGTAGTGCCGGTGCCGAGCACCGCGAGCTGGACCGCTTCAGCGGAGCCTACAACCCTCGTCCCGTGTCCATGGCCGTTACAGGCACGGCCCACCGTCAGAACCTGTCGGGCACCACCTTCATCCCCGGCGTCGATAACATTGAGGCCGAGCTAGAGAGTCTGCTCGCCGATGAGGACGGTCTCAACGAGGAGCTAACTATGGGTCTGATCCGCAATTTGAAGATCCCCTCACCCAGTACGACGCCGCCGCCGTCGGACAAGGAGGTTCTATTCCCATCGTACCTCATCAACCTGGTGACATCGGAGATGTGGAACAATGGCTTCGTCAAGGAGTCTGAGCGCTTCCTGGCCAACGTAATGCAATCGATCCAGCAGGAGGTGATGCAGCACGACGGCGAGGAGGCCGTTAACCCTGGTGCCTTCTGGCTGTCTAACGTCCACGAGATGCTCTCATTCGTCTTCCTAGCTGAGGACTGGTACGAAGCCCAGAAGTCGGACAACTACGAGTACGACCGCCTTCTGGAGATTGTTAAGCATGACCTCGAGTCCCTCGAATTTAACATCTATCATACCTGGATGAAGGTTCTCAAGAAGAAGCTGCACAAGATGATCATCCCCGCCATCATCGAGTCGCAGTCGCTGCCCGGTTTCATCACTAACGAGAGCAGCCGCTTCTTAGGCAAGCTCCTCCAGTCCAACTCTCAGCCCGCTTACAGCATGGACAACCTGTTGAGCCTGCTAAACAACGTCTTCCGCGCCATGAAGGCCTACTACCTCGAGGATTCCATCATCACCCAGACTGTCACCGAGCTCCTCCGTTTGGTCGGTGTTACAGCCTTCAACGACCTACTCATGCGCCGTAACTTCCTCTCGTGGAAGCGCGGTCTGCAGATCAACTACAACATTACGCGTATCGAGGAGTGGTGCAAGAGCCACGACATGCCTGAGGGCACTCTTCAGCTCGAGCATCTTATGGTAAGGCTGACCTACGTGGTACCAGTTTCTTAAGATTTCATTCACTGACTACCCTTCCCTCTTTACAGCAAGCTACCAAGCTGCTACAACTCAAGAAGGCTACTCTCAACGATATTGAGATTATTCAGGATATTTGCTGGATGTAAGTTACACAGATCTTGCCGAGTCTACAAACAAGTATACTGATTTCACTGTCCCCTAGGCTCTCCCCCAGTCAAATTCAGAAGCTACTGAACCAGTACCTCGTGGCCGACTACGAACAGCCTATCAACGGCGAGATCATGAAGGCTGTCGCCTCGCGTGTCACCGAGAAGAGCGACGTGCTCCTGCTCCAGGCTGTCGACATGGAGGACAGTGGCCCGTACGAGATTGCGGAGCCCCGTTCCATAACCGCACTCGAAACATATACCCCGTCTTGTAAGTGATTTTCTTTTACTGCATTTCTCTGCAGCGTTGTGCAATGACTAACAACAATTTACTAGGGCTGCAAACCCCTCGTCTAAAGAGGCTCGCAGAGATTGTCTCTGCCCAGGCCATTGCTCAGCAAGAGAAGCTCGAGAATGGCGACAGCTTCGATGGCCGCGAGAGCCTGCCTGAGGTGGAAGAGGATGAGCCGGAGGAGTAGAACGTTCCCAGGATCGCCGACGATATCTCAATTACTTTGGACTGTGAATGGAAGGGAAGTCGGCAATGATACGTCTTTGCTTCAAGGACTCTCGCTCTCTGTGTTACACTCTTTTCTTATTCCTTTTTTAACGGGTGAACCTATGTGCGTATGCAGGGCGGAGCGTCTTTTTCTTTTTTTATGGACGCATGTTCTTTTTCATATTCTCTTCTTGTGTGATTTTCTTTTTCTATTCTTTCCGTCCTCGCTCTATGGTCTATCTTTTGCTTATTTTAGGAAGAAATGTGGTGTGGCGCGAAGTCCTTTGTATGCACATCGCTTTGATCGAATGGAGCTATCTTAGAGATAGTGTCATACTTTTCGGCGACATCTGTTCTTTTTTTTTGTATATAGATGGGGATGAAGGGTATGTTTCTTATGCTTACGAAGAAGGAGAGTTTTCAATGATATGAAGGCATGTCAGTTGACGATTTTGTATCATCTCATCTGTTGTTACCTTGGTAGGCGAGTAAAATTAGTGGTGGTGTGGTTTTTAACTGGAGACTTTTTTTTGGAGGGGCAGTGACACTTCGATTGATGCATGGTTTTCACTTGCCTTCTCTCTACACTATCTACTACTGCATCCCTTTGTGACAGGCACGCGAGTATACACAGACGACGCGAAAGCAGCAACAATACAGATTTCAAAGATGCGTACATCACCCAACATCATCATCACCGGCACCCCGGGGACGGGGAAGACGACACATTGTGAGAGCCTGGCCGAGAAGATCGGCGCGCGCCATCTGTCTGTGAACCAGGTCGTCAAGGACCAGGAATGCCATGAGGGATGGGATGATGAATATCAGAGCTGGATAGTGGATGAGGACAAGGTGAAACTCTCTCTTCCCGAGTGCGACAACAGCACGTTCCTCTTGTAGAGGATGATCTAACACATGGGGCGACGCATAGCTGTTGGACTCCATCGAAAAGGATGTCGAGGCAGGAGGCTGCATCATTGACTGGCATGCATGCGATCTCTTCCCCAAGAGCTGGATCGACCTCGTTGTCGTCCTGAGGGTTGACTCAACGATTCTGTACGACCGACTGAAGGCACGGTATGTCTATGCTCTCTCTCTCACTCCTTTCAAAAGGTAGGAATGGGGCGGTTGCTGACTCTCTTGTGCCTCTGTGTAAAACAGAAAGTACCCCGAGGTCAAGCTTCAAGAGAACCTTGACACAGAAATCATGGAGGTACTCCTACAAGAGGCAAGAGATGCCTTTGACGAAGAGATTGTCATTGAGCTGCGCAGTGACACGACTGACGATATGGACTCCAACCTGGACCGCATAGAGACTTGGGTGAACCAGTGGAAAAAGGATAACGAGGCATCATGAGAGGGAGTTCTTGAAACGGGTTGGGTCTAAAAAAAGGAAATCGGGCGTTCTATTACTATTTGCAAGATCTGGACTTGAATTAAAGCCTATGGGTCTCCAGACTTTTTGCCTTGAGCGCATCACAGTGTTGCGACAACAACGAAACCTAAGGACTTAATATTCACAGTTTTTTACGCCAAATGAAGAAATAGAACAGACGGTTCGCATCACCAGCTATCCCAGTGTAAAGTGGCTCATGAATAACTTGGTGTTCGTTCGTCGTGTTGTGGGTGTGGATCCGAAAAGCCTCTCCATCTCATCAGACATGCTTTTTAAGCGGGGTTTTCACTATCATACAACGCCACATCGAGGAAAACACTCTTCTCCCCGAAACATTGACCTTTGTATATCCCATCCTTGTCCCATGTAAGCTGTCTCCCAGAGGCCCTTAAAATATCCGCTAGCATCGCTTCTCAGTCCACTCACGATGCCCGACCACATCAACTTTGTCACCGGCAACGCCAACAAACTCCGCGAGGTTCAGGCGATCCTCGAGCCGGGAATCAGCGTCCACAGCCAGCCCCTTGATGTCGAGGAGGTCCAGGGCACTGTGGAAGAGGTTACCATTGCCAAGACTCGCAAAGCAGCGGATCTTGTGAGCACTTATACTACTGGAAAATGTCGACTCTTTTTTGACTGATGTGTGTAAAAAAGGCTGGTGGCCCCGTCCTCGTTGAAGACACTGCTCTCAGCTTCAACGCCCTTGGCGGCCTTCCCGGGCCCTACATGCAAGTATATTCCTGTTGTTCCAAAACTGGGCTTGATTTACGTTGCTAACGGCGATAATGAAGCAAATGGTTCCTTACTAGCATCGGCCACGAAGGCCTCAACAACCTCATCGCTGCTTATGAGGACAAGTCAGCCGAGGCCATCTGTACATTCGGCTACTCAGCCGGTCCAGGACAGGAGCCCGTACTCTTCCAGGGTCGTTGCCCAGTATGTGCAAAAGATGGCAACAGTGCTCCTGGGTACAATGACTAACATATCATTCACTCCTTATTAGGGCAAGATCGTTCCCGCACGCGGACCGTCAAATTTTGGTAATTTTCTCTTCAGTAAAATCCCCTCGTACATTGTATCAAAGCTTACAGTCGCAGGATGGGACCCGTGCTTCGAATTCGAGGGCAAGACGTAAGTTTAGCGCCCGTCGCTAACTCCGTCCCTCCAAGATGTGCAGATACTAATGAAACTTGTTCACAGGTTCGCTGAAATGGATGGTGCAGAGAAGAACAAGATCTCCCACCGAGCACGTGCCTTGAAGAAGCTGCAGGACTGGTTCAAGGAGCAGAACGCAGCCTAAGGGATAGGCACAATAGGCGGTATGCTCTTTGTTAAACTATCGTTGCAGCATGATTAGCATATGTACTCCCGGAAACAGGCACAACGACACGATAAAGTGAACAACTTACTAGAGGACCTCGAATTCACTATACTTGCGTACGTATTTACTGTCTCGTCGATATTGCTGGAGTATGCTCTCCGCTTTATGATCGGGACATCGCACAGTATGACCTACTAGTTCTCTGGCGGCTGGGGTATCGCGAAATGACGGGTCAAACACGAGTAGAGTGTCCTTTCCATTGCTCATCTTTTCGAACCCGACAATCGTCATCGAATGACCTGGAGCCCTGTATTAGAGGTGCCGCTTATGTTACCAGATTCCCGGTTTGCTTACCTTGGTGTTGAAGGTAAATAGGTGGCAATGTCGTCAACGAGACCTTGGACTTTTGGTTTGCGACTTCGTTCCCAACTCCTCCCTTAAAGTATGACTCGATAGCCCCGAATAGCATTCTACCGGATCTACCAGCCTCCTTCTCCCTGAAAGCCTGAACCGGACACCTTTAACCACGACGTCAGCTATTTGTAGTAGGCCAGATGTACCATCATGCGGTAACCTACGATATCTGGAGATTGCGGAACATGGCTTGGGTCTGGAAGAGCAGTCAGCTGCTGTAATATTTGTGTAGACTAGTAGTGGAAAGAAGTATATACCTCGGGTGTGCCAATGTATTTCCGCGTGCCTCTTATACCACCGGTCTCAATACGGCCTTCAGGATTGAACCCGTTGTCCCATGCGTTCTCAATCATGTCCTGGATCGTGAAAATAGAAGGGAACGTGTCCCCAAACTTGTTCGCACCTTCGCTCTTAGCGTTGACAATGTAGGAAATCAGCATCTGGATATTCCGATAACCACAGAAACTGCCTTGAATGCGTGCACTGTCAGCCAGACTTCGGCAATACTGACTAGTTTCTGGAACAGACCTTCACGTCGTAATTTGGAGATATGCTGTACATGCTGGCTACAGAGGTAAGCTTTTTGTGTCATTGGGCATTTCTCTAGAAGCCGCTTCATCACTGGGATGATCCCTTCAGAGAGTGTCAGCATACGTGCCATGAAGCCCAGCGCGAAACACTTTACCTTTGCTGCAATATGCGCCATCCTTATTCAACAGCTGGACAAGCCAATTCGGCATCTGCTTCTCGTTTACATGCCTCCCCAGATCGGCTTTCTACAAACGGTTCAGTGTCAGCATTACACCGGGTTCGTCGGAATAAGGTTAGCAGTACTCCCAGCTTTGAAGTAGTCCCATTGCCGACTTTATTCTCCCTCGGAGGCTCCGAAGTAGCATGGTGAGACGACTCTGTTACTGTCTGTACTGGCTTCACTGCAGGTCGCTTCGTCTTATGGCGCGCCCGACGAGAATCCTTGCTTCCACTGTGTTTGTGGCCAAAAAGCTTTTTCCATGCATGCAGGATGTTCGAATTTCTTTGGGCCTTCTTCTTTAACGTAGAAGTCGATCCATGTGACTTCACTCGGTAATGGGTGAAGTCCCCTTTTGTACCTTTCGTACGAGTTAGAGGTGCCGGTTTCCTGGCCTTGTGATGCTCCGACTCAGATGGAGAGATCATGTCGCCGGGATGTCTCCCGTAGCAGGGCCGGGGAGGACAGGCGATGCTGGGCTGTCGCGATATACCGTTTTACGACGTGCTTGGGCTGCAAAGTCTGGTTCTGCGAGGCTGACTAAATGGCTGGCCGGCTGGCCGTTCCGTGGCTCACAAACAGGTTCAGGCATGGGCCTTCAGATAAACTGAGTTCTCAGTATGGGGACTGTCGCTAGTCGCCAAGGCAAGTTGATGATATCTTGGGGCGCTCAGCTCCACTGAGTTGTTGCTGGGTTGGTTCACCGCCCGATATTTGCCTGGTGGGAGGCTGGGCGGGGCAGAGACTGGTGGGCTCTATAAGCATAAAAGCACCGTATTCCTCGGGAAATGTGATATGACCATTGTTGCCATCAGAAACGTGATGAGTAGGCATGTTTATTCGTAACCATAGCTTTACTTGTTATGATTCCCGGTGACATTTTACGAAGTAACAGTCAACACAACCTGATATAGCTTATGCAACTATGCGAATTGAGAATGAACAACACACTTCTTGTAGGTAAATCTAGACCAGCTACCCATAACATTTTACTCCTTTTTTCTTCATAATTTTGTCTCAAGACATCAAGAATAGCTCTCCGGCTTCGTCTTCTAAGTTTTCGCCATTCATTTGCTGCCCTTCTCCCTCTTAGCCAGAACCTTGTGAGAGGTAGAGTCCTTGGGGAGTTCCTTTGCGTACTCGATGAACTCGGGAGCACCGGGAAGGTACTTCCGCAGAGGCTCGGGAATCTTGAGACCCTGTAACAGAGTTAACTAATAAACCATACACCGTAACTTGCACCGTGACTTGTTCAAGAGTAGATACTTACCGTCTCCGTTTGGTAGTTCTCAAGCACGCAGCACAGCGCACGAGTCGTAGCGCACAGCGTCGAGTTAAGGCAGTGCACGTACTTCTTCTTCACCTCGGTCTGTGTCTTGGCACCAAAGCGAATTTCGAGAGACCGCGACTGGTAATCAGTGCAGTTGGAACACGAAACTAACTCCTTGTACTCTCCCTGGAATGGAAACCAGGCTTCCAGGTCGTACTTCTTCGACGCCGCATTGTTCAGCGCTCCAGAGACGATAGAGACAATCCGGTAAGGCAGGCCCAGAGACTTGTAGAACTCCTCCGAGATGTTAATCATGTCGTCGAAGGCCTCCCAAGACTTTTCGGGGTCGGTGAGGAGGAATTGCTCGATCTAGGAACATATCAGCCATTAGTTGCTTCCAAAAGATACAGGTACGGCAATGTTGAGTATCATCCACCTTCTCAAACTGATGCACACGGTAGATACCCCAGGCATCGCGTCCGTGGTTACCAGCCTCCCTGCGGTAGCACGTGCTATATCCGGCATATCTTTTCAATGTAAACTTAGCCTATATCCAAATGGCAAGGACAAGTCTACTCACTTGAGGGGGAGGTCCTTGGAGACGAGCCATTCATCGGCGTGGAAGGCTGAAATGGGCTGCTCCGAGGTGGCAATGAGGTACTTATCGTTCTTCGCGTCACCGTCAACTACCTTGTAGAGCTCCTCATCAAAGTCCTCAAGTTGGGCCGTCTTGCCCATGTAGTCCTTGAGCATGAACTGGGGCGTTTGCAGCGGGGTGTACCCCTTTCCAGAGAGAAACTCCAGACCGTAGTTGATGAGCGCCTGGTTCAGGAAGACTCCCCACTGGCGAAGGAAGTAACCGCGGTGGCCAACAACTTTTGCACCTCGCTCGGGGTCATATCCGTCCAGACGAAGGAGGACCTCATGGTGGGACAGGCACTCCTTCTTCTCGACCGCGATGCCCTCGGGCGCCCACGTGCGTTGGATCACATTGTTGTCCTCGTTATCGCTGACCGGAACCGAGTCGTGAACGTAGTTTCCCACTCTGCGGATTTTGGATTTCAGGAAAGTGTCCTTCTCGGCAGCGGAGTCGACAAGAGTCTTTTTTTCTTTCTCGAGCGCAACCTTCTGCTGTAGGAGCTCGTCGGCATTCTCCTTGGCCTACACAACTAGTTGTGAGCTCGAAATTCGGATGGGTGGTGTCCAGCGCCAGCATGTGTACCTTCTTCTTGGCACCAATTTGCTTCTGAACGTCGTTGATCTTGCCGTTGATCTGCGTCGCAGAGTACTGGGCTGCATCGGTCAATAAACTTTTCTCCCTTGATAGGTGTGCAAGGTGGGAACATTTGGCATACTAGCACGGTGGTCCTCCCAGAGAGCAATGATCTCGTCAACGATCTCGACTGGGGCGTTGCGTCGGCGCTGAGACTCCCGGATCTTCTCAGGATCGCCGCCGCGCTCCTTGATAAAATCGATCACGTCAAGCATTGTATCAAGCGCCAATATACTAGATGGTTCTGCAGTGTGGTCGGTGCGCGAAAAGAGCGTCGTTTTATGGAACTTGCTTACCTGTCGAAAGAGTCAATCAAATTGAGGAGGCGTTCAAGATGTTGGTGGGGTTTATTTTTTTAGTCAGGATCAGCCCCTCCTTCCTCCTCTAGGCGACGAGGGGCTGTTTCTCATGAGCGCGGGTGGCCTTGCTACCCGACGACATGTAATAATAGTTAGCGCATCGCTCTTACCTGTAATCTGGTGGCAGTTTGCCTTAAAGGTACATTCTACTCTATCCTACGAGGTGCATTTGACAACTGCCTCACTCTTTAATACTCGGGAGTGACTCGTTTCCGTTATCTCATACCTTCAAGCAGAAACGACTAAGTATGCATTGTTTCTTCTATATAAGCATCGAAACTACTATTACCAAGTAGCAGAACCGAGAAACCCCAAAGAAATTGTTGCATATTGTATAACAACCCATGCCAACAAACTGCAAACACCCAAGAAAACCAATAAGCCAACGTTCCATAGCCATAATCAGTGAACCATTTAACCTAGACTCTACCCAACCTTCAAACCTTCATTGTACTCATGAAGTAAATGGATATGTAAACAAAGAGTGGCCTACATGATGTCCAGAGGACTTCGTAGATTAACCTGACGACCCTTAATCCCGCGCATCTTGCCTCTATTAATCATGAAAAGACAAAACGAAAAGTAAGCTTAAATAGCCAAAAAAGTCGACCATTCCACGGAGCTTCACCTGTATTTCTTTAGCTGATACTCCGGGACTGTGCTAAGCAGTCCGGTGTAGGACGAGTCAAACCTCCGTCTTAACCTCGTGCTCGTCTGGTCTGTAACATATAAGACACTTGGAAAAAAACCCAATAGATAGTGCCCATTATCCAGAAAGAACGGAGTTGAAAGTAGAACAACTGGCGTCAAATCAACCATACTCATCCGTATGAAGTCATAGAAGCCACAGACCAAATTACATAACTGTGCAGTTGCTCTTGGGTGGCGCTTCGCCTGGAGCCTGGGATTTTTCGATTTGGGCAATCATGAGCTCGAAAGCCTTAGCCACATTGGTATCGTATGCTGCACTGGCCTCGGTCCATCCGCACTGAAGTCGATCGGAGAGCTTGCGCCCATCCTCCATGCTGACTTGGCGCTGCTCCGGACGTAGGTCACACTTGTTTCCAACTATGACGATCGGCACCGACTCGGTTCCCTAAATACAGGAGAATAGTGAGCAAATAAGCGGCCAAGAAGTATAATGAATACGGTTGGAGTTTACTAAATGGTTCAGAATCTTGTCGCGAATAGACTGCACCATCTCGAATGATGCTAGGGACGACACCGCATACACCAATATGTAGCCGTGAATTCCAATGAAATGCTTGGAGTTCAAGATACTGTATTCGTCCTGACCAGCTGTATCGACGATTTCAGTCAAGTAATCTTGCCCCTTAAACCTGATTGTTTTGCTGAAAGTGTTTTCGATGGTTGGGTAGTAGCTGTCGACAAAGTGCCCGTCTACAAAACGGACAGCCAGCGAGGATTTACCTGGAATGGCCGCATAACAAGCATTAGCCGACTGCAAAAGCAAACTGAAAAAGAAGAAATAAGGTAGCAAGATGGGATTCGGGTCAGGCAAAAGAGTCTCGGGTCTCGTCCAAGCTGGGGTAGTGTCCAAGAGACTGTGTGTTGGGATGGTGGTGCTGTGCTTACCGACAGCTCGGCTGCCAACAATAGCGACTTTTCTCTGCTTAGGCGAAGGCATTGTTTCTGCTAAGCCGGTTGAACTGAACGTATTGATAGGGAAGGAAATGACCGATTGATTAGATGGTGGCCAGGTCACAACTTCGATGGTGTGTGGCAGATTGTGGTCGACTCGGTTGGATCAGCGCTGTTGGTGTGACGTCGAACACAATACGTTGACCCTTGCACGTGCGTCGAGTCGAGTGGGGGGGGGGGGGGGGGTAAGTAACTCTGCCACTTTCAGTCAGTAGCCAAGAACGCAAAATGCTTCATTTCCAATACTAACATGCGTTCAGCGAAGTTATTTGCTCAGTTAAATCTCTTTTACTCCTGGAACCATACAGATATATCATCTAGTCGTAAAAATTCCACAAAAATGCCTTATGTGGCCTAACGAATACATCTCTTTACATAAGTATGGACACAACACCTTCAACGCCGGAAATTGGAATGACAGCCGGATCTCGTTGCTTCTGGTTGTGGGCGCTATTAACTGACGAACTGCGCCTGGACTTGTTCTATCTACTAGACATCCGCAAGTCTTGTACTAGGCCTTCGAGTTCATGTACTTTAGCATCAACACTACGATGTATCTCAATGAATTCCCGAATCGCATCAACCAGGGCATCAACACTGGTGCCTTGGTTTGTTATGGCTTGTCGACCCGGATTTCCAAGGCACAAGTATCCCAGTATCACAGCGAGGTACCCGACCGCGATGCTCACTTTAGACTTGTCTTCCGAATCGGCCTTGTACTCGGTTAGCTATGTGTGTTTTGCCCCCCACCACCTCCCCCAAACAAGAAAATAATTACAAGAGAGGCATTGTGATACTTACTGCGGCAACCAAGTTGCGGTTTTGTGTAAAGAGATCAGCCAGCTGCTCCATAGATGCCGAATCCATAGACGTTCGAGCACGTGGAGAGTGCTCTAAAATGTTGATCATGATTCCTAGTATGAGTAAAAGCCCATCGTACATGCTCGTGTCAAAGGCTTGACGTTGGGTTGCTTTTTGAACCTCGTCTAAACCAAGACGAGCTGCTCGTGCAATGCCTGCTAGTAGAGATTGGCTACTAAAGGCTTCCGCCCCCACTTCGGCGTTCGTCGTATCAATCGCCAATTTCAGTGTCGCCGACTGCATATCGCCACGGTTATCAGGCCACATGGCGAGTGCATTCTTGAGGAAGAGAGCAATATTTGATGCTCGACGATGTAACTGATTAGATGTGAGGACTGTTATGGCAGCTCCCCGCTCAGCCTCCATAATCAATACAACCAGTGGCGTAAGACTAGCATCTGGCGATACGCGTTGTGCTTGATCTTCGGCGATGGAAGCAAAACCGTCCTCCAGATTCTTGATCATATCGCTACGCAAGCGGACCTCCAAGTTGCGTTGCAGAATATGGTGCAACTGGAGTGCGATGCTGCGCGGAGAGAGCTCCCTTGGTTCATACCCATGCCAGATGTTCATGCGTTGCAGATACGCTTTGACACCAGCCACAGTCCCTCTTCCAGTCTTGGACAAGTTCGTCTTTCTTTGCCCGGCAATAGAAACCACGTCTTCCGAGACGCGCAGGAGCCGTCCAAGTAGCTCGCCTATTTTCTCTTCCACGAGCTGTTGCAGCAGGTTCGGTGCATTGTTGGACGAAAGGAATACCACAAGGCTCGCAGCCATGGCAAACCCGCTGATTATGTCTTCCTCGTCGCCAATATTCTTGGCAATGGTGTCACGGGCGGAGTGGTCTCTGAATTGTAGGGAGAACTCCTGTCGCTGTAGCTTTTGGGCTAATTCTAGCAATGCGTTTCTCCTCAAAGAAGCGGGTTGCCTGGGCGTCCCAATCCTTGAGAGCAAATCCTCCATCTCGTCGGCAAATCTGTTGTTTGCACCAGCACGGCGAAGTTCATGGACGCTTTTAATTGTGACCGCTTGGTCTTCGTCGGAGTTGTCAAAATCAAACTCATCGGCTGGAGCGGCGAAGGATCCTGGGTTGGGCCTAGACGGGCTGGAAAGAAGAGGGTCATTGTTGGGATCGCCAGACAGTGCAAGAATGTCGCCCTCTGGTTGCGCATCGCTTCGTATGCTCCGCATTTGGCTGTATGTCTGTCGGACCTTCTTGCTCGCCGACATCCTAGCTTGATTATGGGCTGGCCGGGCCCAGAATTCGCGATCGACCAGTGCTGCACGCTTCGATCGTGGGGTAAGTAACGCCGTTTGGGAGGCCGAGGGGGCTTTTATATCTGAATCACCCTCGACCGCATTTCCATCGTAGTCCATATCGGATTCGGACCCAGGGTCTAAGTCAGAATCAGAACTCTCAGCCTTCTGTGCGGCCAGGCGGTCAATCAGCCGAGTCTTTCGCGGCCGCGTCGCATTTACATCGTTCCTTGGCGTCTCGGTTACAGATCTTTTCAATGTGACTTTTTCGTCGACTCGGGTGGTTGGGCTTCTCGGCACCGAATGTGAAAAGGTGGCAGGTTCAGGAAGTTTTGTTGGATCGGATTTGTCGGTTGAGCGAGAGGCAATTTTTCCGTGTGTAGGGAGGACGGTGGAACGATCAAGCTTGGGCTGCGATGCACTTGATGTTCTCGGGGGGTTGGGGGCAGCCGTTGGTTTCCTCGCGGCCGCATCCCCATCTTCACTATTGGCATGCTTCCGCTTCCGACTATCCTCGGGTGCATGCTTGGAAGGTGAACGCCCAGGTGAGATTTTTTTTGTACCCGTCTGTTTGTCGAGCGGCTGCGGCCTTGGAGTCTTGCTCCCTGCTGGTGTTGCCTTTGAGCGCGGCGGCGAAGACGGAGCATCATCGGAATCGGGAAAGTCGTAGAGGCTCGAGGCGACCTGGGTCGAGTCGGCTGTTGTGCCAGCATTTTTTTCTTTTCGGTCGCGTGAGCCTTTGCTATACGTGACTAATTTTCGCTGTGCTGCGCCTCTCGGGGCCGACCTTGACGCCATCTTGAGGTTATTGGCGGCCAACAAAGGCGGACGCGTAGCTTGTGTCGTTGAACCGCTGACAATATCAGATCATGGGTGCAGGAGGAGTGGTCCAGAGATGAATATGGAGAGTGAGGCAAGTACCAGAGCCATCCGTGAAATAGAAGGTGGCATTGCATGCGCAAAAGGTGCAAACCTGTGGAAAGCGCAGAGAGCCAGAGCAGCATAAACTAGTAGTAGTAGAATCGCGCAAAGGAAGCGCAAAGGAAGCGCAGCCGGCTGTAGCCATGGGGTTTAAGCGTCAACAACAAAGTGTTAGGAGGGGTACGTACCCCGTTTAAGGGAGATGCCATGTGCGTATTTGCACACTGCACATGGCTGGCAAACGCGCCATTGGGCTTCTCTTACGATCACTTGTGTCGCACAGTAGTTATTGTCAAAGAATCATTGGCAAATTCCAATAACAGGCTCGAGAGGCTTACCAAAGAGAACGCAGGGGATGAATAATATTGGTTCCGAATGAGAATTAGAATGCAGTGTCTATCCGATCGAGGATTGCAACTGGTTTGGTAGAACTGTGTTTATAGGTAACTATATGCAATCATTGGTGCGACCGTGTAAAAAATGAAGGTTATCCTTACTATTCAACAATGCGGGTCCCAGAGTGGTCGAATATTATCAGACCAGCCCAGTACTAGCAGTCTCCAGGGCCATCTCTTTTGCGCACCTTGCCTTGTACTTGTGCTCATATCTATTCATTACCCCTACCCTCATCATCCAACCCTCGCCCCCTCTGCCCCTTCCATATTTCTCTACCTAATCTGAGCCTCCATACATAGTAGTATATGTAGTAGTAGAGGGAGGCCCAAGTGCATTTGGTGGGTGTCGTGACACCTCCCGAACGCTCCATCTTTCTTGTCTCTGCACGGGACTCTCGTCCTTCAAGTACAGAGCCCGTGAACACGGTCGGCCTTGTCGTGTTGGTTATTTTATGACATTGGCGCGATGGATCAGCGGGGTGAAGTCATCGGTAGGTGTGACCAGTGGCACCATGAGTTATAGTGCGAAGGAATGATATCCAATCTCATGATGGATGTTGGTTATTGAATCAAGAAAAAAAAGCCGAGACTTCAAGGCTCCTTGTCTTCCTCCCGCACGGTGCTTCCCCAGTTGTCGAAGTTGGGAAAACTGAAATAGCATCCTGCAAACCATTGTCAATATTTGCCAGATTCATCGACATACATCAGCAAATGGAAACCACGAACCTGAAATAGAGCTGTCTGGAGTCGAGAACTCGGGGCCGTCGGAATGGTCACGAACGTCGTGATCTATGCTGATGGGCTCTGAGGCTTGACGGCCTGTTGATGCTGAGACCATGTTGTGGTTGTAATCACATGACGGTGAAAGCCCTAGAGGCGAGGCGACTTTGCTGAGCAAATCGGCAGCAGTGTAGTGTGAGTTGGGGGAGACAAGCGATGCTTGGATCTCGTCAGATGGTGTGACGGAAGGCCGAGTTGCGCTTGACCGAAGCAGTTGAGGTCGCTGGCCAGGCGATGATGATGCGCAGGAGCTGCGTCGTGTAGATGAGCGGTACATGGTGCCGATGTAGTGATGACGAATGTTGTTAATATGTATGTATGGACTGGAGTAAGCGCTTTCTGGTTATATTCGTTGTCGAACGGATGTCGTCGTTGATTCTAAACTTTTGAAGGTAGTTCAGAAAACAGAGTATGGTGTGTCTTAAACTGGGACCAAAATCCCGGGATGGATGTGGAATTTCTACTTAATATGGATACCGAGGGCAAAGCAACCATCTCGTCCTCCACCGCTCGTATTGGCCCCTGAATGGCCTGGTGGAGAGGTGGCCACCCCAACTTTTTCTTTCATAATACGGGCACCCGTGGAAAATTATTGTTCTGCCACTTGGCACCACCCTTGGAAAAAAAGCCCGTGCGCCATCAACCGTGTTCCACGCTGTGTGGTCGCATAATACTTGGTTGGGCACGCATGGAGTCGGCGGATGGCTCCGCGTCGACCCCTTTAGGGCAGACGGACGTGTGAGTGTCGGCCAACGAAGGAGTAGATTCATCAAAGTCGGTGGGGGGTGGATGCACGCCACTCAATAGAAGGGATGGAAGCCCTCTCAGACTGCGCCCCCCCTGGTTGCCGGCCTCGGGCCGCACCACGCCCTCTTGAGTCTTATTGTTGGTACCCAATCTATCGATTTGCTGTATCTCTTGCGCACTCAAGGAGATCCCGCACCTCGTGACGTGCCCCATGCGATGCACGGCAGGGTCTTCGATTCTGACCGCTGCCCATCAACGGTGTACGTCGTATGCGCGTCGCGTTTCCTCCCCTACATGTATGAATAATAACTCAAACTATGGAGTATTACACTGTATGAGAATAGTAGGTGTTCGTACATTATTAGTCTCGCCATTTTTCTTGTAACACGCGTGTACGGAGTGTTACCCCTTTGATCAATTGTGCATTGAGGCTGCCCCTAGGGAGACGCATTCGTACTATCGGCTAAAAACATAAAATTAACCAAGGACCAGGTGGTAGTACGCATTCGTCTATTATCCTGCTAGGCTGACACTCTCCTCGCGGGTGATTAGTGGTCGACGCTGCACTCATGGGGTCAGTGTCGTATTTCTCCGCATCGAAACTTGATCTGGTGGACTTACTCTTCCCACATCCTTCCCTGCACAGCTTGGAGTTCCTCTTCGGTCATCCGCTTGCCCGCAGTAAAGTAGCCTTTGTGTGGTCAGACGGTTTCTTATTCCTTAAAAATCGGAGGTATCTATGAGTTCCAAGTACACATACCCGCAGTGATTTTGGCATCAATCTCAACCCTCGAATCGGCAGGTATGAGCTCGTCTGGAAGCTCAACTCGCTCGTGAATCGGGATCCTGTGGTACACCACGTGAGTGTCAATATCAACAAAGATGTTTGCCATGTATATTATTATCGGAGGTCCACATACCCTTGACTGACAATGGCATCGTGCTTCATGCTGGTGGGTCGTCAACATCTGGCACTTCGTTTGGCGCGGCACGACATCAACTTACTTGCTCATGCTCAACATTCGGTCAATCTTCTTAATGCCGAGCCAATGCAAGATATCGGGCATAAGTGCCTGGAAACGCATGTCCTTTACACCGGCGATGTTCTCGGTACGCTTGAAGTAATCAGAGGCGCGGTCGGCGCCTCGCTTTCGGGCGTTGTATACAACTATAAACTCATCAGCGTCACAACAACATGTGCGGTCCCGTCCACTTCCTGGAAAGTGTACCCGATAGTTTGGGTGGCATGTTGGCACTTACGATACTATATTTGTGATTAGCCACGTTCGGTGCCATATAGAATCCAGTGAAGACAAACCTTGGTAACCTCCCCAAGGGCCCGGCCTTCTTTCCTGAAATAAATGACCACACCGCTTCCTCCATTCTGGGCTTCCTTGACGGCTTCTTCAATACCAAAAATGAGGTACGGACGGCAGGTACAGATGTCAGATCCAAAGACATCACTCCCGTTGCACTGGATGTGACATTAGCGGACCATATGTGCCCTTGCGTTGCTCTTAAGAATAGGCTGTACCTCGTCGTGGACTCGTAAGGACAGGCGTACTGACTCGTCCGACATTTTGGCCGGATCTCCGAAACAATAAACCGTCAAGCCGCCTAGACAGTGTTATTTTGATTATGCTTTATATATCTGATTTGAGGGGGTATTACCGATAGGAGGGAGAAACAATTTGATGTCACCTCGAGTGATGAGCTTCAAGAAATGAGTATTTGTTATGAGAGATGAGCATGGTTGCTACTTACCTCGGGGTAACTTCCACCCGTATGCTCGAATAGCGATCGACGCAAGGTACCCTCGTCTGCACGTTGTCAACTCTGCTCGAACACGCATGCTTAATCGCACTTACCAATACCGAACCTTTCGGCCACACCAGGAAGGTACCAGACCTGATGATCGTTATTGTAAGCTTGGGTATCCCCGAGAATAAGGAGTGCAGCATAGTCATTACCGGTTCCACTGCAAACTTGGTGACAGCCAGCTCGCCTAACTCGTTAAGGCAGACTTTGCCGTCTGGAACACTAGATGTTCTGTTAGCAATACTGTTTGGGCATGGGCTTTAGTAGGCATGAACAAACAGGCGGCCCTTCTTGACACTGTCCTCGAGCTCGGGTAGCTATAGTTCAAAGAAGTCAATACTGTTCCAACTCATTTTGACCTGACCAGGTGGCTTTATCACCTTCATATGGGCTTTCGTAATAGCGATCGTGGGACGGATATCAACTGTTAAATGTTACGATCAATAAAAATTCTGTAGCTCATTCGTCGCGCGGTTGACTATACCGTCTTCTTTTTCGATAGTGTCTTTGAATATCCAAGGCGCTAGATGGCCATAGGGGTCCATGGCCACAATCTTCTCTCGCCCCCCCCACTGAGGGAATGGCCCAATCTGCGCAGCAGGTTCAGTATTGGTAAAATCCGGCCTGGGTGGGCATGTTAGCTTATTGTTTAGACAGACAACTTGGTCCTGACAGACCTGTGGTCGAGATTCAACTGCTTGCTGGCAACAGCAAGAGCATAGTAGATTGAGTATGACCCGCCACTGAAATACTAAGTTAGACAAATGCTCCGCAGAAGTTGTATATAATGGCTTTGCTTACTGGGCTAGAGAGTGTTAGTTAGATGGCAGCTGCATATTGACACGACTGTGCATAAACGTAGAGATTGTGAATGGTTAAAAGAAAAAGTAAACTGACCTCCGATAGCTAAATGACTCGAAAAAGATATCAGTATTGCGAACATTGTGTCGATATATATTGGACAGGGACATACCGTTGCGACGCCGGATGGTGGATGACAGTCGTGAGACAACGACGGGGCCCCGCTTGAGAGGGTCACAATTCCCCCAGTCCATCGGAAACGGGTTAATACCGATTTGTTTCGGGTAGGTCCTGAAAAACTTAGATATGTGCACAAGATTTCAATATGCATATTTGTTACATACGTGAGAACGATACGAGATGTCAAGGCGGCCCGTTGAGGCGAGGTGGGAGTGGCTGGGGCTTGCAAGACTCCATCACCCTCCGAGCCTGGTCGTACGATAGGAAAATCGGAGGCCGATACCTCATCAACTTGATCGCTTCGTTCGTTCTGTGGAAGACCTCCGCTAGAACTAGGTATAAGGGCCGTACCAGGAAGCACCGCGTTGAGACGGTCAGTCAAGGACTGGACCGCAGCGAGAAGCTGGGATTGGGCTTGGCCAATATCCTTCAGAACGTCCATGACCTCTGGAGAATAGACGTTGGAGTCCATGATACAACAGATCTTGTTTCAAGTCAATTCTTTGGGGGAAAAAAACACAAACTTTGGGGTAAACAACAAAGGACGCAGTGCCGTCGTTGTCGTATTCGCTTGGAGGTTGGAATTTGCGGTCTAGGACGCCCAATGCTTCAGGCACAAAGAAAAGTGATGTAATGACCAAGGATTTATTGCGAGCTCACAGTAACAGAGAGACGATAGGCTTGGAGCTAGGCCTTGTGAAAGTAAAGAAACCCGCGTCCTGGGAGCGAGACCTTCTGATAGACAACCTCGAACTTCAGAGCGAGCGGTGTTTAGGACGAAGCTTGATGGAGAGGTAGGAGATTGTCGGAAGGAAAGGGGCGCATGCTGGTCATAGGCAGGCTTACATCACATTTACTCTGAGTTGGATAAGGCCATAGCATTTAGTACATCACCTCCACGTCAAGTAGTTGCCATTTTATCAGGTACTGGTGTTAGCTTGTTCGCTCTGGCCCAACGTCCGTGGCCCGTGACTGCTCTTACGCCCCCGCCTTTGCTGGGCCGCAGTGCTACCATAACGAGCGGACAGTGCTGATAAGGTCGGCGTGCTCCGCCAGGTACTTATACCCCGCCAAACCTTGCAAAGAAACGGGTACCCGTACACTCTCGTTTTAATGCATATTACATAACAGGGACAGCTGACTCAGCACATAGAATGGTATCGATAAGATAAGCACGCTTTTGATGCGCACCCATACAGCCTTTCGACGTATGAGCTGGATATTGTCTGTGTCCGTCAACCACCACGCTACAACTACGTTTTGCGCCAACAACGTCTCGCGCATAAACCGCCACCGCGTCCTCGAGAAAAGGCTATACAAACACAATGGGGAAGCGCAAGAAGTCGTCACGTGGTCCCCAAGGGCCCAAGAGGGTAACATGAATCTACCACGTTGGCATAATCTTGGTCTGCATGCTGACGTCGCGTCCTTGTACAGGCCGACCCGTTACCGTCTACATTCACCTGCCTTTTCTGCAATCATGAAAATTCTGTGAATGTCAAAATAGACAAAAAGGCTGGTGTCGGTCAGCTTGACTGTCGCATCTGCGGCCAGAAATTCCAGTGCGCTGTCAACTGTAAGTCTCTGATCACGCGCACCTGGCTGCTCTGTTTAGGCATACCTTATGTCAACTAACATTTTTAGATCTATCAGCCGCGGTCGATGTTTACGGCGAGTGGGTGGATGCAGCAGGTACGTCTTTTCTTCAAGCCTTTTCCCTAAAACAGTACTCTTCTTACCAAATAAACAGATGCCGTTGCAAAGGAAGACGAGCCGACAGAAGGATACTCGGGCACATCCAGACCCTCTGGCTCACGACGCACATTAACGAGCCGAGAAGACGACGATGACGACAGGCAATATCAGGGAGATGGGATCGTGGGCGACGATGAGGCGGTTTGAGGACATACTGATATCTTGTCCCTGCGAGCAATGCTTGATTGAGCATAATATGCACCTCAATGAGACGACATAATTTATGTGCATGCTACATACAAGATTCCACGCCCTCGACGCCTTTGGATCAAATGGTATAGAACCTGTCCCCGAAGTCTCCTAAACCGGGTACGATGTAGCTGGACACAAGTTAGTAACTGTTTTGAGCGAGGACAAGGGGGGTTAGGGGGACAAGGGGCGTACTTCTTTTCGTCAAGGCCCTGTACAGCAATAGTTAGTAAACGGATTGCTTCAATTTGGAACGGGAACTCACTTCGTCAATGAAGGCAGTCACAACTTTCAAAAGTGGGAACTTCTTGGCAAATTTTTCCACGCCTTCAGGGCTGGCGATCAAGTTAAGGAAGAGAATGCGGTTCTCTGGGACTCCTCTGGATTTGAGCACCTCAACAGCCATGGTTGCCGAACCACCTATTATATATCTATCAGAGACGACGTTCGGGGTACAAACAGTAAAGTTAGATGATAAACTTACCGGTGGCAAACATGGGGTCCAGCAGAAGAACCCATCTTTGTGAGATGTCCTCTGGAAGCTTGTCATAAAAAAGCTTGGGCTGTGCCGTTTCTTCGTCTCGCTGGATCAAGATCTTTCCGATCCTCACCGAACGGCAGCAGTCACGAAGACCCTGCTCCATCGCCTCACCGGCCCGCATGATGGACACACCGCATATCTTCCCCTGGAACATCAGGCCGTTATACGTGCGGCCAACCGGCGTAGTAACATCATGCTCAATGACGGGGAGGTGGTTGAGGCCTTCCTCTACTAGCAATCGAATAATGCGGTTAGAGTAGAAGATGAAATCGGCTCTCTCAGTGTCCTTGTTTCGAATCATGCTGTACAGAAATATGAGCACCCCTCCTAGTTTTTCGGGAAGGCATTAAGACGTACGACAAGAGAGCAATCAGTTGCGGTGTCTGCGGCAGCACGCAGACATTGTCGAATTCAACCTTGCACGATACCGTGGCGGTGGGCTTCTGGTTCTGGGGCTGAAATTCAGGCCCGACTGTCTGGGTTTTGCCCTTCGCTGAAGACATAGCTGCGACAGTTGGGATGGCCTCAAGACACAAACTGGACTAGATCGTACGAATTGGTTACTGAGCAAAATGCTACCCAGCCAGCATGAAGCATGAGGCAGCGGCTAACCTCTTAGAAAGTGGGGTATAGATCAGCGGGCAGTTTCTTGAAGTCATTCCATCCTAACCAGCCTGCGCACTAAACCATTTAGGAAGCACATCAATACACACACAAGATACACCAAGACCTAGATATCTTCAAAATCCCCCCAAATCTTAGTAAGCAATACCCACTGCCAAGCAATTGGAAAGTGAAGCAATCGGTGATGTATCGTAGCTGAAAGCTAGAGATACAAGAGAATATGACTTTCTTGGTACTTGCTCACGTGATTCTATGCATCACAGGTTTCCAAAGATACAAGCTGTAGTGTATTTTATACGCATGTGCCTCTTCAGACTGATTTTGTTGTGAAAGGTACATATAAGTTGGTGTATTGTAGCCACTTAAAGATGTACATTTTTAAGCCGATTTTTTGGCAGCGATGACGATCACATGTGGTTTCTGAAGCTACATGCAACTTCTCCAAGAGATAGGCGGATTCTGCACGTGAACGTATCTAACGGACCCTCCATGAGTCACAATACTCCGCCGCACACAAAATTTCTGAACATTCAAATGTGTAATGGTGGCTTACATCACGTCGTGGGTGGCTTGGCTTGACCCTGAGAGGGCCAAAGTGTGGCTCGTTGGTCACGTGAAATTGTGACCTTTGCCCAGAACTTTGCTCTGTAGTGTGGGTCCGGAAAATCGTAGAAGCGTTTTTTTTTCCCACACGACCATGACCGCTAAGACCTAAGGCGAGGCACACACAATTGAAATTATTTCGCCCCTCCACCAATCCTCTCAGCATCATCCACGGTTTCCCTCCAACTGCGCAAATCAGAGGCAACAATCATGGCGGTTGGAAAGTGAGCATTTATGACGCATCGAATAGGAGGAGAAGCAGATCAATAACTGATACCCTCATTTAGGAACAAGAGACTCTCAAAGGGCAAGAAGGGCCTCAAGAAGAAGACCGTGGACCCCTTCTCTCGCAAGGACTGGTACTCGATCAAGGTACGTTGTTGATGCATTCTGCAAACATGGCACTCCAATGCTAACAAACACCGCAACAGGCCCCTAACCCTTTTAACGTACGAGAGTAAGTTTTCACGAATCGACGCCGATACGATCACCCGAAATATATATTTCTGCGTGAACACGATCGTGATGGTGCGAACGAAACTGACAAACCTGTAGCGTTGGGAAGACCCTCGTCAATCGCACCAGTGGTCTCAAAAACGCCAACGATGCTCTGAAGGGTCGTGTTGTTGAGGTCTCCCTCGCCGACCTCCAGAAGGACGAGGACCACTCATTCCGCAAGGTTCAGCTCCGTGTGGACGAGGTCCAGGGCAAGAACTGCCTGACCAACTTCTACGGTCTTGACTTCACATCCGATAAGCTGCGCTCCCTGGTTCGCAAGTGGCAGACCCTCATTGAGGCCAACGTCACCGTCAAGACCACCGACGACTACCTCATCCGCCTCTTCGCTATCGCCTTCACCAAGCGCCGCCCCAACCAGGTTAAGAAGACCACCTACGCTGCCTCTTCCCAGATCCGCGCCATCCGCAAGAAGATGACCGACATCATCCAGCGCGAGGCCTCCACCTGCACTCTCACCCAGCTCACCTCCAAGCTCATCCCTGAGGTGATTGGGCGTGAGATTGAGAAGTCTACCCAGGGCATCTACCCTCTCCAGAACGTAAGACGAACTGTCCTTTATGAGTCATGTCCGAGTGCACAAGAAGACTAAATATTGTTTCCAGGTCCACATCCGCAAGGTCAAGCTGCTGAAGTCGCCCAAGTTTGACCTTGGCGCTCTGATGGCTCTCCACGGCGAGTCGGGCACCGATGACCAGGGCCAGAAGGTCGAGAGGGAGTTCAAGGAGCAGGTCCTGGAGACGGTCTAAAAAAATTCTGCATGTATGGAGTTTTTGCAGATAGGGAAATGGAAAATTTGTGAACAAAGGCAACCGCTCTCAGCATTTGTTTGCGGTCATATGAAATGGCGTAGGATCATTAGGGCGGCTTGGGAATTTGGAATTATTCCAAGAATTGCAAAAGAAAAAAAGGATTAATTTTCATGTTTCACATTTTTATTTGTGATGTCTACCTTCTTCATGTTTGCTTCCAAGCCCTCTATGATGAATTACAAAATCTTCATAAACACTGCCGCTCATAGACCTTCCTTGCGGTCCACGTCTGGTACTGTATGGTCAACACGCCCGCGGTGATTTCCACTCCGTAGGACGTATTTTGTTGACGAACAGAGTAATAACCCTGTGATGAATGTCCACACCAATATTACTCCGCTGGCTGTAGGAACTCCACCACCGCTAAAACACGTAAGAAAGTGCCAGAGAAGGAAACGGGGTGTTACTCACCTTGTCTGAAAGCTTCTGGCTGCTCCGAGATCACCCAGTGTCCTGCTTCTATGTCGACTATACGGAAACGGGGAAAAAACTCCCCAATAAGCGGAAGGACCTCATCTGGGACATATTTGCTCAGAGTGCCCCGGACGAAAAGGGCGGGCTTCTCGAATCGGACTGCCTGGGGATCCTTGTAAGGGAAGTCTCCGAGGTGATCCAGTGAACGACCCAAGATGTCCAGGGGTACCCGAAATTTCATACTGTCTTCTCCCTGAGGCCTATACAGGTTTCCTAGAAGGAATTGGCGGATAGGGAGCGACTGTCACATATCCCCTGTTAGCAGGATCAAACGAGAGCAGCTAGGTGAGCTCTTCTAGGCAGGTTCGTAGTGACGAGCTTACCTCTTCGGACTCCTGGAGGATCTTGTCGGCCTCTGACTGGCGTCCAACCTTTGCATCCTGTATCTGCTTCATGGCGCGAACATATTTGGGAAACTCTCTGCCCAAAATTTTGTCGACGGGGGCGTTATCCACGGAAACAATGTTGGACACAAGTTCAGGAGAGCGCAATGCCAGCGTCATGGCAGTTTTGGCACCCCTTGGGGAATCGTTTCAGCTTCTTTCTCGGGATTACAGGCGCTCATAGCCGTCGCTGCTAGGTTTGCATCATACATTGAATGCCCGATGATGGTGGGCTCTGTCAGCCCAAGGTCCTTGATGAACTTGGCCATGTCGTCGGCCATGACATTGTAGTCATGAATCTTGGCGTGGGGAGACTCCCCGTGGTTTCTCAAATCCTGGATGCGAAATGATTAGTGAAGTGAGATACTCGTTTTCTTTTCTGTGAGATAACTGACGAGCGCGTAGACATATCTTCCCAAATCCCTAGCCAGAGCCCTGCAAGGTGGTTAGCATCGATAAGTCCAGTACTAGATATGGGCCATGGTGGACCTACTTGCTGATTCCACGGTTGTTCTTCTTGGATCCGAACAGCCCGTGCAGGAACAAAATAGGAGACGTCTGCTTGTCCGCCCGCGGCTTTGCAGGCTCGTGCAAGTCGTATATGAGAGGCCCGACAGCCTGCGAGTACGGCCTCCACGGGCCCCTCATCATTAAATGGGCAATCCGCATGGCGGGTTTCACTTGTCCGTACCTAATTGCCATGACGTTCTCGCGTGTTCGCAAAGAGCACTTATTCATTCACGAGAATAAAATTCATCCACCTTCAAATTCCTTGAAATTCGACAGTCCAAATTTACAGTGGATACTATGCTATATAATGGCCAATGAAATAAGCGTGATTCTCTGCGCCCCGTGCGTCTTCTCACAAGATCACGAAGGGGCGTGCACCACCATACCAGCTTATACGAGTGTAAAGGGTGCTTTCTATTATGATCTACTAACTTGGTTATTTTTATCAAAACTATTTAGATTCTATAGGATGAACAAATAAAGTGCGTTATGTATGCCCGGTAGATAGTTCTGCTAGGGCCGGGATCTACATCACTATTACGACCTAATATGCGACTTTCACGTGCACTCTACTTTTTCCTCTCGTACTCATTAGACCTCGCCTAGGAACACTACCTAAAATGGTTACTTAAGAATCTAATAATAGCCCTTACAATCATTACATTCTATAATAATCACTTAGTGTGACGGTTAGTACGACTCTATGCTATAGGGTAGTTAGAGAAGTGTCGGTTTTATATTAGCGAGGCCGTTAGGGCGTCTAACTAAGCAATAAGGCAGTTATAGTCGTAGGTGCTAATTATAGAAGGAACTAAGGTTCTAAAAGAAGCGTTAACTATTATATTAATAGCTAGGTAAAGAGTGACTAGGCTATAGGAATAAGGTTAACTATATACTAGGCGATCGCTAAAGGAATATAATAATCGTAA